ACAACTATACTCACATGCCTAAGCAGTTTAAAGTCAACGATTTGGTCAAGTTATTAACTAAGAACTTTGGCGCGTTGGCAGGGGGCTACTTCAATAGCAATCTTGTGATATTGTACGAAGTAAAAGTGGTGTTGATATTCGGTGGTTTCTACGCAGAGGGCGCGTAGGCTTTGACTGACCCGCGCTGGCGCACAGGCCAGGTCACGGGCCCCCGGGGCCACTTCGGGCCCCGCCCTCACTGTCTATTTACAGCCAGTAGAAACCATCCTTTCTACCCCACCGAGCCCCACGCATCAAACTTACAGTTAAAAACCCTAAAGCTTAGCTTGCATTAAATTAAACCTTTCTAGGTAATCAAATAAGTAGGCAGTTAAGCATACCAACTTGCATTGTCTAATAAATACAGCTACCTCTACAATGTCTTTCTAATCTAGCTATTAAAAAACTACTGCCTTTGCCTTAGCAAAAGTCTATAACAAGTTGCAAGACTTAAGTTAGCAGCAAGACAAAGGCATAGAGGTAATTAGTCTAACTAACTTATACAAGGTAGCTAATTAGCATAGGTTTTAAAAGAGAAGACAGTTGCAATAGTATTGCTAGTAAATTAGGTAAGAAACTATCTTAAGCAGCTTCTTAGCCAAAATGTATATTAAAGCCTGCCTTTATAACCCTTTAGGCAAGTCTATCGCGGTTTTTAACTTAAAGCTGCCTAGTAGTCTCTATGCAAGCCTCTTGCAAAGACTCTATAAAACTGTCAACTAGGCTAGCTAAGCTTTTCTACCCTACAAGGTAAAACTATACTAATTATAAGGCTTTCTAATTGAAAGCTACGCTTGCGCTAATTACTTAAAGCTACTTATACAGCAGACTAAGCTACCTTAGCTACTAGGCTTTTCTAAGCCTTGCATGTGAAAGCTAAGGCAATATTAACCTAAGCCTTTAAAGTATAACAACTATCCTCTTTCTAAAGAGACGTCTGCGTCTCTAGCACTCTCTACACTCTACCTAATTACTTGCTAGTAGGTAAGCGCCTTTTGCCTAACTAGTAAGGAGGAGAGACACAAAACCACCTACTTACCTACCTCTCAACATAGTATACTGCTGCTAAAGCATAAGCCTCAACAGCAGTAGCCACGTGATTGGCTAGCAGGTAGATGGAATTGTGCTTCTTCCTTACCTCTAGCGCATGTGACTGGTTAGGTAACCCTGATTAGCCTTGTTATGTCTCGCGGTAGTGTCTAAATCTAGTCGTGTAAGTAAGGTAGGAAAACGCTAGTGGCGTAATCAATTGAATTGAAAGCGTAAGAAAGGAATAGAATGCGGTAAATCAAGTATTATTGCATAGAAAGCTTCGAAATAACTAAGGTGTAAAGAGTGCTGCTTGTAAATCTATGTAAGTCTGCGTAATTGATAATAATCTTACAATTTAAGGCCCTAATCACGCTTTTATATAGAAGCGCAGAAAATCTAGTCCAAAGCTAACTCATCCTAGCTTAAAGTAGCCTATGCCTTTTCCATTCACTACGTTAATACCAACTCGCATTGTCTAATAAATATAGCTGCCTTTATAACGTCTTTTTAATCTAGCTACTAAAAGACTATTGCCTTTGCCTTGGCAAAAGTCTACTACCTTTTCTAGACCTTGACAATCTTAAGGAAGAATAAGAGGTTAAAGAAATCTATAACAATGCTAAATTTGATAATGTAAAGCATTACCTTGTCAAGTAGGCAAATTAGCTGTTAGAATATAACATTTAGAAACTGCTAAAGCATTTAGAAAATGCTTTGAAAGTAGTTTGCGTGTATGAAAAAGCTTGTGGAAAGAAGAGGCTTGCGCTTACAAAGGCTAGGAATAACAGCGATAGCAATGACAGTGGTGGCAAAGACCCTGTAAAGTCTTTACCAGACCTTTAAGCCTTAGCTTGCAAGGCTTTGACAAAAGGCAAGCAGATTAGATAGTTGAAAAGGGTTTGAAAGTAAGGTTCTTGCCAAGTCAGTTACTTTTTTTCCTTACCTGACTGAAAAAGAGGTTGCAGAAGGTTTTTTAATAAGGATTTGGCGCTAGCTAGTTAGGCAGAAGGCGCTTACCTACTGGCAAGTAATTAGGTAAGGCATAGAGGGTGCTAGGGATGTAGATGTCTCCTTAGAGAAAGGATAGTTGTTATGCTTTAAAAGCCTAGGTTAATATTGCCCTAGCTCTCACACGTGAGGCTTAGGAAAGCCTGGTGGCTAAGGTGGCTTAGTCTGCCGCATAAGTAGCTTCAAGTGATTAGCGCAAGCGTAGCTTTCAATTAGAAAGCCTTGTAATTAGTATAGTCTTGCCTTGCAAGGTAGGAAGGTTTAGCTAGCCTAGCTGGCTAGTCTTACAGGGTCTTTGCAAGGGCTTTGCGTAGAGACCTCTAGGCAGCCCTAAGTTAAAAACTGCGATGAACCTGCCTAAAGGGTTACAAGGGCAGGCTTTAATATACGTTTTAGCCAAGAAGCTACTTGAGACAGTTTCCTACCTAATTTACTAGCAATACTGTCACGACTGCCTTTTCTCTTAAAACCTATGCTAATTAGCTACTGTTACGCCCCGAAGGCCCGGGTCAATATTGCCCCGGCCCCCACGCGCGGGGCCCGGGAAGGCCCAGTGGCCAAGGTGGCTTGGTCCGCCGCATGAGTGGCTTCAAGTAATCAGCGCGAGCGCGGCCTTCAATTGGAAGGCCCTGTAATTAGTACAGTCCTACCCCGCGGGGTAGGAAGGTCCAGCTGGCCCGGTCGACGGTCCTACGGGGTCCCCGCGGGGGGGCCCGCGTAGGGACCGCCGGGCAGCCCTAAGTTAAAGACCGCGATAGACCTGCCCGAAGGTTTACGAGGGCAGGCTTCAATAAACGTTCTAGCCAAGAAGCTACTCGAGACAGTTTCCTACCTAATTTACTAGCGATACTGTCGCAACCGCCTTCTCCCTCGAAACCCGTGCCAATTAGCCACCTCGTATAAGTCAGTCAGACTAATCACCCCCGTGCCTCCGTCCCGCTGCCAACCCAGGTCCTGCGACCCGTTACAGCTACCTTGTATAAGTCAGTCAGACTAATCACCTCTATGCCTTTGTCTCGCTGCTAACCCAAGTCCTGCAACCTATTATAGTAAATAGACAGTAAAAGCAAAGCCTAAAGTAGCTTTGGTAGCTTATAACCTAGCTTATGCGCTAGCATAGGTTAGTCAAAGCCTACACGCCCTTTGCATAAAAACTACCAAAAAATCATAACCACTTTACTTTATACAATATCACAAGATTGCTATTAAAGTAGCCCTTTGCTAACGCGCTAATTACTACTAATTCAAATAATTAAATCTTATAAACCTAGTCTAATCAGCCAATCTAAGGTATCAAGTTATTTAATCTAGTAAAGCAAAAGGACTAAATTTTACTATATAGTTAGTTAGATTAGCCAGCTGACTTTGGCAATAATTATCATTATTAGTTACACAATACAACTAGTCTTTTACACCTTACTTGCCTACCTTACTTCCTGCCTTTCTACTGCTTATAGCAATACTTTTACTAGTTGAATACTTAGCTTCCACAACCTACCTCTTTAGTCACAACCTAACCTTTTGACGTCTTTTAATTAAATTGTTAGCCTAAGACGCGTTAGAATAACTTATTAATTTAGGTAGGTTTTTATTTGTAATCGCGGGCACGCTGTTGCACCCTCCAGGTTTGGCGCCCCCAATCGGGTAAGGCGCCCTCGCCGCTGTTGACTCCGCCACCCCTGCCAGCCAGTCGGCCGCTCAGCATTGGTATAAAGAGGACGACCTCCGTCCTCCGCCATCACCTTGTACTTTCGACTTTCCACCACTTCCTCTTCCATCTTCTCTCTCTCCCAGCTCCGTTTCAGCTCCCTCGAGCGTCGTCGCCCTTCCCTGTTTCCGCCCCATACCTTTGTCCACTTCGGCCTGCGCTGGCCCTGCATTGTACGAACTCATTTCCGGCGTACATCACAGCGCGTCTCGGTGACCCTCACGTCTCGTTACCTCCGCGCCGTACTCTATGTGCGTTGCCCCTTCTTTCGTGTCGCCAGATGCGTTCTCGTCTCTCTCGCTCAGTTACTGACGGGCTCAGGAACCCTCTTGGATCGCGGGCACGGATTCCATAACCCACCGCCCGAGTTGCTCGCCCGCTGCCTCCCTCATGAGAGAACAGTTTGACCACCGTCAGCATGCAGGCTCAAAGCAACGTGATGGTGGCCGGGCCATTGGAGGAAAATACCGCACACACTGCGCCACTGCGCCGCTCCTCCGTCTCAGTCTCCTGCCCAACACGACAACGATCGGTGGCCACATGACGCATGGATGAGCCAACCTCCGGCCGTCTTGATGACACACTGTCACGACCCGCGGACGGGAACTTTTGATACGGAGATTCACGGCTCGGGGCTGTCTCGGCCTGACTCTTTCCTCGAGCTTGCGTCGTCAGCTGAGAGATGATCGCCGCCCGCCTCAGGTGTTGGTAGTTCATAGTGGGCTAGGTGGGCCGAGCGAGCGCTCAACTTCGCCTCATCGCCGATGGCGAGGCGGACTTGTATCAGGGAACCATCCCTGAGAATGCCCACGGGTGGATTCTGGACCTCCTTCACCCATGAATGAGAACGAACTCAGCGAGATGATTGGGGGAGGTTGACGCCATGCTACGAAAGCGCAGCCCGAACCTGCGACGAGCTAGCAGGGCGTCGGAGGCGCCGGGGCATGGCGTTGGTAGCGAACTGGCTTGTTCTGCGGCCATGTGATTCGGACAGGAAGCATCCGCGGATCACGTTGCGTTTGAGTGCTTCGAGTGCGCCTCGGCAGTTGCATGCTCGGCAGCGAGCAGAATGAGCAGAGCGACCGAGGCAGATTCCCAAGATGGCCCTGTCGCGCATATGGAGGGAGGAGGCCCAGGAGCGGGCTAGTGCCTGGAGAAGGAGAGGGTCCTCTACCTCTGAATCTCAGGTACTTAAGACGCTCGCTGCCCGCCACTTCTTGGGCCTAAACTCATCAACAAATTCCTCAGATCTCCCGCAAGCATTTGCACCTTCATTTTTGGAGACCTGACCAGGACATCTCTATCATCATGGCAACGCCTGTCTCTCTTGATACTCAGACTTTTTGGAGCCCTCCGCAGGAAGCGTACACGGAGAAGCCCTGCATCGTGAAGGCTTCGCGGCAGCCGTTACCGCAACAGCCGCAGCCAGTTGTTACGACAGCCTCGGTGTCGATTTCTTCTGATGAAGACTTCGACAACGATTCACTCCCGTCCATTGGGGTCCTTATGGCATCAGTTGCGGATGAGCAGCGAGCTTATGCAAGAAACGCAGGTCAGCAGAGCCAATCCAAGGTGGTCTCAAGCGAACAGAGGACTAACCAGTTTTGTAGACAACCTTACTCAGATGCCTATGGCAGCTCAGCGTACTGGATTTGCTTCTTCGCGAGGCTCATCTAGCAACCGTCAGCTTACCCAACGAACAAGATCGAGCAAACTTCCACCAATTTCATCTCATAACGGTCTTGCTACCGTGTTATTGACCGCCGCTCAGCCAGCGTCGCCTATGACTGCGTCACCTGACGAGAATGCACCAAGGCAGCATCGGCACACCAGTGATCCTTACGAACCTCACCGCATCTTAGCCATCGATGCGGTCCCTCAACGACAGGCTAGCCTCGAGGTAGCCCCTGGCGATCGGCGTGAGTCGATTCATGGCCCTGAAGCTGAGATACTCGATCAACGTGATGCTAGCTTAATCGACGACTGCGACCTGGGGGGTGTGGAAACTCACGAGACTTTCCATACGCAGGAAACTGCAGGGGGGCCCGGCGATCCGGTTGCTGGCCGAGGAAGCTCCCAGCCAGGCAGTGGACAGAGTTTTCAATCAGGAGGGGGCTTGACACGCGACGCAAACAGCGGTGTCCCTCCTACAGCTGATGCAACGCTGGCTAGGGATTCTCGCGGTGTGGATGATGGATCCCCCACGGACCAGGCCAGCACTACTAGTGCCCGGAGATGGAGGCGATTACAAAGCACTCGTACACTTTCGAAACCGCCCGCAATTCGTCCACTTGGAAAAGTGGCAAGCGTCGGATCGGAAGCGGGCAGCAGCGACGATGAAGGTGTTCCGGCTCGCAAGCGTCAAAAGACCACACGTTCTGCTCCCGCGAGACGTGACGCGAAGCCTAAGTCTAGGCCCGCGCGAGACCCTCGGCTCCGCGCCTCCAAACCGACATCGAAACAGAGCAGCAAACGGCCGGCCGTCTCCTCCAATCTTCAACCTAAGGATGCCGTCCTCGCAAGCTACGAGGAGTGGCCGCTCCCTGATGCAATGCTCAAGCGTGTCCGAGACAACGGCAAGGCAACTTTCCAAATTGAGTTCTCTTGGGAAACATTGTGCGTGGCCCATGCGGCCCAGGATACATCAACGACCAGCGCCCAGTTACTGCCGAGTAAAGTGCGAGGTCCGAAGACCAACACCGGGGGGCCAACATCTCTGGAGTTCACAAATGGCAGCATAGAGCAGTTGTGTCCTAACCAGGCTAGTGACGCCGGCATCTATACGGTGAAACGAATGTTTGCTCGATGGATGAAAGGCTTCTACTTTCTCCAATGGTCCGATGACACCACCGGGTGGGAGCCAAAGAAGAACATTCTCGATAAGAGAATGCTCCGCGAGTTTGAGGCAACATACAAGGGGTTTGATGAAGGGGTTGCTGTGCTGAATTCACGGACTCGGGCTGGCAAACGTAAATGTCTTTTGCATTGGCATGACCGCCCGTCGTCTGAGGATTCGTGGGTGGCCGAGAGGCTGATGAGCCCGGATGGCATCGTCAAATTCAGGGCACGTGGGTTGGAGTAGCCCTCCTATCTAGCGTGCTGATGACTTAGACAACCTCTCTAGCTGCGTTTACTTCCTGCCAATCTTAACAACCCCGTTGCCTCTCATCTCTAGTCTCATTCAGCCTCGTGCTAGAAGTAGACCCTGCTGCAAAGGTGTTGCTTCACAATCTTGTGCGCGCCTCTAATGTACGGCGCGGCAACGGTTGTCAGATGCCCACTGCCTTTCGAGCTGAAGCGGAGAACATAGTCGGATCATGCAGGATTGCTCGGCATATGCGGGAACTAGGAATTTTTGGTAAACCTGCTGGTTTACGGCAGTCGCTGCGAGCCGCGGAAAGACGTCAAAACCACAGTCGAACCCCATTGTGCACGGAGACTAAGTGCTAACGACCGGGGCCTATAGTGGGACGCTGGTGATGTGATCATACGCGGGAAGAGGGGTCTACCGAGGGTTATCCGCGAGGCCCCATTTCCTCCAGCGCCCGCAAGATGCAGAACATGGGGTAAGACGTATCAGCCATGACCCTATCACATCACGGCGGCATGCTTTACAGACAGACGACTCCACCATGACCAACGCCACGGGTACGGATACCCTGCTCCCCAAGTAGCCCCCAGATTTATAAATAGAAACTAAAAATAGAGGCTCCTGTGTCATGAACAGCACCTAGCAAAATCTTTGGTGTGCGCACACGCAGGTCAACACAGTTAGTTAGCTGCCACATTGGTGTTGGCTCTTTGATGAAGGTACAAAAGGCCGGCTCAAGTGTGCTTAGCTGATGTCAACGTCATCGTCTTCTTTCCCTCGCTGTCTTTCCTTATGACAGAAATGTTACATTGCTCCCAATACAGCCTGGCCTCGCCTATCAACCCACACTGTCGGAGTCCCAGAGCAGTCGGAGTCCCAGGGCAGTTGGTGTCACAGGGCAGGAGGTGTCCCAGGGCAGGAGGAGCCCCAGGGCAGGAGGAGTCCCAGGGGTCAGCCAGAGAATCATAGCCTGGGTTGCGTCGTTTCTCAGTGACCCAAGCTTCAGGAGTACACAGCACCCTCGGCGCCCATTCAAACAGGCATCCCGCAAGGATCGCCGGTGTCGCCAATTCTCTACCTCTTTTATAACGCCGATCTGATCGAGGCTTGCAAGACAGAGGAGACGGAGGCGGTTGGTTACATTGACGATGTATCGATCCTAGCAATATGCCCGACCACACAACGCAACTGTAAAACACTGAAAGGCATCCACCGAAAGGCTGAAGAATGGGCAAGGAAGCATGGCTCCCAGTTTGCGCCAGCCAAGTACGAACTCGAGCATTTCACAAGAGACCCTAAGGCGAACAGCACGCACGCACTATGTCTGCCCCACGCCACGATTAAGGGCGGTTCCGTAGTATCCACCTGTCGCGTCAATATCCAAATTCTTCTTGAGACTGGCACTGTAGTCTCCTCCAGAGCTCGGAGCTGAGGCAAGAAGGCCACCGACAGTCGAATCAAGGCCGAGAAGGGAAGCATGGTTAAAGATGGAGACTTAAACGATGGGGTGTTGGTAAGTGGGGGTCAGGAAACACGAGGTCGGTCAAGTCCTGTGCTAGGCTCCTGCATGGAAGATGCAAAGGAACAATCAGCAAACAGAGGATGAGGTTACATGGCAAATGCTGTCAGCCAGGGGTACGGTTCGAGCACGCCCAATATACATCTATTGCGGTCTAATACACATGACCTTTTTGGCTAACCTCCAGGCCGGGTCGCGACACATTGAAGCTAATCCTGCTCACCCTAGTGTCTTGTTCAGCCAGGCAAACTGGTACCTGTTCCACTCCTGCCCAGCTCCAACTTGGACGTGATATCCAGCTGTTCCATTGAAGAACTTGTAAGTTGCCTTATCGCCGAGTGCGTCCTTGACAACCTCCGGCTGGCCAGCGAAGAACCCCTCGAACTCGGAATCGACGACAAGGACGGGTACGTTGATCTTCTCAACAACGTCCTTGAGAGTGTACTGCTTGAGCGATTCGAGCCATAGGTACGGGGAATGCTGTTTGAAGCACCACAGTCCGTGTCCTAGACCCCAGCGCACGACTGTAGGCACCTGTGGGCTATCCAAGAGCGGCAAGGCAGCCTCGTCAAATTCCTCTTGCTTGCCCGCAGCGAGAAGTTCCTTCAGGTCCGGGGTCAGCTGACTGGCGTATCCCTCGTAGACATCCCACACGCCGCCATTGAGAATAAGAGCCTTGATCCGAGGCTCAAACGCAGCGGCACGAGCGGCTAGATACCCACCCATTGAAATGCCAACAAGGACCAGCCGGTCTTCATCGACGAAGCAGCCTTTGCGATTCATCAACTCGTCGATCACTGGCGTGAGAACCTTCTCCCAATCAGGGATGAAACCAATGTCATCATTGCGGCGAACCGTGGGCTGCCCTGGCCCTTCGTAGGTCATGACATTCCAGCCACGGGCCAAGGCTGGTACGACGAACGAGTGGTAGGAATCTTCCTGGCCGGCATCGTATCCGTTGCCGATAACCAAGGTCGGCCGTTTGACCCCGTCGGCTGCGGCTGTGTACCAGATTGCTTCAATGGTGAAGTTGTCGGTTGGGATCTGGATACGTTCGCCAGGAACGGGCAGTGCAGCAAGCGCCTTGTCGAACGCAGCGCGTTGCTCGAGCCAGAAGCTATTGATACGAGGGTCCGTCCAGTTCGCATGGTTGTAGAAGTCGGCCTGACGGTAGTAGCTCGATGCGGCGAACCAGGCTTCCCGGACGTTGAATGGATCGTACGCATTGTCCGCATCCTCGGCTTGCTTCTTGGTGTATTCGGCCAACGCGTGGAAGGTCTCAAGCCAGCTGGTGAAGTTCCCGGCCTTGATGTCTTTCGCTGCGGCCAAGGCGTCGTTGACGTCGCCAGCCCCGAATATGGTGTTTCCGAGGGTGAAGAGCAGCTCGAAATGGAAGCTTTCATCCTTGCTCAAGAGGATGATGGGATCCTCCGGCTCCTTTGGCGAAGATGATGGCCCAGAGTCGCGGGAGAGAATGGAGCTTGAGGCTACCGTTGCCCCCAGCAGAACAGCGCTGAACAGGGAAGTTGACTTCATTTTGAAAGGCACTCAGAAGTAAGTGTATAGTAGAGAAGATCGGGCAGAGTTGCTGATGACGGTATTGATCACGTTACAATGTTCTCGGCGATGCACTGCCTTTTATCTTCATTTGCTTGTTCTCGCAATCTGTTCCAGCGAGAGCAACCACAACCAACCTACACCTACACTATGCACCAGCCGTGCATCGAGCCTGTTTGCGATTGGTGTTTTCCTGGTTGCGCACTCCCAGGAACCATGGGGCTATCGTGCATAATACCGCGACGACTAGGACGGATAAGGCAACTTCTTTGCGATTGGTCGCCTTGTAATGCTCTGCCCCTCTCTAGTTCCAGCCACCCCACGGCTTTCGCAACTCCCATCGCAAACACTGCCATAGTAGCATAGCCCCAGCCCATAAGACCTAAGTCTTACTAGCAACGCAAGTCCGGCAGATGAGAAGGCCTGGACCATCAATTCATCACTGAATTCCGCAATGAGTCGCTATTATACGTCATCACCTGTCCGAAGGCTACCAAACGTGACTAGATCTACGTCACGCGTAGCTATTGTGGTCATAGAGTGATGTAAATCTGCCTTATTGTGTACAAGGGGAAATGCGTGCGTGCGCGTTCCTAATAAACCGCGCTCAGTCCCTGTCAGGGGCTGCTCAGTAACTCCATTGAAGCAACTGTCCAATGCTCCACTTTTCCTCAACTCAACAATCTATGATTCGTTCGCAACGCTATCTAATTTCCGCACGACGGTATCTATAACTCAGTCCCTGGATGCGGCGAATCGCAAACAGAACCGGCCGCGTGGCAACTCTCAACCAGAAGCGACATCGGTCCTCGTGATCATTGCGCAGCAGACATGGTCAACCATGGCCCCTCAAGGGGCTGCTCGACATGTCGCAAACGACGCGTCAAATGCGACGAGGACAGGCCAAGCTGTCGTGAATGCCTCCGGCTGCGACGGGTGTGTGGAGGTTACGAATCAGAGAAAAAGACAGGCGGGATTCGGTTCAAGGACCAGGGCACTGGTGCAAGGCTCCTTTCGCCGACATCACGGTCCAGGAGCCCTCGCATGTCGACAACGCCAAAATGGACAAGGCAGGCTGTCATACCAGCAACGATTACCCCCAGCGACGAATCATCCGCTGTCTGCTTCTTCCTCACCTCGATCGCGAGCTTAGGACGAAGCTTTCCCTCGACCCAGGGCTTCCTGGAGCCTCTTTTCCCTGTCGTAGCCAAGGAGCATCCGGATTCTGTCCTCTCGACCGTCCTGACCGCCGTGTCAACGAAGCTCTGGATTTTGTGGAAAACCCCAACAAACAGCTATCGAACGCCTCATCCTCCGTTTACCAGGGCGTTGAGTCGCCTGCAAGCAGCTCTCAATGATCCCCTCGAGCGGTCAAAGGACAGTACCGTCCTCGGCGCTATCTTGATGCATTTCTACGAGAGCCTCGCTGCTCGATCGACGCACCAGCGTACCATGCGCGCCCACCAGGACGGGGCTCGTGCATTGCTCGAACATGGCGCCGGGAGCGTCCCGGACTCGGATTGCCGCGCATACTTGAGGAGCTACCTGCGGCACTGTGATGTATCGACATATATGGAAGTGCAACCGGACGACACCTCGGGCCTGGATGTTTGGTTCGATGCGGGGTGGGACGATTCTATGCCAGCTAACCCGAGTGCAGTCTTGGACCTGATCGGGCTCTCGATTGCCGATTTGCAAAAGAGACTATCCACCTTCATGTGTGGGCTGGCCAAGAATAACCTGGATGGTCTGGCCCTCGCGACTTGGTGGCAGGACGCTTCGTCCGTTGACGCACAACTCTTGGATTGGGTTCAGTTGGTGCCGGCCTCATGGCAGCCTTATGCAAAACCCGAAGAAGACACCTTTGCTTACTTCGGGTTCTGCGATATATACCCGACCGTCCAGATTGCCACGATCTGGAATGTATGGCGCGTTTGCCGGCTCATGGTCCTGCGGATGGAGCTCTGTCTGCTTGCGAAAGCGCCCCCCGAGGCGCTGCAGCAAACCATCTCGATTGCTACCAAGGAATACAGTTTCCCAGATCCCAATCGCGGCAGGGAGTTGGTGGACTCCATCTGCCGGTCCATGCCGTTTTACCTGGGCAACCGCCAAAATCACGGAGGCATGCACGACTTGGCGGACCCAGCGATCAGAATCCCCAACTACCACGACCAAGACTTGGACGAAGCCGTGCGTACGCAGTATCTCCGAGGGGATCAGGCGATGAGTCTCCTCGATTACAAGCGACATATACTGGTTCAAGGCCCTTCGCACGCACTGCTTCACTTGAATAGCCTGATCAAAGTGCTGTCAAAGGAGGGCGGAGAGCTCATCTGTCGTGGGCTGCGTGGGGACCAAGTCGTCTGGATACGGGAACAGTTTCTCAGGGTCTGCGAACTTACTAACCCGGTTAGTCGGTTTAACTGGTAGTGAATTATATGCATACCTGGCAATGAGTCAAAGCAAACTGCGATATGCATCTACCCGCGATATGCCTGACCACGCCGTACTCAAATTAGGTAACAACGCCTTGTCGCCGCCGATGATCGCGCCCCTCCACTCCACCGCCACTACCACCACCACACACTCTCCTTGGACCCTAATCCACGTTTGAACACGATGGCTTCGAACCACAACGTTACAGCCCCGGCTTTCCATCCCCGTCTCCATCGCCATCGCCATCTCCATCTCGCCCCCTCCATCTCGCCCCCTCATTCAACAGACACTCCTCCACCACTGATTCAGTTGCTGTTGCGCCGCCTCCAGCGCCGCCACTCCCGCTGCTACAGTACTGCCGATGCTACTTCTGCCCGCTGCCACTCACAAACGTCCCGCCGCGCATTGAAAGCCGCTATCCGGCACATTCGTACCTACAACCCCTACCACGGCCCTGCACTTTGACCCATCACGCGCTGAGAAGCTCCTCCAGGGAAACGCCAGCCGAACGCCAGCCTGCTCGACTCGGCATGTTCTCGTCGTCTGCGGGAGGCTCCCTCTCCGGGCCATCCCCTCCATCGAAGCTGATGGGGTCCGTTGAGACGGCTTCTGCCTCCTTCGTTGACGGCATGTCTCGGTCATCTTGCGTGCTGTGCGACGTTGAATCGACCGACCCCCTCCCCCTGCCTACTCCTTTTGGGGGCCGGGCTAGTCCTCCTCCTCGCTGGGGACCCCCTTCCCACGCTCCGGCAACGTTGGAACTTGGCGCCGCCGCTTCTTTAAACTAGGCGAGCCCCCAGTGGGGCCGTATGTATAAAGATTACTTGATAAGTTTAAACTTCAAACCCATATATTAAGGTAACCACAATAGTGATGACTAAGCAATTTGCTGATTAAGCATTATAAGTATAAGCCTACAAAGTAGCCAAGTCATGTGATAGCTCCTTACCTTATAATTCGCATTTGAAGTCAAAAGGACTTTCCTGTCAAAGATAACCCTAACCCCAAGTCCAGGGTAGCCTGGCAAGTACAGGGTAGGTGTAGAAAATCAAACCACCTAAAACCTTTAAACCCTGCCAAACCACTTGATACGTATCACCACCTTATAAGTGTGTGATCTACGTATTACTACTAATTCAAACAATCGGATCCTACGGACCCGGTCTGATCAGCGGATCCAAGGTATCAAGTTGTTTGATCTAGTAGATCAAGCAAAGCAAGAAGACTGAATTTTACTATATAGTTAGTTAGATTAGCCAGCTAACTTTGATGTAATATCTTCATCATCAACCACACAATACAACTAGTCTTCTGCACCTTACTTGCCTACCTTACTTTCTGCCTTTCTACTGCTTACAGTAGTACTTTCACTAGTTGAATACTTTGCTTTCACAACCTACCTCTTTGGTTACAACCTAACCTTTTGAGGTTACAACCTAACCTTTTGAAATACTTTGCTTCCACAACCTACCTCTTTGGTCACAACCTAACCTTTTGAGAAACTGTCTCGAGTAGCTTCTTGGCCAGAACGTATATTGAAGCCTGCCTTTGTAAACCTTCGGGCAGGTTTATCGCGGTCTTTAACTCAGGGCTGCCCGGGGGTCCCTACGCGGGCCCCCCGCGAGGACCCCGTAGGACCGGCCGGCCGGGCTAGCTAGACCTTCCTACCCCGCGGGGCAGGACTATACTAATTACAAGGCCTTCCAATTGAAGGCCGCGCTCGCGCTGATCACTCGAAGCCACTTTATGTGGCGGACCAAGCCACCTCGGCCACCAGGCTTACCTAGGCCCCGCGCGTGGGGGCTGGGGCAATATTGACCTAGGCCTTTGAGGCGTAACATTAAGTGGTTTGGCAAGGTTTGAAGGTTTTAAGTAGTTTGATTTTCTGCACCTACCTTGTATTTGCAAGGCTACCCTAAACTTGCAAGGCTACCCTATACTTGCAGGGCTACCCTGTCCTTAGGGTTAGAGTTGTTTTTGACAGGAAAGTCCTTTGGTTTTCAAATGCCAATGATAAGGTAAGGATTTATCTTGTGACTTAGCTACTTTATAGCCTTACAAATAACCCACTTATAATGCATAATCAGTAAACTGCTTTATCATCACTATTGTAGTTTCCTTAATATATGGGTTTGAAGTTAGACTTATTAAGTAATCTTTATAAATTGTGAGAACTAGCGCGCGAATCGACTAAGTCACAATGAACCAAAAAATTTAGCAGTTTCGGCACCATGTGCGGAAACCTTTGCGCTCTGCGCCTTATATTGTAAGATCCCGCTGTTTGCTCCAACCTACACAACTCCTCCGAGATTCTTACACTGGATTTTGAATGCTCTTGTAGCAGCATCAATCGTCAAACTGTCCTTAACAGCTTGATCAAGCTTACTTCACTTGAACGGCACCACTCTAGATACTGCGTTGCCTATCTCCGTCTAGTCCATATATGGGGACGCCTGCTTAACAGCGAGTGGCAAATCGGCTTGGAAGTTAACCAACGTTGTCGTACTCTCCGAGTCGCTAGTCTGATCCAGAGCTAGGCTTCTCTGCAACAGCTCCACAGCTTCAGGCCTGCTCATATTGATCGCACGGAGAAGGTTGGATCGTGGGATATCAAGTTTTTTTTGAACAGCCTTATGGTTCCGTGTTGCGAATTGGATGGATTCCTAATGGTGCAATAACTGATAAGAACTATGTGGATGTCTGTCCCTCGAAAGCTTCCCTTTCCCAGTTTGTCACTGAGTGACTCGGTGGGCCACGGTGTGGCTTGATGTCATGGCTAGACCAGGATTCAGGGGAAGGAATCTTCATATTATGCTTTAACTGGCGCTACTTCATACCGCGTCACAGCCTAATCTGATACTAATTTGATAGCACCGGTGCCTTGCCAATCCAATCAGACCTGTCATTCATCTCCTTTAAAATCCACGCGGCCAAACTCTTTCTAGACAAGAACATCCCGTCCTTACCAGACCCTGTGAATGTGGCAGTCACCGGGGCCACAGGACTATTTCCAAGGAAAGGAACCCGGAAGAGGGTCCAGTTCAATGGTGTGACATCTTGAGATGTCACAAAGCTGCCGAGTCCCTGGAACTCGTCAAAGGCAGACCCACCGATGATTTTGATAAGAACGATCGACGCCTTCCACTTTAAAGCACCTTTATCTTGAGGCGCAGTAAAAGAACATGTGCCGAGCACCATGACCCTCTTGAACTTATTAGCGACCAGAAGTGGGAATATCGACTTCATCGCATCGGTGACGGGCTATGCAGTTTGTTATTTATTTATTCCAACTTGAGTAGGATATAGTCAAATTGGCCTGGTATAACGTACAGTTCCTTTTGAGTTTGCAACAGGTCCTGCAAATGAGACGAAAACTGTGGCGCCAGACGTGATAGCCTGCTGCAGGCCAGATTTATCTTCAAGGATGCCTTGAATGACGGTGACCTTTGCATTGCCACTGATGTCGGTAGGTAGCTTGGTAGGGTTCCGTACGTAAAGTGTCAATTGGTGTCCCTCCTCAAGGGCCGCGGAACAGAATTCCAAGCCCGCCGGGCCTAAAAAGGCATTAGCGATGCGAAAGCAATAAGAGGCACGGTGCTTACCAGTGGCTCCAATAACCAAGATGTGCGCTGCCACCATGATCAAAGTAATTCTATAATCGCTTGTATATTGGATTGCGAGAGGAAGGATCGTAGCCAAGACATCGACGAGGCTGCAAACTTTAATAAAGGAATTGAATTGCGTCAGACGGCTGGAAGCCGCCCTACGTGCTGTGGTGAAAGATAGAATTACTCAGCATTACTTCAGTCCACTAAGAACTTCCAATTACACATTCCCATTACCGCGGCTACAATTTGTATCCGCCTTCGCGCTCTGCTTTGCAACCACGCTCTCCCACAGCGGAATCAATTTGTTTCCAGCACTAATTAGACATCTGGTGCTTTGCTTAGTGATCATTCAGACGTTGTGCCACGACGGATTCAATTGCTTCCGGTACTTCAGTCCCGTTGGATGCATGAAAGTATAAGAATAGCAATGCGGAACGAGGTTACGATGGCAGTCGGACAGTTTACCATACATACTTCCTGTGTGCGCCACAGTATATAAGTCATTTCCCCCGAGTTACAACACTTGTTCACCATGCCGGTCGTTGCAGTAGCCGGAGGTACTGGCAAGCTTGGCCGTGCTATAGTTGACGCCCTGGTTTCTGCGGGTCAGCACGACGTTCTAGTTCTGGCCCGTGGTGAGGTCGATGAAGCAAAGCAAAAAGAAATCGGAGCCCGCCTGGTCTTCGCCGACTATAGCAGCACCGATGCGCTGGCCAGCCTCCTAGAGACGAATGGTATTGATACGGTCATATCCACGATAAGCTCAGCTGCCGACATTGCGTCCGAACTGAACCTCATCAAGGCCGCCGATAAATCGGCAGTTACCAAGCGTTACATACCCAGCATCTGGGGCATCAAGTACACTCCAGAGTAAGTTAATCTATTTGTCCCACGACGTTTAATAAAGCGGATTCTGGACTGACGAAGTGCCCCTTGTAGAATTGCTTCGTACTTTCCTATCGCCCAAGCCAAGTTGGACATTCTTGAAGCCGTGGAATCTACCTCCCTCGAGTATACCGCGGTTTTGATTGGGTACTTCCTTGACTTCTTTGTCCTCCCCCGCGTCAAGTCGTACCTCGATCCTCTACCCATTGTCCTCGACGTGGCCAACAACGCTGCAGCAATTCCGGGATCTGGTAGCGTGCCAGTCGTATTCACACATACTTTCGACGTTGCGCGCTTCACCGTGGCCCTCCTGACCCTGCCAAAATGGGAGAAAGAATCGTACGTCATCGGCGACAGGGTGACGTGGAACGAGTTCTTGAATCTTGTGGAGGAGGCCAAGGGCGTCAAGTTCACCGTTGCAAATGATCCCATCGAGAAGTTGAAGGCTGGCCAGATTACGGAGCTGCCATCCCACAAACAGATGTATCCATTCTTTCCGAAGGCGATGTTGCAAGGCATGTTCGCGAGTTTCGGCCGCATGTTCGAGGAGGGTGTATTCGACCTGAGGCCTTCTCATGCACTGAATGACGATTTCCCGGAAATCAAGCCACGGAAAGTCCGACAATTGGTTTTCGAGGCATGGAATCAGGAACCGTGATTTGGGCCACTTTTGTTACGGTATGGATCGACCCGGCCTTGCGGCCTCATTCCCGGAGTAACCCGGAGCTCAGGGTCCGGAGCTCAACCTCCGGACCCGCTTGATGGAAGTATCTATATGCACTTGCTTCCACCATTACTTAGATCGTTTTTACGCTTCAGTCAATATAACTTCAGTGGCATCACTTCTCGGTAGCAGGCATGACACGATGAGATGTTAGGCAAATGTCGATACCCGAATTAATCTGTATAGAATTATGGGAAACGCGTTGAATCCTCGCGCCGGCTTAGGCGAGGATGCTAGCAATCGCGGGCATCTTGTTCTGCATCCTCGACCTGCGGAATCTAGTATATCAGCTCACGTGACATAGCATGCGTCCGTTGCTGACACTGGCGAAGTGGGGCGCTTCGGATTCGCTTCGGATTCAGTTCGCAACAGAGCAGGAGGCGGATACAAATTATAGCCGCGCCCATCGGAAACTCTACAGAGAGACCAGCCACCCAAGCTGACACCTCGACACCCACACAGCAGGGCACGTGCGAGTTAGGTGCTTCTAGCTTTCTGATGCGACTTACATTAGCCAGACGAGCAAAGTCGTATTCTAGGCGTTTAGATCTACATTAGTAATTTCGACATGGATCGCGAATTGGCGACGAGCGGCTCGCGAACTGTGTCGACATCTGGGAATGCGAAGAGAACTGTCAATGTAAGCCATCATGTCCTGTCTGTCGCACCATTGAGAGCACGAGAGGTTCTGATCGTGCGTAACCAGGCCTGTCTCCGATGCCAGAGGCGAAGAATTCGGTGCGATGGGGAAGTGCCAAGTTGTGCGTCCTGCCTGAAACAGGAGACGCCCTGTCACTACACACAACGAAAAAGACGAGGACCAGGGAAGAGGTATGTAGTACCGGCTCTTCAGGCGAACCAGTCTAAGTTTTTTTTTGTGCAGCAAACAATATGTCCGGATGCTAGAGGAACGGTTAAACAAACTGGCATCATCATTGCAACGATCGCCTCTCCCGCAGTCTCACAATGAAGCTAGAGATAAGGAATCCTTCGCAAATTCTTCAGGTTAGTTCGTATTATTATGCTAGCGATGCCGCCTAGTGCTGATCTGGGGAACGGCATGCGCAGACCGGGCCATGGCGATCGGAGAACATCAGAATACCCCACGAGGCAACATAGAGGGCGTAGGGACGCCACCCGTCACTGTGGAAGTAAACTTCCATAGAGAGCGCTCGGAAAGCTCCGAGGGAAGCCTGACATCTAGGCTACCCCCTGCTTTATTCTCCAGGTTACCGGGCCAAACCACGGTAAAAAACATTGGAGCCCAACAGGACCGGGGCTGCCTGGCAAGATCGATATTCGCTCCGCTTCCTCCCGAGACGTACTTGATACCGTTTATGACCGTTGCTATGGAGGAAATTAACAAGCTCTATCCGCTTTTTACCACTGAGTCCTGCTTGACACTGCTCCGTCAGCAGCACATCGCTGGACCGGACGACTGTCACGATAGCCCATCACGTTGGGCTACCATAAATGCTCTTCTTGCCATGGCCATCCAATGGAAGGCCGCTAATAATGCCTTCGAGGAACTGTCGCCAATGTCTTGGACCCATTTCAAGAACGCATTTTCAGTCTTCCCAGAGCTCATTACCCGAGGGACCAATGTCGAGACATGCCAAGCACTGCTTGCCATGGCTATGTTCATGCACGGAACCGCGGATGCCCGGACCACCTCGCACCTAATCGCCGCCGCTGCTCAGTCATTACAGATCATTGGCTTAAGTCGGAGAGAACCGTATCTCACCATGAATCCTGTCGTTGTGGAGCAGCACAAACGAGTGTTCTGGATAACCCACATTCTCAGCAGCGATGCAATGATGAAGTACGGATTACCGTCGGTGTTCGGCGACCATGATGTCGACGTAGAACTCCCTGGCGAAGATCCGCCGGATAGTCTAGGCAGCTTCACCCTGCCCGGAGAGCAGAGACCTGTTAACCTTTTCAGGTGCATGGCGGAGCTCTCTGTTATCCAATTGAGGATTTATGGACGATTATACTCGAATATGGCATTGCGCCAAAATCCTACAGAGCTCTTGATCGCTGTTGCAGAGCTAGACCGCAAACTCGAAACCTGGAAGAGCAGCCTTCCCGAACTGATCCAACCAAGTTATAACGGCATGCCATTCAGCACAACGCTGGACGTACCGGTCGTTCAACTACATTTTTCCTATTACCACGCCGTAGGGAAGATACACATGGCCTTACTCGGTCTTGGAGACCATGGCGAGTCCGATTCTATCCAATCCAAGGACGTCCATATCGGTCGAGACCGCCCAGACATGCTACAGTCTTCGCTAACTCGCGCGGCTGCCGCCCGTGCCACATTGGTACTACTGCGAAACATGCTGCCACAGCCATTTGCTTATATATGGTAAGGCATCCCTCAACTTGTATGATTTCCGACTGCTAACAGAATAGGCGAATACTTTGCTACCCCGTTTGCGCAACCCTAACACTCATTGCAGCCGTGCTCGAAAACTCGTCCGACGAACTTCAAGCGCAGTTAGACGTCAGTTTAATCGGCGAGTTCATCGGTTTTCTGGAAAGACTCAAGTTGCAAGAAGGATGTGATGTGCAGAGAATTCTGGACGGATGCTCCAAGCTCCACAAGATCGCATCAAATGCCGTTGGCGCTCAACGAGATATATTGCAGTCACAAGATGCAGGAAGCCACGAAAGCAGTATTTGTGACATGTGGGACCAGCGTGAAGTGAGTACACATTTCCCGATTGCTGATGAACGGGAATGTTGCGCTGACGCCCCTCAACAGCGTGTCCGCCTGGAGCTGTCTCGCTTCGTTGATCATATGCAACTCGCTCAGGGTCTGATGAGCAATATGCCCACTCTGTGTGCCAAGTCGGCGAACGTATTCGAAATTCTTCAGATGGAGTCGATCTCAAAGGACGACTATGGCCCATTTGTTTCAGAGGCCCTAAAGCCCCAGACGTATAATTTTGTATTCGGGCCTAGGCATTGACTGAGATAGAGGATTGACCTTGGCCCTCTGGTACCATGGTCACATATCTCGACGGTATGATCGTGTTGGCGTGGTACGTGCTTTTTCATGAAGCTTCAATCCATACGGGACATTATGAAGATGACGCATGCCTAACGCAATCCTTTGTTCAGAGCGATGAGTTGATCCCCGTGCCTATCACGCAAGTCGCTCTCCGATTCATCCAAATAAAAGGTGCCACCTCGGGCACACCGGACGAAATGGCACCTTGTATCGAATTCTCACACAAGCACGGTGTCAAGCCCGATATCAAGGCCTTCAAGTTGAACCAGTTTGATGAAATGGTGGAGATGATGCACAAGGGAGAGGTTCCAGGACGTTCAGCTGTCAAATTCTAACAGTCGAGATCGAAAGATAACATAGAGATCAAAACGTTTCCCCACGCCAAGGCATGTCTGGGGATAGCTAGAAAGACGGTTTGGCCGACTGGTCATGCATTTAAAACTTGTGTGATTCGCTACCGACTGTTACGTTGCCCAATAATTCGTGGTACAACTGTACAACCTGCATGTCGACCACTCAACAAGGGACTGATGCATCCTCCCTGCCACACTTAACAACGAGGGCCTCGCGCGGTCTAAGACAACTTCAAGTATTGTATCTTACCTTGGGAAAGAACTACTTATTAGAGGCGGAGAATATATGACTTACGTGGCATAAGTTTCTTGATTCCATTATCTCTAGTCGCGAGACACGCGAAAGTCCATGTTTCAAGCTGCTACATGCTCGGCCAGGAATTTTACAGCTGTCCGATAGCCACGTTCGTACTCTCGCAGGACTTCTGGATTTCCAAGATTGCCTCTTGCCGACATCCAGCCATGAATCTGCGTGCGGAAAGTCTCTATGTACTTGGGAACCTTGAGGTGTGCCGCGAAACTGGCGACCTCTTCTGCTGGCTCATCTTTGGACGCGAGGATGGCAAACGGTATCGTTACCCTGGCTGCGTCCTCGTTCTTGAGCATTCCTGGGTGACATGACACAGCCGCTTTAAAAAGGCTTCCTTCTCCGGCCAAGATGGCGGCCATGCGGCCGCCCCAGCAGAAGCCGACGATGGCCCAGGATTCGAAGGCGCCTTTCAATGATGTCTGGTCTGCCTGCTTGATAAAGTTGGGTACCAGAGTTGACTTCTTGACAGGGTCGGCCATTGTCTGAATGAAGTTGAAGAAGTTCGCCTTCTTCTCATCTGTGTCGGGAGGGTACCACGCCGTATCAGCTGGTTCTCCATTGAAGAAATCCGGCATAAAAACTCGATAGGTGAGCTCGGTGTCAAGGGAGGAAAGCAGGTCAGCGCCTTGGATGGTTTGATCTTTGAACCCGAAAATGTCGTGGATGACTAGGATAGCCTTCTTCGCAGATTCTGGTCCAGTAATATCTGCCCAGGACTAGTCAAAATTATATCATATGGACAAGAGGTAAGGCAGCATACAGGTTTTCATTCCGGCAATGTCAGCCATAGAACCTTGGCGTTTATACCCATTGCCAAGTGCTGGGGGGACACTGAGACTCCTTGATTAGCTATTGTCAGATGATGGGAACACGACCACTCACTTGCAGCATGCTTCACTGTAGCTAGTCATCGTCTTGTCAGGGCCGCGTATGTGCGGTTTGAAGGGTTGCAGCTGGAATAATGGGGTACGGAGCCGCAACCACTGTTTGCGATCTCAACAAGTCAAGTCAAAGAGCAAGTCCGCCGAAGATAATTTTGAAACACAGCATCAAAGGAGACACGCATGATGGTACAGAGTACAGGCAGTTCGCGGTCAAGTGCCGTGTACAACTTCCCCTCCATCCCCCAGATTCTCCCCCTGCCTAAGTCTAATTGGTCCTAGCGTTGCCCCAACCTCTCCACGCGCCAAAGCCAACCCTATCTATGCTCTCCTATATAGTGTCTGATTGGTTTGCGAGGTCCAAGCCTGGACTACAATCTGGCTAAGGGGTTGGCTTCTAGCCTTGTGACTCTCGGGTACAATTACGCAAGGAACCAGACAAGTCGCCATCTCCCACGACCTCCGGGACTCCCATGCTGCCAGTGGCTTCCTCGGCCCATATACACGCCGTCCGCCAAGGCAGAGCTCGGGCATAAGGAGGTCAACGTGTCGTTACAACCAGATGTCTGATGGCCCGAATATCCTTGTAAGGGATTCATTCGGAAGCAGTCGATATCACACGGTAGTAGTTGAGGGATCGTGTCTTGAGGTAGACCCGTCTTCCCCCTGAAGACCATGGGCGGAAGGGGCAGGTTCAGATCCGCGAATTCCACATCCAACTTTGCCCTGGGACAGTCAAGGAAGAGAGGTGCTGGGGGTGGTGGTGAGGGAGAGGGACTCGAAGAATATTTTGGTTGATGTTGTCGGCGCGGCTGCTCGTGGTTAGGTGAGCCAGGCGGCTCATGGTGAGACGGCGCATAGCCGGGTCCTCTCTGGGCTCGCTGCAACTTTGCTCGAGGTAGGAAGTGATAGGTCTCTTGGGGGTCAGCCCTTGGTCTTGCTGAAACGGCCCACCGTAAGTGAACTAGGTACTGAATAGCACATCTACTGAAACAGGGCAAAACAACAAAACAAACACAAGAAGGAGGATCAGGGCCAGCTAATCAGCCGTCCCGGCTGCTCAGAAACCCTGTGAGGAAGTGAGGACAGTCTCCGACAGTATATTCGTAAAGTACGTGGTTGCATGCCTCTTCTAAGTTACCTAGGTACCGAAGAAAGCCGTTCCGGCTTTCTTCCTTTCTCCCCTCCACGTGACTATACACCGTGGCGCAAATTTCACCCCTTTTCACTACTCGAGAAAAAAAAAGGGGGGGAATGGTACTGTTCCACATGATCAATATGCATATGCCACCCCCTTCACCCCTTGTCACCAACTCACTCATAGCTCTCCACCAACAAGCAGCTGTACGGTTCTATCCTTTACAACGCCTATCTGTTTTCAAAAGCTAGCTCATAGCGCATCATCGCACCTTTGATCATCTACTTCTCATAGAAACGCCGCGCTCACGGCAGCAGTCTCCTCGGCGTCCGTGGATAGTAGGCGGCTAGGTGCACACTGGGCAAGTTCAGCAACCACGCGACCACGCGGTCGAGCCCAATGCCACCGCCGCCGTGAGATGGGACGCCAGCCTGTTCGAAAACGTGGACGTACTCCTTGATACCTGGGCTGGCAGGGTCGATGCCCTTTTGGCGAATGCGCGCCTTGAGCTCTTCGGGGTCGTTGATACGCTGGCCGCCGGACAGCACCTCTTGTCCACGAATAAAGGCATCGATTGCGTTGGTCACTTTTGGGTTGGATGGATCGAGCTTGGCGTAGAATGGCCGTGCGCCCTCGGGGAACTTGTCAATCACATAGAAGTCCGTATGGAACTTTTTACGGATCAGCGCGCCGAGCGCCTTTTCCTGGGGGGTACTCATGTCCTCGTCGTCCGATACGTTGCGGTACTCCTCAGGCCCTTCTTCACGCAGTAGTTTCTGTGCTTCGGCGAAGGTCAGGCGGACCTCCTTCCCAGGCTCAGGGAGGAGGAAATCTTCAGAGGGATAGACAGAGCGGATCAGTTCGATCTCGTCGGCGCATCGTTCTATGCAACTTCTCAGCCTTCTCTCTTTTTCAGACGACAGCAGGAGCAGTCGAGCTTTCAAGACAGCCATAAAGGGGGAGAAAAGCCAACAACATGAGAATACGTACCCTTGATGCCACGGAAGATGTGGAGCAGCACGCCTTCCAGCATGAAAATGACCTCCTTGTAGTCCTTCTTGATTTCCATTTCGATATCAAGACCAGTGAACTATTGTGTGATGTCAGCCCCTGATCTGCCACGTTGAGAAACTGATCAAAATCTACCTCAGTCATGTGACGTGGTGTGTTTGACTGTTCGGCTCTGAAAACAGGGCCAATGCTAAAGACGCGCTTCCTACCACCTGCAATCTCAATCTGCTTGTAAAACTGCGGAGACTGGGCGAGACACGCCTCCTTGCCGAAGTAGGGCAGAGTGAAGACGTCGGCGCCGCCCTCTGAAGCAGCGCCAATCAGGCATGGCGGCTCGAACTCCTTGAAGCCGTGGGATTTCAGGTATGAGCGGAACAGGTCCTTCACCTCAGCACGGACATCTGCAATGGCCTGCTGGACCGGCGCACGCTTGTGCATAACAATGTTGTTGAGATGGGTCAGCATGGAGGCGGCCGGGATGCCTGCTGTCTCGCCAGGTGCCGCAGCTATGTTGAGATCCTCGACAGCCTTCTCAACCGATGGCTCCTCGTCGCTGAAGTTGGCAACCGGGCGGTTTGCCGCCGCCAGCGTCATACCCAGCATGCCGGGCGCAGCAGCGTGGACAAAGAACTTGAAGATGTGCAGCTCGTAGTTGGCGACGCGGCAGCTCTTGACCGGGTCCAGGGGCTTCTGCACCGTGGCCTCCACCACCACGAAGCTCTCCGGGTGGATGCTGCCCACCCACTTGACCATCTGCCGGCTGACTGGCGTTCCCTCAGGACTCGCCGCGACGACGCCCTGAATGTCCCAGCTGCCCTCCTCGCGAAGCTCCACGAAAGCCATCTTGGCGCCCTGCATGCGCACATTCTGGATCCACGCCCGCAGCACCACGACCTTGCCGACGTGTTCCTCGCCAATGGACTTGAGATTGATGTCCGCGGCCTCTGGCGAGAGGACCGTCTCGTGCGTCTCTTTGCCGTAGTTATCCTTCGCGAGATCTTCAGCCTGGCCGCCTTGCCCGGCGGCGCCGGCGGCGGCTTCGCGCTCGGCGGCACGGCGGGCCTTCTCGGCTTCCTTCTTTGCCTTCGCTTCGGCCTTCTTGGCTGCCTTCTTCGAAACAGCGGCGCCCTCTTCGCCGCCGTCGGCCGGGGGGTCGGCAGGGGGGGGTGCGGGATTGGATGATTCCTCGGCCATGTCGACTTTTTCGTGAGAAGGGCGAGTGAGGTTTGGTCGAATAGAGACAGAGAGAGAGAGAGGAGGTGGAAGTGGGATGGTGTGACTCGACTGGGATGATGCGCCTGGTTTAGGTATGAATGAAGATGAATGAGGGGCATTTCCAGAATTTTTGGAGGGGCAGGGATGACTCATCCGTTCTTGCCCGCTTAAGGGTTTAACGAGGCTAGCCACGGTTGCTAAAGCAACAACCCCAGTAAATTTATCATCACAATAATGGCAGTTTTTGTCACATCCGCATCTAATTATCCGTGGTTGTATAGAATGCATTGATCGACAATCAAGTATCCACGGCAGGCAATATACCGCGTATTACTTATTTATGTATGGTGCATCGACGTGGCCATTCCTTCCAATTTCTACCCCTACCTAGCCCCTGAGAGATAATAGATCTTGTTGACCTGGCCTAAGGTAATGATCCGAGAATGTCCTGTAGATCAGGTTGCTTCGATGACAAAATATCCTTCATCGCCTCGTCCTTTGGGCGACCAACGTGCAGGAGCTCTATGCCCATGACCGGCTGCAGGCCCCCCTGGTGGTCTTTCATCCCCGGGTGCTGGGTCAGGTCGTAGAAGGCCGTGATGCTGAACTTGTTATCCGGACCGATGCTGCCAAAATTATCGCACCCGGTAATGGACGAGATGCGCTCCATTGAGGCCATTGGGTCCATTGGTCCCATTGGCTCCATGAAGCCCTCGCTCTCGCCGTAGTGTGCCACGCTCTCGCAGATCTTCTTCCCATCCATGTACACTTCTTGTTTGAGGCCGCCGTCGTGGAGGTGGCCGACCATTGTAAAGAGATCTCCAGTAAACTTGGGCGACCATTCCGGACTCATGGTGAAATTGAAAATCTTGTCTTCGGGGTCAATTGCGACCTCTGAGCTTGAGCAAGTCCCAGTCACGTCCAGCCAGAGTGGCACGGCCAGGTCGAAGCCCTCGGGTACGCCTTCTATAAATTCCCACTCGGCCGTGAGATAAACGGTTTGCGCTTCTTGGGCCTCGTTCATGAGCTCCGTCATCATAAAGACTTGATCGTCGCCCTTCACGTAGTAGCCCGCTTTCCGGGTACTGCAGTGCGCTCGTTGATTAGCAGTCTAAACACACACGTATTTACTTGGTTTACGTACCCTCCAAGTGTGAGATCAAGAGGGGTCCTCTCATTACCGGCAGCCATGAACCTTTCAGGGAAGGTTTCGCAAGTTGCGTCGGTGCGATTCAGATTAAAGAGGACAGTATGGTGCAGTGACATGCTTGTATTGGCATTGGCGGTCGTGCCATCCTCGAATTCAAGATTAGACAGGGCCGCCATGATCAGGCAATCCTGGCATGGCATCGCGGCATTCATGCCATCGAAGCTCTGCATCCCATGGGTTGACTCGTCGTCGATGCCAGGCACAACCATCGGTCCATACCTGATCTTGACCCGCTTCGAGCCCAGGTCCTTGAAGTTTTTTGGTTCGAGAACCTGAACATTGCCATCTGCGATTTCAATGAGAAACAAATCCACTGCCATCAGATTGAGAACGTATAACGTACCTGGTGGGTCATCTCGTGGTTTCAGGACTGCCCCGAGCCCGCTCTGAATGCCAGTGGCTACTACAAAAAATGCGCTGAACTTCATGATGACACAAAATCAAGAGCAGAAACGAGGAAAGGCAACTAACCGGGTTGTGATGTTATAGATGCACCATAAGACATTATATGAAGAACGATAAATCTAAAAGATGCGCGTCTTATTCGAGAAAGCGGAGCTTGGCATTCTGCCGCGGGAGTGTGGGACGATCCTTCGCTCTGGGGGCGCCTCTCAGCCCACCGTCGAGATTAACCGTAGATTGAACTTGATATTGGTGCAGCCGGGGCTTCCCTTGAACACGAGGTCCTCGTCATGGGCTTGCGACGGGACGGAGAGTTTGAATCGCCGACCACGAACTGTGTCCCACTCATGGAATAAAATCCCTCGTGTTGCTTTGGTCATCCAAACTTGACATGCCCAACATCACAATGCGCCGGTTCTCCGCCAGCATCCGCAAGTCGGCCGCGCAAGCGTAATATTCAGTTGATTGCTAGTAAAATACCTTTAGCAAGGCGTGTAAATAACTTGACCAGCACGTTTAACGCTGTGAACGCTTAAAAAACCGTGGCAAAGGACCAATTACTTGAAGATATAAAGCACGACTAGCACAAGAACTGACATCCGAAGCTGCAGTGATATCAGTTTTCAGTACCAGATATTATGCTAGTTATCCTTGATATCCGCTAGAAACAGGTCCTTCGCATCGTTTTTAGGCTTGCCTCTCTTTAAGCGTCGTGTAATTATAGGTTGTTAGACGCCTAGCTTTATCTATAACATTACATGGGTGGCCGGCGTCACATAGAGCTCCCTGCTGCGCCGACACCTTGAGAGTATGCGAGAAGAAGTGTAAGAGAATGACTGCTAGCAAGGGTGCCCAGAGGGCATGTAAGCCCTGGAACAAGGCCCTCATGGTTAGGTTCTTTGCTGTGCAGGACGCGGCGAGGTTGTAGGAGCGCTACGTGCAGAGCGACGCGTCAAATAGAAGAAAGAACCTTCCCATTGCGATATTTCTCCCTGATCGGTAAGGTACTACCATTTCCTTACTCTATATAGTGTGAAAGGACCGGGGAGGTAATGGAGGCGCAGCGTTGAATGTCTTGGGTATTCTACCACTTTCTCTCGCAAGGCATCTATCTCTCTGGCTCTAATTAGCGGCAATCGACTCACTCGGAGACTAGGTGCATAGTAAGTATTTGCTGCAAACCCGTCCAATTAATTGTTGCCATAAACAGGTGATTACCCCTGATTCGTGCAGAGGGGTCTTCGTTAGGAAGTAGGTACCAGGTAGTGTGCCGAGTACGATCCTGCCTCACGTCAGCTGACTACCTCCAGCAGCTACATGTAGCTCCACAAGGCATCGGGACCCATACACACAGGCAGGCACACCCAATACTCAGTTTACGCACCTTTGGCGTAATCAAACCACAACCATGGACCAGAGCCAAGCCGCCGAACAAGCCGAAACCACCTCGCCACCCTGGGGCGCGCTTCCGGTCGAGCAGTATCTGCTGGTGAGTTGGCGGATTTCTCGTGCAATTTCCGTTGTGCCTCCTCGGCATCATGGATGGACGGCTGACCGGCTCGGCTAGGCCAAATGGGATCAATCGTCCCCTTTGCCACCTGGTCAGCAGCGGCGCGAATTGGTTCACGCCTTCATTGAGGAAGACGAAATCGCCATCGACCCTGCTGCCCCTAGCGAAGCATTCGCCTCGGTGGAGGCGCAGGAGCTTGTACGCTCGGTGCTCATGCCTTGGCGCGGGCCGCAGCTGCGGCGCATTGCGGGAATGTATGTCGCGCAAAGCGAACAGCGGTTTGGTGAGCTGTTTGTCCTACGCACTTACTATGGCGGCGGCGCGGCCGACGACGACGAGAAGCTGCACGAGTGGCTCGAGCAGGCCGACCCGTGCAGCGAGTCATTTGGTGGTCCCGGTGGCTGCTGCTGGCATGTGCTTGATGATGCGGCGCTTTTCAACCTGGGCTCTGAGAAGTGGCAGAATATCTATGATATTCTGCCCGAGCTGGCCGCTCCGTCCACGTGCCGCACATTTGGTGACGACGACGTCGATGCTGTTAGGGAACTCGTGTCTGCCCGTGGAGACGAGAGGGATCCGGAGGAGGACGACTACGAAGAGGCTGTGATGGCAACCGCAGCGATTGCGTCGGGCTTCTTGCTTATCGTCGACCAGCAAGCCTTCGAGGAGGGGGAGTTTGGTCTCGTCTTCCGGGACACAAAGGGGAATATCGTCAAGGAAGGGGCCATTAAGCCCGACGAGGTGCAGTATCTGCTTGGGTATAACTCGCGGGGCGCCCTGACAGAATCCGAGTACTGGGTTGACGCCGCTGTGGGCAGTAAGTACAAGACACGGGGACAGGTCATGCGCCGTTTACTACCTGTTGTCATGAGCGGGCTGGAGTGAAGTGCCACCTGTATTCGCTCAGCACCAGTATGAGACAATCAAGGTTCCATCCTATAGTGACATTTTGTCTGCATCAAGGACAGTTAAGCAACCTCCAAAATGTAATGACTGGTCAACAAAAGGGGCACTGCCGGCCCCTACTAATCGCCGATCTACGGCCTGGCCGACATGTACGCTGGCAAGAGGGGCATTTGCTCTGATTGCTACATTTAATACAGCGCGACAATGCAGGAGTCGGACTAAGGACAAGGCCAATTTGCTGAGGCGGGTCGGTATAGAAGAATAATAGCGGCAGACTATCCCGCAACGATTGGCAAGAAATAAAGCCAGTCCTCCACGCGTGCAAAGCTGGTACGTAGTTCCAAACGAACGGTTCTTGCTATTGGAACTACGTACCGGCTTTGCACGCGTCTCATGTAACTTCTTCCTCGTGATATATCAGGGCCGTATGCATTGGGTCCCTAATTACTTGACCACCACAAAGGATTTAATATAATTAGTCTGCGGTTTCTGGCTGGCCTCTGGTACATACACTCGATCCTCTGATGACCGCAACGACGAAAGAGACACACAACAGCAACCTACTTCAAAATATAATTAGTGGAAATGTACGGAGCCCTAGTGTTGTTCATCGGATGGGCCATCTCTGCAACACAATTTAAGGAAAGGTTCTGCCTTGCAGATATATCCGTGGAATCCATTAAACGTGGACAATCCAATGTATGTGCCACTTAGTACAGTTATATATTGGGGCCTTGCTGCAAGTTGCGAGAAGGGAAGTCGTCCATCATCAGAAACTGATGTGGTCCACAGTGCAATGATAACTGGGCTTGGGATCTGGTGGCGGTACACAAGGATGATCCCAGGGCCCCACTCAGGCTAGCCTAGAGGTAGGCGGAATTCTTGGTGTTCGGATTTGGGCTGTAAACTTAGGTAGGTAGAGAGTAATTACTTGTTTCATTGCCTGTTAACCCATCTTTCTCCCCTCTAACAAACTTCAATCACATGCAGGCAGGCATATTTCCATCTCAAACCCAACCTTGGGAATGCCGCAGCAGATGGATGTGAGGCCGATCCAGGCTGTGCTCCCAACGGAGCTCATCTACCTTGTCATGACTTGTTTGCTGCCCGAAAGCCCCGATGTGTTGCTCCCGCCCTCGGACATGACAACAAGAACTCTGCTTTCGTTTGCGAAGGTCTGCCGTGCGACATACGCACTAGCATCAAAGTACCTGAGGAGACATTGCGTATATCTCGACTCGGGGAGTCGATTGCAGCGTTTTCTACCGGCCTTGCAGCCCGGCCATGCTCCGGGCGATGGGCTGGGACTCAGGAATCTAACAAGTCTGTACCTGGCGCCATTCGAGAATAACACGCTCAATGACCTCGCAACGGCCCTGCGCGTCCGGGACGTCTTCTGCAAGGTCCGGGGGACTCTAAAGCGCCTGGTCATCGACATGCCGTTGCGCAGCCTCTACCCTGCCGAGGACCATCGGAGGGTGCGCGACGTCCTCCGAGACGGCTTCAGCTTACTCACCGGACTCGAGGAGCTTGTTAGCGTGCGCGATGAGCTTTACTTGGACGTCCATGAGCCCGATTGGCCGGTGAAGGAGCCGCCAGTGTGGACAATGTGGCCCGAGATTCGGCGCCTGGCGCTGTACAATCAAGATATCGGACTCGAGTTCTGGCACCACGTCGCCTCCATGCAAAAGCTGGATTCGCTGGTGCTGACTAGAGCAGACGGTCTCAGCGAGGTCTGCATCAAGACCGAGTTCTTCGGCCGAGCCAACCGGCCAATCAAGATTCTATTGGTGAACATCTCGTCTCACCAGCCGGGGCTGACCGAGATGCCGCGATGGAACTGGGAGACAGCTGATCCAGAGGGGAGAATGCACGTTGTCATGTACAATGTCCCCACGTCGTTTTACGGGGACGAGGATCCGATCGAGCTGTGCCAGGATTGGGTAAAGTCGGGCGCCCTCAAGGGATTGATCTGGCACTGGGATGGAACGCTTCTGGAAGGTGCTGCTCCTGCCAGGGGCTCCATGCCCGCTGCCTAGGGTGTTCGGATAATCTGCGGAGTCCGTCCGATTTTTTGCTGCGTGTTTCCACTCTCCTGCATCCTCGGGTTGATTTGTCCGGCGAGAATGAGCCGCTAAGGATCGGGGTACGCGGGGCTAGCTCAGGGTCCAATCTGCTGCCATTGGCCCCGACTCGTCAGATTCCTCCGCTTTCGCGTCCTGCAATTGCGAACCACCCAGTGCCACCCTAATGAAATGACCATTATCACCGGGCTTCTCCCGCCTGGCAAACGTTGACCCGAGGGCCTCCACGCCGTGTTGCGTATTTATCTTGCTACTGTCAGATCCTTAGCCCACGCGCGGCGGATTGAAAACATGTCCTGCCCTACTTGTCTGTATCTACGTAATTACTAAGTTGAAAATCAGCCCTACCTACGAAGTCACCTACCTACCTCTACCATGACCCCCACGAGTTGTGCGGCGCCCGCTTACCGATAGTCCCTAACCCTCCGACGCCCTCCGTTCGCGCCCCCGTCGCCCGGCTCCTTCCGCAGGCGGATTCCCTCTCCTCGCCGACCTGCCGCACTCTCTACACCTCCGGAAACTCTGCGACATCGCCTCCTCGCCCCCTCCCCCGCCCTCAATCGCTTCCGTCTCATCCGGCAAATCCATCGATTCAAAGGATGCCAGAGAAGAGCCTCACGGTAGCCACCTATGCTGCAGGGGCCTCACTTGCTGCAATAACCCTGATATACGTGTTTGGGCCGACCTACTTCCTCGACGAGAGTCCTTCAGGTCCTTCCGGTATTGCCGCTCTTTCAAACCGCAAGAAAGGCGTCGTCGGCCTCTCAAACCCTGCCAATGACTGCTTCATCAACTCGGTGCTCCAGGCCCTCGCGGGCCTGGGCGACCTGCGCCTATACTTGATCCGTGAGATGCATCGTCGTAATTTGGACGAAGGCTGGGTCTACGCCCAGGCAATACCCCGGGAAGCCCGCGGATCCGTTGGTCATGGCCAGAGGGACATGCCCGACTGGAAGGTGGAGGGCCTGCAGAGTGGCAGCGTCACCAAGGCCTTGAAGGACATCCTCGACTCCCTCAACGAGCGGCCCATCTATAGAAAGACAATTACGGCCGCGCCCTTTGTGCGGAGCCTGGAGCTTGCCTTCCGCCAGCGCATCAGCCGCCAACAACAGGACGCACAAGAATTCCTCCAGGTCGTTGCGGAACGATTGTGTGACGAATATCATGCCGGCCGCAGAGCGAGGAGCTACGCCAGAGGGGCGGCGGCACTTCCAAACCCAGATGCCGTAGCAGAACAGCTGGGCAGCGGCATGGTTGGACACAAACTGGCCACTCTGGCGTTGGACGATACAACAGAGGACGACAGCTCAGGGCCCGCCGCCTCGCCGCCTTTGACCATCCAGAGAACCCCCCCGCCTATGGGAGGGCAGGAGAATGATGACGAGGAAGAGGGCTTCCCGATGGAGGGCAAATTCGAGTCACAGATCGAGTGTTTGACCTGCCAATTCAAGCCCAGGCCAACCGAGTCCACCTTTTGCACCTTGACCCTCAACGTGCCACAAACCTCGTCGACAACCCTCAACGCCTGCTTTGACGGCATGTTCAAGACGGAATACATTGACGATTTCAAGTGCGAGAAGTGCCGGTTAGTACATGCGGTGGCCATGTTTGAGAACGAACTGCAGACGTCGCCCTCGGAGAGCTTCAGGGAAAAGGCCACGACCGCAATCGCCAAGCTGCAGGCGGCGATCGAGACGAATCCGGAAAAGCCGCCCGAGGACGTCGTGCTGCCGGACTTGCGATATGCCCCGAAGCGCAGGATCGCCCGGCATATCCGCCTGACCCGGTTCCCCAAGATCATGGCCGTCCACCTCTCCAGGTCCATCTACGACGCCAGCCACCTCTCGCAGAAGAACTCGGCCAAAGTTGCCTTTCCCGAACGCCTGCCCCTGGGCGGTCTCCTCCACCAGAGGAAGTACAAGCTGCTGGCCCTGGTGACGCACAAGGGCAGCCACCACAGCGGGCACTACGAGTCGTTCCGCCGGCAGAACTTCTACCCGCCCTTCTCCAACCCGGGCACCTTCCAGCCGTCAGACGTGTACAGCAGGTCGGCGAGCCCCGCCCCCACGCCGCGCATCGGCGCCCTGCAGCCTCGGCCCGATGGCAGCAACCCGTCGGCCTCGGCCCCCGACCTCCTATCGCCGCCATCCGTCATCGCCAGCTCCTCGACGCCCTCGCTGGAATCCACGGGGCCGGCCGCCAGCTCCACCTCCCAGGACTACTACCCCTCCCCGTCGCCCAGCAGCAACAGCGAGGCCCCGCCACCGACGTCGACATCACGCACCAGCCCATTGCGGCGCCGCCCCAGCGGGCCGACCTCGTCCCCGCGGGAGAGAGGAGCAGGAGCAGGAGCAGGAGCAGGAGGAGGAGACGCGGCCGAGACCGCCAGCCTGAGATCTGTCGCGGCGTCGGCGCGGTCGACGCTGTCGCGGATCGCGTCGTCGCTCCCCTCGTCCCGCAGCGGCAGCCGCAACGGCTCCGGGCGCGACACCCCCAACCCCAACAGCAACAACAACAACAACAACCACCTGTCACCCGCCGTTGCCGGTTCCGAGCCGGCGGCGAGGGACGCGGGCTTGATCCCCGCCTCTGCCGCGGCTAGAGCCGTCGCCGCCCGCCCCGCCACTGGCGGCGGCGGTGGTGGTGCCATGGGCAAGGCGAAGCGGCGGAAGCATAGCGATCGGTGGTGGCGGATCAGCGACGAGAAGATCAAGGAGGCGAGCACGCGCGAGGTGCTGAGCATGCGCCGCGAGGTCTACCTGCTCTTCTATGAGCTGGAGAGGGAGGGGCCTCCTTGATTGTCGCCCTCGCGGCGGGCGTGGGAGTTGTTCTTTTCTTTTCTTTTCCACCCGTGAGACTCCTTTGGGACAGGTTTGCATGGGCAATACGAGTGACGTTTTGCGTTTCTCGCGCTGACATGGGTGGCGTTTTTCGGTGGCATTTTAAGAGCTTCAAAATCAGACGGGAGGAGGGCGCGGGAAGACTTCGGGGGGAGTCGTCGTCGGAGATTTTGGCCGTTCTCCGAATGCATATATATATGCTTGAAGGGACTGAGACTGAGGCCGTCACACCTCGTTGAGGAGGGTATGTGAACGTGGACTTCACGTTGGCCTTTGAGCAGGACACCGACCGACTGGCCTTCACCTGTAAATAGCAAGAGGCTGGTGTTGCCGCCCAAGCTGTCCATATTATATTTAGAGGACCCGCGGTCCATTTCGCGCACGCATGCTACTCGGAGGGGAAGCATTCTTCAGGTGCACCTGGTGTTAAATACACTATTATTATTGCACTTGTATACTATGTGTGTGTGTGTGTGTGCATGGGGATACAACAGAACGACGTGCGGACTACATGACATGGGAAGGTTTGCTCCGAGAATGGGAATGCTGCTTCCACTGCTGGGTTCGCTACCCTCCCGTAACAAGGTGTCTTATTGTCCCAGCAACTCCTTCGCGATCTTGGCTGCCTCCTCGTCGCCCAACGGAGGCTGGGCCCTCTCCTTGCCGGCCTTGGCCGCGTCGAACCGCCACAGGCCGCCCGTCTTGTCCGCGTCGCCGTGGTCGGGGACCCCGACGACGGACCCCAGGGCGGCGAGGACGGCGTCGGGTGCGTCGGTCCGCCACGAGAAGTAGCGGCGCTCCCACGTGCGGTCCTCGGACCTCTCCTTGGCCCGCAGCTCCCGCTGGGCATTCTCGATCTTGCCCTTCTCGATGCTTACCGCGTCGAGGTCGCCCTTGGCAATGGCCGCCGCCACCTTTGACCACGCGCGGCGCGACTCGAGCGGGTGCTGCTGCTCGATTGGCGCCACGGTCAGCGTCGTGGCGGGTACCTCGGCCGGGTCGTAGTTCTCGATCAGAGTGGCCTTCGAGTTCCCCTTGGCGGAGCCTGGGTAGATGTCGAAAGACTTGGTCCACTGGCCCGAGACGTTATACAGTATCTCCTTTTCCTTGCCGGTCGGATACAAGCTGGCCGTGAAGGAGTTCTTCTTGCCCGACAGCCACCCCTTGCCGCTGTAGTCGATCTTGGCAGTATAACCCGTCGAGGAGGTAATATAGGAGGCACCTTCGAGCTCAATGAAGGGCGAGCCAAATATCAGGCCCTCGATATGGAGAGCCGGGAGGGTGATGAGGTACTTGTCCGGCTCCTCACCCGCCGGGTTGGGAACGGTCAGAATGGCATGCCCAATCTGCTTGATATTGATGGTGCGCGAGAAGGTGGCCTTTTGTGCATTGTATCCCTCGAGGTGGACGCCTGTGGGGACGTTCGTGATGCTGTATGCGGTCGCCGGTGGATGGTGGCTGTTCCAGGAAACCAGGGATTAGCGCATGCGCTGTTGGAACAAGTTATAACTCATGGATGCTGTCTGTACGCACCTGACTTGCTCGCTGATCAACTCGGTGGTTCCCGCCTCATCCTCCCACTTGCCAAAAAATAGCTCTCCAAGGAAGGGGTTCAGAGGCTTCTTTTCGTTTCCGTACTGCTCGCTACGGCTCGCATACTGCTGCTTGAGAGTGGTCAAGAACCATTTCAGGACCAGCACGGCCCTCTTCTTGGCGTCGGGCTCCTTCGCCGGAGCGGCGAATATAGGGGGATGTTCGCACCAGTACGAGCTGAACTCGGTCAGACTGGTGGACGAGAGGATGAACGGAGGAGCGGTGAGACTCGAGAGGTCGCCATTGAAGGAAGCTATGGACTGGAAGAGGGGCGGCAGGTCAGCGGGACACTCTCTGCATAAAGCCACACCGCACAGCAAAGGGTCAGACCTTGAGGAAAGCGGCCCAGCTGCTCCCGCTGGCTTGTGATGTAGATGACTCGCCCTCCATCCTGGTCTGGCTAGAATTATTGAAGATGGATACTGCACGGTGGGGGCTGGTTGTTGTCTGTTGAAGAATTATGGCGAGTGGGCGGGAGTAGCGGCCAATTTGAGGGTGCGAATCCGGGAGCGGGGTGGTGGGGGAGCCTGCGATTTAGGTTCGCAGTGACGTTGCACGTCATTGTTGGGTTCTCAGGCGGCCGCCCTGGCTTCATTTCAGGAACACGCATACCTATCCAAACCTTGATGTGGGTCGCAATATGCGGGAATATCCAGCTACCAAGGCAGCTGGCACCACCCACACGTTTCCACAATAACCGGTATAAGCAATGCCCGGGGTACAATCTATCGTCTAGTACACTCTATCGTTTAGCACACATTAGACTCACTTGGTACATTCCATAACTAGAGCCTCTAGCCGTGGCACATTAAGCCCCGAATACTTCCCAGGCGACCTAGCCCCGATAACGATCCAAGGGCTGATGTGACAAGCCCTCGCCGTCGCGTCCCAGGTCCACGCAAGACATTTTCTATCATGTCGGTTACATATGCGCAGACATGCCTCGGCCGACTTGACACCAGTCTTGGTAGTGGTCCACTCGTCTGTTCTGCCAACATGGTCCTCGCCAGCCCTGACAGGGTCGTTGGCAAACTCGCCAAACTCGGGTTGCCCGTACAGTTTCCATAGCTGACCCCACGACACCAAGCTGTCAATGTGCTTGAACTTTCGGCCGACTTCTTCCATCTGTGACGGCTGCGCGAGGCCGTGGAAGGACAGAATGGGAGAGCAGAAGCGGCTGGCGTGGATGCGCGTGATTGACGGCCGCTCTCCATTAAAGAGGTAACTGTACCGCTCATCCAGGTAGACTCCAACTCTCATGAACGTCGTTGCAACCAGTTTGTCTCCCCAGGTCTCCGTGAGGGAGTCGGTGAGTGCGGTAGGGATGAGATGGCGGTGCCGGTCGAACAGTTTGCTCATGGCCGCCCAAGAAAGGATGATGGCGGAGCCGCCGTGAGCGAATCGGCCTTTGAAGTCTCCAACCGCATTTCCCAGGTAAGCAGGTTGCGTAGGATCCAGTTGCTCAAGCAGCGTGCGAACGGCAGGCTGCAGAATGTATGTATCGTCGTCCAGGACAATATACCATTTCCTACCGGGCATCTGTCGGTATGCTAGGTCCAGGCCGGGGATGAACTATCATGGGCTTAGCACACGATGCAGTTGGAGATGTAAGAGGCGGAGAGTGTACCTTCATGGCATCGATTTCCCAGCCCGCGCCCTTGCCTATCTCTTGCGCCTCTTCTTCCTTCCCGGACTTTATAGCGTCTGCAAGTTTCTCATACTTGAGCACGCGCTCATACCCCGGCTTGCCCATGAAGGACTCGTGTTGCGCTACCGGCGCCACGACATCGTGCACGACTACCTGGACGCCGTTGTGGCGAAACTCTGTCGCGAAATCCCCGATGACAATGACATTCCTGTACCGTTCTCCGTCCATCTGCGGTGCCAGGGCATCCAATTGCGCAGGGACGCGCAGCTGTGTTCCATATCCCGTCTTTAATATTAAAGCCACGTCGTCGGCGAAGTCGACAGGAAACTTGGGCGGCTTGGCGAGCCAGTCTTGGCCGGCAGCAGGCGATCGGAAGAGTGACAAGAAGCTCTGCACGACGAAGCGCGCCCAGAGGAGGAGGGCGCTGTCGTAAGGGAGGAAGAGCCACAGGACCAGGGCCCAGAAGACCAAGATAACGAATGCTCTCGGCGCCGATCGTCGTAGCCGGCGGGCGCGTGGCCACCGCATAGCTCACATTGACGACTTTCCTTCCGGGGAAATTGATCGAACAAGGGCAATAGAGGAGCCGGGCGGGAGAAGTGCGCAGAAATTCCTAGCGGCGGCCATGGAGGAGCGTTGGCTGATTGTTGATGGTTTCTCGGTGTTGGACTTTTGCAGCAAGGATTAAAAGCATGCCCCTGTCAGCCTGCCCCACCCGCCCACATGCTAAAACCAACCTTATCTCCTACAACCTGCCTCCCACTCTCAAGTCTCAGCCCATTGCACAGTCCCTGCATGCTCGGATTTCCCGACAGGCGTGTAAGTTGGGCCATACATTGCCGATCTCCGCCCCCCTATGTCGATTCTAGGGCCGCATGGACTCATCCTCGTGGACGGTCTTGGCACTTACCAGTTACTGTGCTTGCTGGTGCTGCCAGCGAGAGGTTCCGCTCCAGGTTGTATGATGCTGATGAAGGGGAGGTTCAGTGTAGTATGAACCGTCACAGAATATGACTCCCCTTTTGCCCAGGGATTGTCGGCTTCTTGTGCCTCGACAACCAGAGAGAGCATGTTCCCTAGCCCCAGTTGAAGTTGGCTCTCTGGATCCCATCGTCTTCGTATCACACTACTCGATTGCGCGTCTTCTCTCTGTCTTCCCACGAGGCTTTGCAAGTTGGGCTGGCAGTTTATTGGGGAGGTTTGAGCTCTCCCAAACACGAGCCCCTAATCCCCTTGGGGGAGCCAAGTGTCGTTGCTGGGTGGCAGTTTGGTCTTCCTGCCTCGAAAAGGGGCCTCTGGCAATGCAAGTACCTGAAGCAACAGGCGGGAGTTGAATGACCAAAGACGATCGCAAAGTCTGATGCAGTGCCAACCCACATCGAGTCAATGGGAATGAGCGAGTCCACCGAAGCAGGGCCAAGGGGTTGTTGGTCGCCCACCCCATCTCCATTCCCGGCCCCACTGAGCTCACGACCACTGAAGACAAACAAACATGCTCCCCCCCTTTCCTTGGTCTCCAGTTAGCCAAGCGAGCCCATTTATCCATAAAGTTCGACAGGAATTGGTATCAAGCGAAGGAATGTGAAGCGAACGACACTGTTCTGTCGGCTCAGGAGAGGCTACACAGGCCCGAGACAGAAAGCAGACCCTCCGGGCATGCCTCACCTCCTCTCCCTTATGTGGTTCTTTGCCTCGTCACTAGCTCACAATTTCCCGCCATACCAACGTGGCCCGTAAGACTATTAGCTCCCTGACAGCCCGAGGCCCCCCTTCGACGCCTGTCAACACCAGTGGATCGCCGTTTCTGATGGTAGCATCTATCATCGAGAACTACCCAATCCTCGTCCGATCCAACGAGAAGTACCGGGCAGTTATGTAGCACAGGCCGATCTGTGCGAGGGCTTACGGACGAGATATGGGAACGAGCCCATCCTAACCACGCCGGTTGGCCACATGGTGGTGCATAAATTTCCGAGTCCTGAAACGAGCCGAATCCCCGTGGGACGAGGAAAAGGATGGGTGCAGGAGCAGCTCGCAACAACGGATCACGAACCATACACGTGGGTCCCGGGACGATCGGAGCTGTCTCGGCCTTCGATGCAGGCAGCCACCGTGATGTTGTCGCCGGGTTGCGAATGTGTTATTGTATGTACATGGTGTAGTATATTGAACCTACTTTGGTCCAGGCTACCCGGCGTCACAGCCGCCGGGCCATATCTGTCACCTCCAGTGCTGGTACACATAAGATGGTGCCTTTAGACCACTCTCTATCATGACCTAGACAGAACCCAGCGTGCCAGAGCACAGGTAGGACTAACCCCTGAAAACCGGGTTGTCAGGCCCAAGATATCACTCATTTTACACCCGTGACACTATCCCCACCCACGACACGATTCCTCGAGAGGCTCGATGTTTGCTAGGCAGGATAGCAATACGGTATGACTATTACCTCCTCGAGACTGACTGCCATCGCTATGGATAGACGATATGCAACGGCAGATGAAAGTTGAAGCACTTGACTACCTGCCACAGGAGGCGACTTGGCAGCTCGGCGGCACGGTCCGAGCAGGGGCATGATAATGGCCATTGGCCAAGCGGTGTGACTGCTGAAAGAGATATTCTTTATTGGGACCACCGTATCGCCCTGACTTCAGGAGGCACGCTATCCCACATGTCACTCCAGGTTAGACTTTCTCGACTTCATGGGAACCACGAACCACCCCGAGTTGCCCGTCAAGTCCGTCAATACAAACCTGTAGCCAAAAATGTCTTTTTCTTGCTGACAGCCAGACCCGGCATATATCCCCGACGGGCACTTTCTACTTTGACTTGCCTCCAGTTTGGGCATCCCGCTTGCGAGGGTCGACTGACCCTCGGGCTGTGACAAGAAAGATTAGTATCTCAAGTTGTCCTTATCGTTGACGTGATATCTCACCCCACTACTTGTTCGTCTGACCTCGATAGAAAAACCTTCTCCGCATACGCCTCCACTCCGCTGGTCGTCTCGACAATCGACCGCAGTGTCATTGAAAACGTAACCAAGCAGACACAACTCAGGCACACGTACGCATGCACAATCCTGCACTTCTTGAGGGGACCCGTACCCGCGGAGATAGAGCGTTAGTCCCCGTGTCCTACCACCCGTGGACTTGAAAGACTCCTGTGGAGGCCGCGTTCGAAAGATTGCGCAAGCATATGATAGAAACGCCAGTGTTGGGCAGAGGGGACACTTCCACTCCATTGGATCGATCCTCGAGGAACTTCGGGAGGGTTGATGGGTAGGACAGTGTCCTGCTTGCGTTTCTAGTTTCCGGATTCGGTGAATATCATGACGGCCATATCTGCATGTGGATCGAACGAGGTCCAGCCGCCAGATATATCTGCTCGATGCGGAAATTGTGCTTGATAGAGCGCCATCTACGTCACCCCAAGCCGAGGAGTACGAGAGGGAGGCGAGTCAAAGGCGAAAAGAGGCCAGGACGGAGACCGGTGTAGGACACGCACACTTTCACACACAGATACAAGAGCGCAAACATTAGGTAGGTGGGAATGGAAAAGGGGAAAAGGGAAAAGAGAGGAGGAAAATGTAATGGGAAAATCCTGTAAATCCGAGTGAAGGGTGAGGTAGAAGCTGCGAAGTACCTGCTTCGTACGGCTTAGGAGTAAGTACCGTACCACCTCTCCTTGTTGCGAGACATTGGCGATAAGTTGCGATGCTGTCCACGCCGAATCACCGAGACTGTCTTAGAGACTCGTGTGCAGTGGGCACATGGGTGAGGACTCGGACTAAGGTACTTGAGCATGGCAAGCCTCATTTGTATGCTCTGGAAGCAGCGTGATGAAAATGGAAGGTACATACCTACCCACCTTCCCTATATCTGGCTAGAAGGGGTGCTGGTAATTTGGCTGGCTATTCGCAATCGATCGATACTGGACTAGGTGTGACTTCCATCTTCCCCTTCAGGTTCAAGGACCTACAAAGTACCACCGTACTAGTACATACCTACATGCATGGCGTAAGGCAAGGTAACTTATTCAGGTACCAAGTGCAGGCAAGTACCTAACCCTCCGACCCTCCACCATCGAGGAGCTCCCCAGAAATTTGTTTCCTTCATCCCACTTGTCTTTTGTGCTGGGGCTTCCACTCCGTCAGCCTGGCGGAATGCTACACCAACAAAGTAGTGGAACCACTGGCGTTGGGTGTGGCGGGGCGTGCTGATCGCCAGTACACTAGTCGTGTAATCCCAGTGATCGCTTGTTATATTTCGCCGAGCGAGATTGCTCCCGTCGGGTCCCGGTCCTTGTCTGGTCGGTGACCAAGGGGGCTTAGGTAAGTACCATCAGTAGTGTGACCGTTAAGTGGGAACCGTGGGATACCTAAGGTCATGTAGATAGGTTCCATCACTACCTTGACAGCGCCCGAGGCCTAGATGTTATTCGCGAATAACTGCCCGGACAAGGGGCATGTCCGTTCTGGTAACTTCGTCTAACATCGCCAACTACCCGACCTTCCATGTTATCCAGGATGTCTGCTACTCGGTATAATTACAACAAGCAATGAATTTGCCTCGTAGCATGTATACATGCGCATCCCCTCCACGACGTACTGTTCACAGTTGATGCACTGTATGTACTAAGATGACGCCTCATAGTCAGGCTATGAGAGGACTAGGAGGCGTGTTCCTAGCCATCTCAGGCTTTACGGTACTGTGAGCTGTTCTGGCGCTGCCGCCCCCACAGAGCGAGGAAAATTAGCTGTAGGCTAGTGTAAAGTACTCCGTACCCGATCTACACTAGGACGGCTCGATCAGCGTCAGTGCGTTTCTTGTTACTGTGAACATGTTGTTGGGCCCCGCCATCTCATTGGACGATCTAACTGGAATGGTGCGTGCAGCTTTCCAGGAACGGCACCTTGCTCGCGTGGCCAGCGGGAGGATCTCAGAGAATCGCCCCTCCTGTCTGACAAAAATGTACATGATTGCATATTACGGTACATGATTGCGGAGCATTTTGGACGGGACACAAAAAATGACCAAAGGAGTCTCAAAGCTCATAAGTAACGTGGAAGCAAAACCAGAACAGAATGAAACTGTTCACCACCTCGTAAGACAGACCAAAGATTATCCGTGAGGTTGGTCCCGTCGTTCACGGCAACCTGGAAGAAATTACTACGTAGTATAGTATATCCGGTGTGGAGGGGTTTTATCTGTGCTACCTGCCTAACCCAAAGTCGTACTTTTATCCACACCACTGTTTGCCTATCCAGCAGTGCTCTCTACTATGGGGCCCTGGTCTAGGTAGGTACCTACCTCATGACTTTCTATATGAGATGCATTTCGCACCGTGTTTCCGATTCTACTCTTCTAGCTGCACAGTAATTAAGAGGTAAATTATTAACTAATTCGTGCACGTGTCTACTGTGTAAGATAAGCCTAGAACTGCCGAGGAGGTGGTGGCTAGATGTAGGTCTCCAGTACCTAGTGTATGTACCTACCTTGGGCAACCTATCAATCCCCAGAGACATACATGCCTACACCCGCTTCATATTCTTGGCCCATGGCCCGAGCCACTGGGCAGGTCGAAGATGGAAAAAGCCATCGACGATCAATCGAGCTGCTTTCCGTACGCAGAACTCCTTACATAGCGATGGGGCATCGCGCTGCCAATAAAATAGCCCCCGGCCCAGATAGGTAGTATACACTCGGCAGTACGCACATAGTAAAGTAACCCAAGAATTTCTGTCGCCCCCTTTTATTCCCCCATCTTTTCGGGATTTTGCTGGATCGCCCGCTTTCCCTCGTGGCTCCATCCTGCATGCCAACCTACCAGGATGTAGCCACGTAGTATTCCGTACACTAGTACTGGAAAGGGGGGTACCAGGTACCTCGCCATCCCGTCTTTCCTGTAGCTAGCCATGCCAGGACCACTGAACCACATGGGAAGGGGGCCAATTATGCACGGTATATACACGTAGTCTGTACTCACCTGGCGCAAGCGGCGTGTGGGCCGGGAAGAACAGGACATACAGAGCACGGATCCGTACACTGGCTTGCGAGGAAGACCCTACCATCACCGGGTGCCAAGGAGTTACCTGAACATGTGAAATACATGTGGCCTGCAGAATCCATGGATGGTCTCTGCGCACCATTTATCCCGGTACTTCGTGAGCAGGTACCCACCTGGGCTGGGGACAGAAGGTGCGGATACCTAGGTACGCATACAGGCGAATGACCGTCACTGCAGGCAGGCATCCCCACCCCCAATCCCTAGAACCATCCAGTGACCAGTCAATCCCTCTCAAAAACGTGCCCCGATCCACGTCCTTGTGCCGGTGGTCTGCCATTCTCGACCTCCTTTCACCACGACGTGTATCGTCGAGACTTTTGGGCCAACGATCGAAATATCCGCTCATCCACGCCATCCACACACCCAGAGGCAAAACAAGCTGGGCGATCTTGTTATATTTCCCTCGCTGTCTTGACAGGCGCGGAGGGCGACTATTATATATGTAGGCATTAGCTTCGTTACAGCCAATCACTGTTAAGTCAGCTGGGCGACGATCCACAACCTACCGCGAGACACTGGCGCAACTTGGACGACTTCTGGCTCTGGTTCTTATCGAAGAGATTTTATGCGACCATCGTGGTTGGCTTCTTCTCGAACTGGCCAGAAAACTCGGAAATCGAACCTCCCATTCGACTAGCAATGGAGCAACAAGGGCCTGCAACTTCACAGAAGCTTCCTGCCGGGCTTGCAGGAGTGCTTAATTCGCCTGACGACAATCGGGACTCGGCCTACTTTTCCAGCACTGATGCTTCGAGCAAACGTCCGTAGCTAGCAGCTTCCCCTCACTTCCTCCCCCTCTCTTTCGCGATCCGACCAGGAACTGACTATTAGCCCTCTAGACACCTCGGCGGCGTCATGCATTGGCGTCAATGTCCTGAGCCCAACCGGCTCCAACTTTCATCCTTCCCCCACGGACAAAATGCCCTCGCCTACTTCGACCAACCTCGTGCCACAGCCGTTGGTCTCCCCGGTAAACAGTCACATGAGCGTTGCATCCATGGTGTCCCCTATCACGCCGGGGAGCGCAGACCTGCGACGCTTCGATCGGCCACAATCGAGCGACTCGCCACCTACCAGCGCAACCTTTGGCGGGAACGGCGAATTCCCTGAGGCCGTGTCGCGGCGAGAGAGCGTGGATAGCAGGATCAATCAAGGCTTTGGCGAGATGAGGCTCGGAAACTCGCCGTATGCGAGTCACAATCAGTCGACAGCATCCATACACAACACTCTACAGCAACAGCGGAATCCGCGGTCGGGGCTTGAGAACATACAGGTCCACCGCATCTCCAACGGCTACCAGCCAAGCGCCGAGCGCAACCCCGAAGGTCACCCAAAGACCGTTCGGACCGCCCCTGCCATCACTGGACCAGCCATAAGCCAGATTGCCCGGGCTGCAGAGCCAACCAAGGGTCAAGCGTGGGCGTTTCCCGAGGAGGAGATACAGAAACTGCCCGTTGGAACAGCGCAGTCTTTTATTGATTCCAGGCGGAGCAGCGTAGCAGATTCTGTCGCGAGCAGCCAATACACGGCCGAGTCGAGGCTCCCCCCGGGCCAGAGGAGGTTGGACGAAGGCCTGGGCGGAACCGATTACCAGCGACTCTCGAACGCATCCGGCGAGTTTCCTGCTGTCCACCACCATACCCTTCAGCACAAGCAGCTCGGAGACCTGCAAAATGAGGAGTCAGGCCCGCACGGAGCGTCTCAACCGTATAGCCGCACCCCCGAGCTGCGGGTTAGCCATAAGCTAGCCGAACGGAAGCGAAGAACCGAGATGAAGGAGCTCTTTGAACAGCTCAGGGATCTGATGCCTCAGGAGCGAGGTTCGAAGGCGTCTAAGTGGGAGATCTTGACCAAAGGTGAGCAAAATGGTGTCACTAGTGACTGGTGAGGGTCGAGATGGCTAACCGGATGATAGCAATCGCGGAACACCAGCGCCAAGCCGACAGTATCAAATTCCTGCAGACCCATTGCAGCAACATGCAAGGGGAGATGGAGATGGTGCGGCGGGAGCTCAATAGCCTGCGAGTCGAGAACCAGCAACTCCGCAGCGAACTAACTGCCATATCGAGTCAACAACCAAGGGGTCAATCGCAAGCCATGGCAGACCCTTATGCGACAGACCAGTTCGGGAGAGCACAACCCCGACCAGAGTTGCCGCCGCTTCGGTCTCTCCAAGGCGGCTCTACCGCACCTGGCCCGGATTCCATGACGGGGGTCCAGTACGAACAGCCCAGGGTTAATGGATACCGCGCCCCCGACAGGTTCTAGGTCTTCCAAGCCCTGGCGGCGGCTTCGGGACACAGTGAAGCGAGGCGAATCATTTCCGAGCAGGGCTAGGTGCCCGCCCTTCCTAGGGACATGGACTCGCTCGTAACCTAGGATTGCGACTGACTCGGAACCGACTCAGAACCAATTCCGTGAACACTCCTTCCAGCACTCGAACCGCTTTTCAGACTTCTACCCTACCACACAATCAATACCTTGCGACACTATACACACACAACGCACAACTACACACAAACACGACCTCTTCGTTCAATGGGCAAACATACGCCTTTCTGTTCCGGGATGTCATCTCGAGGGACAATCGTGTCTAAAATTGCGTCTCTCGTGGCCCGCGGCTTCCCTAAGCAACTGCCTTAATAAAAACCGACCGTCCAGCAAGTGGACAATCATTGCCGAGGCTCCTGCTGTTCGGCATATATGGAACACTATCGATGCCATCTCTTGCGTGGTCAACATTTTCAGGACTCCATTTTCTGGCCCAGGCCTCTGGAGTCATTCATACACCATCGGATCCGTATCGTGGAACAGACGCTTCGCGACACCTTTCTTAAAAAGTATAACAATACCACCACCAAAGCAGCTGCTTGGCTCCTGCACCGCCCTCTGGCGACTCTGCAGCTCCTGTGGTAAAAACCCCAAGGTCGTGGACGCTTGGGAAAACCATAATACCCCTATGATGGGCCGAGGAGATCCTTATCTCTGTTCGGCCTGTGTCGACATATAAAGGCGTCAGGATTTGGGACGGGAATGCTTAATGGCGATTTGGGAAACGCGAGTCAACGTGGCCATGAAGAGGGAGAACAGGTTTTCTCATACACCGTTCCAGGGCCACCTGTGATAATCAACAACCCAAAAGTTTCGTGTTCGTTCTTACTCGGCTTATTCGCTTCTTGTTCGACCAGAATAATCCTGAGTTGTATATACCCATTTTCCGCTGCCGGATGGCGTCCCCTTTCAGGTGACAGCATTTCCTGGACATGGAAATCAAGCAAACCGAGGGCTGTGACTGGGATGGTGAATGGATGTGTAGGGTTTTCAGTCGGGCATGGAGTGCTGGATGGATTAAGGGGTGGGCAATGCCGAGCGATGTCGCCTGGGGCGAAGGGCTTGCCGGGAACTTCGTAGCGATCTTCAAAGACGCCACTTCTTGTCTGAATGGAGAGTTGCTTCCTTCCTCGCTGTGCAGCTCATTGACAAAAACAATAAATATAGTGAAAGCGCCCTGTTCCACCAGGTACCTAGGCTCGTGATTGACTTAAGCATTGCAGGGGACAGCCCTTAGCCTCCAAGCTTACTGTAGCCCTTTTCGCCTAGCATAGGTAGTCTAGATGGATGAGGCTGAGATTCCAGTCCAAAGTCTGCCTTTCCTGCTTGGTAATAAGAGTCTCGGTGTGGCTGTCTGGCTTTATCCAATCTGTACCTAGTCACGTAGGTAGTTTTAACGTTTTCACATGTGAAAGGGAGAAGGCACCATGCCACCAGTCCTGCACTGTGGCCCGCAATGCGGGGGGGTTTACCCCAGCCTTTCCTTCCCGCGGCTCTTGAGCCGAGGAGATTCACCAGGCAATGCCGTCATGCCGCCATGCCGGCCGGATTCCCACATGTTAGATGCAACGGCGCATCTCATCCCAGCGCTGCCAACTCCATCCAATCCGTCTTTCAAAATCAGCCCGACCTACTCGCACCCTGGTCTGCCATTGAGATATCTATGCTCACGCCAGGCTGTAATCCCTCCCACGAAGCCGATGAGGTAGTGTGGCTCGACCCGTCCTTTCCGACCCAACGCCTTCACCCTCACAAACTGCCGAGGCAACAATGTCGGGCACTCTCGAGAGCTTCAAGGTACGCCCGCCTGCCATAGTTATGCTGCTTCGCCGCACTAGATAAGCCAATCGATTGAAGTCTAACACCATCGTGACACAGGCCACCGCCGAAGCCATAATCCTCAACCCCCGATACCATGATATCCTAGCCGTGCTCAAGGCCGCCCGCAATGGCGCTGTCTACGGGACCAAAGTGCGGTTTCCGCACGCGCTTGTGTATGGTGCCCCCCCGAATACTGGCTCCAGAGATGGTCCGCATGACAAAAGCAAAGCTGACAATACGATGGTTGCAGGATGATCTTTCTCTTCCGCTCAGGAACGTACGTTGTCTGCCCACTCGTCCGCTCGCCCAATCCCTCCCCCACACAAGCTCAAAAGAGTCCGACTAACCAGGCCTCCCACGCCCCCTCCAGTTTCCGAGAGAAGCTCTGGCTCGTCTTCCGCGCGACGCGCACGCACGCCCGCAACCTCGCAAAGTTCGCGGCCATCTACAAGGCGACGTGCGTGCTTCTGAAGCGCTACGGCGCGACCCCGGGCAAGGAGGGTACGTCACACATTCCAGGGAAACACCCCCTCCTCCCCCCTCCCCCCCCATCCGGTCCTCCCTCTTCCCCAGAAACAAAACCCGACACAGGCGGCGTCGGCTAACCGCGGGCAATTTTTTTTTAAAAAACCAGGCGCCTACGACACCTTCCTCGCCGGCCTAGTAGGCGGCTACGTCGTGTTCGGGCGGCGGTCCAAGCGGTCGGGCAAGGTCAGCAGCGTGAGCCAGCAGATCGTCATCTACGTGTTCGCGCGCGTGGTCCTCGCGCTGGCGCGCCTGGCCGTCAAGCCCGGCCGCGGCCTCCCGGTCCTGTCAAGCCCGGGCCCCAGCGCCCTCGTCGGCCGGTACGCCTGGCCCGTGTTCGCGTCGGCGTCGTGGGGGATGGTCATGTACCTGTTCAGGTGGCACGCCGCCGAGCTGCAGCCCAGCCTGCGCGGGAGCATGACGTACATCTATACCAATTCGGAGCACTGGGACGGGTTGAGGAATTTTGTGGTGCATAACAAATAGATCCGGGTGGAAGTGGTGGTGGGGGAGGGGGATGGGGGGCAGAGGAGGAGGGAGTTTGGGGATGTGGATTCTAGACACATGCATTGGCGTTTTGGTATCGGTTTATTATATATATGTGTGTGTATGTTTTTTATCTTACTCGAAACATGGGGCGGCAAGATTTACTGTACAGAAGTGTATTTAAATGCTGGATATCCTAGACCAATTGCGCCTCCGTTTTTAAGATCCTCATTTGTAAACCCCGTGGCACCAGGATGCTAATTAACCCGCCGTCAAACCCCCAATTCTAGAGGTGCCTCCACCCATTCTGCCACATGATCTGCATCTCGTTGATGAGGCAGGGTTCCCCGGGCTCGGCCCTGGTCAACTCCCCGGCCGGCGTCTCCGACCCCCACTTCTTCAGCCGGGAGCGGACGGCCCGGGTCTCGAGCGAGAACTGAACCCCGGCCCTGAGCCGGGACCAGCGGTTGGACCACGCGCCGACGACGGTGGCGGAGGGGCCCGGGAAGCGCCCGCCCTTGACGCGGCCATATGCCGCGGGGGTGTAGCCGACGCGCACGTTGGGGTTCAGCCAGACGCCCTTGCCGGGGTCGCGGGACAGGACGTTGTCGGCGTGGATGAGGCAGCACTCGCTGGCCTCGAGGTGCAGGTCGGCCAGGCTGTCGTCGATGCCGCGGAACCGGAGCGGGGGGTCGGCGTAGAAGGGCGTCGAGTCGAACAGCACCATGCCGTTCCAGCACGAGAACACCTCGACCGGCTCCGCCTTCCGGGCCGAAGCGCGCGCGGTGGCCGACGCGAACCAGGGCCAGTAGTCCGAGGCCGTCTTCTGGCCCAGCTCGTCCCGCAGGGCAAATGTGTCGTAGTAGTATGGGTAGTCCTTGAAGTCCATGCTGCACGCCGCGGCGTAGTGCCCGTCGCGGGTGTTCAGGAGGGTGAGGAAATCTTCCGTCTGTAGTGGCCCTCAGGGCATTTTGTCAGCAAGTCGAATCTGTTTGTTTTATTTGTGCCCACTTGGCTAGCTGGGAGAGACAACCCACATCGAAGACGACATCGTTCAGCCACAAGACCTTGTCGAACCGCCTCCCCTTGCGCTCGAGCATCTTCAGCGGCTCCATGGCCTGGTTCCTCACCCTGGCCAGGTACGGTATCCGGCGCATGTCGTAGTGCCCGTCCTCCTTGTTCCAGATCCAGCCGGGCTCGCGCTCCCTGAGCGGGTCCGGGCGCGTGCTCAGCTCGCCCACCTGCTCCCAGACGTTCATGCCGAGGCTGATGGAGTTGGCGACGCCGGCGTCGTCGAGGCGGCCCTTGAGCTCCATCAACGCCGCCTTGGTCCCGTCCTGCGACCCGCCCTCGACGGCCGAGAAGTGCACGTTGCGCGGGCCGAGCCGCGACGCCAGACGCATGACCGCATCGTTCCACGCCGCCCGCAGGACCGCCTCGTTGTTGCGGTGCACCGAGACGATGAAGACGGATACCTCGGGCGGCACCGCGTGGTGGGTCGGGTCGCGGTCGGTGTAGGGCCGGCCGGAGATCAGGAGGAGGGCGTCGATGAGGGAAAAGAGGACCAATATCGCGAGGGCATGGCGTAGGTAGACTGGCAGCCGCCTCGGCAGACGAGGCTTGAGGAGCATAGGAGTCCAAGCCTCGTGCTACTGCGACGCAGCCGTGCTAAAATTGGATAGGCCAGGTTGCCAGGGGTGGATTGGTTGGGTGGCCAGCTTCGCGGCTTGTGGTTCACGAGGTTGAACTGGTAAGTTTTATGTCACCGTACGATATCTGTGGTCACATTGTTCACCTGTCGGCCCCTTGCGACGTGAGACGCGAAGCATATGGATGTTCCAGGTCGGGGCCAAGGAAGGACGGGATACAATGAGATCACAACGCTATCTCCCGATTTGGGAGGCTGTGGCGTCAACCTCGGCTCTTTCGAATAGTTCAGCCATTGCTTGTTTTCCCTCTCCAAGCTGTCCTCTTGGATACGCCGCAAACGTCAATCTCGCCAGTATTGTATTTCTTTTCCCTGGCTATCTTTCTATACCTCTTTCAACTTCTGGGCCCCCGGGTTCTTCACAAGTGCAGCGCAGCCCTACCGCGCAACTTGCAGTGGTCGTCCACCTTCCCTGGGGGGAGAGGATAGCTAAGATTGATAATAGGCATGTGGGCTAGGGTTGATCGGGGTGTTTGATGGTATTGATTAGGGTGGTGTTGGATGCAGAGATGGAATTTCCGAGTGTCGCGTCCCGACTAGAGAATTCATTTTGTATGGCTGGCATTAGGGTTCACGGCGTAGCTCATTGGCAAGTTGCATTAAGTTTGAGGTTGAGTCTAAGCTTGCGCATACCATAGTAGACATCAGAATTGAGAGTTGAAGATCCAACTGGCAGCAGTTATCACACCAGATTGTGTATTTTTACTGAGTATTGCTTGGACCCCGTCGAAAGCGTCCATATTACCTACCTACCGCCTACATATGCGTAGGTAGTCAAATAAATGGGGGCCTGTGGCTGAGTTAATGGATGACGAATAGGGTGCCCCGGAACCGTAAAATCGGGTTGAGCCGCTGAGGCCCCATTATGCAGGTCCGTACCACACCTGCATATATACCTTGGGAAGACTGGACCAGAAGAATGTTTGAACAAGTATCACCATTTTTGGACAAGGTATCGTTCTCTTCACTCTCTTCACTCGGAATGGCGCTCACAGATTTCCCAGCCGGGATCGTGTAATCTATATGCTCTTGTCGAGAGTACCTCTACCGACTCACCAAAATCTAAACCATTGAATGTCTGAATCACAGTCCTCGATTCTACAAGTTACCCCCTCCCCTGTATGGCAAAAATGTGCGCCTCCCCTGCCCCCGCCCATCCCGCTGCATATAACAAGTTTTGATGCCTCAAATCCACTACGCACCGTGGCGAATGACTGGTTGTGGTGGTGAGGCAACCTGGTCTACGCGTTTCGTTTCCCAATCATGCTGCGACTCCGGATCAGATACCGGTTTCTGATTTACCTCAGTTCGTACTCGGCTCTCTGGCACACTGGAAATGGGACACTAAGGCCGAGTCACGTAGCTCATAGCAGCATTCCACACGCACGGTGTGAATGGTTGTAGGCCACAGAGTAATGGGTTTGTTCGGCTCTAGCTAGGTAGGCAGAGACTCCATTTGAAGAGGCAGCCTTAAGCATCCGTGTCGTCGGTGATGAGCCTCGTGATTTTGCCAACCGCAATCGTAGTTCCCTGTATTCCTCTGTTAGACTAACACAATCATTTGGGCAAGGGCAGAGATGCAACTCACCTGGTCCCGCAGATTGAACCGGCCCATTTGAGGGTAGTCTTCGTACGTCTCAACGCACACTGATCCTGCCCCGCCGATTACCTCCAGCCGAGCAATAATTGTGTCGCCCTTTTTCGCATGCGTGGGCGCACGTTTGCTCTTCCGGTTTGTCCCCTTCTGCAAGGTGTGCAGCAGTTGCGAGAAGGTAACCTCCTCAATGGCAGCATGTACGTGGAGGACGCAGTTGAAGCCGGCCGTCAAAATGCTCGATAACTCGATGATGCGGATGTGGGCTTCGAAAGCCTTGACGCAATGGACAAGCCGCTTGGGAGAACAGAGCACAAATCCTGTGGGCACATCCTCCTCTTCTGCGCCACGGAGACGTATCCGTACTTGAGCACCGCACTGGGCGATGGCAACCTCGTCTTCTGTCTCGGTATATATCGCAGCGACTTCGACCGGCTGCTTGTTCGGCATCAAGACTAACTTCATAGACTTCTTCACAACACCGGCCTCTATCGCTTGGGTTAGTGACAAACAGCGTACGTAGACTTCAAAAATGGCATTTCACGACGTACCAATCTTCCCCTCGACGACAGTACCAAGGTCGCGATACTTCCCTGAGACTGGCATCATGAACCTGTGGAATAGCGGCATTTAGCAAGACATCATGACAAGATTCAGCGCACGCGCATATGGGAAATAGGGTGACCTACGGAGCAGTCAATTTTCGTTCGAGAGCTTGCATCTAGAGAGAGTTCTCGATTAGCTCTATGCTTTCTAGGTAGGCACAGCAGAGGAGGGCTGGCTTACCGAATCCAGGTATTCGAGAAGAGAAGGCCCTTCCCACCAGCTGTCAAATACTGAATTAGCCATTGCTCCCGAGTCTAAGACAACGACGCAGCGTGTGGGAAGACGAAGTGTCAAGCTTACGGGCATATCTCCTTGGGAACACGGTCCTTGATCCCGATTGTCAACTGGGCCGCAACAGGCATAAAGAAGACATCGGTCTTCAGATTGTAGCCAGTTCCCTTGAGAAACTGGCCGAGTTTCGTTGTGCATTCCTTGTATCTCTCTTGGGACCACTGAACGGTAGCATCATCCATCTTGTTGATCACCACGACAAGTTTGTTAACGCCTTGAGTTTTAGCCAACACAGCGTCTAAATCGATTTGCAGTCAGCCGGTCGTAGCCCAGGAATGTTGAGGAGAGAGGTAACAGTAGGAAGGCAACTTACGCTCTCTCGTCTGCCCGCCTCGTTCGAAACCAGTTTCGTACTCCCCCTTCCGCGCGGAGATCAAGAGGACGCCTACGTCGGCCTGAGAGGCGCCGCCGATCATATTTGGAACGTAGTTCTTGTGGCCGGGTGCGTCCAAGATGGTATATCTTCTCTTATCGGTTTCAAAGTGGGCACGTCCAACTTCGACCGTCTTGCCCTTGGACCTTTCTTCCTTTGTCAAATCCAAGGCCCAAGAGAGGTACCAGGTTTCGCGTCCCATCTCCTTGGCCTCTCGCTTGTATTTGTCAAGCGTCCGCTCGTCAACCTGACCCGTGGCGTACAAGATGGCCCCGCCAAGTGTCGACTTGCCCGCGTCTACGTGACCCATGAAGAGCTTCGAAGTTGGTTAGCAAGGAGAGCAAGAAAAGGGCAGAGAGGTAGGAAGGGTATAAATCCGGCCAAATAAACGTACTATGTTGACATGCTCTTTGCCATAGAGCTCCTGGAGGGTTTCATCATCAACATCGGCAGTCTGTTCCTTCTGAACAACATCCGGATCTCGGGCACCGTCCTTGCCACCTCGAGACGGACTCGATCGTCCAGAGGAGGGCGTTGGAGAGGTTTTGCCGCTCCCACCCTCCTTGGCGTCGGATTTCTTGACAGCCTTTGCAGCCAGCACTTGCGCTGCAGCCTCGACTTTCGCCGACACCTCCTGTTTTTTCTCGCCCTTGTTTTCCTCCTTAGGTGGCGCAGAGATACCGATGGATAGAACTTTTGCTTTCGGCAGCGATACGGGCTTGGTGGTTGAGTCTGAGGGAGCATTCGAAGGCCCGGGTGGGCTTACAACAGACACTGGCGGGGCCGCCGCCGCCGCCGCGGGGAATTGTTGCTGATGCTGTGGGTGGCGCTGAAGCTGTGGTTGGAACTGCTGCCCTTGCGGTTGGAACTGCTGCCCCTGCGATTGTTGATAACCCTGATACTGGCCTGGGGCATGGTTAACATAAGTCGACTTTCTGAGTTGGTCATGACACCTACCATGCTGGTTACCGCCCTGCCCGTAGACTGCAGGTTGGCCGCCACCATATTGAGGATAGCCGTAGTTGTTTTGAGGAACGAAGTTGCCACCGTATGCTTGGGCTGGACGGAAGTTGTGGGCTGTTGGCTGAAAGGAGGCAGCACTAGGTTGGAAGCCACCCTGGGCGTGTTGGTTATTGCCGCCATAGACTTGGCCCGGCTGGAAGGTTTGCGCCGCGGGTTGGAAGGAGGCAGCAGCGGGCCGGAAACTTCCTTGGGGATACTGGTTGTTGCCGATGTTCATCTGCTGGGTCCGCTGCGCCAGATTCTCTTCCTGAGCAGCAGGGTCATCTTCCCAAGAGTTGAGGTTCGACATGGTCGCGAAATCGTCAGTCGTCTGGGAGAGCTCGATTTGGCAAAAAAAAAGTGTCTACTGCCTACTGCGTAGTAGAGGGAGAAAGTGGTAAGGTTGTCTTGGGCGCGGGGTAACCAAGACTCCCTGTGGGCCTACGATTCTTGATTTGTGGTTTGTTCTGGGCAGGGTTAGCTCGGTAGCAAAATTATTTTTGAGCCATCTGCTTTGTTTAGGCATCAGAGGTGGCCCGGGCGGAGCCCCACAATGTAGATATGCAACGACTTGATGATAACGACCTGTGCGCTTACTGTACTGTGGCGTACAACTGCTTCGCTATCCACATTGCTTTGGCTGTATCCTTGGCATGCCTATCTTGGTCGCCCCTTTTGAACTTGGATCACAGGTCTAAGGAGGGTGCGTCCGGATACTGGGGAATTTATGCTGAAAAACCAGCCCAAGGTTAACTTTTCCCCCCCCCCTTACTGTGCCATGGGGGATATTCAAGAGCTGGAATACCAAGAATACATGTAGTCGTAAGGCAGTTGCTTGTCTAACAGGGGCCGATATACACTGCACTCTTTCTCGAAGGCTAATATGAGTCAGTCTCCTTCGCCTCCATTTCGAACTCTGTTCGATCTTACCACTGCTAATGTGATTCTCTTTCGGATCAGAAGAATCTGAGCCTTCTCGACACAGTTGATACTATCTTTAACCAGAAGCTTATCCTTTGCATACCCTTACATAGGCAACGACGAGCCGAAAACAACGGGTCATGTGCCATATACACTGAAGATACACATCTAGCAGCTTTGCCCGGTAGCAACCTCTCGTGTATTGAGGGGCGTTCAACTTTCCTGGCCAGCCCGGAAATACTCATCGAACCGTGAAGTGCGTCCAGGAACGACACCTAAACTGGCTCACGGCATGAAATTGTCTCTCAAATACGGAATGCCTTCTCTCTTTCTGCTTCTTTGTGTTGGTTAATTACTCCCGTATTATAAGCTACCAGACACTAAGAACCGCCCGTTCTAAGACGGATGTTCAATATGCAAGGGGTTTGAAGAAAGTATGCAAGCCGTCGAGTGACTTTCCAGCTTGCGTAGTATCACAAGACGAAATCCAAATGGAAGTGACCAACTACAGGAGATGTTGCAAAGGGCAATGTCAGGGGTACCGTCGGCTCGAATTGTATGGACATCACGTCTAAAGTTTTTTTTGCAGGCGAGGCAGTCAGGTGTGCCTGAGTTTAACCCTTTCTATGCTGCCTACTTAGAATTCGTCATATAAGTGTAAGGCAGCTGCCCGCTGCATATTCACATCGCCACAACTATAGACCGGCCGGGGCATGATTCGGACGGAACTCGCAGATCGGCCTGGCACAATCTCAACCTTATTCTCCCCGTGGTGAGGTGGGGAAAGAGGAAAGAACACAGGTATCAACCTCACGGATTTGCACCATGTCCAGATTCTGGCCTATGGCTCGAGGCCCGGAGTGAGACCCTAAGTGATTACCAACTCTAGCACCGCCTGTCTCGGCCCTGGGATATGTAATTTGACTTCCTTTCCCTTCCACCCGTCTCCCGCCTTCTCCGGCAACCTCCACCCAAGCATTTCCTCGGACCATCACGGAACCAACGGGCACACACTCACTCGGCTCAAGGGCCCCCCCCAGCAACGACGAACCCGCACCATGGACAACCCGGAATGCCTGATCTGCACCGCTACCCCCAGGCCCGGCCGGAGGCTGGCCAGACTCGAATGCTCGCACTACCACTGCCACAGCTGCCTAGCCCGGTACCTGGACATTTCCACCAAGTCCGTTCCCTTCCAGCCGGTCCGCTGCTGCGACCTCGTCCCGATGACCGTGCTCCGGAACGTCTCCGCCGGCAGCGGTGGCGGCGGCGGCGGCGGGCGCAACCACACGGACGCCCTCCGACGGTACCGGGCTCTGCTGTCCGAGTACCAGACGAACGACAAGCTGTACTGCCACGCGCCGGCGTGCCGGGCCTTCATCCCGCTGGCGCTGCGCTCGGGGAGGTCGGCGAGGTGCCGCGAGTGCGGCGCCAAGACGTGCCGGGGGTGCGGCGGCAAGCTGCACTTCGGCCGGCCCTGCCCCGCGGACTCGTCCCACCTGGACGCCGGGGTGATCCGGCTGGCCGCCGAGATGGGGTGGAAGAACTGCCCGAAATGCCGGGCCGTCGTGGAGAAGGCCGGCGGGTGTAATCATATAAGGTCAGTTCCGGAGAATTGGGTTCCCCTTTATTGAGGCGCGCCTCTCCCTATTTGGAGAACTGGACCGGCTGATGGGCTCGAATAGCTGCAGGTGTGGTTGCGAATTCTGCTATCGATGTGGTGCAGCTCCGTATTTTGGTCACAGCGGTTGTGCTATGTGAAGTCTGGGTGGGATCAGCGCCGTCCCGCCATGGAGCAGAGTCGGTGCCTGGTAGGCGAACGCTGATGAATTATACGAAATAATAAACGACGACGACGAACAACGAGCGATCCGAGGTGGCTATTATGAGATATCCTTCCACCAGCGATATATTTTGGCTAGAGTTTTAGAGATTTGGTACATTGCGCGGCTCTCAGCTTGAGATGGGCAGCATAGAGTGTCTGGAGGAACAGCTGTGAACTGGAACGAAGCTCACGAGAGAAGCGATGATTTTGTCTTCCATTTCTTCGCAAACCCTAGTGGTCGACTGCGGTCGTCTATTATAACACCTAACGCCAATATATGCAATTCTTTCGGGGTGGTTTCCCTAGTCCCTAATCGCTAGTCGCTGCTTATATCAAGAGAACACCGTTGACACATCCGTCCATCTATCCAAAGGGTTAGCGTCGACTTCAAAGATGAACCAAAATCAACAAGACACTCACCTCAGGGGAGTTGGTGATTTGAGCATATCGTCCCTGAAATCCACTTTGTCAGTTACGTTCGTTTCTCGTTCCTAACCCCTTTCGCTCTTGGACTAACCCAGGCAACCTTTCCACCAGCAGTAACCATCCCAAGATCGCTAACGTTTACCTGGGGTAGACAAGTTAGGAGCCTGGTCATCCAAGAAAGACGAGTAGAATATCAAACCTCAATGATTGTTCCTTTTGTAAGCACACCGAGCTGAGTGTACAGCGGTTGCTGTGGGTTCTTCTTCACTCCAATGATCGGGAGGTGTACAGTTCTATTTGTAAATCGATGGCTTAGCACGTTACCAAGAAGGGAAAAGAGGGACAAAGGAGACGATCCTAGAAGTCGAAACATGTCCAACCCGGAGAAATGACACCCAGAGGCAGGGGCTCTCCATAGTAGACTTACACGTTTAGCGTCGGGTGAGTGATGTGAGCTTTCTTGTAACGGAGACCCATAGGTCTTATGAATCTCTCATATCTATTGAAATAGTTAGTTGAGTACGACTTGAGTTTTTCTCCACACCTAGGTAAACATACTTAACGGGACGCCTCGTGAAGTCGGGGCCAACAAAGGTGGGCTTCGTCACAACTCGCTGCGGTAGAGAAATCGGGTCAGCCAAGTGTAAAAGTCGACAGTAAACTGGAGCGGAGGTCGCTCACCTTCCATCCCTTCTTCGCGGTCTTCTGGCCGGTTTTCACCACCTGAATCGAAAGCCAGTCAGCAAATGGCCTCGGACAGCATCTTTAGAAGCGATATCTGTGAGCCAGACCTTAAACATCTCCTCCTCGCTTATACCCTTCACCTTGGGCAGCGGCACGGAGAACTTTGCGGCCTTCTCGGCCCGCTTGTTCTTGATCTGCGTGCTCAGGGCCTTGGCGTTCGTCGCGGCCGCGCGGTCGATCAGGTAACCGGGGATGGCCTCGGTGGGCTCCTTCTCTGCGGCGGCGCCCTTGACGTTGCGCTCCTCGTGGGCCTTGATCGTCTTCCGGAGCTGGATCTTCTCGTGGTGCCGGCGCTTCGCGTTCAGCTTGGCCCGCAGGCCGCGGAGGTTCTGCGCCTGCTCGCTCTGCTTGTGGCCCTCGCGCGCGGCCCGCTTGCGCGTGCGCTCCTCGTGATCCAGCCTGCGTCCATGCTGCTTGATCGACCGCTCGATGTACTCGTTCTGCGGCTGTATTCGAGGGAAGTCGGTGACAAGTTAGTGGCTGCTGGCGGAGAGATATGAAATGTGACGGCAGGTGAGGGAAATTGACGGACCATTTTGACTCAGAGTACTCGAAAACGAGTCTTTCCTTTTTATTAAGTGGTGTGAAGGAACTACTTGGAGACGTAGTCGTACTGCCTTGCAACAACTCGACGTCAAAAAGATAAATGGGGTGGCGGCTTATCGAATTTCTCAGTGGCAGAAATTTGTGGAGGGGCACTGCTGATTGGTTATAAGAGCACCAAAACTTTGGGCGGTGAGTCCAAATGTGAGGGCACCTGGACACTATCAGAGCTCAGGTACATTCGAAATTGCTTAACTGCATACTCCATACCTACCTAGGTACTAGAAGGCCTATTTACAGACGCCGCTTATGCAAATTATTAACAGATAAGATGAAAACAACGCTGTATGCTAATGCTATGCCTTTGGATGGCCCTGCCTGTCTTTCCTGCCAACGCCACAATAACGAACGCCGAGATCCCTGGCCGGAAATACGTAACTGTCATCTGCATGAATAGTGTCTCCAACAGCTCGACACCGTTGACCGATGCTTGTACTGTCCACACGGGCTGAGCCCTGACAGACAAAGAAGAACAAATTCATCGCCCTCTTGCCCTTGCAGCCTCCAGTAACTTGCGTCGCTTCTCTTCTTTCTCTCGCCTGAGCCTCTTCTCCAACGCCTCTTGTTCTTGATCCTCTCGGCGAGCATGGTATTCCGCTCTGCGCTCTTCCTGGTCAATGTCGGAGAGCCCAGCCTCCATGTCAGATTCTTCGGGGGACTCGTAGCCGCCGCCGCCGCCGTACCCATAGGCTGGTTCCTCATCATCATACTCAATGAAATCGTCCATATCATCGTCTTCACCCTCGTGCTGCCGCCGAGATGCGGACAGCGCCCCGCCATATAGCCGCCTGTCCTGCGGCCGCGCCCGAGACGCGGAACTCGGCTTGGACGACGACCCATTTGACTTTGACGATGCGGCACCCGGTCGTGGACGAGCGGTACCAGTATAGCCAGTGGTGGCAATCGCGGCTTTCTTCACCTTTTTTTCCTCGATCGCTACAACCTTGCCCCCTTTGCCTTTCAGGGGCATCCCGGCGGGACTGGAAGCGTGACCTTGGCGCTGACGATCTTGGTCTTGGGACGACGGTGTCCCATAGCGACTCGAACTGGCTCCACGACCTCTAATAGCATCCTGTCTCGTGGCGGTTCTTGGCTTCCTACCCCCTTCTGCTTTAGCCTCCTCACGGTCTTTCTTGCTCACGCCCCGATCAAGAGTCTTGTGTTGAATCCTCCCTAAATTCGGAGCAGCCGTCTGTGCAGCTTTTGCGCGAGCCATGATTTCGGCGAAAGACCTCTTCTTCGGTTCCGACTTGGGACCACTCCCAACTGGTGACGGCCGGTTGGCAGATGGGCGAACAGGGACTGGACGACTGCCGTTTGCAGGGGAGGAGGCCGACATCTGCTTTGACGGTGTCTCCCGAGTATGCTTCATCGTTGCCGAGGCAACCGGCCTGTCAGAATGGCGGTTTGCCGACACAGATTTGCCAGTCGAAGAGGACGTCAAGAAACCGTTGTTCACTGGCCGCGATGCCGGTTTTGACAGGTCACTGCCTTGGCGTGACGGTCCATTAGAGGGTAAGCCCGGGCGTGGCGATTTCGCCGGCGTTCCACGGAGTTCTTCATCAGCTTTGCGTTTCGGAGCCGATAGAACTGTCCTTGTCACGGTGGAGGAAGACGGCGTCGGCTTTTCGCCGGTAATGGATGCGAGGAGGTCACCGATCTGAAGTTTGAAGAGGTTAGCAGCTCGTGCTGTGGAAGGACATATGTAGGTACAGTTTCTAGGGTTGACTTACCGGCATGGTGAAGACTGCGGCACGGCCGTCAACCTGGGATTTGTAATCGTTACGAACCTTCCCCTTGGCTATGGTTTAAGTCTGAGCGGAGTCATTGGGGAGGCGGCTAGATCGCAGGTCGGCCAAGATAACTCGGTGATTCGACGTCGGGGAAGTTAACGGTTCTTCAGTGAATAATCGCTGGAGAGGGCCGGAACTGAGGGAATACTTGGAAAGTACGTAGAGAATGAGAAGGGAGTATTATTAAAGGGAGAAAGGGCAAGGAAATTTGCGTTGGTTGTTGGATGACGGGGCCAACTTCTTATGTACAAAGGTTTCTTGGCCCGACACTCAAAAGATACCTTGGCAGGTCTAGGCATCGGAAGAGAAAATGGCCGATTCCGAGGCATTCACGAGGCCCCGCCGCTCAGGTCCATCAGCCACATGGAGTGGCTGCCTGAAGTTCGCCCTAATCATGTGATGCTTCTTGGTGGGGCAAGAACTGCCCGCCCACACACCCAAATTGGCATTTTGAAGCCGAAGCTCGAACTTTTTTCCAACGTCACAACCGTCAATCACACAAATCGCAGGACTCGAAGATCCAGTCGCCGCCCAACCTAGCGGTTAAATTGATTGACATCTCGTGTTCTTACATCTTCAACTCTCAGTAAGCCGGGTCCCCGCTGCGAGTGACGAATCCCCTCCGTGGTCGCTGACATTCGAATCGCATAGCAAATAATTCAAAATGAAGCACCTCGCAGCTTACCTTCTCCTCGGCCTCGGCGGCAACACCTCCCCGTCGGCTTCCGATATCACGAGCGTCCTCGATTCCGTCGGTATCGAGGCCGATAGCGACCGCCTTGAGACCCTTCTCAAGGAGCTCAAGGGCAAGGACATCAACGAGGTATGATGGCGCAGTGAAATGACCCGGGAAAATGGGGGCAAGAGTTTGGCTGACATGAGTTCGCCGCATTTAGTTGATCGCTGAGGGTTCCTCCAAGCTCGCTTCGGTTCCGTCTGGCGGTGCTGGTGGTGCCGCTCCTGCTGGTGGTGCCGCTGCCGCTGGCGGTGCCGCCGCTGAGGCTCCTAAGGAGGCCGAGAAGGTTGAGGGTATGTGTTTCCGCCGCGGATGGAACAGATTTGGACAGAAATCGCTAACACCTCAGCAGAGAAGGAAGAGTCTGACGAGGACATGGGTTTCGGCCTCTTCGACTAAGCGTCTCGCGACGATCCAGCGTTCAGTACCTACACGGGATGTTTCGCAGACATGTCTCATGCTTCGCGAGGGCTCGCGCGCTCTTCGAAGGCTTCGGTGGATATTGGAGTTCATGTGTCTACAACCGAGGTATGGCTGCCAAGGTTCGACTCCATATAGACGACAAATAAACCATCGATGACAAGTTGCCTCCAGACTCTGGCGCCAGAGAGCCCGTGCTAGACATGTTGCATACCGTATAGCTGCGAAATGTCGACGATTGACGATGCCACATTAATTCGTGAACTGTTTAGTTTGTAGAGTCCAACGTCCCGCACCGCACATCGTTAATTGAATGCATGACTGGTTGGAAATTAACTAATAGAACACGATTGGATTGGCTCGGGGCCGGTTGGTGGGCCGGGTGCGCGTTGCCATGCAACCAGCTGCACGTTCTGATTGGTTGCGGCTAAGACCACGGCCCAAAGCAAAATAATCCCCTGCAGAAGCAGGCATCTCGGTTCTCATCCACGATCCGCATCTGTTCCGTCGCGCCGCATTGCTCAAGCTACAGCAACATTGTTGACTCCCCAATGATGGGTATATCCGACACGTAAATCATTCATAATCCGACAGGAACACGCCTCCACTAGTTCACCATTGCCTGCAGAACATTAGGATAGACGGAGTTACACAGGGTCGAAATCAAAACACAGCACGAATCCCGGGGTTTGGGGGAGGACACCAACAACAACAAACCAGTCACAGATATGGCAACGGCATCGCCAACCCCAATGGGGGCTGGGAGCCATTTTACGGCCCTGGGAAGGAGAACATCCGCTCGACAAGCCCTCCGACGACCACCCTCGAGACAGCAGCTTAGTCGAAGCGACTCCAACCCAGTCCCGCTATCCGCGGCAGCCGCCGCCAGCAAAGAATCGAAGGCGCAGTCGCAACAGTACTCGACGCTCAATGACAGCTCTGACGATGAGATACCTGTGCCTATGAAGCTAAGCGCTCTCACAAAGGCCCTGCTTAACGACGGCCATGCCTCCGAGGCCTCATCCGCTCCTGCGGAGCGTCCCTCCTCACCGATCCGGGCGACCTCGAGGATGACGCGGCGCAGCGTGCTTGCATCGTCGACGTCTTCGAATGCGGACGATAGACAGACACAGAACAGAGAGGTCAGGAGACACGTTCGCGCAGGAAGTGCGCAATTGCCGTCCTCAAGACCGACGTCTCCAGCGCGCAGCCGTGAAGGCAGTCCGCCTCCGAGGAAAAGAGTGGTCCGATTAAGTGCCAGTACTACCACCCCTGCAGGAGGAAGCTTGAATCATCGGCTTCGGCGGTCCCTGTCGACGTCAACAACCGCACATCGGAAAAGACCAGAGAGCAGGGATAGGTCGGAAGAGAAGAACCTACAGCAGCCGCAACACCAACACGCCGAGAAACCTCAGACTAGTAACCAGGAGGAACCCCCTCTCGATGTCAATACTCCGGTTCTTCCTGTTCGGACAGTGCGGATCGCCGTTGGCTCATCCGGGAACAAGGGGCGATCGGGTGGCTCGTCCGGGATATCGTCAAAACGCTCGGCGGGTTACAGTGATCAGGAGGTGCCCGATGATCCCGGAACAGTTGGGCGAACACAGCCCGCCTTGAGTCAAGGAAGTGTCTCGCGATACGGGGTCAGAAAGGACGACATTGCCCCCCAGAGCTCAATGCGGGTGAAGAGAGTGACCAAACTCCCGGGCAGCTTTCTGAGCGGCCCAGCTCGCCGAGGCAAAAGAAGACAGAGCGAGGAGGATGCCGAAGGTCAAGGCGACGGTGAACCGCTTGTTTCCAGCCAGGAGCGCGGCAGCCAACCACCGCAAGAAATAGGACACGATCCAGTGGACCTCCCGGCATCTCCTTTCCTGGCCTCGAGCTATCGCGATTTTGCGGCCACAGGCAGCCCCGTGAGTGCTAAGAGCTCCGCCAGGGCGGCCATCCGAAAACAAGCATCGAGCGCAAATGTTGGGGAAGCGAAAGCACACGAGCCCGAGAGAGGACATCGAGAATCGCCTGCCTACAAGCGCCCTGCGCCGCCACCAAACCTCCCCGCCACCCACGACAAAGAAAATGAGGTGCCTTCCTCGTTTAGGCGGAGCAAGCCGTCGTCAGCGGTGCTGATCGACGCAGACCTTGGCAAACCACTTCAGCCCCTCAAAATGGACATTGGAGCAGCCCAGCCCCCCGCCAATGCCTCTCCCGAACGAAAGGCGCTGGCGGTCAAGAGCCACAATACTCCTCACCGAGCTGCACCTCCACCACCTCCAAAGATGTCTGTCGTTGAGACGGCAACCAAGACAGCCGGCGCTGCCGCCACCGCTCAAGCCAGCAAGAAGCGGGCAATCCTGCTCAGAGTCAACGACAGAGTATACACGAGAATAGAGTGCGTCGGGCGGGGAGGATCCTCAAAGGTGTATCGGGTCTCGGCCGAGAACGGCAGCATGTACGCCCTGAAACGCGTATCGATCGAGAACGCCGACGAGACGACGGTCAAGGGCTTCAAGGGCGAAATTGACCTGCTGAAGCGACTGACAGGGGTCGATCGCGTCATTCAACTATACGACTGGGAGCTGAACGAGGAGAAAAAGATGCTTAGCTTGGTAAGTTTTCCTGGTTCGCATATGCCGCCCCCGCCCCTCGCTTTGACGGCCTGCTAATAATCCTCCCCCCGTTCCGTGCAGCTTATGGAGATAGGAGAGCTGGATCTTTACACGCTCTTCAAGTCACGGGTTAGCTCGGAGGGGCACAAGCTGGACCTGGTGTTCGTCAAGTTTTTCTGGAAGGAGATGCTCGAGTGTCTTGCCGCCGTCCACGCGAAGGACATTGTGCACAGCGATCTCAAACCGGCCAACTTTGTGCTCGTCAAGGGGCGGCTGAAGCTGATCGACTTCGGCATCGCCAACGCCATCCAGACGGACGAGACGGTCAACGTGCACCGCGAGAACCAGGTCGGGACGCCCAACTACATGAGCCCCGAGAGCCTGATGGACTCGAACCAGTACGCCTTCACGGTGGCCAACAACGGGCGGTTCTGCGTGCCGCCGCCCATGCAGCAGCAGCACCGCAAGAAGCTCATGAAGCTGGGCAAGTCGAGCGACGTGTGGAGCCTGGGCTGCATCCTGTACCAGATGGTCTACGGCGACCCGCCGTTCGCGCACATCTCCCACCAGATGGCGCGGTGCCAGGCCATCATCAACTGGAACCACGCCGTCGAGTTCCCCGACGCCGTGGGCGGCGTGCGCGTGCCGCCGAGCCTGGTCCGCACCATGCGGCGCTGCCTGAACCGCGAGCAGAGGGAGAGGCCCACGTGCGAAGAGCTGCTCTCGGCCACGGACCCCTTCCTGTACCCGCAGGAGTTCGATTCGGACGTGCTTGGCACCGGCGAGGGTAAGGCCCTGCCGGTGTCCGAGGAACTCCTGGGCCGCATCATCCAGAGCGTCGTGCAGCGGTGCCGCGAGAGGCTGCCCACCGACGGCGAGGCAATGTCGGCTTGGCCGATGGCCTATTGGGCCAGTATCAAAAAGACGGTTGGGGCGAGGGAGCCGAGGCCGTGAGGCTGTGGCTTGCTGTGTTTTGTCTGAAAAGTCTGGACAATGCTCTGTTGGAGATGCGGAATTCCGTTGGATAGGTCTGGTGTGGGCGGGCGGTGGTTTGGTGGAGAAGGTTTTATCCTTCCCTTTCTTTTTTGTTTTGTTTCATGATGATGATACGACCGAGAGGCATTTGGCTACATACTGGCCTTGGGCGTCTTTTATTTTCTGTTCTTTGGGTTTCTCACATACCTATCGCGTTATTAGACGAGGGCCTTCGTTGCTGGGATTATTTTTTAGCCTGCGTCTGCTGTCTCCTGATATTATAATCACTATACCATGGTATACCTAGTTGGCTTCGGAAGTTTTGACACCACTTGGTGGGGGAGAGAAAAGCAATACAATCACTCCTTAGCGGTTCTACAAGCTGGGCAACAATGGGCACTTGAATAATTCCTTGATGCCACACACACTCTATCCATACGTAATTTACAGTTTTGCTGGTATCGCAAATAATTTTGTACATCTTTGCTGGGCGAGACGAAACGTGCCAGCTGGGGAACAAGCCCTGCAAGAGTAGCGGGCCGTGTATTGCAGCATCCGATGCATCCCATTTCAGCCACCCTTCATTCCAACTCCCTCGAACCCCCTTCCTCCCGGGATCTCCTTCTTTCGCCCCTCAACGCTCCATCTCCTCAAGGTCGTTGATGCGCAGCTCGCTGACCCTCAGCATGGTATACTTGTGCTTGCTGTACACATGCTTCTTCCGCCTAGTCCGCTGCTTCTTCTTGATCTTGACGCGCATGGGCTCCGCCTCGGTGCCGAGCACGACGGCGCGGCACTCAAACAGGCGCTCGTCGACGAACGCCGACGAGGGGGCCGGCGCGCCGCCGCCGCCCGCGCGCCCTGGCCCGCCGCCCGTGTTGCCCCGCAGGGTGTAGTCGCGGCTGCCCAGGACGGTGGCCCGGTTGAGGCGCAGCACGTCTCCCGGGACGACGCCGGGCATCCGGAAGGGCAGGCGCACCTGGTCGCCCTCCGTCACCAGGTACGGCCGGCCGTGGATGTGCACCGTCGCGTAGTGGCCCGGCTGCGCGGCGAGGAGCGGGAGGAGGGCGCGGACGGAGGCGTCCGGCTCGGTGAGCGGGGAGGCGGACTGCGGGACGGACGGTGTTGTGTTGATGGGGGTGTCGGCCGGTTGTTGTTGTTTTTGTGGTGTCTGGGACTCGACGGCCTGGGGCTCTCCTCGGATGAAGCTGCTGGCGGGCTGCTGGGTGGGCTCGATGATCTGGGCTGTCTGGTTGAAGCACCTCGCGCGAATTGGGAGGAGGAAGGTGGGTGGGAGCCGAGTGATTGGAGTCCGGAGCTCCAAGACGGAGCGTAAGAGTGCTCTGCTCATGATTGAGGTTGTTGGGACCAGGGGCAGCTTTTAGAGTTGCTACTGGAAGCTGTTCCCCCGTGCGACCTGAATGTCGTGTCGTGGAAAGGAAAATTCACCGAGTTGAGTCGAGGTCGGAAAAACTGTGGGTCCTTTAGAGTGGAGATCCACCAAATTATGGCCCGTGCTCCTCCCCCTGCCGCCTTAAACCACTTTCTATTCAAGGCGCTCTTTTTCCAATCGTCGCATATATGACAGCTTTGGTTCTAGGCTATGTCTTCGAAGTACCTCTTCTACTGCCTGTCCATAGATAGCCAGTACTGCTCCCAGCTCTATAATGAATACTTCACCAATGTCAGTAACCTTGCTGATCATTGCTATCAGTGTACCCATAGACACAGGCAAAGTGATGCCATGATGCACAACAGCCGGCATCGAATAACTGCAAACACGGACATGGTGTGTATTATACCAGCTCGAGGGCATTGATAACAATTTCAGCATTATTACGATTATCTTAGTATCTTCCTGATCATTAACTTATCCGAAAGACGAGAGACAGAAATATCTTCTCAGCTGAACCTCTGTTGTCATGATCAGGGGTATTTCCTTCTCCATCTATTGCACTCCCCAACCTTTTACCACGGGACTCCATGGCTAAGTAAATTGGACGGCACGACTAATTTTCCTCCCTCCTTCCCAACGCCTGAATTATGCCCATGTATGCACCACCGACCGCAACTAGCAGCCACCAAGGCTACGAAATGAGTAGATGCCGCGCAGGACTGAGAGTGTCGAACTCGACACCGTCAGAGCCCTGGAAAAGAGGCATTCGTGGGAGTGGGCGCCGAAAATGCATCGCAAGACAAATGCAGAAAGTGATTCGGATCTGGAGCTGAAGAGGGTCTGCAACTGCAAAAGGATATCGCCGAACAAAACCTGACAACGCCGTGGCGAATAATGAAGCTTGCCGCCATCGCCTTCGCCCCACCACCGCTGGTCGCCGTTCAACACGAGCTTGCGTGCCAACATGGCTGGGCGACCTGCAGCTTGTGTGAAGCCCAACAGATTTGAAAGAGGACGAGCCGGTGACGATCCAGGCTAGAGATCGCTCGGCTTCACCCCAGTATTGCCATAACCACTGAGGTTCCAACCATTGTACTTGACTGTCGGGGCATGAGAGACCATACTTGGTGGCGGGATTGCGGGGAGTCCATGGTTGGGCTCTGTCTTGATTGGGGCGGGAGGGAGAGAAGAGTGCGCTTCGGGCGACTGGGCGTTGTTCGATGGGGCAGGGCGAGAAGAATCGGACTGTGAAGCAGCCGTTAGGTCGGCCTTCAGCAGGCCCTTGTCTTGCAGATACTTCAGGGTCTGAACAATTGTCAAGTCCTCTTGCTCCTTATCGTTCAAAATGAGACGTTGCTGAAGGGTCATGCGTCCGCCGTTCCTCTCACGCTCCCGCAGAGCAGCTTCGCGAACGGCCGTATCGTGGACGAAGCGGCACTTGCCCTTCTTGCCACAGGTGCCACCAGTTGAGTAGTACTTGCAATGCTTGGTGGGGTCAGCCTTCTTAGGCGGCGGGGGGAGATGTGATTCTGGGCGGCTCGACATTGTTTCCGGCTTGTCGTCATCCGACTTGGAATCGACCGAGGATGGCGAGCTCATATCGACGTCTCGCATCTCGTCTCCCTCGTCCTGTTGCTCGCGCTTTCTCTTGATGCTGGACTCGACCTTCTCGAGCTGTTTTCTGAGCTTTTCGGCCTTTTGTTGCTGTTTCTGGAGTTGTGCATTTCTATCGTCGGCTTCCTTCTTGGCATCGCCGTTCTGAGCCTTCGCGGCAAGCCTGGCCTCGATGCGAGCTTTGGTGGGGAAATTGCGCCGGCGCTCTTCAATCCATGCGGCAATATCCGTCGGGCTGTACGGGTCAGAGGGGGGAAACCTATAGATAGAGACAAAATCATGAGACTTACCGTGGAGCATCGGCACCGATCATTTCATTCAGCTTCTCCTCCTCATTCTCGTCATCCTCTTCGGATTCGTCGCCAGGAGTCAGGCCCAGGGTATTCGTCTTGCGTTTCTTCTTCTTGCCAGCAGACGCAGCATCAGGCTTCTGATGGGGTGGGGGAGGAGTTTGTGCGGGCCCGCCTCGGTTTCGGTTGCGCATCTTGTCGCCACCAAACTGAGGTCGGTTCTTAAAGTTGCTGTTATGAAATCCACCACGACCATGCCGATGATTGTGATTAGGAGGAGATGCTTCATACTGAGGCGGTCCAGCAACATACGGGGCCGGTGGCGCGTAACCTTGATATGGTGCAGGAGGATATGGTGCGGGAGGAACTTGCGGCCCGCTGTAGGCTGCTTGCGGGTATCCGCTGCTCACTGGAGCCGGAGGCCCTTGGGGGTTTGCGTTGTCAAATCCCATTCTGATCGGGGGCCCCATCATTTGGGCCTTGGACCCGCCTCTATCATTGTAGCCGCCACGCCCACCGCGCCCCCCGCCGAAATGGCCCTGGGTTTGAGGTGGCGGTGGATGGCCACCCCACTGTTGCGTGGGCGGGCCGTGTTGAGCTGGAGGTTGCTGGTACGGCTGGGCATATTGCGGCTGGGGAGGCTGGGCATAAGCTGGCTGCTGGGCATACGGCTGCTGAGGGTGCTGATAAGGCTGAGGAGGGTAGTTCGGATGGTAAGGGGCGGCATGGGCAGGCGGCTGTGGGTGATGTGGCTGGCCCTGCTCAGGATGCCACTGTTGTTGCTGAGGATAGGCTGCTTGAGGAGGTTGGGAGGCAGCATAGGGCACAGGGGCTGGCTGTCCGTAGTGTGGCGGTTGCTGAGGGCCATAGCCATAAGCAGATGTCGACCCATGATAAGAGCCCCGATCTCCCGAATGTGGTGGCCCGCCCCGACCCCGACCACCATGGCCGCCACGATGCGAGGGCTGCTGGTACTGCTGCCCGTACGGAGGATAGACGGGAGTGCTCGAAGGCGGGGTTGGTTGAGGTGCCGGGGGCGGCGGCCCGTAATTGTACGAAGCCATGGCGACCGTGAAGAAGATCTGAAACGGCAGCTGCAACTGCAACTGGAAGGTCGGAAGCTCTCAGAAGAAGGAAAGACGCCAAACTGATGGCTGGGACGCGGGAGAAAGCTGGATGGACTTCCAGGAATAGATGCCTAGGGCGGGCTCTCTCACGCGCGGTAACGCGCTGGTATTAGAGGGCAATGTCAAGAGAACGTCTCAACACAGGCTTGTTGCAATGAAAGAAAAGAAATATGATGGAGGCCGAGATGTCTGACTTCTAGGAGTGACGGGAAAAGAACAGCCTAGAGGGTCGAAGTCCTGGATTAGTGCACTGTTGAGTGAAGTGGTTTTATCTAAGTTTGCCGACAGTTGAAGTTGTGAAGCAGCCGGGACCAGAGGTGGATGAAGCCTGACCCTGAGTAATAAGGTAAGTGGAGCCGAAAGAAAGGCGGTAAGAGGATGCTGGCAGGGGTGAGGGCGGCAGAATTATTCAATTTGTTGGAGAGAAAAAGTGACGGCATTAACAGCATTATCTGCTCAAGGCGGAAGGCCAGAAATAAAATCACTAGATAGCTGCAAGAGGGTGTGCCAGAACAGAACAGCTAGGTGCCTACCTGCTCTGTTCTTTGTGTAAATTCCCATTTGTGGCCAACCTGCTTATCTCTCTCCACGCTTGCTTGCCACAGGCATTAAATCATTCCTGAACCTCCAGGACGACCTTCAATACCAAAGTTTCATGGACTCTCTCTCAATATGTTCATTCTGGTTAGTAGCCAATATCTTGCCACTGCAGCCCCCTGAGGGATACATTACTGATTTAAGATGTGGTTCAAGAGCAAGGTTGCGGACTTGGTCCAGATAGCCCCGCATGACTTCAGTAAGAACAGCATGGATGCCATCGAGGATAACATCAATACCAAGTATGCCAACAAGGTCAATATTGTCACCTACCCGAATGTTCTGCGGCTCTTTTCTCACTGAGATATTCAGGTTATCCAGAAAATAGGCCTCTGCATCTGTCTGTGGGATGTCCTCTGGTCTAGCGAAGGCCTTATCGGGCATGGCACTGGCCTTGTCAATGTCAACGGTGAGCAAACCCTCCCTTCCCCTAGGAAAACTTATTGGCACTGACAGTCAGCAAGTTGAGTTTCGACTCGTAGTCTTCCGTCCCTTTAAAGGCGAGGTGCTACTAGGCCGGATCACGAGTGGCACCCAGGATGGCATCAATAGTGAGCTTCATACTCTCTTCCAAAGCTTTCTACCTCTAATTTCCACTAATCATCCACGGCAGTCCGCACCGACTTTTTTGATGATATATTTGTCCCCTTCACCGAGCTTCCCGACGAAGCTACCTAGTAAGAGCTTCAGCCCCTGTTCGGACATTGCAAACTCTAACCCTTCCATCTTAGCGAACCCAAAGATGCCCTGTGGGTATGGCGGGACGAGGACCAGGTCATGTACTATGATATACACGAGATGGTTCGCTTCCAGGTGGTATCAGAGGATTGGCATGACCAGACCCCCACAGGCCCCTTGGGAGTGGGCGACGAGCCCGAGGGGCGGACCATTGCACCGTATCGGATAACGGCGAGCATGAAAGGGTCGGGACTGGGATGCTGCTTGTGGTGGGATGAATAGGGTGCTTCTGGTCCAGAAACAGCACGGGGATCAGGTCGTTATTTTGCAATTGTCGGCGTTCAAGAGACAATGGTCAAGGGATAGATGGTGGGACATGGGCGTGTGTAGCATATAAAGGGAGGCGGTTTGTCGTCTCCGTCTATAATTCGATACCCTCGAGCAGCCTTTGCTCAACATCATCGAGCACCGAGTAATGCTCAATGACTGCGAGGTTCTCCACCTCAGCGAGGAATTGCTTGTCCGGGTCGACTCCTGGGCCGAACATCTGAGGTGCTTGAGGCCCCATCTGGCCCATCTGCTGTGCCATTTGGCTTGCGGCTATACTCCAGCGGTTAGCCAAGGTCAACAAGTGGCCAAGCTAGTCAGAAACTGCCGAGGGACGTACCATTATCGTTCCCCAGCAGGAAGTTGAAGACGGACTGCAATCCGAAGAAGCACAAGAAGTACCAACTGATACTCGACATCCACCGGGGGTCCATGTCCTTCGTCGCAACGCCTGCCTGAAGCATGCTCTTGAACTTGATGGTCAGAGGGAACGGGAGTTTCACTAAGCCACGGTCAGTACAAAACTCCCAAGGCCAAGGGGAGCGCACCCACTGATCACGAAGCCACTGAAGAATGCACTGATCCAGCTCATGATCATAGTATTCGGGATAATCATGGCCATCTGATTCTTCATCATGCCCATCATTCCTTCCATGGAGCTGGGGTCGCTCATCGGGTTAGGCGGAGCTTGTCCTCGTCTCTCGGGGTCCTTCAGAAAAGCGCCGGATTCGTACGCCGTCGTCAGGGCATCTCGGCGGTTGTTGAATGAGCGCTGGGAGAGGACAGGGTAGCTGCTCCGGAGACTCATGCCATGAAGGAGGGACCGCTGTTCGCGAATGGCTCTCTGATCCAGCTTCTTGGGCGCCGTGACCATCAGGATCGTCGCATAGTGTCGCAGAACGCCAGTCAGGATCTGTGAAAGAGATCACATCGTTGGTAAGTCAAATTCGCAATGATGGCGTCCGGGGAATCCTTACCATAACCAGCGTAATAGGGAAGAGGATCCAGTAGCTAGGTCTATTAGCAAGCGTCATCCCAAGCCAGTGTTGGGGACATACAATAACTGAGGATCTCTATGGATCGTCTGCGCCGGAATTTGTGCCATTGTGGCTTTTCTTGCACCACAGGCAGCTTGTGTGTGCGATCGCAATAGCTTATACCTAGGAAGTCGTGAAGCTGCACGGTTGACCTTGTAGCTCGAGTTCCCGCAACCAAGGTATCCGATCGGTAGGTATCCACTCGGACGGACCATCTGTTTTCCGAAAGACACATTTACCTAACCTTACCTAAGCCGACAGTGGAGCCTTTCATCCACTCAGGACAGCGCGCGCTACATCGAGAGCTGGCATCAAGCTGTTACTCCAGTTGCGTTGACGATTGCCAATTGAACCCCTGCCACGCAGATTCTGGGACTGGAGGCACCGGCAGACAAGATGGCGAGCTCACAAGAAAAGATCGCGGTTTACAACCTTGCAGGTAATCACTAATCTGCTCCGCCCTTCACGACACATTCAACTTGTACCCAGACGTCCGCCAGAAACACCTTTCTCTTGCTGTCTTCCTGCTAACGTATGGCCTGACAGATCTCAAGAACACATCCGATGATGCGATCCCGAACTACCTCAACAGTCTCAAGTTCAAGCAGTCACATCACCTCACCGATGTCCGGCTAGCCCTGGGCTATACCGCCTTCGCGATATCTGCCGCCTGCTTCATGTGGGACTACAAGTTCGGGTTCGAGAGCACCAAGCACTACTCCGCCGTCGCAGTTACGCTCTACACCATCCTAAACGGCGCCCTGACATTCTGGATCTGGGCCAAGGAGAAAGGGATCGTATACGTCGGGACAGCACCGAGCGGAGAGACCGTACGTCCCCCCCCCTTTCCGTCACCCACAACTCATGTGTTACTTCCCTATCCCAACTATCCCAGCTTCTAACCCCTCTCCCACCCGCTAGATCTCCATCGCGACCTCCACAAAGAAGAACACCCCAGTCTACAACTTGTCCATCACCATCCAACCGCCATCCAAGTCCGCCAACAGGCAACAATCCCAGACCATCACCCTGGCCCGCCCCTTCGCCGACTGGTTCGACTCCGCCGGCCGCTTCATCGCCCCGCCCTTCCAGGCCGTCCTGGCGACCGCCATCCCCGCCGTCGGCCGCCTCGACCCCAAGCGCGTCGCCTCTAGTCCCGCGCCCGCCCCGTCGTCGTCGAGCGACTCCAAATATACGCCCGAGATGCTGGACGCCCTTGCCGCCGCGACGGCTGCGGATGCCACTGGGGCTGATGCGGGGGGCCAAGGGGCAGGCGGGAAGAAGGGCGGGAAGAGGAGGAAGGCGCAGTAGTACTTCCTCAGAGGGCGGGAAAGGGGGGGTAGGCGAAGGTTCGGGCGGGTGGACTGTAGGTGGCAGGGAAAAGGGGGAGGAGGTTTTATGGGGGTGCATGGCGCTTTATCCGGGATATGGTTGCTATTTGATGCGTCTCTGGCTTCTCCTGGCACTTGGGAAATAGCAGAAAGTTCACAGCGAGAGCGAGTAAATAAGACGGAGATACCCACTTCCTGTGAGGAGCGTGATTTGCTATGCATCTCTTGTATCCGCCAGGAGTGGCGTATCCTGGTATGGGACAAGTTCTACGTTCTTACCCATCGCGTTTCCGCCCTGTGGAGATACAGTACGGACCAATCCACCCATCTATGACAGAGCCCATTCCCGGAACAACCCCCCTAATGCACGAACCCCCAACCATAAACACTGCCTTCCCAGCAGAACACCACACACTGCAGCCGAAGGAGTAGGGAACCCCCCCCCCCCCCAATCAGGCAAGCTTCACCCAGCTCTCCCTCGCCACGAGCGCAGCCCTACGCACCTCCCGGACGGGATCGCCGCTCGCCGCGGCCAGCATGCGCTGCATCCGCGGCGAGTGGGGCAGCAGGTGCCTCTCCTCGAACCTGCCCGGCAGCTCGGCCAGGAGCTGCAGGACCAGCCTCCTGCAGGCCGCGGGGTTCGTCCCGTCGCGCGCCCCCGGCTGCTGCTGCTGCTGCTGGTCGCCGGGCGAGGAGGCGAGGGCGTGGACCTTGACGACCGCCTCGATGATGGCCTTGAGGTGGTCCCGCACGGCGTCGGGGTCGTGGCGCAGGACCTTGTGGAGGATCTGCAGGGCTGCGAGGACGTCGCGGGGGGTGTGGATCTCGAGGAGGGAGGTGATGAGCAGGCGCACGAGCGGGCCGACGTCGTCGCCGTAGACTGTGAAGGGGCAGTGCTTGAGGATCGACAGGATCGACACGGTGTAGTTCTCGGCCTGCGGGGATGCCCTGCTGGCGGGGAGGGCCAGCCTGTAGAGCGGCTTCACGAGGTGTGCGTAGGCCCATTGCCTGTACAGCGGCCTGATCACTGCGTGCGTTTCTCTCGTCAGGAAGTCCTTCTCCCGGACAAGTATCTCCATAGACCTCGCCATGGTCTTGCCGGTGGCTGAGTCGGCCCCGATAGCCGCCTGCAGAAGCGGAACTAGACCGAGGGTGTCCTTATCTTGGCGAGCAATAGAGCCAGCTAGCACCGAAAGTGCGCGGGCATTGTAAGACTCGAGAGTACCATCCTTGAGCTCAGAGGGAGCAACAGCCTGCTCCAGGCGCGCCCTCCAGAATTCGAGAACATTCTTAAAAGACAGCCGGTCGGGGTCGGCAGTTGTCGGGCCTCCTTTGTACTTATTGGCCAAGATAGTCACGATAGAGTTACGGACTTGCGAAGCTCGTCCAGTCTGGGTGGTCTCAATGTCGCACATAACAGCCTGAGCGATGCCATTCGGCTTATACTGGGAGCGAGTCAGCAGGGTCATCACCAAACGCGGCGAGGAGACTTACTAATTCGACCATGGCGTCTGGCCATAAGGATTCTAGGACTCCCATGGTCAACACGTTCAGGACACCATCGTTTTCCTTGCTCCAGTAAGGCGGTGAAAGGTTCGGCGATCGGAAGAACAGGAAGGATTCGGCAGCGAGGTTATACCATCGCTGGGAGCCTGCATCTAGCCTGCGAATGACGAAGGATGCCGTACTGGCCAGCTGATATAGGAACGGGCCTGATGATACGTCTTGCTGGTAATAAGCCGCCAGCTCGTCAGCTACGTTTAAGATTGTGCCATCCCCAGTGGACGCCGGCGTCTCCTCGGTAAAACGACGGTAGAGATGCCGTATGATAAACACGCTCAACCGAGTAAACTGCTCAAGTGTACGAGACCCTTTGTCGGGTGCAGGAACTGCCTCTGGATTCAGGTCCTGGCCGCCTTGTTCTGTTTGTAGACCGTAATGGGTATTCATCAGTCGACTCCAATCCGAGCTAACACAAGCCCCAAGTGTAGCTTGTCTGAATTCCTCGAGCCAGTCAACCGGCATGTCGGTGACAACCGAGATCCCTTGTGTCGGTATCGGGGGGCAAGCATCGCTGAAGTTCCGCGCTGCCCCATGAATGCCGGAAAGTACCAGCGCAATCGCTGTAGGATCCGCCTTGCCTTCCAGCAGTGACTCGGTTATCTCCAGTAAAGCCCCCGTGAGCGTAATGAAGTGGCCCAAGGGTGAATATATCTCGGCGGAAGAGGGGTCGCTTGCAATGCTGGAAGGAATCTCAGAGCAGCCGATGAAGGCTACTCGTGCCATGAGATCCCTAAGGGCTCCTAGTGACTGTTGGGAAGGGGATTTCCAGTCCCGAGATTTGATAGCTGCTTTTGAGCTCTCAACCAGTGCTGCAAAACCATCTCTGTAGCTCATCACGATTGACCGCAGGGCTAGTACTAGCTCGTCTTCGATTTCTCCTTTTGGGCTGGTGTTGTCGTTTGAGCTCAGAGTTAAGCTGCTGAGGATTCTGTGGATGAACAGGGAGCAGACCTCAGAGCAGATTGCTCTCGAGTTCAGAAGCGCGGTGCTGCCACCCGGTAACACGGTTTGCTGACTGCACAACAGTGCCAAACCTCTAATATCCTCCTTCAGGATACCGACCTGCTCCCCGGTTGGATGAGCGCTGCTGTTGTCTCGCCAAATTGGCAAATAGACTTGGTGGAACAGGCCTCGCAGGTGGTCGAGTGGCTCACTCTCCAGTCGTTCTTCGTCACCAGGGTGGAAATTTTGTCGGTTTTCGATAAGAGCTGCCCTTGCTCTAAGGAGCGAGTTCTGCAGACCCAAGAGGTCGCGGGTATGAGAGGGTGACTTTGGTTGGCGAAGATTCTGATTGATAGACTCCACGACTCTCTGTGTTTCCAGGGTAAAGGCGCTGACATTTGAAGTGATGACGGTTGTCAAGAGAAGACCCGCTTGTTTGGTGTAAGTCGGATTGGAGAGGTCATCGTGGCAGTCCCCGAACACCAGGTCAATGTAACTCTTCAGTAGATTGGCATCAAGCTTCTGGGTAGGAGTGCCATCCATCTTGTTCGCAATCGAACGGAGGACATCCAAAGTACCCTCAATCGACTCCCTCACCTCCCCGTTTCTCACTTCGTATTTGAGGGAGGTCCAGATCTTGTTCATGTAGGGAACTACACTTTCCTGCGGATCATCATAATGATCGATGCAAGCCTTGATTGTTCTCAGAATATCGACCTATTGCTGCATCAGTTTCTAGGGACTCTTGACTCTTCTTTCTTATTGCTGTTAACATGACTTACTTTGACTGCGGCGGTGATGGCGTCACCTTGATCGAGCTTCTCTATCAAAAACGGGAACGAATGCGGTGCCAGGCCTTTATTTGCACAAAAGCACTCTCTTACGGCGCTTTTGAGGCCCTCGGCCGTGATACCCGCTGGGGCAGCTGAGCTCCGTATGGAAATGGGGAAGTAGGCCGAAAAGGCCTTGAAGAGATCCTCGATCACTTCTGCCGACGGGGAGTAGTTGGTGAGCAGGATTCTAAGGACCTTGAACCATACCATAAGGTTCTTGGGGTCTCTCTCATGTTGACAGAGCTGGAGGAGATCGCCAGCAAACCCGCAGGAAGAGCCATACTTGAGTTGTAGTTCGCTAGCAACCCCCTGATCCTGGATTAGTTGGAGAAACAGTTCGTAAATCTCGAGCCTCGTCGCTGATGTCTGCAGTCTAAAGTCTTCCTGGATCTTGCAGACATCCTCGATTATCCTGACACCCACGTCGGACCTGAAGGCCTTTGCAGAAACGAGCTGCCGAAGAGCACGGGCCGAGGCGGTGATTCCAGCTTTATGATCATAGGAGAACATGGATGCGAAGAACACGCTGAGACGCTGGATCTGGTCTCTCTTTAAAGTAGACCGGTCCAGGGACTCCAGGGTAGAGGCGAGGAAGCCCAGGGCTTTGGCGCGTGCGATAACATCGCCGCTGTCGCCGGCATCGTGGGCCAGATCATCGCTAGTCGCCGCGTTTCTCATCCACTCGTGAATGGACGATGCCCAACTGCCGACGACGGTGCTACTGGCACGCGAGTTCTCGATCTCTATTGTATGGTATTTAGCACCGGGCCGTCACCTCCGCGAGTAACCGGCAGAAAACAAACCTCTTGCCGCCTTCGCCGCGATATCCCCCAGTGCTGCCTCGTCCTCTGTAAGGACGTATTGCAGCGCCCAGTCCTTGAAGCTTGCCATGGTGGAGGACCGACGCGCCACCTATCAAGGTCGCGCAATCAAGACAAATATGGCTGGCTAGCTGTCTACCTATCAAATTGGTGCAAGATAATGTGAATGAGAGCCTACGACGATTGCCGGTCGAACATGGCATGGGTCTCCCATATCAAACTGGGGCCAACGGCAGTAAAAGCCGCTATCGCGGGCGGTGAGATGCTGAAAATGACGATATCGCACCTTGTGTCCAGGCCCGCTAAACCCTAAATGGTAAGAGGGGCAATTGTCAACGTCCCGCTCGGAACCAGGGTCTCAAATTTTTGCATTAAGCCAGATTCTGGGTCTCCGAGAGCTCAGTGCGAGTCATTTTCCCAATCCAGGAGACGGTTTCTTTGTGATGGTTTGAGAGAGATCGGTCAATTGAACTTGTTCTCGTGTTACCAACTCTTCTAGAGCAGCCCCAACTGTGTAAGATCCCTCTTGTTCAATCCTGTTTGGTCTAGGAAAGAGTTTGGCATCCCAACCTGACAAGCCTGCTTTGTGGGGTACTTTTCCCAAGCACGCGGGGCAGGTGAGTTGTCAGTCAGCGACTTGACTCACTTACATCTGCACATCCATCTCATCCTGCCAACAGTGATCGCTCTAAAACAACATGAGGATCATTATTGAGCATGCAAGATCATAAAATGAGATGCATTTACTAACAAACATGTTAGTCCGTGCTGAGTAACAGCCAATACATCTCCTCAAACCGAAGCTTCTCCCCCCTGGCTGTGCCTGTACACCATGGCTGCTGCTCCTCAAGATATACCCAAGACCTGCAAGGTGGTCCTGGCAGATACCATTGCAAGGGGGTTGCTGTCTGAAGTCAAGGAGACTCTGGCCACAGTTCAGTCTGCAGGCGCCATACAGCCTTACCTTGCAGCTTTCCTGGCAAATGACGACCCTGCGGCAGTCAAGTATGCTGAATGGTCCAAGAAGACCTGCGAGGAGAAGTGAGTAACCATTAGCCAAGATGTATCTGACCGGCCACAACTTGCGCAATGGCAAGTGCCATATGTGTGTGTAGTGCGTGTAACGTGCTGAATGATACGCTCTCTGGTCAGGGGTTAGTTAACTAACTAAAACCCCCCGCAACCCCCCCTACCAGTGGCTTCACCTTCGACCTCCGAAAGATGGATAAGGAAGAGCTCGAGGAGGCCATCATGGCGGCCAACGAGGACGACTCAGTGGATGGCATCATCGTGTACTACCCCATCTTCCCGGGCAACCCGACGCACGACAAGTACATACAAGAGACGGTGTCGCTGGCCAAGGACGTCGAGGGCCTCTGCCACAAGCACCTGTACAACATGTACCACAACATCCGCTTCCTGGATGCGCCGGCCAACCTCAAGAAGTCGATCCTCCCCTGCACTCCCCTGGCCGTGGTCAAGATCCTCGAGCACCTCCAGATCTACAACCCGATCCTGGCCCCGGGCAACCGCCTCTTCGGCAAGACCATCACCGTCATCAACCGCTCCGAGGTCAACGGCCGGCCGCTGGCGGCCCTGCTCGCCAACGACGGCGCCTCCGTCTACAGCGTCGACCTGACGGGCGTGCAGCTCTTTACCCGCGGGCGCGGCATCCGCGCCCCGCGCCACCAGGTCCACGAGCAGCCCGGCTGGGCGCTCGAGCAGTGCCTGGCCCTGAGCGACGTGGTCATCGGCGGCGTCCCCTCCGAGAAGTTCAAGGTCCCTGCCGACCTGCTCCGCGACGGCGCCGTCTGCATCAACTTCTCCAGCTTCCGCAACTTTGACGGCCCCGCCGTCAAGGAGAGGGCGAGCATATACGTGCCCAGCATCGGCAAGGTCACCATCGCCGTGTTGCTGAGGAACTTGGTGGTGGGTTTGCTCTCTTTCTCTCCGTCTCCATATCCATTTCCATCCCTCCCCCATTCTCTCCCTTTCGACAGTTAACTAACGGGATTCTCTCGCCAGCGGCTCATCGCCAACCGACCTCGCCCAGAGGGGACGTCGAATGCCAGCCAGATAAAGGCGAGAAGCGAGGCGTTTGCGGATGGTTAAGTAAGGGGTTCTCTGGACCGAGCGCCTGCATCTGGTCCTCAGGTCGAGGCCCTCTTTTGCTCATTTCTTTGTATCTATTATCGCTTGGTGGGTGGGATACCTGAGATTTTGACCCTTTTTGCTTTAGAAGGAAGAAAAGGACAGTTGACGTTAGCTAGAGAATGTCAATACGGTTTGGCCGTGGCGATTGAGAGGCTCAAAGGTGACAGTTTCTAGCCATTCGTTCCCTTGAGCCTTCAATGCTCATGGGTTCTCGAACTGCTGTGGACTAGAGGACAATTAAACTACCATGAACTGTAAAAATGTACTGGGTATCGAATCAAAAGGAACCAGGGTAACAAACAGTAAGGCTCCTCCCACGCCATGAAATAGCCAAACAAAGGGTTACAGTCGCGAAACCAGAGACCTCGAAGCATTACATACCGACCGACCACCGCGACCGACCAGTTGGAAGGGGGTTGGTTTTGTTCGCCATGGAAAACATCGTATCGTTCGGCGTCAAATATCGTTGCGTACCGGTCCTCGATCGAGTCTCGAGTCCCCTCTCGTCTCGTCTCACCCCCCCGGGCAATTATACGGCAAAACAAAACTCCCCGAGGTCTACAGATCTCCTGCCCAGGTCCTGTACCTATACCAGGCAGACCGAAAGGGTCATGGCCAAAATAGAAACACACATAATAATCGAAACCAAGCGCCCACACCCTCCCCTCTCACACCTCATCCTCCAACCCCTCAAGAATCCTCCTCGCCGCATCGATCCGCCTCCTGTACATCCGACTCTCGGTGCTGGCCCTTCCGCTCTCGGCCAGCCCGAGCACGCACCGCCCGAGCCCGGCCACCAGCCTCTCGACGAGGAGCTGGTCATCGCGCACCAGCGTCTGCATCGCCTGCGGCGCGTTCGGGTTCCCCGCCATCCTGCCGTTGACGCTGCTCACGCTGCCGTTGGGCCTGTGCAACCTGGTGGATCTGTCGTCGTCCGTGTCCCGTTCGTGCTGCTGCTGCTCGCAGATGCTCGCCGTCTCGCTCATGATGCTGTCGGAGAGGGCCTTGAGCTCCTCCTGGTCGAGCGACGACGAGCTGTGCGGCGTCAGGATGCCGACGCTGTTGGCCTTCTTGGGCCGGTTGACCAGCGGGAAGCTGCGGTTCGTGCCTGTGGACTCGAAGGACGAGACGGACGGCCGGTGGAGCGAGTTCGCCGCCGAGCTGGACATTGGGCGCCGGAAGGCGGACATGCCGTGGGAATTGCCGAAGCTCGAGTTGGGGCCCCCGTGCCCGTGCCCGTGCCCGTACCCGGGCCCCTCCTTCCCTTCTTCGGGGATGGATGTGATCGACCCCGTGCTGCGCCTGGATGCCGGGAAGTTGAAGCCCGCGTCGATGCTGCCGGGGGCGAAGGATGTCTTCCGAGCCGTCTCGGGACTGCCCGATCTCTCCTTGGCAGCCGCCGTGGCGAACTGTCCCGACGTCGGATCCTCCCTTTCGCGACTGCTTTCCGCGCCGCCCTCGTTGGCGGTGGCGAACGTCCCCACGGTCGACACCGAGGCGTCGCTATTTCTCCTTTGCCATGTCCTCGTCGTCGGGAGGCCGTCGACCTCCTCGTCGCCGCTGCTCTTCTTCGCGCCGCTCTCGGCGGCCGGGCCGCGGGTCGTCTCCACCGAGTCCTCGGAGCTGAAGCTGGATCTGCTGCCCCTCCTCGCCAATTTCTGCTGGCTGAGGGTGCCCATCGCGCTGTGCAGGAAGAAGTGCTCGTAGTCGAAAGCGTCTTCGCGGTCCTCGTGCGAGATGGGGTGTTGCACCGTGTCGTGGTACAGAGACTCGCCGCTTTCGCTGTCGTACGCCGCCTCATCGTCTACTTGCCCAACGTCATCCTCGTCTTGACCTTCGGCCCCAGAATCGCCGTTCTCCGTTTGCAGGTCGGATCCGTCGGACCCATCCTCTCCCGCCGTAACAACGTCCGGCCCGGTCGTGGTCGCGAGTTCCTTCCTCTCAGGCGACTGATTCCCCGGTGGCCTGAGGGATGTGTTGGTCTCGACTTCGCTGTAGATAGAATCCTCGTCCTCGACGTACTTCTCCTGCCCGCCCTGGGGAACCTGTCCCTCGCCATCCACGCTCGAGAGCTCCCCGTTCCACGGATTCCTAGCCGAGTCTGCATTTGTGCTGCCGGCTTCGGAGCTCACGGGCGGTTCCGGCTCTGCGTACCACTGGTCGACCTGTGCGTGCGTGAACGGACTTGGAGTGCGTAGGCTCTGCAAGCTTCTCCTCTTCAAGCTGTCGGCACGCGCTTGTTCCCTCAGGCTCGAGATCTTCCCCTTCAGGCCTTTTACCTGGTCCTTCAGGTCTCTCATCTGGGCCACGGATGCGGACCTCTGTAGTCCCCGATCATTCCCGTTGGCACTATCACTGAACGATCCAAATGTCGGGCTTAGGAACTGGTCGGCATTCGCTCCTTTGCTGAAACTGCTTGGCTCCCCGGCCGAGGCGACCTCGTCCTCGCTGAGTGGTTCCAGGGCGCGATCCCGCGGGTGCCAAGATATCCTATAGCCTGGTTGGCCGTGATGCCCCTCCGAGTTACCCAGATGGTCGACGCTTCTCGAGGCCGTGAGCGGTTGCCTGTATCCGCCCGAGACTCCCAGTGCACTCGCTGACCTCGGCACAGAGCCCCTGAATGATATTGTTGTGGGAGAGATGCCATCGCTTGACAGGGGCGTACGCGCTTGTGAGAAGGTTGGGGAGTTCGGGTCGGTTTCTCGCGCATAGATCGCCGTGGAAGCCCGTTGCACGGGTGGGGACGGCGTCGATCCGTCGGAGCCAAGTGAGGATATGGACGGTGTTGAGGGATACAGAGAGCCTCGTGCCCTCGTTAGATTACCTTCCATGGTCTTTGTAGCACGAGTCAGTACATGGCAGGCACTTCCCCGGAGGGTCGTGTTGTTCGTGGGGTATCCGGTGGACTCACAGTTAACCGTTTCTTTGCATTCGCCAGGATATGCTCTGCCCTCCGACTTATCGACGACATTGAGTAGGTCGACAGCCGGTCCGTGTTATCGGTATTGGGTATCCCTAGTCGCGCAGTATTCTCGTGCGCCGACACATCTTCTGTGTACGATTCTGCCACGCTCTCTTCGTCGTCGCCCTGGAACACGCTATCGTCCACGCTGATGGAGTCGTCGAAATCCGCGAATAGATCTTGCCTCTCGTTCGTCGTGATGGTGCTCGTGCTCTCCATGCTCGACCGGCGCTCCCGCTGCGCGGCGATGCTCTGCTTGGAGCGCTTCTTCAACATCCCCCCGTACACTACGCCTATAGTCGGCGATGATCGCAGCGCTGTATCGCTCCCGCTACCTCGCGTCGACGACTTCTGGCCCCCCTGGATGCCCTTCGACCTGACTGGGGACGGCCTCCCAGGCGTGCTCTCCACCTCCGTGACCTCGCCGATATCTGAGAGCATGGTGCCATTACCGTATATGATAGGCGTCGTGGGAGTGATCGGACCGGTGGGGCCATAGGGGTGGTCGGGATGGTGTCCCTGCTGGATAACAGTCGCAGACGCGGCGGCGTGCGCGTTCTTCCACATCATGAGGGGCGAGTGGTCGCGCCCGTTCGAGTCCGTGTCCGGGGACGCTGCACGATCGTAGTCGGGGAGGATCATGTCGGGGTTCGTGAGCGTGGGCGAAGCAGGAAGGGCCGGGTACGGCTGCTGCTGGCCATGGTGGTGACGATTTGCGGTTTCCATGGCGGGCATTTCGGCTCGCGTTTGCCAGCGACCCAGCAAGCTTCGCGGGAAGTGAAGCGGCGTGTTGGCGGCCGTCGGGACGCGGTCTCTGCCGTTTTCTCTTCCCCGACTGCTGTGGAACGACGAATTGGTCCAGATGGGGGGGGGGGGGGGGAGGGATGCAGTTTGAGCTGCAATTAACCGCGAGGGTGCCAACAATATGATATGATATGGCAGGAGGTCAGATGGATAAATGGCAGGACAGATCTGGCAGGTGATGGCAGACTGCACACGGCATTTGAGTAATATTAGAGCCTGCTATGTAGGCGGAATCGCCTAGTCTAGGTAGTCGAGTCCCGGCCGTTGGGGTGTCGGTACCGTGTACGATATCTCGGGTCGGCTAGGTGGTGGAGAATGGGTCCTTGACCAAGACCTGGCTTGCGAAATTGAACGGACGCAACGAAGGTGGGGGCCTGTCTCCTTTATTATTCGCGATTTTCAGATCATTATTAGATTCGACTTCGGCGGCTCCTTTTCTTTGACCTTCTTGGCAACGAGGGGCGACGAGAACGAGAACTAGAACGGACGCGGAGGCAGCCACACAGCGGAACGAGGATTTTTCGAGTTCAATAAAGACGGGAACTGACTCGGAGAACAATAGGGGACAAAGGCGGCCAACGGCATTGGTTGGCGTAGTAAATGCACAGAGGTGGTACCCGCCCGTGTGAGGTGGTGGTGAAAGTAGCTCTACTGTGAAGGTGTGGCACAAAAGGGGGAAATGTACCGCGTCTTATTTTCTGGGACCTCCCTAATGAGGTAGTACTGCAGACACTAGACACGGTACTTTTTATTTAGCGTAGATCCAGGGTCACGGATGTTTGTTTTAGAATTCTTAGCTCCTCAAGGGACCAGCAAAAGTCGAGAAGTGAAAGTTGCAATTTTCGGGGAAGAGAACTCCAGTCGGGCTGTTTATTTAGTGCTACTCTTCTATCTCACCTGGTTGCAGTTGCTGCTCGACCCATGGAACCACCTCGTAGCCAAGTACGGAATATCTTCCCCGAACCTAATCAGTATTTCGTGCAGCGTATCCGTAATCCTGACGAAGGAGCCAAAATGCAGAACATCCCCGCGTTTCCCAAAGAGGCCGACCCCTGATTGAGCTCTGCGTTTCGAAAACACATAGCTATTGAAGTTGTCTCCAATTCACTACCGAAGGAATCGTGGGTACCTATGTCTGTAGGTAGTTGAAGGTTACGAGGAGGAAATACGCATACACTAAGTAGTGCCAAGGGGAACAGCCGTCTGCGCGTACACGTGTAGACTTTGTTCAGTGGAGGCTGAAAACCTTAAACTGTGCACGGATAAATCGAGACGGACGTCATTACCCGACCACGGTAAGGAAGGTAGGCGGGCAGTTACCCATGCGTTGTCATGCAGGTTGGAGGAAAGCCCTTCACGTTCAGCCTGGCTGAGAGGCTCACTGTGCTTCAAAGACAGATCCCGGGGACGATCTACCTCGTACGGGGCATCGCATTGCCCTTAGGGTTTGTGTTATGCGGAGCGCCGCAGACAACCTCTAAAGTTAATGCCACTTGACAGGTTTTTAGCCCCCTTCCGCCGCATTTGCCTATGCAAGAAAGCCAACAGTCTGTGGTAGAGTCTGAGGGTTGCCATTGTCATACATCCACTCAAGCCACTGCACGGGTTCGACCTTTGATCACTACCTTCCTGCTTCCTGATAGGTAATCCAAGAACTACATCAGTTACCTATCCTGTAGTTGGAGAGTCTGATGTCAGAAAATCTGATGTCTGATTGACTGATCTATCCTTTCTTAGCCAGTGTCACCCACTGGCCGTCAGAAGCATAAGTCCCGGATCCCATATCTCTACCAGAGTGACCTGACGGCCCTTGCCATCATGCCTCCTCCTCCTCCTCCTCCCCCAAACCAGGCCAAAAAGACATTATCGGCGGCCCAGATTTCAGGGAAAGGAAAGATGTTGAAATTCTTTTGTTTCCCCGTTTAAACGCCGATGCTTTGTTTGTTTCGCAAAATGCTTTGCCCCATGGGGTATCGCAAAATCAGAATGTAGCCTGGGCCTTTTTGGCTCTTGATGCTCGTCTTTGTTGAAAGACTCCTCTGCCCGCCCGTCCTACCGACCAACCAGAAAGATCAACACCGACCGTCTCCAGCAGCGCAAGTTGAGCGCATGCCTCTATATCGTGACGATCTTTTGCTGCAACTCCTAGGAAAATGTTGACGCTCGAGATAGATGTGGCTACATCTCCCTAAACCAGGTTTGTTGAGAACCGTACGCCCGCAATATGGTGCCCTTTCCATAAATCAAATGTAAAATACGAGGTTGAAAAAAAAAGGAAAAGAAATAGAAAAAGACGAGACTGCCCGTTGAAATGATGCACAACCAGCAAGGCGAAGTTGAATCTCCCGCGGTTCTACAACGTCATCAATTCGGCGAGGCCTCGCAGCTTAGAACTTCAGAGTCTTGGGCTTCTCCCAGCTGAAGGTCTGGTTCGTGCCGAAGTGGCCGTTCTTGGCTGTCTGGAAGTAGATGGGCTTGGCGAGATCCAGCTCCTTGACGATAACACCGGGCCGCATGTCGAAGTTGTCGCGGACGATCTTGACAAGCTCGTCAGAGGACCTCGAAGAGGTGCCATAAGTGTCCACGAAGATGGAGAGGGGCTCCGCCACGCCGATGGCATAGGAGAGCTGGACGAGGGCCCGGCGGCAGAGCTTGGCGGCCACGAGAGACTTGGCGATCCAGCGGGCAAGGTAAGCAGCCGAACGGTCGACCTTGGAGAAGTCCTTGCCAGAAAAGGCACCGCCACCGTGAGCACCCCAGCCACCGTAGGTGTCAACGATGATCTTGCGGCCAGTCAGGCCAGCATCACCCTGGGGACCACCGATGATGAAGAGGCCGGAGGGTTGGATCTGTGGGGAAGAGTTAGCCCGCAAGCTCGACCGAGCAGCTCCTAGGACTTATCGGCAATCAATACTAACGTGGTAGATGGTGTTCTCGTCAATGTACTTCTCCGGGATGACCTTCAGGATGATCTTTTCCTTGATCACCTTGCGCAGCTGCTCGGTGGTGACCTCCTCGCCGTGTTGGGCAGAGACAACGACGGTGTGCACCCTCAAGGGGACGACGGCACCGTTGTCGTGCTTGTACTCGACCGTGACTTGAGTCTTGGTGTCAGGGCGCAGCCAAGGGATGCTACCGTCGCGGCGGGCAGCAGACATGGCAGCATTGAGCTTGTGAGCGAGTTGGAGGGTCAGGGGGAAGAGCTCAGGGGTCTCGTCGGTGGCGTAGCCGAACATGATGCCTTGGTCACCGGCACCGAGCTGCTCGAGGGCCTGGTCCAGCTTGAGACCCTGGGCGATATCGGGAGACTGCTCCTCAATGGCGACCAGCAGGTTGCAGGTCTTGTAGTCGAAGCCCTTGGATGAGTCATCGTAGCCGATATCCTTGATCGCGTTGCGGACCACCTTCTGGTAGTCCAGGCGTGCCTTGGTGGAGATCTCGCCGAAGACCATGATCATACCGGTCTTGGTAGCGGTCTCGCAGGCAACCTTGGACATAGGGTCCTCAGCCAAGCAGGCATCCAGAATGGCATCGGAAACCTGATCGGCGATCTTGTCGGGGTGACCCTCGCCTACAGATTCGGACTAGAGGAGCGGTCAGGGGAAAAGAAAGTCGCCGAAAAAAAAAGTTTGGGAGGCGGCTAACTTACGGTGAAGAGGAAAGTCCCCTCATTGTAGTGCTTCGCGTTCCCATTGACACCGTTTGAGGCAGTCATTGTGACAGTAGATGATCTGCTTAGCAGCTGAGCTGTGGAAGGAAGGTGGTGCTGCTTCGAAAAAGGTTGTAAGCGGGTGTAAGAACAGTCGGGAAAGCTCGGAGAGTCGGCTTTGCAGGCAGCAGTTCTCTCTTTCCCTGTTAAATACAGAAGAGTTCTGGTACTCGCGCGCGTCTTCCTAACTAACCTTGTATTAAGGGCGGAAAGGCAAGAGATGCTCAGGGAGAGGACCGTCGGCGAGGGATAAAGGGCGAAGGGACGAAGGGATGAACGTGTCTATTACGAAGTGAGAGGAATGTGAGGTGGTTAGGGTGGTGGGGGTGCATACGGAGTATTTATGGAGAATCTCTTGTCTAGGAACTTACGAGAGGATTCAGGGAGTGGCCGAGGACCGGGCAAGGGACTAGACTAGGTACCGGGGACCAGCCTTGGAGGGGCTGGATAGCCTGTAATCTTGCTTCTATTCAAAGTTTGGGGAGGTAGAGGGTACATCAAACATAAGCACGGCCCCCTTGTATTGCCCAATTTTTACCGGATTGCGCGATTGAAGCCACCCCTCCCCATCTCCCCCGTCAAAATCTTCACCGCCCGCAAGGGATTTTTTTTTGGGACCCATCCTTGGCGTGTCGAAGGGCTAGGTGCGGGGCAGGGCAGTTGTTAAAAAGGTGAGACTCCCGGTTCAATTATTGTTCCTGCAGCTTGAGGTCAACACTGGAAGCACAGCCTCATCAGTCAGGGTAGCTTCGACGTGCTCAGCAAAAGCCATCCGTCGTTAATCACCAAGATGAGCAAGTTTGGGGTGATGGTAATGGGCCCTGCTGGGGCAGGCAAGGTTCGTGTTGCCCGAGATCTGCATGCAGAGGACCAGTATCGCTGACAGCGACGGACGGCGCATCCAGTCCACTTTCTGCGCATCCCTCATAACACATCTTCACCTCAACCGGAGGTCGACGTTCTACGTAAACCTTGATCCTGCCGCCGAGACCTTCGAGCACACTCCCGACCTCGACATAAGAGAGCTGATCTCGCTCGAGGATGTCATGGAAGAGATGGGTCTCGGCCCCAACGGCGGTCTGATCTACTGCTTCGAGTTCCTGATGGAAAACCTCGACTTCCTGACCGAAGCACTCGACTCCCTGACCGAGGAGTACCTCATCATATTCGACATGCCCGGCCAGATCGAGTTGTACACGCACATCCCCATCCTGCCGTCGCTCGTTAGGTTCCTCTCCCGCTCCGGCGCGCTCGACATCAGGCTATGCGCCGCCTACCTGCTCGAGGCGACCTTCGTGGTCGACAGGGCCAAGTTCTTCGCGGGCACGCTGAGCGCCATGAGCGCCATGATTCTGCTGGAGATCCCGCACATCAACGTCCTGAGCAAGGTGGATCTCGTCAAGGGGCAGGTGAAGAAGAAGGAGTTTAAGAAATTCTTGACCCCCGACTCGACGTTGCTAGAAGAAGACCCGGCAGAGGTCGCGAGGAGGAAAGCCGGGCTCGAGCCGGAGGACGAGGGAGGGGATCCCCAAGACAAGGATGCTCTGATGAGAGGCTCCAGCTTCCGGAGGCTGAATACTGCCGTGGCGCAGCTGATTGAGAGCTTCAGCATGGTGAGCTACTTGAAGCTCGACTCATCAGACGAGGACAGTGTTGGGTCCATTATGAGCTACATCGATGACTGCATACAGTTCCACGAGGCACAGGAGCCAAGGGAGCTTAGAGATGAGGAGTACGACGAGGAGTAATGTACCGTATTGTGTCTCGTCACGGTTATGGGGCTCATGGCATGGATGGACGGACGGTGGGACAAATCTGGGTAGGAAAAGTTGCATAGCGTCGGCGTTGGGGTTATTGATAGATTAAAAAGTAACCAAGAAACAAGACCTGTATCCCGATTCCCGAGTTTGGGTTGTCGGCTGTACGCATAGTCGCCCTCCAAAGTCCCCATGGGGGTGAAATATACCAATCCCACTCCCATTCCCACACACGAACGCCTTTTCCTGGTCCAAGAACTCCTGTGCGCCATCAATATCATGCCGTCCCATTCGCATTACATAGCGGTGTCTTATCTCCATACCTCCCTCATCTTCCTCTCCCGCTCCCAAACTTAGAACCAGGAGGGCCACGTCCCTTCGCCTGGGCGTCGTACTTGTGATACTCCCGCACCCAGATATCCTTCACGACGACAGCATACCCCACGAGCTTCCCGCCGACATCCACGACGTCGCCGACCGTCCTGCCGATGCCCCTCTGCCACACGACGGCGGCGACGGCGGCGACGGCGGACCAGAAGAGGACGCGGAGGGCGAGGCGGGTCCAGAACAGCATGGCGCGCGACAGCCAGCTCAGCAGCTGGACGACGAGGACGAGGACGAGGACGAAGAAGCCGAGCACGACGAGGTCCGGGCTGTCGTGCAGCGCGCGCGTCAGGCGGTCGAGCGCGGGGCCGAGGACGGGCCACATGGCGTCGGCGGCGCGGCGGGCGAGGGCGGTGGTCTGTTGCTTGAGGGTTTGGAGGCGCGCGTCGGGGCGCAGGACATGGTCGTGTACGAGCTGGAGGAGAGTCTCGGGGAGGTAATCTGTTTCCGGGGTTTCGGAAGGGCGGAGTGAGCTTCAGAGGAAGAAGAAAGCTTGGGTGGTTTCTACCAAGTAAAGGGGGGCTGCCAAGGAGATGTGGTGGAATGTGGTGGGCTTGGAGTTGAATACAGTGCCACATGCAAGACTGTTTGGGAAGTAGGAAATCAGTGGGCTAAGGCACGGTACCTTGCAAGGATTCCAGCATCCACTGGTCCATTTTGTGTCAAGTTTGTTGGAGGATGATCGAAGAGATATTGCACGAAAACCTAGGTTGTCATAAAGTAAAGTTGTTCTGTCCAGAGCATCGGGAAAGCTTAGTTGGTGGGGCAGTCGCTCGTGCTGTGAGCGCAGGTGCCACAGCACCATTTAAAGCAGAGGCCTAGTCTCATGATCTCATCCCGTCTCGACACATCCTAGACTCGCCCTTTGTTACTGGGCATGGCACTCACTCACAACCGTAATAAATATATCTATTATTTTGTTGATCAGGGTCGATACTCATTCCAATGTTGCCCATGGTAGGTTCTGGCTGAGACCTTCATTATTAATAATCGTGCAATGTAGTTGTTGAACTTGTCCCTCGTTGCGTCATCCCGGCCAAATGCAACCCAGTTCCATCTGGGATCTAGGATCTGAGGCCCAATCTTCGTTTCGAGGCCAGTTTCCAAGCGACGAGTAGTGAGAGAGCTCGTTCCCGTCAGCGAGTGTTGATTGGGGCGTCAATGCTGAAGCCACACTCGTGTGAAAGAATGGCTGGTTCACATTGCTTCTCATTGGTAGCTTGGCTACCTCGCGGTTAGCGAGTAAGGCTGTGAGCACTGCCCAACATCATGTACATATTGGGTCTGTATATGGTGGATGTCTTCTCGCGAGCCTTGTGTGCTCAGGGATTTTTCCAAGCCCGTCACCTCTCAATCATTCTGTCAAGATGATCACCTTTCGCCCAAACTGTACTCTTCCTACGACCGCACCGGGATTTGTGGCCAGTCCAGATGTCCGCTCTACTATGAGCATTGTTTGGAGTTGCCTCACAGTCATAATCCTCTGTACCTGGTCGATCCTCCACCTCAACGTGCCCTTGCAGTTCAACAGCAAGACATGGCAACAGAAACTAGGGAGGTCCCTCTACCTGGCCAGCAGGAAGGCCGCGTGGATGCTCTTCACCCTCCTGGTGCCCGAGTTCACCATGGGCAAGGCCCTGGGCGACCTTCTCGATGCCCGAGCTAGCATGAAAGAGATCAAGGCACAGGCAGACGAAGACGGCGTCGACTGGACCGTAACACACTCGCTTTTTGCCAACATGGGAGGCTTTGCCGTGCGGTTTCCCGCACCTTCGGCGGACGTCGAGTTGGGGGCTGCGGAGACAGGCACGACTGACAACCGTGGGGAGAATTCCGGAGAATCGGAACAGTCTGACGGCACCTCCTCAACCGCTGCGCTCATGGCGAATCACTCAACCGTTCCGACGCCTCACTCTGGATCGTTTGATCTCCAGGGTGACTCCCGACCTGAAAAAAGTAAAAAGCCGCCACGGGATATACTTCGGTGGCTGGACGAGTTCATCAACCGCCAGTCAAACGCATATAAGAGATTCGGGGGACTCGATTGGGGGCTTGACATGACAAACCTCTCCGCCGTGAAGGAGGTGTTGGCGGAACACACAGATAAACTTGACGACATATCGCTTAATGCGCGACCTCTGGTGGGAGATGTCTGGTTTCTCAACAGCCGTCAACTGGTACAAGCCCGGAGCGCCGGCATCATCTCGCGGCTGCCGGCTGTCACTGAGGACGAAATCAACGAGAAGAGCAAGGGCGATGTCATGATCAAGCTGCTTGCCTTGGTCCAGGTCTGCTGGCTCATCGTACAGCTCATCGGCCGGGCTTCCCTGGGTCAGGAATCCTCCCAATTGGAGGTCATGACTCTGGCATATGCTGCTTGCTCGGCCATCACTTACATTGCCTTGTTCCCCAAGCCGAGAGATATCTCGAGGCCAATAATGGTCCCCTCGGCCAAGGCTCCCACGGCGAAGGACGTCAAGGAAATCGCTGAAGTCGGCAGCACTGATTTGGTCTGGCGGTCATTCTATAGCATCCCATCCGCGTCGGTTCCCGATATAGCTTTCATAGGCACTCTTGTTGGGCTGATCATTTTCAGCGCCATCCACCTGATTGCATGGAACTTTGTCTTCCCAACAAGGAGTGAGCTGATTCTCTGGAGGGTAGCAACGCTGCTCACTGTGGGAGCGCCGTCGTTCATGATCCTTCACGGATATATCAGCAAACTCTGGGAGAGTGACTCAGTTTTCGATACTTGTATGGGCTGCCTTGCATACCCCCCGATCTTCCTTCTGTTTCCTTTCGCCAGAATTGTGCTGATTGTAGAAGCGTTCCGTTCACTCTACTTTCTCAGCCCAGGCGCTTTCATTGCAACCTGGACAACCGAGATCCCACATCTGGCCTAGATAGTTTGCTTGAGGCGTTACTAGGATAGATCGATGATTAGGTTATCATGCGACATTTCTCTTTGCTGGCGTGGTAGAGCGATGGCATGCCGTAGAATTCTATAACCTGGTCAGCCATAGCACTGCGCGGGCTCTCACGGCCTCACTCCTCCCCGCAAAGGTCGACCATGTACATGTTGACCTGGAATCTTCCTGCATTCCTTTGCCCCTCCCCAATCCGAACGAAGATACGGAGTACGAAGGATACATGCTTTAATTAGCTTTTCTCCGGAAACGAGTCTGCAGCAAGGGAACATGGCGGTCGTGACGGTGTCGGCATGCCTTTGCCGATCCATTCCCCGGGAGATCCGTACGCGCCACGAGGCATTATGCGTCGTAACTCTCGCTTGACAATCTCCAGGACACTGGAGTATATTGCTCATGCGTAGAGCACTCGCCGAGAGGCGAGGCCCGGGAGATGGGGGTTGTATTCGAAGGCACCGGATACATGGTGAAGCGGCTGGGAGAGGCTTGCAGATAGAGCCTCAGCGTCTAAATATACACACATCCCCATGATTCGTCATCTATCTTGCCCAGCGGTTTAATGAATGGAGCGCCACTCGGGTCCGAGCCGCTGAGACTCGTCGCCGCCCCAGTTTACCCCCGCTGCTTGCGGTCGAACTTCCAGTCGAGCTTGCTCAAGGGTCTCCAAATGAGAAGCCCGGAGCCACGCAGCTGGAAACAGAAAACTGCTCAATTGAAAAAGCTTAGATCCGGGAACAGGAAATCTCTGGATAGTTCATCGGACGTCCGTGGTGAGGTTTAATAACCCAAGCCGGAGTTGGTTGGATAAATGCAGGTGAGCAATATCGGCCCCGAGGAATTGATCTTCGAAAGAGACGCCGGAAATGTCAGGAGAGGGCAGACCTCACCTTGAGGAGCTTTCTATAAATGAGGGCCGCCCGCCGGAAGCTGAAGAGGATGGCCCTGACTCTGGTTTCTCCTCTGTACGTGGTCAATTGAAGTCTTCAAGCAGCTGCTACTAAAAGCCAAAAGCAAACTCGCCTCCCCATCACCGTCAAAATGTTCTTCTCATCACTCGTCACCGCGGCCGCCCTTGCCAGCTCGGCACTAGCTATGCCCTCCCCCTGGCGCGCATGGAAGCACGCCGACGCGTGCCTGACCCGCGACGAGGCCACGGCCATGGTCGACGTGTACAAGAACCTGATCAGCGCCTACAAGGACGCGGACTGCGAGAAGTACTGCCACAAGGACTTCGCCGACTACTCGGACAGCATCAACACCTTCCTCAACCAGCCGCTGGGAGGCCCCACGTTCGCGACCAAGGACATCTTCATGGCGGCCCAGAACGAGAACCCGCCGTTCCCCCTGGTGGTGGACAGCATCGACGCCGTCGACTGCACTGTCATCGCCCTGCGCTGGCACGCCACCTTTGGCGAGGCCAACCTGCCCAACAAGGGCATCACCGTGCTCCAACTGTCCAAAGACTCCGGCGACTGGCAGATCAAGCTCATCGACACCGAGTTCAATGCCCTCACCTGGCTGCGCGACATGGGCGGCAGCTATGATTGGGAGGGCAAGACCTATGGTCCCGAGGCCGATGCTCCCCCCGCCTAAAGAGAGACAAGAGAGCATCCCGCTCGAGTGGGGTCGCTACCTGTTCGTTTCCTGGCTATTAGGTAGCATCCCCGGCTTGCTGTTTGCGGCATGATGGATAAATTGGAGCTTGTCTTTCTGTTTCCGATCGTATGTACATATTTCGGAGAATTCTGCGGCGAGCCTGGTTCAACGAACAGGGGAAGGCGGGATCAGTAAATACGATAAGATGCGCTCATATAGTGGCCGAATTAAAACCTGGCACTATTCCCATGATTCCCGTCCGACGGTGATCCGATGTACGGAATAGGTGGATGCTCTCTCCATTGACATCTACATAGCCAAATAGCTAGGTATATCCAAGCTTTGCGCACGGTCGGAAACTGGAGCTTATTCAGGCCCAGATCAGGTAAGGCGCTGAGCCTAGCCCCACTTTTAACCACACCCTCTTTATTCATTTCCCCTTCACAATAGAACCCAAAAGAGACGACAATAGAAAAGACCATGGAGACAATAGGAATGGCAGAGTCACTGGTCAAGGACAATAGGAGACATACTGATTCACTGCTCCACCACCTCCACAGATATTTATTCTGTGATTCTCTTGTTTTATGCTACAGGTTCTTATTGGCTCGAGAGATGGCAAGTGCAATCAGACGGACCGAGATTCCCTATGCTGCTCTTATTGTCCTCGACCACAAGAATAGAAGAATAGGAAGGCATCCTGCATCAATAAGGACCCAGCTCATTCTCATCCAAACATTAAGCAAGCAGGCAAACGGTAAAGCATTTCGGTCTGCTGAGGCATATAAATAGGGGTACAATTCCTCCCATTGCTCTGATCTCATCCCCCCTCCTCCATTTCACGACAACTCTATCTTTCTCGTACTTTCCTAGAGGTTTTTCATTTCATCCTCATTTCATCTTTCGTCCCTCTCAGATCTTTGGTTTGGAACCCACGCCAAATCACGAAATCTGAGACGCCGGTCTCGTAAATCCTGATTAAACAACTCCGCCGGGTGCCAGTGCTGCAGAGCATCAGATCTTCTTCAGGAGCAACATCAGCTTCGCAAACAGGTTCAGTTCTTCGTCACAGGCAGTAACACCCCTGCTTCACGAGCTTAGAAACCACACCACCACACCCACCCACAATGGCCGAACCCCCACGGCAGCCGCGAGAGCACCAGGGCCGGCATCAACTCCCTAAGGAGGAGCTGAGCTCGCCCTCAGAACCCCCGCCGGCGTACGTCCCGCCGGCAGGGGCGGTGCTGCTCGCACGCCTGGGCCGGCTCTTCAACAACAACCCGGAGCTAACCCTCTCGGCGGTTTCCCGCCCCGAACCAGCCGCGCCACCTCCCAACCCATTGCCGAGCGCGCTCGCCCACCTCGCCGGCATCTCGGCCAGCGACGCCGCCAACCGATCCGGGGCCGGGGACGCCGCGGCGGCGGCGGCGGTGCAGCAAGCGCACGAGCCCGCCGACGACCCCTGGGACGACGACCACTCGGAGTGCGAGGACCTCAAGTCCCCGATCACGATCCGCATCAACGCGGGGATACGCATCTCGTCCAACAGCAACGTGGTGACGCTGGCGGCCTCTCCCGCCGACACGTGCGCGCGCATCGCGCAGGCCGTCGTGGCCGGCATGCGCGAGGCCAGCGGCGGCGTGGGCATCCCCATGATCGACGAGGACGGGCACCCGCGGCCCCTGCGCATCGAGGTCGACGCCGGCCTCGACATCAACGGCGCCGGGAACGTCGTCGGCCGCGAGGACGTCGTGCGCGACATCTTGCGCATGAAGGCCGAGGCCGCCGCCACCAGGAGGGCCGAGGCTGGCGGGTCTGCCGCACACACACCCGCGTCCTCGAGGGTCCCCAGCGGCTCCGTCGTGCCGGATATCGGATCGATACCCATGCCCGGGTCGTCGCGCGTGCCGAGTGGTGTCGGGGGTCCTGGTGACTATGCTCCGGGACTATCGGACGTGTCTGGCAACGCCCACAACACGGCTCCGGCACCCGCTCCTGTTGGTGCAACTGCAACTGCAGCGGCGGCGGCGGCAACGCGTGAGATCGGAGCTCGAAATAGAGCTAGAAACGGGACAACCCCCGAGGCGGGGGCTAGCGATGACGGCCATGTCGGCCGAGTGGAATTCTGGGGCCGGATGAGGGCATGCAGCATCTGAATGGCTCCCCACTGCACCATATCGATCGAACGCCTTTCTTTGGTCATTGGGAGGCATGGAACGTATGGTCGGATTACAAGGTATCTCGGAGTCACGGTCGGTTGAAGGGGATATGCCAATACTGCTTTTATTGGAACCCTTGCCTGTTCCTTGAGTTTCCGGGGCTGGTTTTAGCTCGTTGCTTTGAGAAGGAATCGAGGAAATCGGTACGGGCTGCACGGATGATGGATTCGTGGATTGACGAAGATAGGGGTCCCAGGGGATCACCAAGAAATAGGTTATCTTACAGGCTCTAGCCTTTTATTAGATTGATTTATGATGATACACGTGAACACGACTGGCCTGTATTGACCCTGACTTATTGTGAGAAATGCTGGTGCTCGGCTGGCATTGTCAAATCAAAGCCGGTGTGAGAGTCGAAAGTTTCGAAGATTCAGCTTCCAACCTGGAGAAATGGGCTGTTGAATTGCCCAGCGTATTTTGCTGTTGCACCATCTTACTGTTGAGCGCCCCGATCTCAGATACTATGGGAGGTTCTTAGGACTGGCGGCAATTTTATTACGGGTTTTCACACGCTTCTTCAAAGGATTCGGGGTTCCGAAGCCAAGGGAACGGGAAGCATCATCCCAGCATTTCGGATGTCCCAAGTTTGTTGTCGATCTTGTCGATCCACAAAGTCTCCACTAACCACCCCGCCCATTACGCAGAACAGGGCAAACAGGCCTAACCTCTGCCCCCTTTCAGCTGGTTTAGGGAGATAGGACCTACAGTGTAGGCCAATCGGCGATAGCCGTCTACTGCTTCCCTGCTGTATTGCCGCCAAGAACCTCGCTCGCATTAGACCGTATGCAGTGAGCATCGCACTGCCCCGATCCCCCGGCTGAGGGAATACCTACATCACATTTTACACTAGGGGAGCCCGACGATCGCAGATCGATCGCCCGCACCCCCCTCCCCAGCCCACATATATGGGACACTCGCTCTCCAAATCAAAATCACGAGCAAGGCAGAAGAACCGCCCAAACCAAAAAATGGCGTCGCTCACCATCCGCAACATCACCGTCACGCCCCTCGAGCTGAAGCTCGTCGAGCGCTTCGAGGGCGAGCCGGTGCCTAAGGAGGGCGGCATGGCCGCTAACATCACGTCGGCCATCACGGGCCTGTTCAACGGGACCGCCCAGTCTCCGGCGGCGACCGCCTGCGTCGTGCCCCGCGAGGGCAAGCCCAGGGAGACCAAGGAGGTCTCGGGCGTGGCCATCGAGCCCTTCGCCACCCGGGCGACCGACATCCGGGCCGCCGACCCGGGGCGCGAGGTCCTGCGCCTGACCTTTGAGGAGAAGGGCCGGCCGGGCCACCGCTACGTCGTGGACGCCCCGGGGCCGACGTCTCGCAGCGTCGTGATGCGGCAGGGCGGCGATGCCGAGCACGAGTTCACGACCGTGTACGTGCCCTCGGGCGGGTTCCTTGCCATCTACAGCAGCGCCAACCTGTCGCGGTGGATGCGGGAGCTGCCCGACAAGACCCCTCTCAGCATGCTGAGCATCCCCGGTACGCACAACAGCCCGACCTGCCACGTGGCCCTGCCGTCGGTTCGCTGCCAGGCCGTGGACGTGCGCGAGCAGCTCGACAACGGCGTGCGATTCCTGGACATCCGCGTCAGCGCCAACCCGGGCGCCGACGACGACCTGACCCTCGTGCACAGCGCCTTCCCCATCAGCCTGACGGGATCCAAGTACCTGACCCACCTGCTGGCCCACGTCTACGACTTCCTGGACAAGAACCCGTCCGAGGTGCTGCTGATGAGCCTCAAGCGCGAGGGCACGGGCAAGGGCACCGACGGCGACCTGTCGCGCCACCTCTCGGGGCCGCGGTACATCGGCGACGAGGGGGGCAAGCGGTGGTTCACGGAGCCGCGGATCCCGACGCTGGGCGAGGCGCGCGGCCGCATCGTGCTGGTGCGGCGGTTCGGGCTCGACGACGGGGTGCGGAAGAGCGTGCACGGCGGGCGCGGCTGGGGCGTCGACGGGTCGTCGTGGCCCGACAACTGCGAGGACGCGCCCACGGGGAGCGGGCACTTCCGGGTGCAGGACTTCTACGAGGTCGACCAGAGCACCAACATCGAGAAGAAGATCGAGCTGTCGCGCAGGCAGCTCGAGCGCGCCGCCGAGCAGCGCCTCGACCCGGCCGCCCTGCAGCAGCAGAGCAAGGACAAGCCGTCGCCGCCGCTGTTTGTCAACTTCCTCAGCGCGAGCAACTTCTTCAACGCCAGCTGCTGGCCCGACAGGATCGCCGCAAAGGTCAACCCGGCCGTCATCGAGTACCTGTGCATGCGCCACGGCGAGCCGGAGAAGGGGCCCAACAAGCTGAAGGTCGGCGACGGCGCAACGGGCATCGTCATCACAGACTGGGTCGGCAACAATGGCGACTGGGACCTGATTAGGTGCATTGTGGGCTGGAACGCCAGGTTGCAGCTGAAGAAGTAGGGAAATTCGGTGCACCCGGTGGCCGGCTGGCACATACGTGGGACAGATCATGCATATTACAAGTCCTTGGACACAAGGGAAGGAAGCACAAAAATAGATATCCAGGTATTTAATTTGAGATCATGCACTACATACGGAACCGCTTCAACTTCGTAACCTGAAATCGTCGGAACGTCCATTCCCCAAGCCAGCTAATCCAACTACGGCACACCTAGACGCAAATCGAGTCAGCTTGATTCTCCCACATAGAATGGCAGACAAAAATGATTCGAGTAGACCTCATCAGTTCTCCAAGGTGAATGGAATGTCTCGTCACGATGAACTCAGAGTTAAAAAGCATAAGATTGAAATCATCCGAGAGGCAGGAAGGGAATTAACAAAAAATAGTACGTACCAACTACGACTGTGACGAGAAACCGCCCAGAAAAAGCAATTTACCTATCCAGGAGAATACCACGGTCAGCTCGATTCCCAGCTATTCTGCCACGACAGCGATGGTAGTCCCAAGGAAAGTAGTTGAGTCTATGACTTCAGTTAGCTTCATCCTGCAGGGAACCAGTATCGAGTGGGTAACTCACCTCATTAAATCAGAATTTGTTTAATGTGTTCATGTCAAGCCAAAAGGCAAGATCAAACAGTGTGAATATCACCTCATCAGGATAGAGAGAACAGAGACCGAGACGAGCAATGGATATTACCTGACATCAACGAGTCAGCCAAGGGTATTCAACACACAGGAGTTGAATAAATCAGGTCATCCTCGGCAATATCAGCTGACGACATCTCAACAAGAATTTCTCCTGGCATCCCCTCACAAGGTGTACAGCCCTGTTTTGTTTGAGAGGAGCCGAGGAGGCTTCGTTATGTCCGCCCGTTCGTTCAAACTTTCGTCATGATGCCAGGACGGAACTGAGTAGAAAAAATGAAGTCGAAATACCTAATACCTAATACCAGGCAAGGTGTTAGCAACACAGAAGCTAGACACAAGGTGAAGTCTGGTCAAATTGAAGGGTAGAAATCAGATAAGGCTGAAACAAGTGTGTCCACATAGTATATTAAGAATGAGGAATTCCCTATTTTGTCGTTTTGATCATCACGGAAATGGGGGTTGGGCGATATGAGCAAGTGAGGAAACCGACGAACCTTTTAGATCATAATAGCATAGAAGCTGGTCGTCAATGGGTAGGCGAGCTGCCGTGACACTGGATGCAAAACGTTAGCTCAGTCCAAGCTGCTATTCTGAATGCAGAAGCTGTGGTGGGCTTTGCTTTGCTCAGCATGATTCAAGTCCCCATGGTGTTGGTAAGATTTGGATTGTTCATTTGTTTTTGGTCATCACCGCGGGAAGGAAGGCAATTGGGGTATAGAGAGAGATCCTTACCTTGTCAATCGAGCAGTATGATGCTCAGGTCGCTGGTCCTCTTGGGGAGAGAAAATTGCTCGAGGGGAATCGTCAAGCAGGATGAGGAAGGACGGAAAGAAAAATTGAATGAGCTTGAAAAAAAAAGAGTACTTGAAGGTGGGACCCTGGTGCACGGACCTCACCGAATTGTGGCTGTGCGGGGTTACGGTATCTTCCGGTGTGGCGACCCCAGTGAGCCTTATACCAGAATCCCGCCCCTCCCGACCTCCTCTTCCTCGACTCCTCTCTCATAATGCATCTCAGCTAAACGACTTGCGGCATAAGGTTGCAGAAGTGAGGCTTACCTCCAAATAATCCAAATCAGGCACGCAAAATGTCTCCCGCGGGAGGCATCTGGGCCCCCGCAGCCCTTCGCGTGCTCCGCAAGGCGGTTCTCGCCACGAGCAAGGTGGTGCGGACCAGGCTTGCGGAAGCATCACGTCCTCTAGCCTCCGAACTACAGCCCGTCGCCGTCCGGTCGGCCCCCGGCGCCGGCCGCCAGCCCGTCCATCCCGCCGCCCTCCTCCGCCAGCAGAAGCGCGGCAAGTGGTACTCGACCACCTCCTACACCAACAATCTTCACGCCGCCGTCCGCCGCTACCTCAGCACCGCCGGACCTTCCCACGGCACCCCGCGCTTCGTCCGATCCAAGTTCCCCATCTCCAACACCTCCCGCACCGTCGCCCAGCTCACCGGCCGCGCCCCCTTCGCATCCACCCTCCGCCCCAACCTGACGGGCGGCACCCTCCCCCGGACCGCCGGCGGGTACGCGTCCCCCGGCGCGGGCCGCGCGGGCGGGGCCCGCTACTTCAGCCACACGCCGGCGGCGCCGGCGCAGGTGGTGCAGAGCGTGAGCCAGGCGATGCGCGCCTTCTGGCTGACGGGCCAGCGCGCGCGCCTCGACGGCGTCGGCCCCGACGGCCGGCCGCGCTACCGCGCCGTCGGCGTCGCCGTGAAGGAGGCCGAGGCCCGCCTGGCTGAGGGTGTCGCGCGGGGCGCCTACGGCCGCGCCCCGGGCGCCTACGTCGAGTTCCGCACTGCGCCCACCATCACGGCGCTGAGCCCGCTGGCCGCGGCGTTCCCGTTCAGAGGAGTCGGCGAGGAGGCGGCCGTGGCTTGCCTCAAGGCCGAGGCTGGCGCTGCGACGCTGCACACCGAGGGTTTCCTGGATGTCTTATCGGTGGACTTTGCGAGGGCGCTCAAGGACCTCGCGGCCGTGATGACGGACCTGAAGAGGCTGGCCCAGCTCGGCGACCTGCCCGTGACGCTGGAGCGGGGCGGCGCCGCGCTGCGCGTCCGCTTCCCCGGCGTGGACGCCGCCACGGCCGAGCGGCTGTGCGACGACGTCGGCGTCCAGCGGGGGCTGGTCGGCGAGGATCCGGGCTTCGCCGCGAGCGCGGGGGTCGGGGTCGCGCTCCGCTTCCCCTTTGCGCCCGAGACCGCCCTCACGTCGCCCGGCGGATCGCTGAGGTCGCAGGAGGGCTCGGAGCTGTCCTCCCTCGTCGACGATGCCGATTTCCTGGATGAGTACGAGGAGAACCCCTGGCTGTCATCGCCCGAACCCGAAGGTTACGAGAGCATGTCGCCTCCGGTCTTCTCTGGCTCGGGCCAGCACTGTTCGGAGGAGTTTGAGGGGTTGGAAGGGATCTACCGGTTCCTGGAAGAATGCGACCGTAGCCGTGGTCGATTCTGAGAGGGTCCAGCGTACATGGAACTTGGTTTTGCTGCGCCGGCGTAACATTGCGAGTTCGGAAATTGACCAAGGAATCGTGTTTGTAACTAGGTATGGGTTTAACATGGCATGGATGGAGGAATACCACACTCTTTTGTACATTACGCATACTTCAAGCTGAGAGGGCCATCATGCTCCGACTGGACGAATTCATTTTCTTTCTGTCAATTAAATCGGAACTTGTGCAGTGGTTCGACTTTCTGTGTGGCAGAAGCAAGGCAAAGCATAACACATGTTGTCTTATTGTCATACGTCCAACAGGTGGTTATTTGATGCCACACCACTCCCAGATCCACCTGGGAAACCTACATTGGTTATCTGTAACTCATTTTGCCAGCATTCCAACCATAATCCCAGCAACCAAGTATGCTACGACGGCGATGGGCAGGGCAGAATTTTAGTCTCGTCCCAACGAACGGGCGCCAGACTCAGGATCTTAACTCAAACCCAGCGGAGATACAGCGGTCTCATTTTAACATAACCTGGTCCATCACCTGGTCCATTAGCCATTGTCAAAAGAGTATTGAGAATTTTTAGATATCAGCAATTCAAGTGTGCCCATCCGAAACTGAGGGGGAATATATGATGGTCCACTTGCAAGGCGTCCACGCCACGCTCCTCAAATGGTATATGCAATGGCTAGGGAGGGACCAACTTCTCTTGAGGGCACGAGCACACGGAAGAAGCCGGCAAATTAAAGCGGGTGGAACGATCTCTATCTGTGCCTGGCAAGGCAACCCGGGGGCCTGAAGGCTTAGAAGCCTCTTCCTGCCCTCTTCCTGACCGGCTTCACCACCTCGCCAGAAGTGACAGTCTTGTTGATCTTGGCACTAAATTTCCCGGGTTTCTTCACCAACTTGAGTTCCTCCTCGGCCTGGATGCGCTCCTCGTGCCTCCTCTTGTCTTCTGCCATCTTGGCCTCGATCTCCATCTTCCTGTTGAACTCGGTCTCGGTGATCCTCTTCTCGCGGGCCGAGTAGCCTTTCTCCTTGATGGAGTAGAAGACGCCACCCAGCTCGGCCAGCCAGTGCGGGTCGACGGCCGTGACGGTGGACATGTACTCCTTGGACGTCAGGATGAGCTCGTGGTAGACGACGTAGTCGGGCAGGAAGCCCGAGCCGTAGAGCGCGCTGGTGGGGTGCAGCTGGACCGTCACGCTCGTCCGCAGGTTGATGTACTCGCCGATGCCCTTCACCTTGGCGGCCTGGTGGTAGTAGCCCGAGCAGATGCACTTCCGGATGGTGTCCCAGTCCGTCCCGCAGCTGATCATGGCCATTTTCTGCATCTTGATGATGTCCAGCAGCTGGTCGCGCACCTCCTTTGCGCGGCGTAGCGACTTGGAATGGAGAAAGTGGCGTATGCACCAGCCGTCGCTGTAGCCGTTGGCCCTCCACTGAGAGAAGACGTGTAGGTAGGTAAGGTGGTCGGACTCGGGCACGAAGAACTTTTCGCGGGCCGCGTCCGACTCCTCCTGGCGCTCCTTGGGGCGGTAGAAGACGTTCGGGACGGAGAGCATCGAGACGATCGTCACCATCTCTTCGCTGCACCCGTACTCTACCGACGTGATGAGAAGCTTGGCCAGGGAGGGATCCATGGGGAAGGCGTTCATCTTGCGTCCCAGCTCGGTAAGATCGCCGAGATTGTCCAGAGCTCCCAGGGCCCACAGATCGAACAGGGACGTACTGATTACGTCCTGTGGCGGAGGATCCATGAAGTCAAAGTCGAGGAGATCCTTGACTCCCAGGGACTTTAGAAGGAGGACAGTATTGCTGAGATTAGTCCTCTGGATTTCAGGTATGGTTTGGATATAGAGCTCGTCGTTGTACGCTTTCTCCGTAAATAAACGGTAAGCTTGGCCAGGACCAGTCCTCCCCGCACGCCCGGATCGTTGATTGGCGTTTGCCTGTGAGATGGGCGTGATCTGAAGCGTGTCCATGCCCATCTTGGGGTTGTAGACCTTCAGCTTTGAATAGCCTGCGTCCACGACGTACATGATGCCGTCGACTGTCAGACTGGTCTCGGCAATGTTGGTGGCGACGATGCATTTCCGTACGCCGGGCGCGGCTCGGTCGAAGATCTTGGACTGCAGATCCGCAGGCATCTGACTGTAGATGGGCAGGATGCTCAGCTTCGGGGGGTCGTTGAGCGCGTTCAGTCGCTCTTGGACCAGCTCGCAAGTAACCTCAATGTCCTCCTGGCCAGTCATGAAGACTAGAATGTCCCCCTGGCCTTTGGAGACGTGGATGCTGAGGATTTGCTGCACAGCTTGGTCCACATAATCTTCAACGGGAGAACGGTGAAACATGACGTCTACTGGGAAGGTTCTCCCAGGAATGATAAACTCGGGCGCTCCGCCATAGAAGTCGGAGAACCTCTTGGAGTTCATCGTCGCCGACGTGACGATCAGCTTGAGATCGCGGCGCCGCTGGAGGATCTTTTTGAACAAGCCCATCAAAACATCGGTGTTAAGGGCTCGCTCATGAGCCTCGTCCATGATCACGCACGAGTACCGATCGAGATCGGTCTCGTTGAGCGACTCCCGAAGCAGGACACCGTCGGTCATGTACTTGATCACAGTCTCCTTGCTCGTGCAGTCCTCGAACCGAATGGCGTACCCGACTGTACCTCCAAGCTTCACTTCCATCTCCTCCGCAACACGCTTCGCGACGCTCATTGCGGCGACTCTCCTCGGCTGTGTGCATCCGATCATGCCAAGCTTCCCGTAACCGTCCTCATACAGGAACTGGGTGAGCTGCGTTGTCTTGCCCGAGCCGGTCTCGCCCACCACAATGACGACCTGGTTGTCTCGGATGACACGGAGCAAGTCCTCTCGGACGGCAAACGCCGGAAGATACTCGCGTTGCTCTTTCAGCGTCCTGCTCTGGCTGAAGGCGCTCGCACCCTCCGATTTCCGCACATGGTCGCTGAATTTGTTCGACGAGGTTTTCCCGTTTTGCTGCGTCTTGGTGACCTCGTCTTCTGTGGCGACGGGCAGGGCACTATCGGTGTCCTCCTCCTTAACCCCCATCAAGTTCCCCAGGGCGGTCCCGGCCACGTTCGTGGCCTCATGTGCCTGCTTCTGGCGTTCCCTCTGCTGCCTTCGCTCCCTCACCACTCTGCTCCCCTTCCTGCTGAACACCGCCATGTCGCTCTGGTTGTCCCTCACCGCCGGCACAGGGTCCAGCTGCTTCGTGAAGATGGTTTTCCCGTCCAGGAAGGGCGGCTTCAGGTCGTGGACCAGCAGATGGACCCTCGTTCCCTCCTGCTCGTCCTCAAAGTCCTCCCCGAGGTCCCTCCGCTGCGCCACGCCCGACGTCAGCATCCGGTTGGTCTCCCAGGCATCGACGTCCTTCTGCTTCTGTATCTGCCGGGCGCTCATCCCCTTGGAGAACTGGGCCACCTTCTTCTCGACGAGGGCCGCCTCCCTCTCCTGCGCCGCCCAGCCGCTGCCGTCGCCGAACGGGTTGTGCGAGTCGTCGCCGAACGTGTGCCCGCCCAGGTCGTCGTCGCCGCCGTACCAGTCCCGGTCGAGCGCGTTGACGGCCGCCTGGTCCGTGACTCCCGGCTCCTGCCCATCAAACTCGGTCTGCCGCGGCGTCGACCCGCCCGCGTGCCTCGAGCCTGCCCGCGGCGTGGAGTCGCGAGCGGGGAAGGACCCGTTGCCGTTTCGCGGGCGACCGTGGGAGCGAGACGGGAGGTCCCCGAATCGGTCATCGGAGCGGAGGGGGTTGAAGTCCAGCTTGCGCCGCTTGTTGGAACGGTCGTCCTCCTGGTTGCGACCCATTGTGATACGGTAGGGGTAGGGGCCAGGTTCGCGGCGACCTTTAGGAGTGATTGCTATTCGACTTGATCAAGACCTTGACTGTGTCTGAGCTGGGACTAAGAAAATGTTCCAGGTGTGGCTGTGGCATTTGCTGTGGCGTACGGTGGCGCCCTGTGGTACGGCACAGTACAGTAGGCGCACTAAGCCGATAAGATAAAGACAAACGCCTTATTCAAGTCTTGTTAAAACTATAACTCATCGAAGTCTATGTGTAAGAGGCATCGCCACGGTCGGAATCATGCTTGGTAGCAGTGCAGTAAAGCTAATTCCCTACACGTGTCTCTTTCCTCGGTCAACTGCAGGTGGACATAAATTGTTGACGAGGTTACTGCAAATTTAAAAAATTTCTTCTTTTCTTCACTCACTCTCATTCCAAATTCGCATCCGTCGCCAGTGGTCAACCAAACATAACACGCCCTTGGACTGTTGGCTGAGCCCTGAAAAAATCAACATCACAGATCGCTTTTACCCAATGGAACAAGCTAAGTGGCATTTCTCATTCGGCTTGCCAGAGCATACCCCCCAACGCAAACCCAAGCAATCACCCCAGGCAGCTGGTCCCACGACGGCCACTCCGTTTCCGAGGTGAAGTCGTCTCGGTGCGGACACTAGCGGTTACTAGTGGTGACGCTCGCCTCAGTGCTGGAGCCTGGCACCATATGACGCACACGAGAGGTGTCAGCCGAAGCTCGGTAAATTGCGACGCGCGGCGAAGCTCTGGGGTTCGCACCTTTTGCGGCCGATGATGAACGCCAAGTGGTCGCAGACCACATCGGAACTGAGGCTGTCCAGGATATATCAAAGAGGCGTCAGCCAAAGGCCGACGACTTGTGGGTGTCCCCCTCATACATGCATAACCTCATCATTGCCCCAGGGCTCCGAAAGTCGTAGAAAACAATCATTGGGGGTCCTCACCTTTTCCCAGCCAATGATGAAAGCTAGGTTCTCATAAGTGTCCGCAAACCGCTCAGCCGGTTGTGTCGGGATGTGAAGCCCTGAGGCAGGAAGTAATCCGAAAAGGCGAGGGGGCAAATGCCACGTAAAGACGAAAGGGGTCCAGTGCCACTCAAAGTTGAGCGGTATAAGGGAGGAGACAGACACGAGAGAGAGTTCGAACGTTGGCTACGGCGGGCTTTTTTTTTTGGAGATCGGTCCCGATATCCGCACTGCGAAGAAGCACCTCAGACGAGAGAAATGGCTACTAAGACACACGGGCTCACTCTCCATACACGAGAGAGTGCGAAGCGGAGGCTGGGCTGACCGCTTGGATCGAAGGTCCCGGGCTGTGAACCGGGCGCGATCGAGGACCATGTGTCCTGACGTAAAACAAACGGACGAGAGGGACGGAAGAGGTGAAGATGAGTGAAGAGGGTGAGCTAGTCGACGGAGGGGGGCAACAGAAGCCGGAAGACGACGGCTATGAGAGCCAGGGGGCGAGCTCCACAAGAGCCAGAGGACGAGCGCGACGGGAGACGGGGGACGAGGTCGATAAGAGTCAGGGAGCATAGCAACAAGAGCTAGACCACGAGGTCGACAAGAGTCGGCAACGGGGGCAAGATAGATACGGACGACAGGTAAAGTCAATGATCAATGAAGCAAAGAGGGGAGATGGAGGAGAAGAGGACTGGGTCGAGGAAATGAGCGAGAGCTTAAAAAGGTATGGATTCCCCGAAGTTATTCGACACTTCCCAAAGGCTAAAGTTATTGCAGGGTTGCTTCCTACAAGCTACAGACGGGGATTCAGGCGCAGGAAGGATGGCCGAGCCTGGAAAGGGAGCGTTGTTTACTTTCAATGGCATTTGTGGTCGAGGTAACCGCAGGTGTTGTTTAGGCAATGGCGTTTACGTCTCTGACTACTCCCTAAACTCTTTCCTCCGAGAGAGAGAATCAATAAGGAGGCACAAATGGCGCGATAAAACCCTTCTTTAGGCAATGGCGATACAATATCACAGCTAAGTCTGTGGTTGCTAGAATATTCTAGGACAGCGCATGAGACTTTGCCTCTGGACTTTGCAGGCGCAGGGCGTTTGGGGGGTTGTTTAGGACTTTCGGGGCAGCTGCCCCGGGCTCTAACCTCCACTTTCCACAAGGTACCTTAGATTCAATAAACAGGCACGCTTTCCTCATCACGATTTCCTACGCAAAAGGCAAGAGCAGTAGCACTTGGCTAAAGTTCTTCACTTCGGTTCTACCCGTAATTATGTCACAATCTCACACTTCTGTAACCGCAAGAGGCGGGCGTATTAATTAGATGGACGTTCCGATTGAAACGGACGATGTTGATGAGGATCGCGAGGGCGCTTCACGGAAATGGAAGCTGCACTGGAGCTTTATTTACGCCTGCAAGCCCCCTCTACATCCGCCGGTCTAACCGGCAAGCCGGGGTTGGCGACGCCTTCGTCACAGAGGTGACGGAAGTTACAAACAATTGTGAGACAAAAGGAGACTCCAATTATCCACATAATTGTTACAACGTATATTGTTGGTAGAAGTTGGCGTCAGATCTAAAGATGGACAGGTCCTCTAGGCACCTATGCATTAATACAAGAACTGGTACGACCTGAGTTCGACAATGTCGTATGGGTCGAGCGGGGGGACTTGCCTCGAGTCTTTGTCCTCACATTGCCCCCACGTTGTTCCCCACCCTGGCAAGGAGGGGGGATCCATGCCAAGCATGAGGCTCATCAAAAGCAACGCCCTTCGCTCTCCCACTCAGGGGAGCAGTCCTCATTAACATCTCGTCCCACCACTCGAGACTCCAACCGCGGAGCATCTCTGGTAAAGATCCCTGTGGCCTCCCTTCTTGCCCTATCCTCATACTTTCCCCTCTTGCCCAACGTCCCACCTGGCAGAGCCAATGACAGAGACAAGTAATTAGCACCCATCCGTGGCATCTCTCCTCATCCTCCTCCCAACCCCGCGATGAATTCGCGGTCGAGAGGGGTTTGAACTGGGTGGGAGGCGGCGTTGCAGAACACAGTTTAGCCGTAGCTACCTTGGTAAGCTTGTTTAATCTGTTCCTGGTCGACCGACAGGAAGTTCTCCCGAAATTCGCTCCAACATCTTCCAGCAAGATGGAGGTAGTGAGGAGGACGGCTGTGAGAGACAAGGGGTGCCTTTCCTAATAAAGCAAAGGGGATAAGGGATGGGGATAGGGATAATAAAGCACTGTACCAAGGCAAACCTGGACGCATGAGAGTCAATCTTGGTAAGCTTCTAGGCTATGTACTGTCAAGCACAACCAAGCATACTTGTAGGCGGTATGAAAATGCCAGTCTGCCATGCCAAGCAACACTAGACTAGCAAAGTGAAGTAGAATGTAATCCGGCTCAAGGTAGTTCTAAGTGAAGTGGCTTACCACCTGTGCTAGATAAAATCGCCGTCTCCCGAGCACGCAGCCAACACCTTCCTTCTCACGACAACAACAACAAACGTCTCATGATCGGCGAGCATAGCTGCGGCAACTGCTAGCCTGGATCACCGAGACGACTCGCTGCCATAATCCATTCAATTACTTGCCCAAAATAACAGAAACAAAAATGGTTCTTCCAACACTCACATCTGCCAAAGGCCGTCCTGGAGCCGAGAAGTCCCGCAACTCAGAGGGTAAGTCGATGACCAAGAAACAGGGATTTTTTGCCTTGCCCTAGCTAACCGTTTCCCACTCTCGCAGATAAACAGGGACCACCTCCATAGTCGGCAATGGATGACCTCAAAATGGGCCTCAGGGTCTGCGAAACCGAGCACGGTATCCTCAATATCGCCCCAGAAGTCCTCGGAACCATCCGAGATTTCTACCGAGAGATCCTCGACACCATCCGAGACTTCTACCGAGAGGTCCTCGACACCATCCGAGACTTCTACCGAGATATCATCCAGCTCATGATCAACTACGTGGCCCTGGCATTTGCAATCATCCTCCTGATTGCCACTGTCCTCTTTATGGTCGTTCTTGTTGCCAAACCAGAGATCCTGGTCAAGGCCCTCTTGGGCTAATCTCTCTGGCAACGACTGGAAGACGGGGGAAGCATCGGAAGCATCGGAAGCATCGGAAGCAGACAATGGCTCGGCTCACTGGCGGCGCGGATCGAAGGCATGGCAGGTTGGGACGCGCGATGACAAGGACATGAGAGAAGGACAAAACTGAGTGCGAGGCGATGGGTTGATCATGAAGCTGCCCTTGTACACTTGGACGGTCACGGTTCCTGGCATGGACTCTTCTGTTTCCATTGTAAACATGCATATCACACATGTCACCCCTACCCAAGGACCTTGGCATCCAATAGTGTTTATCCCCTAACTAGAAGTCAACACCTACATCATTCCCACTGCCTGTCACGATGACCCGGGACCCTCGACCAAGTTGGCCAACTTCGAGAGACTCCACTGTGGTGTGGAAATTCAATGTTCCTTTGCTATCAACACGTATTGAGGTTACATGCAGCACGTAGAGTCTGTCCTGCCAGTACAGAAAAAGACGATGCGCCGGAACCCACGACAGAAGTGCGCAGAGCCTCGTCACCAATGTAAATTGATTCGCCAGCCGTAGCAGCCATTCGCAACAAGACGGTAATAGGGCCACCACCACCGCCGCGACCGTAGACGTAGGGTGGCAGCCGGATTATGCTGACTCTGATATCTCTCTCGCCGAGGCCCAACACGTGGTACTCAGAGCGAATGCCCTTGAGCAGAGGGTTTGCTCCCTGTGCGACCGGTGCATCTTCCGCTGTCTCCCCGCCCGCCGGATCCGGCTCGGCTGGCCCTGTTCCAGACGTCACGAGGAGAGGTTTGCCACTTTCCTGGAGGCCATCGCCGATCGCGTCTAGCGCTGCGGCCTCAATGCGCAGCACCTCTTTCGTCTCTGCCGTAGGGTCGTGGATACGCGTGAGATGCACGACAACGTCGGCATTGGCGCTTTGCTCGCGCAGTGTCTCGAGAGAAGTGAAACTCTCCCCACACCGCCGTCGCCCCCAAAGCCTGTAGTGCCGCATCGCCATCCCCGGATCGGGATAATCCCATAGACGTTGTAGCCTGCGGACAAGGCCATCTACGTGATAACTTTGCCGATGTAACCAGTGGCCCCAGTGACGCACATCCGCAGCCGTCTACCGTCGGTGGCGTTGACCGGTGTAGGCATCCCTCGTTTCAGCTCAGGGGTGCACCTGCGTGACCTGGGTATAGCTCAGATAGATAGAAGAGGAAATCTTTGAAAGATTCCACCAGGATCGCCATGTACCGCGGGAAAATAAGACTTAAAACGGATGGTAAGGTTCTTGGTAGATAGGATTGAGACTTGGCTTTCTTGGCTTTTCGTTCTACTACACTGAAAGTTAACTAACCTTCCCTAACACTGACTCTGCTTAAGCACTTTTCTAGGCAGCATTCAACACATCAGCAAATCAATATCAAAATAGTATCCTTTGCCACTCTGATAGCATCAACACCCTAGGTTATAACAGTGTATCTCTACCTTCTTTCCCTTGCTCTATCTTCATGCCTTTGCCTTTTATTCGGCCATATTTATGAGTCGCCTAAGGCAGGCTTATCATTTTGACAATAATTCTCTTGTTAACAAAAAGCAAGAGTAGGTTCTAGACTACCTAGGTAGAAGTCTATTTGACACATGCAATTGCTCTCCAATCCAAGCTAGGTGTACAATGTTAGCCAAATTTGGTCCTTATAGCAACTGTAACCGGGGGCCGAAAACAGGTCGCATCCTTGAACTCACCCGGCTGTGGTGCTCACTGCGCCTTACCGTCTACTCAGGTTAAAGCAGCAAGCTGCTCAAGTTCTACGATTAATACAAACTTGGTCAGAAAAAGGTGTCGGGGTTGACTATGGAGGTAGGTAGCCCGTTGTTGGGTTATGGTAGTGATACTTGAGGACACAAGAATCTCATGCCCAGGACTACTGACTAGGTAGGTAGCTCCTTGAATAATATAAGATTACACGATAACTCCTTCCCGCCCAACAGCTAAGGGGGTTTGGCTGATAGCCGAGACGTCGAGACACTTGCAAGAATCTGGTGCCATAATTACCCTCTTCGTTGTCCCTTCCTCCCTCTGACTCCTCCCAACACACACCAGAAAATCCTCCAAAATCACCCAAACTCCTTGATCAACATATCGTAAATATGACTCACACTTAAACAATGAGCGGTAATAACATGGGAACGGCACTCAACCATGAAAGAGAGCTAATACATGATGATAGGTGTCGAACTTAAGGGGAAGACTCGCAACAATTGAGGTCAGAAAAAAGAAAATTAGAAACTCGAAAAACGACGCACAGTGGCGATGCCATCAAGCCAATTATCGCAAAGACTGGAAAACGCCTCCTTCTCATGAGCAGCAATTGGAGCTGTGTCGCCCACCGTAACGTGTGGGCTGACTTTGAGGCGTACATACATACCTACCGCAGTACATACATATACCCCGCCGGCAGCCCAAACCCCCACCAAAAGAATCAGCTCACCGCCTTTAAAATTTTGGCGGTTCTGCTTGGCAGAAAAACAGTCATCCGTACTTTTGGTGGAATTTTTCGTGATGCACAAGAGGATGGGCAGCTAGCTAGCATACACCGAGAAAAGGGCATTTTAGACGTACCTTTCACTGAGTGCTTCAGCCATGTCTATGATCACGACAACCGCGTGGGTGCCGCGTGGCTTTGCGGCGCCCTTCCCGACAAAGTACACTTTCGACGAGGAAGAGTTTGAGCGTATCGCCAAATTGGCGAAGCTCCAGCTTGACGATGCCAAGGAGGACCTAGAAGAGGCCCAGGAGGAAGCACAGGAGGGGGCCAAGGAAGAGGCCCAGGAGGAGGGCGGATCAGCGCCGACTGAAACAAAACGGAAAAAGGGCAAGAAGGCAAAGAAGAACAAGTTCGTGCTTGCCATTTGCAAAGCTGCTGTCATCTGCTGACCGGTGGTAGAATTTCTGTTGATGACGACGACTTGAAGGAGTACGATCTCGAACACTATGACGATGATGACGAGGAAGGTGTCGAAGGCCAAGAGATGGCCATGTTTGGGAACGTCAAGTCATTGGCATACTACGAGTCAAATAAGGATGACCCGTACATTACCTTGCAGGGGGAGGAGGAGGACGAAGATCGCGAGGACTTGCAAATATTGGCGACGGACAATCTTCTGCTGGCGGCCAAGATCGAGGACGAATTGGCGCATCTCGAGGTCTACGTCTACGAAGATGAAGCCGACAATCTCTATGTCCACCACGACATTATGCTCCCCGCGATACCTCTCTGCGTCGAATGGCTGAACATACCAGTAGGAGAAAAGCCGGGGTACGGAAAGGACTCGATAGCAAATTTCGTGGCCATCGGAAGTTTCGACCCGGACATCGAGATCTGGGACTTGGACACGGTCGACTGCATGTACCCGAATGCCATTCTGGGCCAAGGAGGCAATGCGGACGAGGACAAGAAGAAAAAGAAGAAGAAGAAGTCGAAGAAGGCAAACGACGAGTACCATGTCGACGCAGTGCTCTCCCTGGCCGCTAATAGGAAACACCGAAATCTCCTGGCATCGGCGTCGGCGGACAAGACGGTCAAGCTCTGGGATCTGCACACGACCAAGTGCGCCAAGTCATACACGTACCATACCGACAAGGTCTGCTCTCTCGCATGGCATGCGGTCGAGTCGACGGTGCTTCTAAGCGGCAGCTACGACCGCACCGTTGCAGCGGCCGACATGCGGGCGCCAGATGCCCAGCCCACAAGAGTAGGTGTCGAGAGCGACGTGGAGAACGTGCGGTGGGACCCGCACGACCCCAACTACTTCTTCGTGTCTACCGAGAACGGACTCATTCACTACTACGACATCCGCACCGCGTCGACCGATCCCGCGAGCAGCAAGTCGGTGTGGAAGCTTCATGCGCACGACGAGTCCGTCTCGTCCTTCGATCTCAACTCGGTCATCCCGGGCTTCATGGCGACCGGGTCGACAGACAAGACCGTCAAGCTGTGGAACATCGGCCCCACGGGCCCGTCAATGGTCGTCTCGCGCGACTTCGACGTTGGCAAGGTCTTCAGCGCCACCTTCGCGCCAGATGCGGAGGTCGCCTTCAGACTGGCGGTCGGGGGCAGCAAGGGCACTATGACTGTGTGGGACACGAGCACCAACGCCGCCGTCCGCAATGCATTTGCGCAAAAGCTCCCCAGCGGGGCCGTCAGCGCTGGGGATGGAGCGGTGGAGGACAGGCTGGTGGGGATTGACAATGACGAGGACAGCAGCAGCTCGGAAGGGGAGGATGAGGACGATGATGAGGATGACAACGGGGCAGCTGTGGACCAAGAAGATGAGTCGATGGACGATGCCTGAGAATAGAAGACGAGGGAGTGGACATCTAGCAGTACTGCCTGGATGGAGGTTTTCTAACAGAAGAACATTTGAACATCTGGCAAAGAACTACAAAGATTTGCACACTAGGTGATGACGTCGGCATTGGCCTGTGTAGCTGTACCATCACAGGCTTGGGCTTCATCCATACGGCCCTGAGCCAAGGAGTAGGGGACGGGGACGGGTGCCCGTTATAAAAAGCCGAATAGGACTACGCTTTTACACAGTAAGGATGTCGGGCAAGCCTCCGAGAATTTAATCTAGATTTCCATTCCCGGGCTTCGGAAGGTTGCGGCAGAACCTCGTTCATGCGGCGCCGAGCGGTTAATTAACCGTTGAGACGCTAAGATCGACGGGGCGACCACCGATGGAAGTTTCCATGCTGCGGTAAACGGACGAACGGCGAGGTCTGTGTACACGGGCGGGGACTGCATTGCATGGACTGGCATAGATGCGATGCTGACTCCGATCATCCATGCCCATAAGCAAGCAAAGAAGGCTTTTTGATAGATGGCCTTGGAAGTCGTCCGTCTCTGCCATCAGCGGCCTCCGATATTTTCGCAGAACTCACCCAGTCATCCATTCGACCCAAGTGGGTTCCTGTCGATGATAAGCATGCGCCCTTGCAGCACATGCGCGAACAGCTGGGGGGCAATCCTTACATAGAATGAGTGAAGTTAGTTGGTCTTTCTCAAGAAGAGCGGCTAAAATCTGAAACGAGAGCCCCTGGCGGGCTCAGCAAGCCCCAACTGGGAAAAGGGGGAATGGAAGAACACTGGGCCAATAGGAGCCTGTTCCCACCCGCCCTGAGCAGGCTGCGTTTCATTGCAGATCCTTTTTATGGGCCCGTGGTCTCTCCCTTACGTGGTATGTGGCGAACATGAGAGAAATAACGCTGTATCTTAAGGAAACGCATTTTTGGGCATTGATTGTTGTATTGATTCCTCTGATTATTGATTACTGATTACTGCCAGTTTAAAGGCAGATGTGTGTTCCTCAGATGATGGTCCACGTATGAAGTCGGCCTGAAAGCTACCTATCTGCTGAATTGGACATGCCTAAGTATCAGGGTCACACCACATATGTATGTGGAAGTGAAGTACATACAAAGAAGCGCTGGCGGTGCCTCATGTAGAATCTTGTTGGTCGTCGGTTACAAGCAGCTGCTTCTAACGTCACCGACCCATCAGCGCATCCACATGCAGCCAGACGGTAAATCTGTCGGTCGACAGTCATGATCGGGTCTAGATCTGACCATTGCACGACAGAGTTTGGAAGAGCAGAGCCGAATTTACAGATCGTGGTGTAATTCCGTACCGGGCCAAAACCCGCGATGGGTCAGGTGGAGAGTGCGGTGGTGGGACCGAAAGTGGGCACATAGAAAACCCTTTTTGCCTGGATCATTTGACAGGCTCCCCTTGCCGAAGATGATGGCCGCCAATGGGAGGATTGAATGCAAATGGGGCGACCCACAGGATGTGAGCAGGGATTGTTGTTGTTATGCTAAGGCCAAGTTAAGCCATATGCCCATCCGTGGGCCGTGGCACTCCTCCGATTTCACGCTTGATCTTCAGGTACCTATGCAAGGTTTGCACAAACCGACAATGTACTGCGTATGCTCATCATCGGACGATGGAGCAGGAGGAACCTGAAGTTAAGGCACTTTCACCGCAGTAGCTAAGCGTGATATGGCAATGGGTTATGTGGTACTTTCGAGTCTACCTAAACAAGCATGGAGCTTCAGCTCCATGCCTACCCCAGAAGGGCTAGTCCAGGTACTCGTCGATTTCCATCCCCACCCGGGTCCCCTTGCCCATCCCTGATCCCACACCCCATCCCGTCTTCACCTTCCCCGTCACTTTTATTTTGTCTACTCCCCGGGCAGCCACACATGCTTTTGAGCTCTCCTCTTCACTGTCCATCGTCAACTCTCCTTTGACGCTTCTTCTCATCATTGACCCCTGGGTATCTACCTACTTGTCGCAGGCTCGAACTTCAAAATCCCACCTTCATTTCCACCACCTTCCATTCTTGTCAGTCGTCACTATCGAGAGAGACATCAAACTCAGTCGAGAGTGACCCCCATTTCACCAAAACATCTCTCCTTCACATCCATTCCAGCACAAAGAAATAGTCGCCTCACAAAGGGACTGGATCCCACGTGTTAAAACAGCCTCCTCCGGAACCCTTCCCAGAACTGCTCCCGCCCTTTGGATTTTCATTTCTCTTCGCAAGAGTCACCGACGCCTGTTTCCCCACGGAAGCAAACCTAGGGACAGAGGCATTATAAGTCGCCTGTTGCTCTGGCAGTCTTTTATTTTGCGCTCCCCCACCTGGCTGGATTCTGCACCAAACGGTCCTGACAACTCGGGACTTGACCACATTCACGAGGCCTTCTGCCAGAACGGATGTGACCAGGTCACCCGGGGACCATCAACCTTCCGCAAATAGTCGAGAGGGGTACACTCACCTGCATCATACCGCTTCCAAGAAACGGCGCACCCAATCGCACCCGCTCCTCTTACTACGATCCCGCCCTCACTCACACCTGTCCTAAAGGCCGTGACCCCGTGTTCCCGTCTTGCAGGTCCGACCGCTCTGATCTATTGCTGCTTCAAAATACAGCCACTGGAACTCCATATCCTCCAGTCAAGGTCGCCAAGGTCGCTTATTACCCACTACTTTATCACTTTATCTTCACCTCGTACCGCCGCCGACTCTAGCCAGGTCGACCCAGTCCTCTCGCCGCCGCCTCGCAGAGGTGACTTGCATTTTCTAATTGATCCATACCTTCTGTCTGGGACAGCCGCAGTTCGCAATGTCCATCACACGAGCCTTCACGACCCGGAGGGTCAAGCAGAGCCTTGAGGCTGCAGAGGCGAATTCGATGCCGCAGCGGAGCAATACGACCAAGGGTTCAGTTGGCTCAATCCGGTACAAGATATCAGGCCCTGTAGAGCTCATTCATACTACCAACATGCTCTCCTACAATGCGCCAGACATCTTCCCCAAGACCGTCTCGCCCACAGCCTCGGCCTCATCAGCGAGATCTGATGACAGCCTCTCAGAAGGCGCCCTGACAGCCGCCTCGTCCCCTCCCACCAGTCCTGACGTCCCGACCCAACGATGCGCATCCCCGGAGCCGAATCGGTTGTCTACGTACTTCACCGCGTCGCCGCAGGCGGCCGTGCCTGCCACGAAGTCCGAGGCCCCTGCTATCCCACAGCGAGCGCCGTCCCACACCAAGAGGGGCACGTACGAGTCGCTGAACCGCCAGCGGTCAGCCTCCCGTTTGTCAGAGCAGTCGAGTCGGACCGTATCTACCAAAGCCAGCCTTACCTTCTCGCGTTCGTCGTCCGCCAGCACCAGCACATCCGCCACCTCGCGTGCGTCTTCGACCCACCACAAGGCCTCGAGCCCGTCGGCCACCCCGCAGTCGCCCGCGCCGAGCACACCTGCTTCCCCGCCCGTGCAGTTCCATCACAGGAGGGAGTACTCCGAGACGCACCCGTTCGGCCAGGAGCTGGCGCAGGTGACGGAGATCGCGGAGGAGTATGGTCTCAAGGAACGACTAAACGTCATCGACGAGGAGGAGCAGGAACTAGCCGCGAAGGGCCTCTTTAAATTCAGCGCCGAGGAGTACATGTCCGAGATCAGAGACATCTTGTCGACTTTCTTCGGAGAACCCCGACCCGCGGCTGCCATGTGGATCTGATCCCACAGGCAGGTTGTCAGGTGTCTAAGAGAGGAGGTTGCGCAAAATTCGCTGTACATACATTTTAGGGTTCTTGGGAATGCCCGGCGAGGTGGATGACGGACTGCTCTATCCGACCTGCATGAACCTTGGAAGGGACGGAAGGGCAACCATGGATTGGACCGGTGTTTGATGATAATGGTGGATGGTTTTTGCATTTGACTTTTTCTCTCAGGTGTTCGCCTCTTAGGCGATGATTCGCACATCTCTGCGCAAATCTCATTTCTAGGAGCATTCGTTTTTATTCTTATCGTGAGATAACAATTATTACCCCATGCCAGGATTGATGGCTGCAAATACACGGCATTCTCTCACTACTCATACTACTGCACTGTTCGCGAATAACCTCCCATTATTGACATCATGAATTTGGCTAACTGGAGCCAAACTCTCTCTATCCATGCGCTCACGCCAAGGGGCAGGAGACACAAATCCAACCAAGGAAAGTATATTTCCATGACAGCACAGCACACATCGTACAGAGAGAGAACCGAGAGTTCACGAACTGTTCGAGCTGTTGACCTGTCCTTGACGTCACGGCCGGCTACCTGCCTCGGCGGCCTGCATACATACAGGAGGAGGAGGCATGAGGACGCTGTCTGTCACGTTTCCCGGCTTGTGACTGGAAGTTTCAAACTGCCTTCTTTTCTTTTCTTTCCTTTTCCCTTTTTTCTTCTTTTCTTTTGGTGGGTTACACACATACGGAAGCACCTCACCTTCGACCGGCCGCATAGAAACCGGAAGAAGCCTAGAAGACCTTTTGAAGAAGAGTCCTCGACCATCAAACCGGGAAATTTCCCAAAACGCAGACGAAAAAGATAAGAGATGGTAATGGCTTAAACCACGCAGATCTGCAGGGTCTGTTCTCCCTGGTAAAGCTTGGTTCCATGGGTGGAGGGGTGGAGGGAGGAGGCGGGACGATCTGACGATGACTGCGTGATGTGCCGCCGGGGGTTGGGATCGAAATCGGGCACCGGGTTTGATGTTCCCTCATTCCGCCGAATCTGGGTGGGATGGATGTACCGAATCTTCTACCGGGAGAATGATAGGGTTGGGGACCTGGCATTTTCTTCTCCCCCTTTTTTCTGAGGGAGTTAGTAGGGGGGACCTCGTTGTCAGCAACCCATCCGTCGCATATCGAGTATCCCTCCTTGGCTTAAGAGATAGGTAAGTAGAACAGAGGATAAACAAAGTGTGCTGCCTCATAGCATCCCAAGATAAAGGGGCCGCAGGAAGCATATCCGAAGAGCAACCATCAATTCTCTACAGTATGCGACCCTGTAAACCGTAAACATACATACATCCCTTTGGTGGTCTCTCTAGATAGGTAACCAAGCCGTTCGTTCCCTGTACACAATCGGCCCCATTCGTCCCATCTCTTGCCTTCCGTGTGTGTGTATCCAGCTCTAGCTGGTGTCTCGACTCTTCTAAAAACCGCGTAACCGTACAGTCAAGTAAGCACGAGGAACAAAACGCCCAATGATGAATAATTTCCCCCCTTCCAGCAATGCATCTCAACAGTAAAAAAATAAATAAAAAAAGAGGAAGGAGGGAAAAAAGGGGGGTATTAAAGAGATAGAGAAAGAAATCCTAAAAGTGTTCTCTGGCGTAAAGCCATTCCCGGAGAAACTCGGTGCATTCCCCAAAGGCACAGCTTCACCATGCTCCGATATCGATCATTGTCGCAATACGACAGATCCTAACCAGGTCATCCGCTCCCCTGCCAACTTGCCCGGCTGGCTATGCAAAGGTCATGGAGATCTCCTTCTCCTTGCCGAACTCCGCGTCGTCCTCGGCCCAGGGATCTGACAGCGTGATGTTGGGCACCGTCTGCGACGCCCCCCTCATCTCCGGCCTCACCAGCGCGGTGGTGGCGGTGGCGGCTTGCTCGGAGGAGACCATACCGCTGGGGTGGCGATCCTTGGGCGGCGGCGGCGGAGGCGGCGGCAGCTCCGTCTCCGTCTCCACAAACGACGTGTCGAACGTCATCTGGATGCCGTCGCCATCAAGGTTGCCGGCGCCGTGGTGGCCGGTCGCGGGCTCGGGCTCGGGCGGGTGATAGTGCCCGTTCGCGGCACTCGACCTCCCCGTGGACGGGCTCGCCGTGGACGGGCTCACCGCGGGGCGATCTCCCGAGACGCGGTACTCGTGGGAGGAGCGGTAATCCTGGGACGAGCGATACTCGTGCGACGGCCTGTAGGGCATCGCCTCTGCGCTCTTCGTCTCCCTCAGCGAGTCGCGCGGGCGCCTGGCGGAGGAGGGCGGCGGGGTTAGGCCGGGGGGGCTGGCGGGCGGCGGGCCGAGATCCAGCCTCATCGGGGGCAGGGTGCTCTTGATCTCGCGGACCTGCAGCAGCTCTGCGTCCATGGGGTCGATCCCGCCGCCCGACTGCTGCTGCTCCTTGGCCAGCTCGGCGCGGATGGCGTCGACGTCGAACAGCACGCCGTGGTTGTTGCCGTCCGTGTCCTCCGTCTTCCCGTTGGCGCCCGGCGCGCCGCCGCCCTTGGCCGAGTCCTCGTACACCTCCCACTCCTGCCTCCGGCCCTTCTTCCTCCGGCTGAAGAAGCCGAACGCGCCCTTGGTGCCCTTACCTTCCTTCTCGAGCTCCTTCCGGGCCTCCTCGATCTCGTTGATGAGCTCGCGCTGCCTCTCGGCGTGGTTCTCCGGGTCCGGGTCCTCGATCTCGGTGAACTCGTCGCTCTCGACGAGCCAGCCGCGCTCGCGCAGCAGGCGCGGCATCGCCGTCCGGTACTCCATGTGGCCCTTGACCGCGTCCGTCAGGTCGACGTTCTCCAGCCCGTGGATCCCCTCGATGGCGGCGAGGCCCGCGATACGCCGGATGCCCCCGTTCGTCAGCCGGAATAGGTAGCCGAGGATCCAGTCGTTGCGGTGGTAGCCGTTGACGAAGCGGCCGCTGACAACGGCCCGGGCGCGGATGTACTCGTCCTGCTTGACGACGACGGGGCTCCCGAACAGGTAGACGTTCTGGACTAGGCCGAATGCGCCCCTGCGAGCGAGCTCCTGCAGGCAGGAGAAGATGACACGGCTGCCGAGCGAATAGCCAACCAGGGTAATAGGGCGGGTGCCTAGATTGCGATCGATGAGGGAGTCCGCTAGGATGAGGCCTGCCGCCGTCGCGCGGTCGAGCGACACGACCCAGGGATTGTCAATGAGGTAGGAGAGCTTTGTGAGAACCACGGGAAGCTGGAGAGCAGCCATGAGTGAGACGAGGATGGTGCTTCCGAGGAGCTGCTGTAGCCCCTGAGTGAGTGCCTGTGCGGGGGAGGAGAAGAACGTTAGCCGGCGTGCCACGACGAGAGATTCATGTGATGCTATAGTTTACCTCAGTTGCCAGGATATTGATGGTATCACCCATACTTGTCAACATCTCAGGCTCCCACAGGACGGAATAGATGTCTCCCATGACTGGGTCCACCGTACTATACGGCAAGCGTACATCATCGACCTTGCCAGCCATCCAGCCTGATACGGTGACGATCAGGTTCACCCGTTTGTTGTTGTGCAGCGGCCGGTATTCGAATGTCTTGACTGCCCCTGTCCTCCGATTCGCAGCTCGAACACCGATGGCGCTCCCGGAAGCGGCAGCACTCGACGTGATGATCGCCGCCCCGCCAGCGCCAGCGAGGAACCCGCTCGTTCCCGTCACGCCGATGGTCGTGAAACCTGCGGCCAGACCGGCTCCAATGACGGGGGCCAGGAGGCCGGCGGACAACCCGATGACCAGGCCGCCACCCACAGTGGCAAGACCCATCATCACGTACCGCCGCTTGAGGGCCATCTTCCTGCGGTTCTCCATGTGCTGCTCCTCGTTCCAGTTCTCCTTCTCGGCATTCTGCTGCATCTCCAGTGCGTCCGTGACCTTCTTCTCAAAGCGATAGATGTCCAGCCAGGGGATCTCGAGGGCTTTGCCCACTTTTTCCAGCAAGACTCGGGACCTCGCATCGTAGACGGAATCGGCAATAAGTACGAGGAATAGATCGCACAAGACGGTCCAGCGTAGGTCTATGTCAATCTTGTCCGTAGTCGGCAGCTCGGACGGCGTCCGGACGGGGATGGAGAGCTCCTCCTCGTTGGCGTTCGCCGAATACGGCGGCGGCGGGGTGGCCACCTCTTCCTCGTCCGGCTTCAGCGACGGAGACGCTACTACCGAGGACGGTCGGGAGCTCTTCTCGTCGCATACCGAACTCCTCTTGGAATCGCGCTCCGCCTCGGCCATCGGGTTCTTGACGCGGGCGTTGGCCATGAGCAAGGGGGTCAGATCCTTGGGCATGACGCCGTGATCGTTCAGCTGCTCGATCATGATCTGTTCGGCAGGACTGATATCCATGTGGGTGTAGAGGCGGATCATCATCTTCTGGCTCCACATCTGCATGCTCTGGATAGCGGTCTGGACCTCCTTTTTGACTCTTCTGCTGACCTGAATGCCTTCGATTTCCTTGACCATGGAAGAGAGCTCCAGCCTGGTCAAGCCTACGTACGCTATCCTCTGGCCCTCGGTGAGTAGGTTCTTGGTCGCCTGCAGCTGGCTGACTGCGTCGCGCTGCGCCTCATCGTCCTCCGTGATGCTTGTGGTCTGGGCGGCATCCTTGAACAGGTACTGCGTGTTCTCGTCCATACTGGTGGCCGACTCGGCGTCGTCGTCAAGGAGGACCCTCGTGTACCCCTTTCCGGCACCGCCCAGACCCGAATAGCCATACTTGTCGTCGGCAGTCTCGTGGTGCTCCTTCGCAATCAGCCGGTTGTCGTCGTCGTACATGTCGTATGACGCATACGCTGGCATGCACTGCCATTCTTCACTCCGCTCGTCTTCCTTCTTGGGCTCCTGGATGATGACCTGGTGCGAGAACTCGGACACGCCGACCCCGAGGCCGGCGGCGCTGCTATCCCCCCGACCACGACCCGCCGCCATCGGATCTTTCTTGGTCTCGGAGATGGCCTTGTCCTCGATCTTCTCCGGCAGCTTGTCCTCGCCCGCCCCTCCAGAGTCAGATTTGCCATCCTCCGTCATTCCTGTGTCCGTCTGTGACTCGGTCTGCTCCGAGGTTTGATTCGATGTGTGTTCCTTCTCCACGCTCCCGGCGCCGCCCTCCGCAACCTCTCGTAATGTTGCTCCAGCCGGCGTGGGCGTCCCCAACTCATGCCCCTCCCCTGTCTGAATAGGGGAAGCAGGGCCTGACGCTGGGCTAGACACGGTATCATTGAATCTGTTATCGCGATCCGCATCTGTGCGAACAACACTGCCAGCCCTTGCTTTCGTCGCTGTGTCCGGAGCCTCCGGCTCGCCCTTATGGCCGCTGACCTTCCTGACCCCACTTATGCTCAACTTCCGACTCGAGGTCTGACTTGCCGGAGACGCGCCGCTTATTCTTCTAAACCGCTCTCCCATAGGAGTCGGGGTCGAGATCGGGATCGGGTTCGTGTATTGCCTCACGGGGAGGCCGAAATCGTCGAGTTCGGGGACCTCGACGGCCATCGTGGCAGTGGATTGTGTTGTGGATGCAGCTTCGGTAGTCGGTTTGACGCCAGGTTGTGCCGGTGATGTTTCCGGGGTTGCGGATTCGGTTGTTGCGGCCGCTTCAGCGGGCAGGTTGCTTGTTTGCAGGTTCGCAGCCGGCGATGATGGGGATGGACCATCTTTGTTGGACTCGGCGGCCGCGTCGAGTTCAGCCATTTTGCCTTCTAGACGCAGATCAAGTCCCGTGGACGAGTGTGGGCGACAAACACATGCGAGATCCGGGGTAGGAGATCAGGGGCTCAGCCTGAGTATCTGTTTCGGAAGATGGGGGTTGGTCCTGAGAGGTGTGCACCAAACTGATTGCGTGATTCACAAAACTGGATGTACACTACAAGACAGCAGCAAGGCTGGCAAAATAATCAGGACTGTTGATTACCTGGCCGGATTGTCCAGGGGTGGGCAAAATGGCATCCCCTTTCTTTCACCAGTGCTTTGGAGTCGAGGGATAGGAGCTCTCAAAATCGGAGTAAGTGGGATCCACCGCGGCCTGTTCAACCATGCACTTGACGTGATCCCTGTAGGGCGGCGGCGGATTGGAGTACCGCGTAAATCCCGAGGTACATGGGTACTTATTATCAACTGCCCAACGGATCCGGCCATGGAATTCCATATTAGAGGCTTCAAAGTTGGAATGAGGTAGGTTTATTTAAACATAATATATGTACTGCATGGACTGACTGTCAATCATGGATGTTTTCGCCAATCATCGCAAACAGGACTGGGTCTAGAGGAAAGACAATACTGAAACTGGTAGTGATGCAGAGAAGTATGAACTTTGAGGGACAGCATCGCGAGCAAAACGGATAATGGTATCTCATTTTGTATGTGACTTGCTCCCATAAAAAGGCGGGAATCTCGCCCAGTAGGCTTCAATAATGTACTCATGTCGCAACACGCATAACAACCAAGGTACCGTTCAACCCTCAGCGGCCAGGGTTGCCGCCCCTTCACCAGCACCTTCACCTGCACCTTCACCGGCACCTTCACCGGCACCTTCAGCATTGCGCCTCTTTCTCCTTTTCCTCTTCGCCTTCTGTTCCCCACCCGCCTCATTAGTCGGTGACGGCCCAGCCCCCTGCCCCTCCACCCTTGCCGGTTTCTTCGCCTGCTGCTGCTCCTTCTTCGTCTTCTTGACCGCCAAGGGATTCGGGCCCTTGGGGCCATAATTCCGCTTCTTCTTCTTCTTCTGCTTATCCTTCTCCCCTTCCCCTCCCTCATCGCCCCCGCTCCCGCTCTCGGAGCCGCTGCCGCTACCACTCCCCTCCTCGCCCTCATCGTCCCCCCTCTTCCTCTTCGCAGGCCTAGACCGGATGATCCCGTCGCGGAACTTCCCCCTCTCCTCCCTCTCCCTGGTCGCCGCCGTGGCGTCCGACAGCGGCTCCATGATCATGACGGAGCGGGCGACGTACACGAGCGGCACGCCGCGCACGGCGCGCATGGCCCTCCGCACCTCGAGGTCCTGCGTCGCCACGCAGTACCGGTGCTTGTTGGTGCCCGACTTGCCCGGGTCCACCACCGACGATAGGCACTCGAGCGTCGGCAGCGGCTCCGGGAACGAGTCCGGGTGGTGCCCGCACCGCCGCCGCTCGCACACCGCCTTGGCCACCTCGATCGCCGCCGCCGTCGTCGGGTCCGTGTTGTCCTTGTAGAGGTGCCGGATGCTGCACTGGGTGATCACTGTGGTTGTTGTGTGTCTGGGTTAGCTGCCGAAGTCTCCCCGCGCTCGTATTTCCTGCTTAGGGGGGAGAATTGGTTTAAGCCTTGAGAGTAGGAACGTACGAGGCTTGACCTTCCCGTGGAGAGTCCGCTCCAGACTAGCCAGCAGGTCCATCTTGCAGCGGGTTGTCTCCTTGACGATCTCAGCGTCGACGATGCATTGGTACGGTTCTCGGAAGCCGAAGGTGATGGACAGCTGCTGCATCAGCTTCCTGTACTGTTTAGAGCGCTTTCCCCTCATTTTTTCCGGCCGGGTTGGATCAGCGTATGTGTCTGCTGCTGGGCCCGAAGTTGAGTGTCGGATGGCGGGGAGGGACGATCGAGAATTTTTGGAGTTGACCAGAGCGATAAGAGCGATAAAAGCTGGGAATTTCTTATCGGGCTGCATGAACCGAATTTGAGCCAAGCTGTTAGCGCAGCTGTCCATTTAATGCCTGAGTGGATCATGCACTTGCAGGTCAAGGCAAACATGCGCCAGTCAGCCCTGTACCTAGGTAGTGTTGAATAACATTCATATATTCTATATTATTTGCCTTGCGTTAAGACAGGCAGGTCGATTAATTCAAATGCAGGAGCTGCCTACGAGGACAGATACTCCCGTCTATAACAATGATACCGTCGGTGCAGAGACGCAACTCAACACCGATTTAGCCCTCTCTTCCAACTCCTTGCTCAAAAAGAAACCCAAACGCTTCCAAGTCGTGAAACCGTAGCATCCAATGTCTGAAAAAATATCCCCCCCACAGACAACCTGGGAACCGAGTGCCGCTCTACGCCGAGCTGTACTTCCATGTACAGCAAATCCCTAGACCAACCCCTTTATGAGATGCCATAAAACCACACAGGCGATAAGGGGGAAGGGGGCCTGTCATGTCTCCCTCCTCGTACACAGCGCCGCGACTACGCTGATATCGTCGAGTTTCCCTGCAGCACAGTCAGTCAGCAAACAATGCAGGGGCTCCAAATTTGTAGCAGAGAAAGGACAGCAAGGAAAGAAGATAAATAACTCACCCCCTTCGCTCGCCAGCCCCTCCTCGATAGCATGCTCCATAAACGGGCTCTCAGCAAACGGATCCAGCGCCACCGTCTTAGCCGCCTCCATGAGCTCCTCAGCAACGAACTTCATGCCCCCACCCCTACCACCCTTCCTCCGCGCCGCCTCGCCAGCACCATCCCCGGCCGCCCTGACCCCGGCGACAAGCCCCTCGCCGGCCTCCCACCTCGCGACGCTGTCGCTCACGTTCTCGACGATCTCGTGGGCCCACAGGTTGTCGATGACGCCGTCCGTCATGGCGAGCACCACGTCGCCCTCCCTGATGGGCACGGCGTCGACGACGGCGTTGGCCCGCGGCGTGTCCGGGCTGTTGGTCCCCAGCTGCCGCGGGCAGTCGAACCAGTGCCACTGCTCCGTCGTCTTGAACACGAGCGACCGGTCCGACGGCCGCACCACCATCACCTGCGAGTCGCCCAGGCTGGCCACGTAGAGGAGGGGGGTCACCCCGTCGGCTCCCCCTTGGTTCCTTGTCTTGTCTGCTTGACCACCCTTGCCCTCACCATCAGCAGCAGCAGCAGCAGCAGCAGCAGCAGCAGCAGTTTCTTCCTCCTTCTCTTGTCGGACCTTCTGATAGTGTAACTGCGCCCCGCAGGCGGTCGTCGTGCCAAGCCAGTCGTTGGGCGGGCTCGTCGCCTCGATGGTCTGCTCGTACGCCCGCTGCAGGTACTCGACCGGGTCGGGGACGTAGCAGTCGCCCGGCTGGCGCGGCCTCGTCGCGTCCTCCTGCATGGCCGCGACCCAGTAGTGGAGGATCAGCCTCGCCCATAAGCTAAGGAGTAAGCAGTGTCAGCGCCAAGCTTTCATTAATCTGTTTATGTTCTTTCCCAAATCCTCATAGTCCGAGAAAACCCCAGGCGAACATTCAGAGAGAAGGTCGGCAAATGAGGACGAGAAGGAAAGGAAAGGAAAGAAACCCACCCAGCATTCCCCCTCGGCCGCGTACTCCACGCCCCAACCCCGTCATTGGCGCAGATAAACATCTCCCCCGCGTACACGGCGTCATCGCCGTTGGTCCTGCCCCGCACGGGGCCCGACCGCCGCCCACCCTCGTGCGTGCTGAGCGGGTCGCTGAACGACCCCGACGGCGCCGACAGGAAGGGCGGCGGGAACGGGCGCGGCGGTCGCTTGGCGAAGACGGCGATGCCCGTCTCGAACCGGAAGGGGTGCGGTCTCGGCTGTGGTGGCCGGGGATTATCCGCTGTTCGGGAGGGGTGGGGTGAAGAGGAGGAGGAGGGGGATGATGATGATAGTTCGTCGGGCGATGGTGGGGAGTCGGTGGTTTCGGGTTGGGGGGGTTGCGACGCCGAGGACGAGGACGGCGTTGTCGATGACGATGGTGATGACGATGACGATGGAAAAGAACGTGATAATGTCGTGACTGAATGCAACGGACCTAGTAAGAGCCCGTCGAGCCGGACCTGCCCACTATAACCATTGCTATGGGTGCGCCATGTCGACGGAGGCAGGCGGAGGGAGAGCGCCGCCGAGGCAGCAGCTCGCCGTGTGGAGATTGGGATGGAAGCCAGCAGCTGGGAAGGTAGTCTCCTCATTCCAACGACGAGGGCAGGGACTTGTCTGGATGGGGGCTGGCTGGCAGCATTTGACTTTTTCTTCTCTCGTTTTCGGTTTGCTGGTAAGTGCTTTGGGAGCGAGATTTTGCCTGCTCAGGGCGGGTGATGTATGCCCGGTTGATCGATAACAAGTTACTTATCAGCGGCCAGCCTCGGCCGGATGCGCCCAGCGACTACTGCGTACTACCTTAGTGCTTAGCACCTACCTAAAATAAATAGGTGGACCCCATCGGCTCCTCCGGCTTTCCCACCCGCTAGACCGACTTACTTTGGGACCTTCCAGGCTGCGTGGTTGCCCTGTTTTTTAGCGTCCAGTCTAAACGTCACAGAAGATATCATGATTTAATTACAGCTAAATATTGGCAGCACCTGGCGTGGGGAATGTCTGCTTGGTAAACTACGCGGCTGTTAGCTGGTCCCAGCGGGTTGGTAAAACGACGTCTCCCTCAGGACGTTCTTCTTATTTTTGTGTACATATTTACTTGGTCAGAGACCGTGAGGGAATAGTAGTTCTAAGTTGAGAGACAGTGTATGTGATGAGGGAGACAAGAGGTGTTATGCATTGAGTCAAACAGGCGCCGACGATGCAGACCCCGATGCAGGAAAATAGGAAAAATAAACACAGCGCTTTGAGAATGCCCATCCAACCCCTATGCCACGTCCACTCTAGCTTCCATGCAAAAGAGGAAAAGTAAAAGAAAGGGGGAATATGGACCCCGACATAGAAGGTGTCATGCTTTTATGGACAGCTGCCCAGTTGCCCCTATTCTCGTTCGACAAGGTATCCAGCAGATCTCAAAATGACCCAAAAAATCACCATACATCGCCATGCTCCGTATCCTAGTTAGCTACCTAGTAGCCCATGCCCTTTCGCCGTCACATTCATGTATTGAGCAAACGTCAAGCACCCACTCGCTTGTTTGCTCGACCTCAGCCTATAGCTTGCAGCCTCTTCATTGTCCTGTAGACTCAAAACGTTTCCGTCGGTCCTTGGCTTTTTCCTAGAAAGCTTGACCCTGGAATTGCATTCGGCCGGGAGTCCCAGGCCTTGGGCTGCCGGGGCTGCCGGGGCTACCGGACGGAGGATATTGGGGAGGATATTGACCTTGAGGCGGCAGCTGGAACCCAGGGAACCCAGGGCTCTGCGGCCGACCTCCCCGCATATCCATGCCCATGCCTGGCCCCGGCATGCCTGGCGCCTGGCCATGCATTGGTTGCTGCGGTGGTACCGGCCGACGATGCATGTTAGGCGCTGGCCACCCCGCCCCTTGAGCATAGCCCTGCAGACCTGGCGGCGCCAAATTGGGCGGCGGTCCGCCGTTGTAGGGCCCCTGCTGCGGCATCATCTGCTGTCGCTGTTGCTGCGGCATCTGGCCACCCGCCGGACCAAGTGAGTTGGTCCGTGGCGGTCCCATGCCTGGGTTCATAAATACGGGTCCGGGAAGGTTGCCCATGCTCATTCCGCCCATGGCAGCATCATATGTCGGGGGTGACGGTCCTGGACCCATACCCATGCCTGGGGCCATTCCCGGGTTCCGCTGCTGCTGATACTGCTGCTGTGCGGCAAATTGTGCTTGCTGCTGTGCATGCTGCTGTGCTTGCTGTTGTGCTTGCTGCTGTGCCTGATGCTGTGCGTATGCAGCCTGCGCCGCTCGTTGAGCCTGGGATTGTTGTTCCCTCTGGCGCTGGTCGATCGCTTGCGCGACAGCCTGACCGCCAAGCCCCTGCTTCATCTGCGCCCTCTCCCGCTCCCGCGCTTGGATCGCGCCGACCAGGCCGGCCTGCGCCTGCGGCGCGTTTCGGTTACCTGCAACGTCGATGAGCGGATTCCCAGTCACCCGCGCCACATGTTCCTGCTCGCGAGCCGAGAGATGGCTGGATAGCTCGCCTCCCGAGAGCATCGCTGCCGAGCCCCGGCTGCCAGGACGCTGGAGGAGATCGGCCGAACCCCGGCTTCCAGGGCGCTGGAGAAGGTCGGCCGAGGGGCTGCGTGAATGAGCCGCTGCGGAGCCAGGTCTGCTGTTGGCCATCGCTGTCAGGAGTTCTTGGCTGCCCTGCCGTCTCAGAGGTGGTGTCGGTGTCCCGGTCCGAAGACCTGCAAGAGTATTCGCCGAGGGCTGTCGCTGGTGGCCGTAAAGAGGCGTGGTGGCAGCCGCGGCTCGTTGCTGGACAAACTGCTCGGGGCTGATGCCTCGTTCGCCAGACGGCGATCCGACCCTAACGCCGCCGGGTTGCCATGCCACACTTCGGCGGATCGTGTCATCCGAGTCTTGACGGAAGTGGGCGTACCCAGCTGCAGGGCCTGGCGACTTCCGACCAGGAGCAGGTGACGACGACCGAGGAGGTGACTGAGCAGGGAGGGGTGTCGGCGTTTTATTGCCCGCACCTTGCGAGCCACGATAGCCGATGACGGGCGTTGGGCCGAAGTTGATTTCCGGGATATCGTAAGCGGCCTTCGGTACGGGCGGCTCCGCTTCCGAGGGCTCACCGACAGTTCTAAGAACGCCAGCACGCGGTCGCTCGACCGACTCTTGCGTGTCGCTCGATTTCCGCGTACTGGCATAGTCCGGGCTCGCTGTCGAGGAGGCGTCATCGTAACGACTACTTGCTCCGGTCCTGTCGGTATCGTGGCGCACGAGACTGTGATCGGCAAATGGGCGGTTCAGGTCGTCCGCGTTTGCGGCGCGTATTAGGGCGAGGGCGTCTTCGTCCAAGACGCGGCTGCTAAAGCTCCCAGTACTAGTGGGCGAAGGGGGTGCCGAATTATCACTCCGCTGGAGGCTCGCCGTCCTCTGCGGCAGGGGTTTTCTGTGAACTGGGGGGGATGTCTGGATATGAGGCGGTTGTTGCATTGCCGGATTCGGTGGCGGGGTACGGCGTTGGCCAGGTGGCGGCGCCGCCGCCTGGTAGCCATGGCTAAACTGAGGGTTAGATAAAAGGGCGGGGCTACCTCCGGGCTCCCGAGGAGATCCCGGCGGCGGTCCTTGAGGGTTCATCATAGGGGGTGGGCCCCGTGCATTAGGTGGAGGACCCATTACGTTCGGTGGGGGATCCATCGGGGGTTGGCGCATCGGCGGTGGGCCGCGGGAATTCGGAGGAGGACCGGAATTGGGCGGAGGGGTTCCAGGAGGGGCTCCTTGTCGAGGCCCGGCTAGAGGTGACCTGGATCGGTTCTGAGCAAGAGCCATGTGAGGTGCCGCGAGCCCGGGCGAGGAGAAAGGCGGATGGGCATGGCCGGGGGACGTTAAAGCTTCAGGAGATCCATTGTAATTAGCACTGGTCCCTAGGGGGTTGGCGTTGGCTTGTGGCTGTACCGATGGACCCCTGGGGTCTGCTTGTCCAGAGACCGGCTCTGCGCTCTGTTGACGAGGATGTCGGCGCAGCGGGTCATCTGGAAAGTGCTCTGCGGTGAGGCCGCCTGCTGTTGCCAGCTGTGACAGCGTTGTGCTTGACAAGCGACTGTTTGCCCTGCGTAACTCGGGCGAGTGGTACGGCTGCTGGGTCGGCCTGGAACCTGCACCGTGGGCAAATGCGGGAGGGGCATTCACCGGCTCCGGCGTGCGCATTCTTTGCCAAGCATCGATATCCCCCGGGGGCGTGTTCCTCGGGGGGGTTTCATCTTCGGAGCTCACACGTTCAGGGGTAGCAGCCAATTCGCTCGCAAAGGTTCTTGCACGGTCGGCACCGCGCACGGAAGGCACCAATCCTTGTGGATGTCCTGCTCCGTAGTCAGGCGGCACGTTAGCCATCTGCGGGTCTGAGATGTTCCGTGAGTGCCGGGCGTTTCCTCCCATTGCGGGCGGTGCACGCTCCCGGTCATGGTCCGGAGGTGCCGAATGGCTCGTCGCGCCTGGCTGTACCGACGACATGGACGGGGAGGACCTAATTGAGGCGTTATCATCGGCAAAGTTGACGCGCGGTCTGGGTGGGCCGGAGGCTTGCTGGCCGAAGCTCAGCCGCTTGCTGTTGCGGCTCCCACTCCTCCCGTGCGTCTTCGTGCCATCTTCCACCGCGGTCATGCGCTGCGAGGTCAACTCCTTCAACTGCTTTCTCCATTCATTTTCTGACCATGCCGGACTTCCGTCCGCCAGGATCAGGCCCGTCACGTCTAGTATCTCCATGTACCCATACCGCTTGTGCTTGGGCATGGCGAACATCAACGATCGGGTGTCGAGGACGCTTGCAACTAGCCTGCCCGGACGACCATACAAGCAGAAAGTGTCCCAGGTCGGGAAGAGGAAGCGTAGGAGCATCTCGAAGCCTGAGATGGCGGGACGGACCTCGGGCATGATAAAAACGAAGCCCTCGGTTGCGGATGGCGGGTCCGTGTGGATGGTGATATTCCCCTCAACCTTGAGCAGGGTAGAGCCATCTATCAGGGCTCTAGATTGCGGGTAGATGGCATACGCCGAGTACGCATCGGAGATGGTTGCAATGGGGCGGGCCTTTTTCTTCCTCTCTGCCTCCTTCTTGGAATCGTAGAACTTTATGTCGCCCTTCAGTAAGGGCGCGTGCGAGCGGTCATATGGCGAGCGCTTCTTCATCTCCTTCTGCAGCTTCTGGTACTCCTTCTCGTCGGGAGGAGATATTACGCACCAACAGCGCCTCCAGGGCACACCGGCTCCAAAACGAACACGAACCCACTCCTCGACCTTGAACTTTGTCCGATCCATGATCAGGTTAATATTGTTGAGGGTCTTGCCCTTGCCGGCGATCAGCGCACCGGTGTAGGCTTCCTGCAACGTCGAGTGCTCGAACATGGACAATCTGATGCCGGCAGTCCACTGGATTAGCGAGTGGTGCGAGTTGAAGTGGAGGAGATATCGGTTCCTCCCGGCGGTGCTAATGCTTAGAATGTTTTGCAGTGGCTGCTCATCGTTCGATTTCGTCGGCAACGATTCGATCTGGAGATGTGGTCAGCTTTCTGGATTCCCCGAGCAGGAGAGAGTGTAGGGCCGTCTCGGCGAGGTGTGGTACCATCTTGATCGAGGCGTCGGTCAGGTTAATGAATTTCGGCAACACCTCTCCATCGTCCCCGGCAGCATCCAGCTCTGCAGCATCCCACAGCGAGAGGATGGTACCGACTAGCTGCGCAAAACACTCGGTCCATGTTCTGTCTGGGTTTGGTCTTCCTCCTAGGCAGTGTCAGCACGCAGAAACACAGAATTCCCACAAAAAACTTCGCCTCGAGACGAGGGGCCGTACTTGAGTCCTGGTCGTCAAGCTTCAGGAAATACCCCTCCTGGTACAGCTTGTTCTGGTGGCTGTTCAGGAATGTGAAGATGGGCTGAAGCTCTGGGATAGTATCTTGGTTGATGTCCATCATGTGCGGTTGGTAGGTCTGTATCATGGACACGGGGCGTGAACTACTTCGTTTTCTTCCGGCAGGACTCGCCGACGGTGAATCGCTCAGCGGAGGGGTCGAATGGTCATGCTCGGCGCGTACGGGTGACGAGGGGACCGGCGTGGCGGGGAAGACGTCGTTAGCAGCGGGATGTTGCGGTGTGGAGTGGAAAGCACTGTCGGGTCTCTGGTGTGGTTGAACTTTCTGCGCGTCGGCAGGGGGCGATGGTGTTGTAGAATCAGAAGTCCTCAGTTCTTTGTTCGACGCCGAGAACTGGGACATAAACGAGAGCACTTTTACGGCGCGCCTCGGTCAGCTGGAATCCTATGGGGTTATACGGCACGGGTTGGAAATTTATTGAATTTCCAAATCTTTTGGCCGCATGAGGGCTCGAGAGAAGGACACGAGGAAGAGGTAGCCCCAGTGAATATATGTAGGTATGGATGATGTGGGTTCCAGTACGCAGGACAGGAGAGGAGAAAGGGGGGCAAGGGGAAAGGTCCACGGGAATTTGCGTTGGAGAAAACGTGGCAACGACTAGACAGGGACAGGGCCCGGCCGCTGCAGAATATAATGGGCGATGGGGGATAGGATGGGAAGATGGATGGATGGATGGAGTGGGAGAGTGAGAGGGGCTACGAACCACGATTACGACCCATTTTTCCCTCCTCTTAACGGTCTTGGCCAGGACAAGGGGATGTTGGAGCCAAGAAGGCTACAAAATAGAGGCTCGTGAAAGCCCACAGCGACTGACAAGTCGGACAGAGTCCAGAACCGAGACTCCCCTCTCAAAAGTGCCCACCAAACGAGGAGGAGGAATAACTAGGTGGCCCTAGTCGGCATGCGAATAAGTTCGCCCGACAACGGAATCGAGTTCTCTTAGCCGGCGAGATGGGGCGCGCTGAGCGGCGGGGTGGGTAGCGGGAACTGAGCAAGCGACCGAAAACCCTAGGAGACGAGAAAGCTTATCGCGAGAGGGCTTCCCGGTAGTAGTGATGGCGGCGGCTTGCTTGTTCTGTATGATCAGGAGGAGTTGTAGGAGTCCGTTTTGTTTTTCTGTGTGCATAGACTGCGCGGCCAGAGTTAATGATGTCAGGTTCTGCTTTAGTGTCCACTTCCAGCTACTGCAGCTCCATTGGAGAAAAGGTCGTCTCAAGGTGCGCAGGTGTCGGAGGACCCGGTTGCTCTCAGTTTCCGAGACTTGGAACGAATTAACCGAATGCGATTCGTGGCTCGTGACAAGGTCGCGGGAGGGAAAGGGAGAGGCAAAAGAGAAGAGTATGGGGTCGAATCTTTATAAGAAGCTGGGGGAGCAATTAGAACGTCCTCCCGGGATCTCAAACTAGTGGATCACGGATCATGAAATAACCAAGTCCCAAGTCTAATAGACACTACGGATTACTGGCGTCGACAAGAGACCACAGCTTGGCACCAACCCAAACGGGGCTGGATGATGGTGAGCTGAGCGGGTGACTTATTTGTCGCTAGTTTGAGGGTGGATCCCGCCCGCGATTTCGCGACTCGTTGGTGCACCAGGCAGTGTCATGGATGGTGGGCTTCAGTGAAGAATCTCGTCTCGTGTCTTGGTCAGAGAGGGACTGCGGCCACTTTAAGCACCCGGGTAGGTAAACGTAAAAGTCTCACTGATTGCAGGGCCTGCAGCTAATAGAAATCGACATATACAGAGCCCCCACTGGCGTTCGCGACGAGAGCCAGGAGGAGCAGCACTCCCCATGTCTCTCTCGTATTTATTTTGACTTTGGCGGGTTGTTTTCCACCTAGTAAGTGGTCCTGCTTGGCTAACTAATAAGCGCTGTTGGCACAAATGGACTCCGAGAGATGCCGAAACGCCCGGACAAGCCGCGCTGCTGCTGCTGCACCCTGCCCATTTCTGCAAGCATCCTTCCCCTGTCTGATGAGGGAGTGTCTGGATTCTGGAGTGCTGGGTCATGTAGCAGTATATACATTTCTCTGTCGTTGTCCTCCCAGTCCCTCCTTTCTTTTACTTTTTTCTTGTCCATCTAGAGGTATCCTAAAATTTTTGATGACGATGATGCCATGTCAGCTGTCCAGGCAAGGGTCCTTCGCCGTTCCCCGCCGGCCGATTTGCGGTGGCAGTGGAGGTGGTAGGTACAGTACCTTGCTGGTACCCAGGCAGAGCCAGAGCAGTGTACCTTCCATGCTTTTTGGGTGGTTGGGGCGGGGCATTGCTCAAGTGTACACAGGTATTCCCGTAATCAAGCCAGGGAGTAGGTTTCTATTGGTACCTAGGCAGGTACCGATGCGACAGCAGCGTTTCGTTCCCGTCCCGGATGTGCTTGGTGATTGGCTCATATCACCTTCCCCATCATACCTACGCTATACTATGGGAAGAAGTGATCCCAGAAATGAAATTGGTGACGCGTGTTCTTGCTTGCTGTGGTCTGTTGCTGACTGTTACCGGTCGGCGCTCACCAGTGTCCATGAAGAAAGCAGCACCTATCCAGATAGGAGCTGAAATGTGTTGGAATGGTGAACGGAGTGATAAGGTCTGGAACATTCCTAGCCCAGGTTGTGACTCGTCGTCATCATGCGGCAAAAGGCCAGCAGTCTTGGCGGTCCCAGGGGTCCAACCTCCCATGCACTTCATATTATTTCATCCCATCCATGCATTCCAGAGATCCGAGAATTGACGATTGGAGGGGCCGCCCTTGTCCTCGGGCTGCTCCGCCCCCAGCACCACCTACGAATACGTGGTGCCTCGTACCTGCTGGGCCGCCTCAAACCCAGCCTCGCTTGCTAAGTCGGCACCATTTGTGCAGCTTTCCGAAGTTCCGAACCAGTCTGTCTGTCAGCACCTACATATACAGACTACAGGGTGCGGAGAAGCTCCAAAAGCCGGAATGTCCTGTCATCCACATCATTTCGCGCTGCAAAATGTCCTTTTTCCTGTATTCCGTATACGTAGATCCTGCTAGGATCTTGCTTGGCCAGCGAGCTTGAGGTGAAATGCGGTATATAGTTACGTCATCACGCATCACTAGTAGCTGTAAATAGCCACCGCCCCTTATCGAAAGCCAATCTCGGTATAAAGCGCGGATTCGTGGTCACCTCTGCCAGTCGTCTGTACTACATAGCACACAGACAGAAAATTCGATCGGATGAGACAAGGACGCATCAGAGAAATACGCTCACCAATCGCTGAGCTGCACATCTTGTGCATGCGTCGGCGGTACGACGCCAAGCAGAGGCCACTGCTGGGCTAAATTCTGATGTCGCAGCCGCTATTCCTGGTCCAGCTGATTTATCGAGAGGCTCTAGTGTAAACTGTCGGATACCCTGAAAGTGAACTCAACAGATTCTAATAAATCTTTGCAAAACGACTCCAAGTCTGCAAGGATGCTTGATAGCAAAGCTCTGGTCAATTCATGGCAGATTCTACAGAGTTCGTACGCTATCATCAATTTGCAGACTACACAACAACCGCCAGCTCTCTGCGGATCCTTATCTTGAACGTCATCATGCCTATCCTGGCTGTCATGTACCTAGATATTATCCAAGGGAAGACTAAAGATTTCTCCCCAGTTCAAAAGCGGAAGACTCAAGACTCTCACACAGTGGGAATCGAGTTCAGAGCAAAGCCCCTATGGTCGGATGGTTGGTAAAAGTTCTAACCTCCTACCAACCAAATGCGCACGATTTATCACTCCCTAAGTAAGTAAGCCTCTTGCATCCCAACTTTGGGGTTTCCGGTATCCATGCGGTCCAACCCCAGACGTCGACACCATCAGTGCGTATATTTCATCGTGACAGCTATAGGGCTGGCGAATGAGTGATGCCCAGCACCGTCCTGGGGCGCACTGTTGCTGGTTTGGGACACAAAGCTACGCACGAAGTCGAGGAGGGGCAACTGTCGGCTGAGCCCGCGAGCCTGGTAGCAAATCAGGCCCGCGCAGGAGACTGCCTAGCGCCGGGAAGGGATCAACAGCTCTACCGACGGCGCGTCTGGGGCCGGTCCCGGGACAGGAGTGGAGGTGTCCAGGTTCTGTCCTGTCACTGGCCTATTGTTTGGACGCCCCCGTGCACCTGCAGGAGCCATCGACAAACTGAGACCTCCCATTATTAGGGGGCCTTGACAAACTAATTTTGGTTGGGAGTTCGAGAAGCCCTGTGATGCACCCCACATGTCGAGTCTCTTGTCAAGCACACTTGATCTCAACACCTGCGCGTCCGAAACCACTCGTCACCGTCCCATCTCTTCCTTGCCGTCGTAAAAAAACAAATAACAGTACTTGATTGCGCGAATAGCCGCATGGGACGCACTGCTTCAAACGGTCAACGACCGTTGCTGTGCAGAGGTTTAGACTAGCTAGCTGATCGTAGCCCTCACACCCCGCCATCTGTCACCGTGCCGACCGCCATTCTTGCCATCTCCACCGCACTGCCGTCAGTTTCCAACGACGACGCCTCCGCGACGCGCCTCGCCAGCAAGTGAGTTGGTTGCACGTCCCATTTTGGAAGACCTTCAACCACCACTTCTCGTATCGGCCTCTTTCTCGCTTGCCGACGCCGAAGACAGAGACTACGCCACCCCCCCCTCGATACTACAAGCGGCGCGGGTTGGCACCAACTTGCCCGAAGTTGTCGATTTGCTCTTATTATCCTTACCCAATGGATCCCGATCTAGATGCGGAAGCGACACAGCAAGGTGTGTGCCAAACGGCACCAGAAGACAGAGAGACAGACTCCCAGAAACCAGATTGCTGACTTTTGAGTGCGACAGCCACCCAGAATGTGCTGGACCCCAGGCGCTTGGGCAAGCAGAACTCCGGCTTCTCGGACGAAGAGCTGTCCGACATAATATGCCTCCTGATCCCATGTTCCGAACATGCGCGCCGAGAGGTCTCCATGATTGCGCCCGACAGCTCCCAACACATGGTGGGGAGGGACGATGCCGATAACGTGGAGCTCGACCTCGACCTGGAGGACGAGGCAAGCAGGTTCGGACTGATCCCTCGCGGGGCAGGAGAGCACGTCATTGCGCTGAGGCTGTCGTCCCAAGTCAAGGACCCCGTCCAAGGCTTCACCTTCGGACGAAACGCCAACCGCTGCGACATCTGCTTCCACGACGATCCGCTGAGGCGGCTAAGCAACATACACTTCCGCATATATCTGAACGAGTACGGCGTCCTAATGCTAGAGGACCGCTCCACCAATGGGACTATTGTGGATGAGAAGCTACTGAAGGCCAAATCCAGGGAGCCCAGCGAGACGAGGAGGACGCTGAGCAGCGGGTCGACAGTCAAGATCCTGATGCACACCGACTCCAACGACTTGGTCTTCCTTGTGCGGATTCCTCGGCGAGAAGGGGCGTACGAGGCGGCATACCGCACGAACCTAGTCCGCTACATGCGCCACCTGAAGGAGCTGACAAAGGATGCAAACGCCACGATCGGACCAGGCCCTGGAGGTCATGTATGCTTCTTCTATGCTTCTTCTACTTGCTTCTGCTCCGCCCCCGAAATCCCCGGCTGACGAGAAACTCTAGGTCGATCTCTTCCCTCCTCAGTTTCAAAAACCACAGCTCCCTCGTCTTCCGGCCCCACAGTTCGGCTTACCCGAGGAAACGACCCAAGATAACGTGGAGCGCCTCAATAGAGCATGGAGCGGCTCGGAAAAGTACCACCGGTTAGGCGAGATCGGCAAGGGCGCGTTTGCGACAGTGTACAAAGTCACCGACAAGTACAACGGCATCCCATATGCGGCCAAGGAGTTAGACAAACGGAAATTCATGAAGAACGGCGTTCTCGACCAGAAGGTGGAAAACGAGATGATCATAATGCAGAGGGTCCAGCACGTAAGTCTTTTCATTCTGTAACCCCCCACCCCTTTGTCTGTTGCTGACTGGGGGCAGCCTAATATTGTGCGCTATATTGAGCACATGGACTGGGACAGCCGCCTTCTCATCATCATCATGGAATACGTGCCGGGAGGCGATCTCGGGAGACTAATCCAAGAGCGCGGCTGTCTCACGGAGGCTGCTGTGAAGACCATGGCCAGGCAACTCCTGGATGCGCTGGAGTATCTACACGACAACAACATCACGCACCGTGATGTGAAGCCAGACAACATCCTAATCAGCTCTCAGCAGCCTTTCCACGTCAAGCTGACCGACTTTGGACTATCGAAAATGGTAGACAATGACCAGACATTTCTCAGGACGTTTTGCGGCACGTTGCTCTACTGTGCCCCTGAAGTCTACTCCGAATTCGCCGAGTACGACGAGTTTGGGCGACGGCATCCCAGGAATCGGCATCGCAAACAAGCCCGTGGCCAACGGTACGATCACGCCGTCGACATCTGGTCCTTGGGTGGTGTCCTCTTCTACGCCCTGACGGGAAGCCCCCCTTTCCCTGTCAAGACAGGCATAAGCTACTCGGAGCTGCTCCACCAGATCATGACCAGGCCGTTGGACGTTTCGCCTCTACACGCAGCCAACGTGTCGCCGGAAGGGATCAACTTCCTCGAGCGGATGCTTGACAGGCGGCCGGAGATCCGAGCAGCGGTGCGCGACCTCCAGGAGCACCCTTGGCTCAGCGGGATGGGCGTGATACGGGCCCCCTCCGCGTCTCAGTCGTACGACGAAATCTCGGACCACGAGCTTGAGCCCTTGTCCCAGTTGAGTCTCGAGGACAGGCAGCGGCAAGACCCGCTGGATGACAACCACGGGCTCATTGACGAGGATGACGAGGATGTGAACGACGAGAACCACTTCAGCGGTTACGAATCGGAAAAGGAGAACTACACGTTTGGACCTGGCAACCAACCGCAGCGGCTATTTGGGGAGGTCAATGTTTCTGCAATTGGGAGTTCGGGCGTGATACCGGAAAACCGCCTCAACCTCCCTCTCTCAGCCACAAGCCTCGCCACAACTGAGATTTTAGGAAACTCGGAAGTCCGTGATAGCTTCGACTCGGTAGTTTCCTTGACTCCGAGGCAGAAGTCACAAAAGTCACAACCCAACTCAGGGGGCGGGGTTCGACTCTCTGCACTATCTGCCGGACAGAGCAAGTCGGTAGACCAGCTGAACAACATGACCTTTGATGTGGCGTCCCAAAGCCTGGGTGGTGCCGAGTCGATATTGGAGAATCTCAACATGCGATCTTTAGCGGGCTCGCACCTTCAACCCCACGACAGCGAGTACTTTTCTACCAGCAAAAGGAAAACGTTCTACGACAACAGCGATGACTCCGAGGGCTCAGCCATTCGCGACAGGCCTATTATTAAGAGGTTCAGGTCTGACGGCCCTGTAGACTCAACAACGGACTGCTCCAGCGACGACGAGGAGGGCGATCTATTCGCGTTTATCCCGCCCGTTGCCAAAGCTCGGTCATCCCGCCAGGTCGACGAACCAGTCGAGAAATCCGTCTATTGGAATCCTCAGGATCGGAAGACGTGGCATCTCAGGTACCCCGAAATGACCAAATTCCAGTTTGATGCTTTCGAAGCAGCGGCAGAGGCGAGGGGCGAAGAATTCGGGCCGGGCAAATCCCCCCTCTGGGACTTGGCCATGAAGTACTTCCCGCCAAAGCACTACGAGGAAGTCGTTGGGCAGCTCGACCTTGATGTCGAAAGAGTCTCAAACGACGGCAAGACAGTCCGCCACGGCGACCCGGGGACCGGAGGCTTGGACCAGGGTGGCTTGCCGTCAACCGCCGGTCCGTACGACGAAGTCGGAGGCGAGGGGGACATACCCGACACTTTCGTTCCCTCCCGACAACACCGCATTGTGCCCCTCGAGACCAACCCGCCCGGTAAGAGAATCGTGGCGTCCATCCAGTCTTCTCCCGACTCGGTGATCCAGGGAATATCCGTCCTCGTCACCGAGTCCATGCTATCATGGGGGAGGGCGCCCGAGAACACGCGCATCTACGAGCCGAGCAAGGACACGAGGGTGCCCAAGCACGCCTTCAAGATCATCCTCTGGAAGGAGGGCTACGACCCATCCAAGGACTCCCGGCCCTGGAACCAGAAGTCCAACGTCGTCGGCGACGTGGACTCATTCCACTTCTACATCTCGAGCAAGGCCACGCAGGGGATACACGTCAACGGCTCGCTCCTCCAGTCGCACGACTGCAGGAACCCGGCCTCCCCGTCGAGGCACTGGATGCGCCTCCACGACGGCGACGAGATCATCGTCTGGCACAACAACAACGGCGGCGTCTCGTACACCAAGACGGAGCTCATCTTCGGGTGCGCGTGGGGCGGCAGCTCTAGCCCGCGCCCAGCATCTCCTCCTCCTCTCGGTCCACCGCCGCCGCGCCCGCAGCTCGTGGCCGAGGGCGTGGCCCGCAGGCTGGACGAGGTGTGCGCGCGGGCCGAGAGGAAGATGCGCAACAGGAGCGAGTACGACCTCAAGATGGAGGAGTCGCGGCACGACCACGACGAGCGCAGGCAGGCCATGGCACGCGAGAGAGAGCGCTCGCGCGTCTTCGAGGCCAGGCGCGTCGAGGCGTGTCGGGCGCTGGCGGCGAGGCCGAGTCGGAGGGCTAGCCCTGCTGCTACGACGGCCGGTGGTGGTGGTGGTGGTGCGAGGGTCAGCCCTGTGCCTGGTGGCGGTCGTGTCGTGCCTAGGATGAATCGCCCTTCGCCTGGGCCGGTGTGAGTTGCCGAGGGCCGAGAGGGGGAAGTCCTCCCTCATGCACACCGATCTCTTCTGGTGTCTCACCGCACAGTCGTTACCTAAATCTCGCTGCTCCTGTGGCGGTACTTCAGAAGGGCAAGATAGAAACGGAAAAGGGGGAAAAAAGAAACCTCGAATAATCTCTGGGCGAAGATATGTTTGGATCCCCCCTCTCTCTCCTTACTGGTATATCACGGTGGACCTTCCATATACGTGGCGTCAAAGGCATATCGTGTCTCAAATCTCATTCAAAAGTTTGTTTGATACTCTCTGGGTCCCGGAACGGAGGTTGGGTTAATTAGAAAGGCGTCCATAGGGGCTGCTTTGATGGCTAGCCGCAAGGAATGGAATCCGAATCCAGGTCCGGCTTGGTGAATGGATATGGATATGCCTAGCTAAGTAGTTTGGTTAGGATGGAAGCCTACCTACCTACAGTTGTGTGGATAAATATATAGATATACACCTGTTTTAGCTTATCCATTTCGAAGTTGGTCCGATGTAGCCTGGACTTGGTCAATTTGAGGAGCACACTGCTTGAAGATATGTGTCACAGTCGGTGGATGATCAGCTGAGCTGAGCCAGTCGACTTGAGGGGGGTCATGTAGCTCGCATTTTCAACTACATGGATAGGTACCAGTCAAGGTCCGAGTGTAGGTAGTAACATGGATGGCATAGCCCTGACTCCCGTCCTTGCCTTCTGAACCCGAACAGACCATAAACCACTCCCCCTTTAATTTCATTCTTCAACGACACCCCTCCCACGAAAAGAGGGGGTAAACAAGCATGCATTTCGGGTATGATTGACCCAATCCTTTATTACTCAATGAACATTTTGAGCAGGAGCTAACTCCCTTCTTCTTTCCCTTCCTTCCTTCCCTGTCTCAAGGCCATGAGGTTCCCAATGCGGAGCACAATGCGGAACAGCCAAGAAAGGCGAGGATCGAGTCCGCAATGGCGGAAAGGTAAGACAGATTATCGAGTGGAAAGTGCCGAGCGAACCTGCAACACAGATGATCGAACAAGTGTTCTGTGGAGTCGAATCCAGGTTAGCTTTAATGTCTGAGCCATAGATATCTCATGATGAAGCCCTTCTCAGCCAAGGGGGTTGTTGGTCACTCACGCTGACTAGAACAGCCCATATCGGAAGCAAAGAGAGAAAGGTAAATCCTCAGAAAGAAAGAGAGAAAAAAACGTCGAATCATTCGTCGTCCACAGAGGAATGGCCCGTATGGACGCACCGCGAGGAGCCACACGAAGCCTCGCTGGCGGTGTAGTAGGCCGAGGCGTCGGTCTTGGCCGGCGACACAGCGGCGCTAGCGGCGGCAACAACGGGCTCGGGGGCCGGGAGCAACGGGATGGATCCCAGAACCGCTAGATGGACGGAGTGGTTAGCAACGTATGTGGGTGGGGGTGGGTTGGAAAATCGCGGTACCATTTGTTCCAGTGCAGTTGTTGCCGCTCCGGGCATGGCGGCGGGAACGGCTGCCATGGTGGTGGTACCCTTTTGGACTGTCGTTGTCTGAGGTGCAAGAAAGAAAGAAGAAATTAGCAACGCGTCGATGGCAAACATGGTGAGGCCTTTTTCTTCGGAGATATTGGCGATGGTGACTTGTCCTCCATGGCCCATGGACAAGCCTCATCTGAGAAGAGCAGCATCCGCTTGGAATGCTGGCATGAGGATGAGCCCGTGGTGAATGATGGAGGGAATCCTCTGAAGCTGGATGAATATTCACAGAAAGAAACCCCCTCGTTGGAGAGGGAGATGTCAAGCTAGCTCGTAGAAATCATTAAAGCGCCGTACCTCGAGAAACCCGGAATGAGCGGCTGCCACCGCCGTTGCCGCCGTGAGCAGAATAGCCGGCCCTGGCGGACTCGATGACGATCTCCTCATCGGAGTCGACCTCGTAGATCTCGCGGTCCGGGAGCTGGCCCGCTGGTGTTAGAGCAGAGTTTCGTCACATAAAGGGCCCGCGGGGGTGATGAGCCCGCACGAAGCTCGGGGTGTAATGGGTCTGGTCAGGTACCTGGTGGGCTGGACCGTCCTCGCGGTGGTGGTGATAGGTCGCCGCCGGGGGCGAACCGAAGTCGTCGAAGTTGTCGAACTCGGCATAGTAGGACGAGTCCACGCCCGGGGTACTATGATAGCCCGATCCGGAAGAGCCGCTGTGGGTTCTCGGGTTGAAGCTGTCGGTGCCGCCATATGGGGCCCGCGAATCCTCGCTGTGTCGGGCACGCGAGGATGCATTGCTGGCCGCAGAGGCGGCCATCAAGCGGGCCTCGGATTCGGCCCTACGTCTAGCTTCCTCGGGGTCAGTATCCCAAACGCTCGCCGGGGCCTGCTGAAAAGATCCATAGTTGCTATGGCCGAATTCATCCCTGTTGCTGTTGTACATGTTGTTGATGTCATTGTGGTTACCGTAGTTAGAACTGTGAGTTGTGTAGCCTGCATGGTCATGAGACGCGGGAGAATGATGTTCCTCGGTGAACCCGCGCGACTGGCGTCGCGGGTTCGAGCTGCTGCCTCGTTGGGCATGAGAGGAGCTGCTGCCACTGGGGCCTGGGTCCTGGGACCGGCTGACCTGACGTCTCGATTCCGATGGACGAGTGCTTTCGGTTTTAAACAAGAGGTCGATCTCCTCTGGGGTCAACATGCGCGGAAGCGAGTCCGATTCAAAGGTTGAAAACGCATATGCCGAGGGCAGCGAGTCATCAAAGGTAGACGCAGGGGGTATACCTGAAAAGCCATACATTCCCGCTGGGGGTGGTGAATCAAAGGTAGACGCGGGAGGGATGCCTGAAAATCCATATCTTGCCGATGACGATGACTCCTCCCATGGGTCGCCGGAGCTTGAGGAGGACGAGACACCTGGCCAATCATTGCCAAATTGCGATGGAGTCGGCGGACGACGCTCAAAGGTAGAGCTAGCCGGAATTCTCGACGGTCCGGCGGAAGTGCGCAAGTAGGATCCATCATGGGTCTGCTGCTCGTCATCAGATTCCTCGTCGTAGGGATCGTAGGGCTCGAAATTCGGAGGCACAGATGAACGGTCGTAGCCCTCAACTGCAGAGCCAGAACTGGAAACCTCGGGGCTCGCAAACTGGACTCGTTTGGACTGAGAGCTCGACCGGCTTCGGGAAGAGTTGCTCGAGTCTGCACGAGTTCGACTAGCCCGAGAAGGAGCTATCTCGGCAGAGTGTGAACAGCCATGACAATAGATGTGGTGATGATGGCACAGAACTTGGTGATTGCACGGAATTTGGCAACAATCGTTCGTAAAGCCCGCTGCCGATGCAGGGAAGCCGCAGAAGTGATGAGCCGGGACCGGTCCAGCCAGACCGGCTGGGACATTGGTAGCTTCGATTTGGGTCCTGGGGCCAGCGGTCGTCTTCTCGGTGGCAATGCCTTTGTTGCCATGGCCCTGAGTGTGGCCGCTGCTGGGTCGCCCGACGTTACCTTGGGTAGAAGACCCTGGGTTGCTGCTCGAAGAGGACGGGTCGGCGGCAAACCCGCCACGGGTGTCCAAATCGGGCGAGGTCGGAGGGGTGGGCATGGGGTCAACTTCCTTGTCCTTCCCTTTCCACTTGGAGGACGAAGCGTCTTTGCTCGTCGACGGCCCAGATGAGTCAATATCGGGGTCCACGCACGCAGGCTTCGGTTTAAAATGCTGGGCAGTGAATGAAGCAGGCTCGCCAACGTCGAGATGGTCGGAGCTCTCAGGTTCGGAGTCGATGAGTCCTCTCGCGGTAGCCTTCATGCGATAAGCAGTCGCTGGTCTCTTGGCAGGTGACTGAGGGTCCTCGGAGGAGCCACTCGAGAGGTCAGAGATGGATCGACGATAGCCGGAAGAGGCCGGGTGGGCAGCAGGTCTCTCGCGAGGCAGTTTCTTGCACGCCGACAGGCCGTGGGCTAGATTAGCGTTGGCTTTAATCTCGCCCAAGGATGCGAACCGACGATAGGGGTTCGAATTCTACCAGTTCTGTCAGTATACGGATTGGATAGATATGGACTCCTGCGGCTTACCTCGTATCTGCCAGTATCCTCCCGATCACTAGGACTGGGTGAGTAGTTGGCTGCCATGTACAGCTTGAAGACTTTCTGTTTCTCATCTTCGAAACTCTTTCGACATTCTCCACAGTAGCTCGGTTCCGGGGTCTTCCCCTTTTGGATGGAGTGGGCATCATGATACGATGCAGATCGGACGATGCCACAGCCAGCGCAGAAGTGCTGGCGATACTTCTCTTCGCCGGGAGACCCCTGATGGTGGACAGGGCAAGAAGAGCGCGCGACAACCTGTCTGCGATGACGGCACTGCCGGCAGCAGTTGACAACCTCCGGGTCGCCAATTTGGATAGGGTGGGCCAAGTGAAATCCCACGGAGCGGGCGTTGCCACAGCTAAAGCACCGATGCTGGATGATATTGGTATTGACATCGTCACCTCCATCGACGTTTTCGAACTCCTCCCGAACTTTGTGGTGCCGAGACTGGACAAGTCCTCCAGTTCGGGAAGTGATGAACGGAACTGGTGGATCATCGTATCTGCCCGTCTGCCGAGCAGCAAGCCTCTCACGTCGCTCCAGTCTCCTGTTCAAGCGAGCCGCGTTCTCCTTATGTCCTCCCTGTTAAAAGTTAGTATATATCAGTAAAACACCGGGACCGCTTGGAACGTCAAGGTGGATGACTCTACCTTTCCGCCCTTCTTCACTTTCGATCCCCGCGGATAGTGCTGTTCAGACTCAGAATCGGTGTCACGTCTCTCCTTCGTCTTCGAGGCGGCCGAGCTGTCAGTCACGTCAGTGCTAATCCTGAATACGATCCGAAAATGATAGCCAAATGAGTAAGCCGGTATGGCCGTGCCAATCGCTGGGCTGGGAGGTGAGATACTAGGCGGTAGGGAGAGGGATGGGGAGGCGCGAGTGACGGCGGACAGGAGAGATATTCTCGCCGCGTTGATGAAGGAAATACGCTCAACGGGAGTACTTACCGGCCCCTTGCAAAGGCCTTGAATCGCTTCATCCTAGCTTGCCTGTAGCCAGGGAAGAGGTCAGCTCAGGGGAGGCGGCCGGAGCAGATGAATTTTGTTGGACCTTTTTGGATCTGATAGGGAGAGTACTAGCGGCAGTGAGAAGTTGGGTTGGGATGGGGAGAAGGAAAGAAAAGAAAATAGTTTCTTCTCTTGATGGTTAGGAGATCCCGTGGGTTGTTGGGTGAGTGAGTGGTGCGGGAAAAGTGTGAGGTGACGGAAGAAAAGTACGGAGTTGGGAGAGTGTGGGAGGTTTTTATATCACCCCCAAAAGGTACCCTACTTGACCAAGCTCCTAGGCAGAGAGTAGGAGGTCACAATAAAATCAGATGTCTGAATACAGTCAACCACAACAATAACAAGGGGCTAGTTCAGAATGTCAACGAAAATGTCAACACATCATTATCGCCGCGGCAACAATAAACAGATATGCGTATCCGCACAATAACGAGAGCAACTGCACCCGATGTGCTCGATGTGCTCGATATGCTCGACCATTATTATCTGGAAATAAGGAGGGTTAGATAATCCTTCACATTTCCCGAAAGTGAGCACAATAGCTTATCTCATAGTACCTCGTACTCCCATTGTTTGACGCTGCTCTCTCAGTTCCATTGATTACATACTAACTTCCATCTCCAAGGTGTTAACAGATCCTAAGCTGCAGTCGATCCTCTGGTCGAGTGCTACGGGCCTAGTATTTGTGGTCCATCCTTACACGTCGAACGAAGCATAGGTCGGATTCTTGAGCTTGGTGGATGCAACCAAGGCCAAGTCTACTATTGTAGACTACCGGTAAAAGGAGGAGACCGAGTACTGACAGGTCATCGTAACAGATCCAGTGGAGAAATACGAGAGCCCACGAGACGAGTATCCCAGAGCATCGGTTTGCCAGCAATCCCAGGGCCATGGGAATGGCAATCGTAGGGAGGCGCCAGGGATACCACTTACCTCCGACCTGACCGAAGATGTCAATATGTGAGCGAAGAATATATACCCGTGTATGGCAAGAAGGAATGAACATGGATATTCGGAATCACAGCAGTGGAGACTCTCCCGAGTGGACAGGGCGATCCCTCTCTTTCGATCGTCCGTCCCGCAGTCCTGGCGCCCAGAGTCAGCCCAATATAAAGACGCAGGAAATACCATCCATCTGCAAGCCGGTCCGAGACCACATGCCGTACGATTCTGTCGAGCGTGGGATGTGATCCATGATCAGACAAGAGGTCGTCTCCAGCAGGTCACGTGTTGTGCCTCGCACATCCACTTCGCAGTATCGCGAATACACGATGCCATGGAACAGCATCAAGAACTAATTCGCACGCCTCCTAGCGTGTCTTGCGTGCTTGCGAGAGGTCATGACGAGGAACACCAAGAAGCACGTTGTGGGGACGTTGATAAAGTGCCAGAGAATGCCGAGAATAGGCCGAAAGTGGGTGAAGTATCCCCACACAGCCCCTCCACCGTGATCATCGTCACCATCTCGCTTTGGCAGTCGTCCCATGAGAAACGAGTAGTCGCTGAACCTGTTGTCTCGAGTCAATTGAATTTCTCATAGCGTCTCGCGACTATATCGAGATACGCATCAGTTGAAAAGGGCAGCCGAACAACGCCAACATGACGACCGATGTCGGTGGTGCCTCGGCATCAACGGCCGGATTGGCGGGGAACGGTGACCGAACAGCAGCGGACCCGAATCAACCACAATCAGGGCCCGAGGCGGTGGGAGGCACCGATTCGACTGCGCCTCCAGCTCCGATCGATGTCAAAATCGATGACACCGATGCAGTCCGAGTTCTCGAAGACGGCCCCGGCCAACTCGCCTCGGTCTTCAACCGGGAGCTGTCGCTGGCGTCCAGATCGATCCACGCCGACGACTATATCAACACCCACAGAGCCGTGGCACCGCCGATGCACGTGTCGACGACGTTCCGCTACGCCCGCGACCCGAATGAGCTGGTGCCCTGGCTGAACACCGATGTATGTGACAGGGGGAAGTAGAAAAGAGGCAGCCCGATTGAAACCTGCTAACCACTTCCCACACCAGCCCGCCGCCCCCCACGACTCACACGTCTACTCCCGCGACTCAGCGCCCAACACGACCCGCCTCGAGGCGCTCCTAACATCCATCATCGGCGCCCCCTCGCTGACCTACGCCTCGGGCCTAGCAGCCTTCCACGCGATGCTAGTGCACCTCAACCCTCGCCGCGTGGCCATCGGCGGCGGCTACCATGGGTGCCACGGCGTGCTATCCCTGCTGTCCCGTCTGACGGGCCTGGAGCAGCTAGACCTGGACAACGAGTCCGACCTGGCCCGCCTGCGGCCGGGCGACGTGCTGCACGTCGAGACGCCGCTCAACCCGACGGGCGAGGCGCGCGACCTGGCGCACTACCGCCGCCGCGCCGACGAGCTGGGCTGCTACCTGACCGTCGACGCGACGTTTGCGCCGCCGCCGCTCATGGACCCGTTCCGGTTCGGCGTCGATGTCGTCATGCATAGCGGGACGAAGTACTTTGGCGGACACAGCGATATGCTGTGTGGCGTGCTGTCGGTGCGGCCGGACAGGGCTGGCGGTGAGGCGGGGTGGATCAGCGGGCTGCGGGCTGATAGGCTGCTTCTGGGGAGCGTGATGGGGAGCCTGGAGGGCTGGCTCGGGGTGCGGAGCTTGCGGACGCTGGAGCTGAGGGTGCTGAGGCAGAGCGCCAATGCGCAGAAGTTGGTCGACTGGCTCGCTGGGGAGATGAAGGAGACCGGGGGAGGCAACGGTGGTGATGGTGACGGGCTCGTCTCATCCATGGTCCTGAAAGTCCAGCATGCCTCGCTCCAGCCCGAGGCTCAAGATCCGGACTCGTGGCTTCGAAAGCAGATGCCGCTTGGCTACGGCCCCGTCTTCGCGATTCTGATGAAGTCGCCCGAGGACGCGAGGCGGCTGCCCAGCAAGGTGCATCTCTTCCACCATGCCACTAGCCTCGGGGGCGTCGAGAGCTTGATTGAGTGGCGCGCCATGACCGATAGGAGCGTTGATAAGCGGTTGCTGAGGGTGAGTATCGGCGTGGAGGGTTGGGAGGACCTGAAGGAAGACCTGCTGCAGGGATTCAGGGCCCTGCGAGAGGAGAATCAGAGAAGACAGAGTTAGCTCAGCCCCGCCCCCCCCCCCCCCGACAGCGAATATTTGTTATGATATCCAATTCGAGGAAACCCAGAAGTAAACCTGAGTCGTCAAAGATGCTGCTAGATTGGGGCACCTTGTTAAGACCGAATCTACAATGTACCAGTCGGCCAACAAAGTGAATATCGGGTAGGTAGGCTAAGATAAACGTCGCAAAATCCAGGGGAGCAAGCTGCCCTTTCAATGCCGTACCTGAAACCGGTCCTCGCCGTCTATAATATCCAGATCTTTCTTATCCAGCCTTACAACATGGGCGTGCCTGGGTCCATCATCGACATGTTTCAGGAACTGTGAAACAGAATCCGCGTTGCCTTGGGCCTCTCCCTCGACCTGAATAGCCCGACTCAGTGAGATGGGAAAATAGACCTTTTGCTAGACCAAGATCACTCTAGGCTTACCTTGTTGTCGTCGGTGTTACGAACCCAGCCTGTGACGTGATACTCGACTGCTTTCTTCTGCACAAAATAGCTTCGACCGGGTGTTAGCTGTGTGTGTTTGATGACGGGTGTCCCAAGGCTGGATTTGAAAGATGCATACCGGAAACCAACGCCTGCAACAAACTAAGGTCAATGACGAAGACTCCATACCTTGATGGGTTTGTGCTGGCATTACCTTGGACCACCCCGCCATGGGCTAGGAAGTAGACCTTTGGACAAGATGTCAGTGGTCGACCTGAGTGGGACTTCACTGTCCCCAAATGCTCACCCTTTTGGACATTGTAGTTATCTCCGTCTCACGAGAGGTGGTGAAGATGCAATTTAAATGTGCTACAGTAGAGAGCGATGAACAGTGACTCTATCGTCTGCAAAGCAGGTGACTTCAAGAGGTCAACATCCTTCACCCTGCCTCGGAGCTTGGATAGGTAGTTATCAGTGATTCAGTGTTGATTGTCCGATAAGAGTTAGTGTACGGAAGTATACGTAATGAATGGATTCAGCCGAGTTTTTGCCGGGCATGGCCAACCATCAGCCAGTCCATATGACGCCGTCCGTTTGAAACCAATCCAAATCTTCAGCACCACTCCTCCCTCACACCATCATTTTCACTGCAAATGGCGTCCCCTGCCCCAGAAGTAACCGAGCCGAGAGTAGTCTTCCGACCTGGGAAGAAAAGGAAGATTTACCGACAGCGATCAGAAGATGCCGACGGCGAAACAGCAGAAGTCGCAAACGAGACGTCAGCAGGAGCATCCGGTTTGCGCGCCGGCAGCAGCAGCACTCTCGAAACCCGGGATCCTCGTCACCCCGGCTCTGAAGAAGAGGAATTATCGGTTGCAGAAGTGCTGCGGCGGCGGAATGCTCAAAAGGCGCGACTAGGCGGCGTCGCCTTCCGGGCAACACCGACGCCACGGAATGATGACGCCGGCGCCACAGAGGACGGCAATCCCGGCCAGAGCCTCACTCTCCCTGAGGGCGGTGGCAATGCCGTGGACAGCATTGCGGAGGGCGGCATCGTGAAGCGATTCGCAACGCAGACTGGGCTGGTCGGCGAACTGGTGAACAGACACATGTGAGTTGACCCATCATTTTGCACCTTTTACCCGACTTCCCTTTCGTCCGTCATCCCCCGACCAGCCACTGACAAAGGAAGGGAGGAATACATAGAATCAGAACTAGCTAGGAGGCAACGGCACGCCAATGAATACGCGGCGGCGCAGGCGCAGGCCCAAGCGAACTCCCACCAGCACTCCGAGGAGACGGTGCACGACAAACCGGTCGTGATGCAGCCCGCCATGCGCGGCAAGCTGCTCGAGATCGACCTCGGCGAGGAGGCGCGGGCGCGCAACATCGCTATGACGGAGCGGGCCCGGCGCCGGCTGGAAGGGCAGAGCATCGACGAAGAAGAAGAGGGGGCCGGGCAGCGGCCCAGGAAGGTCCGCCTAGGCAAGGACGGCAAGCCGTTGCGGCAGAGGGGTAGAAGAGGGAGCGACGATATTAAGAGGGATCAGCTCGTGGAGGAGTTCCTGCGAGAGAATAGACGTGAGTCATCCCCGATCCCGGTCAAACTCATACTCGCCCTGTTCGTCCAATGTGCTGACTTTTCCTACAGTCGATGTCTACGATATTCCCGCTCAGAACGACGCAAGCTCTGCGGCATTGGGTGGCGATGAAGCAGCGGATGACAGGATAGCAGAGGAGTTCCGGCGCGACTTCATGGATGCGCTGAGTGCGCGACGGCAGAGGAGGAGGCCGGCCACCAACGCCCCACCCAAGCCACCCAAGGGAACTGTGAAGAAGGAAGAGATACTCAGGGGGCCGAAGCTTGGAGGGAGTCGGAACGTGAGATCGCAGATGAGAGATCTCCTGCTGAAGGAGCAAATGGAGAAGCGCTGAAGGGCTGTTAATGTTTTCGTCAGGGTTACCTACTACTTGACTGTAGGCTGTTATAAATCAACCTTTGTAAGCATTGGATATTGCGTCGATTGCTTCCTTGATGCTTCCCTGGATTCAATACCGAGTTCATACACCATAATTCTTGAGCAAATTCTCCTCCTCGACGTCTTATTGTGTACTATGTATTTAAGCACTCCGTACGCAGTAAAAGAAGTTTCCAGATGGAGAGAGGAGCGCGAGCAACGCTAATGCAGCCTTCGATCAGCCGCAGCCACCACACTATTGGCCCTACGGCGCCCCTAAGAGGTCAAGGGCCCCGCCTTTTCTTAATAGCTCAGCCCCGTTTTCCGCTTCCTCCACCCCTCACTCATGCAGCACTTGAACCCTTTTGGTGTGCTGATCATATAGAGGTACATTTACATACATTGGGCGTGCTAACAGAAATCTAAATTTGGGCTCCCGTCGATCGCCCACGGGAACAGAGGCTAAAGTACTATGAACTTGTGGAGCCGAATCAATCCACTTCAAACGGATCGACTCGTTGCGGTCTACCAGATTCCGTTTGCATTGCGAGATGGGAGGGATGACTGGGAGACAAGCGCTTGATGAAGTGCATCGTGCCAGGTTGCTCATCGCGAATCGCGAAGGGGGCCCTATAGTCGTGGGGGGTTGTGCAGTGGCTTGCTTACCCCGACCTAGCGCGAAATTGTTCCAGAATTGATCCTTCAGCCCTCGCACCTGCACTGCCTGCCTACCGCTGTCTCTTCTTTCAGCCCCTGTTGCGCCGGTCTGGTTTGTCTCTCGCCCACTTTCCACCACAATCGAGATTTAATCCAGACGAACCTGCCTGTGCAATGACACCCGCGCCGATTCTTAGATAGGTACTTCCCCATTCCACGGGAGTCGTGACAGGACCGCCAGGCACACACATCAGCACGACCAAAACATGCGAATACCGTGGGGTGGATGGCTGGCGGCGACGACGTGGCTAGCCGGGACCGTCGCGGCAGCAGAGCAGAATGCCAAAATAAAATTTATAGAGACAGACTTCCAAAACCCCGACCTTGGCGGTGATGCCATCTTCACCGTCCCGCCCGAGGGCTTCGGGTCCAGGAAATTCAGATGGACGTCGGACGACACGCCCGTGGGCGAGGTGGCACTCTTCATCGACGGGCTGCAGCGCGACACCGTCTCTCTGACTCCCGGGGACAAGCACGCCAAGGAAACCATCGTCCCCGCGCCGCCCGCGAACCAGGGCGGCCCCTTGGCGGGCAGAGGGCTGATGGCCATCGAGTTGCAGCAGAGACCGGCCAGCGCTCTCAATTCCATCCGAGCGTCGGCCGACGAGCACTTCATCACCGGTAAGCAAGCCCTTCCCGGGCGGGACAGCAGTACGAGAACAATGGGTCTAACATTTCCTTCTTCCCCTCTCGCAGGAAGCACAGCATACGACGGCAAAAGCGGCTCCGTAACGATCCTCGACCTTAACCAGGTCGCCACCAATTTCGCGGGCGCGGTCATGTACTTCAAGGTAACCTGGGGGTCGCAGGACGGGGCCAGCTTCAGCCGCAGGTTCACCGTCGTCTCCTCGGACAGCCCCGACAACCTGAAGAACCTCCGCAAGGACGCGACCTTCAGCGCCGGCCAGGACTCCCCCGCCTTCCCCGAGGTCACGGGCACCGCCGCCGCGACCGCGACCCCCAAGCTGCCCGCTGACGCGAGCCCGTCCGTCCAGCCCTCCTCCGGCGACGAGCCGTCGGGCCCGGGCTCGTCCGGCGGCTCCGGCTCCGGCGGGCCCAGCACCACCAGTAGCAGCAGCAGCAAAAGCAGCCGCCTCTCCACGGGAGCCATCGCGGGCATCGCGGTCGGGGCCGCCGTCGTGGGCATCCTCGTCACGGGCGCCCTGATCTGGTTCCTGATCCGCCGTAGACGGCGCGGCGGCAGCAGCAGCCAGGGGCAGCAGCAGCAGGGCGCCGCCGCCCCCTACGCAGGGGCGAACAACCGCACCCAGGAGCTCATGGCCGAGAAGGAGGCCGGCGCGGGCGCAGACGTGTCGCCGCACTCGCCTTACTCGGACGACGGCAACGGCAACGGCAACATCGGCAGCGCCGCTAGCGCTCCCACAGCTGCAGCGTCCATGAGCGGCGGGGTAGCCGGCCAGCAGCGTCAGCACGAGCGGTCGTTCACGCCGTACTCTGACGCGCAGCAGCAGCGGGGTTCTCTGGCGGGCGATTCGCAGCACTCGCCTGTGGCTGCTCCGGGTGCGGGGAGGGCGACGCCAACGACGGCCGCGGCGCCGACGCCGACGCCGTACGGCCACTTGGTCGAGGAGGGCATGACCGAGGACGACATCCGGCGGCTGGAGGCGGAGGAGCGGGAGCTGGACCAGGCTATCGAGCAGGCGGGGAGGCGCTGAGCCTTGGGAAGAGAGAGAGGGAGAGAGGTATTAGGTTTGTTGGATCTTTCGTTGTTTTTTGTTCAAGCCTGTTTTGAGGAATTTTTGGAGTTCGGATTCCTGTGGCTCGTTTGTATCGCTCCTTCGCTCGTTATTCTATGATACCAGGCCGTCTGTGGTAGGAAAGGGGACGAGGTCTGCTTGCAAATGAAGTTGGGGTTGGATTGAACTGATCAGATTGTTGAGAGAATATTCCATGTAATGATCTTTTCACTCATCTTGGACAAGCCGTTCTCACGGTATGATGGCCGCCCAAGCAAAGAAGGGGGGTTTATAGACAGGGCTATCTCTGCAAAATACTTTCGGCCGTCTCATAAATTGACGTTGCACATCGTTGGACACAACTGTAAATGACTAGGTAGCTCAAGCTCGGCACCATTGCCAGCATCCGCACAAAGTCTGAACTCGCACTCAAGTGACTAACGCTCGTGGAAACAAAAAGAGGGAGGGCGGCCGATCTAATAAACAAATGTATTATTATTGTACATGGATATCCCCGATAAACATGACATCCGACGCCGTGGAGTGCTCCGACATTGTCATCGTGATAGACCCGTTGCTGGTACGGATCGCTTTCCCATCGCCATCACATTCTCATGCCCATTCCCCTCCCCAAAAAGGACCATCGCCTGTCTCCTAGTCGTACGGCCTTCCAATCTTTGAGCAGAACCTGCCTACTACCTGAATAGTCTCCCGAACATGTTGCTGGCAAGGTTGCCCGCAATGTTGCCCGAGAGGAAGGCGTTGCCGGCGTAATTGGACGCCTGGCTGAACTTGTCACAGCGCGAGAAGGCGAGACTGTTGGTGATTGTCAAGACGAGAGCGATTGCTTGAAAAGGTCATACAGTCAGCCGTCGTCCCTCTGGAAGACATCCAAGCTCGCAGGAGAGCGCCAGTGTAGGACAAGGCCCACGATAATGTTTGAACTCACCGACCAGAGGCAACCAGATAAACTTCAGTCGGACGAGCGCCAGGATGGCGAGGGCGATCCACAGCAACGGCTGCGCGTATATCGCCAACCAGAAGAAGCGGCTGTCGGTTGGGTTGACGGTCTTGGTGCCAGGTTCGCTGCTCTCGAAGACCCAGTGCGAGTCGCCCGTGGCCGGGTCGACCTCGTTCCACCACCGCAGTCCGACGAGTCGACGCCCGGCGATGTTTTTGAGGTAGTAGAAATCGCCGGCAAGGAGGAGGATGGTGACGATGAAGACCATGATCCTATGCGGCGAGTGATTAGTGCACGAAGAGACGACGAGGGACGAGAGATGAGAGATGATAAGGGGCGCGCCTCACATGTTATCTGTGAATATCAGGCCGAAGAGATAGACCAGAAGGCTTGCTGCAGTCAGTACCGTTAGCCATGGTTCCTCATGTGGCTAATCCTGTCTGAACACGAGGCTGGAGCGTGGGCAGTCGTCACATACAAATTCGAAAGGCCAGAAAGGTAAGTAGTGTGATCGGGTGCGAGCTCAGGCGCCAGCTCAGCGAGCCTGGCGCAGGTTGTCCAGCTTCCATCATATTGAAGGGAGACAATATCAAGAGAGGATGGTGGTGGGCGGATTGCGCATCTCTCCAGAGCTTCGTAATGGTCGTAGCCCCTGCAATTAATGATACGGAGCGCGAAGCTAGTGTACAAGCTACGGTTGCCCTCTGGAAGCGGTGAAAAACGGCAGAATTACACGTTACCGACTTTCCACCGGGACCTCCATCGCGGCGCGGTGCTCTAACGTGTCATGACATAAAGAGACGAAAGGGACAAATTCCAATCTGGTGTGAGACGTCCGCAACCTCAGAATCCAGCGATTAGTCCAGGATGGACCTACATATGCAACCATGACTATAAAAAATACACAAAATAAGCACATCTGCAACAACACACATTCTACATAACTGCCCTTTGGATAATGCCTCCGGTTGTATCACATGCAGGCAGCCGACGCTGGCCGACATCAAAAATGGCAAGTCAGGAAGGTCCTCCTTCAAGACGTCGAGCAGCAGTGTTGGATCAATGGCCCTTTGAGTTCTCATCCAAGGGATATGTATCCCTAAGGTATTGTTTTCAGGAATGCTCTTTTGCATCATCCCATCGTTTCCTAGCTAGGTACCTGAGTATACTACCTTGGATACAATACCTTGTGCGGAATACTGGAAACCTGGATATCAACTTCGGGCGGGACACCCCGCTCCTCATACAAATCCCGGCTTTGAATAGGTCGGCATCATTCCGAAAGTGCGACATGGAACCCCGAGCCGCTTACTCACGGGAAACGGGAAGACTCGAGAATGTTTTACGATCTTGTTAGTCAGAGCAACCAGGAACGTCCAGCAAGTTCCTCGAGTTCCTCAGGGGGTCAACCAAGTTAGCCCGGATCTTGTGCGTCGTAGCGCACGCCAAGGGTTTGGCGGTGTAATCGTAAAGTCTACGGATGAGCAATCCATATTTCAAATCACGAATAGAATTGCCGTTCCTTGCCATGCCGTCGGTATATATAAAAAGATAAGGCCCATGCTAGACCCGTCAAGGTGGTGAAGAAAGATTTAAGCATCTTGCACCATTTGCCACAGACTATCGACTCATCCCTAGACAAAGAAACGGGCAGTTGATACTCCGTACCTGCCTACCTAAATAAATTGGATCATTCGACACACACCGACCGACCTGCAGACCGATAACCGGATCCAGTGAATCCTGTCCATCAGCACCGCCTTTATAAAGCCCTGCTCTTCTCCTGATCAATTGATCGTATCTACAATAGCAAGGGTTCTCGAAAATAAATCGCGGAGCCATGACGGCTCACGACCATCCCATTGCGACTCCGCCGCGAGCTCCATCCCCAGTCCATGGCTTCGGCACCCTGGCGGTGCACGCGGGGTCGCCACATGACCCCACCACGGGAGCTGTGATCGAGGCCATCTCCCTCTCGACGACATTCGAGCAGACGGGCGTTGGCAAGCCGGTCGGCCAATATGAGTACAGCCGCAGTAGCAACCCGAACCGGACAAACTTCGAAACGGCAGTGGCGGCGCTGGAGCACGCCAAGCACGCGCTCGCCTTCTCGTCGGGTAGCGCCACCACAGCCACCATCCTGCAGTCCCTTGCCTCTGGCTCGCACGTCATCTCAGTGTCGGACGTCTATGGCGGGACGCACCGGTACTTCACCCAGGTGGCCAAGGCGCACGGCGTCAAGGTGACCTTCACGCCGGAGATCGAGGTCGACATCAGCGAGCACATCACCGATGCCACCAAGCTGGTGTGGATTGAGAGCCCAAGCAACCCGACGCTGCGGCTGGTCGACATCCGGGCGGTCGCGACGCAGGCGCACAAGCACGGTATCCTCGTCGTCGTCGACAACACCTTCCTGTCGCCGTACGTGCAGAACCCGCTCGACCACGGCGCCGACATTGTCGTCCACAGCGTGACAAAGTACATCAATGGCCACAGCGACGTGGTCATGGGCGTCGCCGCCTTCAACAGCGACGACCTCCACACGCGCCTCTCCTTCCTGCAGAATGCCATCGGCGCCGTCCCCTCGGCCTTCGACTGCTGGCTCGCCCACCGCGGCCTCAAGACCCTGCACCTGCGCGCCCGCCAGGCGACCACCAACGCGACCGCCGTGGCCACGGCGCTCGAGGCCTCGCCCCTCGTCCTGGCCGTCAACTACCCGGGGCTGGCCTCGCACCCGCACCGCGCCATCGCCCGGCGGCAGCACCGCGACGGCATGGGCGGCGGGATGCTCTCGTTCCGGATCCGCGGCGGGCACGGGGCCGCGGCGCGCTTCTGCCAGCTGACGCGCGTCTTCACGCTGGCCGAGTCGCTCGGCGGCGTCGAGAGCCTCGTCGAGCTGCCCAGCGGCATGACCCACGCCGGCATCCCGCGCGACCAGCGCGAGGCCGTCGGCGTCTTCGACGACCTCGTCCGCGTCAGCTGCGGCGTCGAGGACGCCGAGGACCTCGAGGCAGACGTCCTCCAGGCCCTGCAGCGCGCCGTCGCCGAGACGCACAACGGGGGTGGCGCCACCAACGGTGTCGACGGTGTCAACGGGTCCTGAGGGGGAAAACAGTTCTACGTATCTCACCATTTTCTGGTATTTTTCCTGCGTTCCCCAGGGCAGCGGTTTTTAATTCCCGCGAAATGGAGAATATCCAAACCAAAAATATATATCTTGGCTAAGAAGCGACCGGTGGATATGTCGCTCCCCCCGAGAATAGGCCAAATAATTGCGTTATAGACTCGGATGGCATAATGATTAGAAAGATCTCGTCTTCCTTGTTGCGGGCTATGTTTCCAGAGAATTCTGTGCACAAATGTTCAGAGCAGCCTACGTGACCTGGCTCCTAGGGGTTGACTGACTGACACCAGCATCGACACTGCGACCGGCCATTATATTCGCGACAACCGTACGGATTCTACCCTCGAAGCTCGGCGTGGTGTCAAAAGCACAAAAGAGAAGCCGTGGATTAAGCTGTATAGTAGTAACCCCTACAACCCATCTAACTCGCCAACTGTGGCGATAATTCAGGGCCCGATGATACCTCCCCAGAATGCCGCCCCCCTTATCCCCAACAACGCCGAGCACCATATCCAATCGCTGCAACAAAAACAAGAAGCCCCAACCACGCAAGGCCTCCCATCCCCTCCCGCTCCGCACCGCGCCGCCCCCAGCGCAAAAAAACTAATCCTGCCACCGCGTCCCCGCCACCACGCCCCCCTGCGCCCCCTTCATCCCCTTCCCCTCCCCCTCGACCTCGGGGTCGGGGTACCTATACCCGTACAGGTGGATCTTCCCGCGCCTCTCCAGCAGCCGGCGCGTCGTCGTCGTCGCGCCGGACCCATCACGGACTGGCGGATGAGGAAGAGGGTGGCGGCGGTGGTGCTGGTGGTCGTGGTGGTGTTCTCTACCCCCGAGTTCGCCCCTGTCGTCTACGCGCCGCCTCAGCTCCACTGCCGCCGCTGCCGCGGCCGTAGCCTCCTCGTGGCGGTCCTGGTCCTGGTCCCGATCTCCTCCCCGGAAGACGTCGCGGACGAGCTGTAGCGGGGCCGAGAGGATCCTCGCTAGGGCGTTGGGGGTGTTATTGTTCTTGTTGTCGTTGCTGCTGTCGCCGCCCCGGATGATGCGTCCCTGGCTCACGACGACCACGGTCGGGTCGGTGCCGGGGCGCTCGAGGACGTCGTCGAGGCGCATGTAGAGGGGCTGCTCGTCGCTCTGGGGTAGTTCCAGCCTCTGGGGGGTGTTCTTGTCTCCATCTCCATTGCGACTGCTGCTGCGTGCTGCCGGCAGGGCGCTAGTTGCGGCTGACAGGAGGAGGAGCACGAGGAGTGCGGAGTTGAGGTTTGGCCTTGACATCTTGATCGTTTAGGCCGGTCTATGTTCGGGGATGGTGTTTTCGAGTGACAGTGACGGAGACGAGTGGGCGGCGGCGAGCTCTTAAGGGTTGCAGAGCGCGTCCGCCGATCCCCTCGAGGCATTGGAATAAATACCGATCTGGAGTTGAAGATTCCATGTACTGGAATGCAGGACGTGCGAATGAAATAGGAGCCATGCGAGCAAGTCAATGTCTCACCTCGATGGGGATGCCGATCCCCCCATCCCTTGGCCCATGACGTTAACTTGAGGCGTGGGCTTCAAGCTTTGGAGGAGATGTCTCAGTTGGGTATGGAGAAAAACCAAATGCATTCCCAATTGCAGAATGCCTAGATTCCTCGGCGGTACCTCCGACTAACGATACCCCTAGCCTCGCTTCTCGAGCACTACTTCTCAAGCTACACAAAAGCATACTCTGTACAGGCCAACACCCGGTACTGACGGATATACGGAAACCACCGTGACGCAATCCTCTTTCCTGGGAGCTTTTAGTAGTGACCAGTGCAAAAGTAACCGCCACCGGAAGCGTCTGCTATCGCGAGCCGGTGAAGCAGGTAGTTTGATTGTTGCAAGGGCAGCTAGCTGCCGAAGCCGATCTGCTCATCATTCTGGGCCGCTCGACTTGAGCGCGCACCGCCGTAGACCCCGGTATCCTATTCCCTTGTCGTTGCCTCTGGCGTCTTCTGCACCACCGGCCACGCGCTCCCATGCATTCCTAGATGACCCCTTGGACTCACTCACCTCGAAGTGTTCTAAGCGTCGATGTTTGTGGATCCACGGAAAGACCATGTCCAGTCAGAACGTCGAACGCCCAGTCCCACTTTCCGCATCCGGCAAGTATGACAGCAAATCCCCGGCGCCCTGTTCCTTTTCAACCTCATCCCAACTTCATTCGCGTTTGGGTAGATATTGAACCTCACCACGGGCTTCGCGATATGAGACCCCGATAGGATCTACGCCGTAGGAGTTTCCATACCTGCGTAGTGGCCTCTAGCCGGTTATGGCCGATGGCTTGCCTCTGAGGGAAGCCCAGTCTCAACCCCACGTCGGCTCCTTATCCTGCGTCGCCCAGGTAGCAAGCCGGATAGATCTGCTGGGGGATGATATTGCCTCTGCGGTGTTCCCCGTTACGCATCTCGGGGCTGACTCATGCCAAATAGCTAGGTAGATAGGTAGCAGGCCTGTTGCCTTCCTGCTGTCTGCCAGATATGTGTATGTGTCGACCCGATACTCGAGAACCGTCTCGTGTTTGTTGCCTCCGGGGGTGAACTCTCGAGTCTCGATTGGGGGGTTCGATGGTTGAAACTGGTTAGTTGCCGTTGGTCTAACTTTTTCTGCATCTCCGAGTGTGACTCCATCGACCGTGCTGGTGATATTCGTGGGAAAGGAACGGAAGCTTGCTCATGTCTGCCACGTCCTGCTGCGGTCAGCCCAATCTACCGAAATACAGAGGAAGATATGAATATTCCCCGTCCATTGCTTAGTTACGAGCCTTGGAGAAGGCCTTGCGATATTATCCTTTGTTGTCTAGTCTGACATGTCTGTAGGGACCCTCGGGAGTGTTGGGTGAGTGGCGATGCCTCAACCGCAATGTTTTCGGGTGTTGGGAGGCTTTCGGGTTTATCGCTGCGATGGACCGAGGTTTCTCATTATCAGGTTGTGTTGTGACAAGTATGCCCAGTAGGCTTATTTGTTATCTGTGTTTCTGACTGTACTGTGTATTTGAGCGTGTGGATGGGTGTTTGGCGGCGGGGGTGAGGTGTCTTGGTTTGGGATATGGGAAGGCGTCGGTGATCATGGGACAAGGAGGAAAAGATGCAGTGAGGCGTACTGGCAGGCAAGAAGTAAGATGGAGGTGACTGACGGTTGGCGAGGTGAACGGGGCTGTGGCCGATGTACAAGTGTACCTTGGGTAGCTGGGGGGCCAGCTGGGGACCCTGCCCATCAAGATGAGAACCGGAAGGCCTTTATATACCAGGGTTAGGAACTAATTCGCAAGGACCACAGCAGGCGGCTTCATGGCTATGTTGCTCAGGTCAAACTGTGGTCCTGTGGTGGAGTGGTAATGAGCGACACTCGACAAAATCAACAACCGGCCTGACGACAAAGAGATTAGGACACTCGACACCGAGTCCGAACTCTTTTGTTCGAACCGGCTACGATTCTTTTTTTTACTTCTTTTTCCCCCCTGACCCCCCTCAGGTTCTACTTGTGTATCATCCCCTCTCTCACAATACTACGGGTCATATACTGTTCCTTATTTTATTTTATTTTTTAAAACTTGATATTTATTTAGTAAAGGGCTGGCAGGAAGACGGCCTCTGAGAACGTGGACGAGGCTAGTTGATACACATGAACAAACTACCAGTCATCGAGACGAACTTGTCCCTCTGGAGCTGTCTATATCGTCACCAAGTGCACAAGAATGCAGCCATCGAATTTGCACTTAGTTCCGTCACCTAGGAAATACGCAAAAGGCAAGAAGTTAAGGCATCATTTCTCATAGCTGGGACGTACCAGCTGGCGGCAGAATATATATAGTACAGTTAGGATACAAAGATTTGAATCTCCTCCATCCCCGACCCAATCTTTCCAACCCCCCCATAGTGCTCAGTGTCCCCAGCACACTTCGGACGAGCTAAAAGGACGATTAGGGTATCTGTCCGTCCAGGATTACTCCACTCGTCTTCCGAGCCTAGACCTTCCCTCTCCTCTCTCAAAGAATACCTCTAACCAGTGGGTTTCCTCTCGTAAGGAGTCGCCATCCTTCACCCACGGGAGGAACAACGGCCAGCAAGAGTGGCAATCCCTCCCTTGTCCCGGGGACTTGATCCGAACGGGACTCTAATTCTCATTCCCCCGCCCACCCTCCGGCCTCGCCGGGCTGCATTGTAGTTTGAACGCCTCTGAAGATGATAAGAAATGTCGAGAGAAAGAGGCAGAAAAAAATCGAGAAATCGAAAAGGAAAAAGATAAAATAGAAAAACTCCTTTGGATGACGATTAATCAGAAGCAACGCGAGCTGGAAGAAACGATGAGATGGGGGAAAAAAGCAAGAAAAAAAGGGAAAAGGGGGGCCATTGATTATGAACCAGACATTCCCCTCCTCCATGCAGGTAGGTAGGTATCGCGATATACCCTCTCCCAGGGACCCGGGGAACGGGAAACGGGTAGTCGTGGAATGCGAGTGATTAGGTAGGTATTGCCGCCCTCCGCAGTTGGGGTTTCGCTTTTTCTTTCAAAAAGACGCCTCGCCGTGGCTGAATCATTATCGATCGGGATGATATGCGTGATAGGGTTTTGCTGCAGGATCGCCTCTCGCCGGATATGCGTGACTGTAGGTGAAAATCGCCAAGTCGACCTTTTCGTCCACATCTGAGATCTTTTTTTTTTCTTCTCTTCCCGCCCAAATTTCCATTCCCTCCTCTGACCGTCTCCAGCACACGTGGACTACGATACCTCCCTTCCGCGCCACCACCCGCAACTGAACCCCTCATACCGCCGCCTCCACCTGGCATCCAGCCCGACGTACGCGAACCGCCCGGCTCTCTACGCCGGCCGCCCGCGCACGCCCAGGCCCTCGACCCCGAGCGTGGGGACCTCCACCTCGCTGAGCCCCAGCACGCCCTCGTCGCGCCGCCGGTCCACGAAGCTGTTGCACTCGTTGACCACCAGGCTCCACTCCGCCAGCGCCCGGCCCGCGTACGTCGCAACCGCCGCCTGCGCCCCCGTCGGCCGCGTCGGCTGGATCGAGTTAAGCTGCCGCTCGCGCTCCCACTCCCGTTCCCGCTCTAGCTCTTGCTCCCGCTCCCGCTCCAGCTCCACCTCGGTGTCGGCGGCGCTAGAGTTTCCGTTGTACGAGAGCCGACGGCCGCGGTCTCGTTCCGCATCGGACGAGCCTTGGAGGTCGAGGGATTCGAGGTGGAGTGCCAGCGTGGGCGCCTTGCTCGACGACATGGACGACCTCGGCGACCACCCGTCCGAGCTGCTACGGCTGCCGTCGCCGGCGCCGAGGATCGGCAGGGTCATGGACCGCCGCTTGCTCTTGCTGCTGCTACCGCCGGGCGACTGCGATTCGTCGTTCCCCTCGAGCAAGGGCCTCGCGTTCCGCGCCTCGCTCACCAGCCCCGTGTGCGCGAGCCCGCTGAACCGCCTTGTAGGATGTGGGAGTCCCGCCGCGATCGGTGGCGGGCTCTCGCTCCTAAAGACAGCGCTACCCCCGTTGCTGTTGTTGGCCGCCACCGCCCCTTCCGCCCTTCTGCTCATCGCCGCCGACCGTGCGCTGACCCGTGCCTGCGCCGGGACGGGGAGTCGAGGCCGCGTCAGGACGCGGTCCCTCGGTGGACCGGCCGCCGCGGCGGCCTGGCTCTGCCAGCCGAGGGTGAATCGGAAGACGTACTGCGTCGTCTCGTAGACCGGGGCCGAACCCGTCGACGAGGTCGAGTCGGATGACGACGTCATGGTCGACGAAGGTGCGTGCTTTGGCGGAGGCGGCGGGCCCGACAGCAGGTGGACGCCCGCTCGCACCACCCTCGAGGCTGCCGTCTCGCGCCGCACCTCCTCGAGGTCGTCGTCCCATGTGCTGCGCCTCCCGGCCGTATTGATCCCGGCCGCTGTGCCGGCGGTGAGAGACAACACCTTCCCCAGGAGGGACCACTTCTTCTTGTACGACGTGGGGTTGCCGTCAGCGCCACTGGGAGAGGCCCTATCGCTTGCCCCTTCCTGTGGAGAAGCACGGTAGTCGGCTACTGCCCCCCTCCCTTCGGGATTACCAAAAGTGCCCCAGGACTGGTCGAAGCCGACGAGGAAGCCTGGTTGCGGCGTCTGCAATTCTGTCCGGATGATCATGAAGCGCTTTCCGGGGGTCGGGTAGCAGGGCGCTGTGGATGGCGGGTAGCGGCCCTCGGCGTCAGCCTTCTGCTTCAGCCAGAGGTAGTGCGACCAGACGGTCTTGAGGCGCTGGGACACGAGCAGGAATATCCTGGTGTCGAGCTCGTCGGCCCGCCCCGAGTCCCTGCATATCCTCCAGCACAGCAGGCGCATGTAGTATGCGCGCACCATGGGGCACCAGTTGTTGAAGAACTTGCCAAACACCTCCTCGGACAGCAGCCACTCGATGCAGAGCGACTCCTTCCGCGCCGGGTCCACCACTATGGCGTCCCAGACGGCGAACAGGAACGACAGCATGCGGATTTCCGCCATGGTGTTGTTCGAGTTGAGGATCATCTTGCCCACGTCGAACCAGAAGGGCCAGTCGATCAAGTCGACCGGCCGCGCGGGGCTGCCGAACTCGGGCGACGGAGACGACGGCGCGTTCTCCTCCCTCGGGGAGGTCGCGTAGCTGTTATTGATGCTGTTCTGGAACGAGTCGTACGTCATGAGGGCCTCCTCGAGGAAGTCGCAGAGCATGAAGCATGAGGTGTGCTCATACCGCGACGTGCGCTTCGTTGCGCTCTTCAGCAGGGCCATAAACGCCTCGGCGAAAGCGAGCTTGACGCCGGAGACGACTCCAAATGAGTTGTCCGAGAGCATGTCCTTGAGCAGGATGACCAGCCGGTTCTCGTCCATTCCTCGAAACAGGTTGTTAGGCGGCAGTGAGAGGGCGGCGATGGAGGCGTCAGCGCCGTGGGAAGCGTCGATAAGAGGCGGGGCCAGCATTGCCTCGACGGCGGCGTGGCGGTGGATGGTGCTGTCTAGGGTGGACAGGAGCTGTGCGTGGAGCAGGACGAAGGCCGGGCCGCGCGCCTTCTCGATGAGAGGGAGATCGGCGGGCATGAACTCCTCGGCGAGGATGTAGTAGTATTTGCAGAAGATAAACAGGAGATCCGTGTCGCCGCCCCTCCACCTCGACACCCAGGGGCCGTGCCAGGGAATCCTTGCCGTCAGCAGCGGTAGCTTCGGCGCGAGGCGTAGCTTGTCCGTGACGGTCTTGATCGAAGTCCAGCCTAGGCCACCCAGATTCGGCGGGAACAGCGCCACGATGTCCTCGCTCTCGCCTTTGCTCCGTCTCGGCAGGCCGAACTCGTCGGCTACTCTACGGATCAGATCCGAATTCAGGCCCCAGAGCCTGACGAGGATATCGGCCACGCCAGGCACGAAGAAGAAGGCGTAGGCGCAGGCCTTGCCGCTCCAGTTGACCAGACTCAGCGGTGCGTGCCGCATGGACATCTTGCCCACCACTATAGCCATCTGAGTGAGGAGGTTGGCGGCAAACATGGTCCGCACGTTGTGCTCGGCCGATTCGGTTATGAAGGTCGAGTCCGACGACTCGTGGTCGCTGTTTCCGTCGGACGACTGGGTTGGGGACCTCGCCCTCACGCGCTCAAAGGGCGAGCGGTCTGCGAGAGGCTGGAAGTAGCTCGTGCTCAATCTCCACTCGGGACGCATCATGATCATGGTCGCGGCCTCGAGCAACGCCGGGCGGTCCACGCCGGCCACGGGCTGGGGCGGACTGCCCACGGGGGAGGCAGTCGACGGCACACCGAGCTCCACCCTCGACTGGCCGTTGTCCAGCATTTCCAGGAGACCGTTCCACCACCTGTTGAGGATCGTCGCCCGGCGATCGACGTCCTCGGGGGTCAGCATGCGCTTGTCGGCATTTGACGGGTGGTAAGCCGTGTTGCGCAGGAAGGGCACCAAGATGCCGCGGATGGCGCCCATTTTTGCCGAGGCCGAGTTCTTCGCCGCGAATCTATTAAAGTCAGCGTCGAGGTTGCGGAAGGTGGCCCACAGCGGGTCGCGCGAGCTGGATTGTGGCATCGTGAGGGCGGTATCCGTGGTTGCCTGAGAGGCGTCCTCCGATGAGGTGCCAGTTTCCGAGGTGCAGGTGGAGTCTGTATGAGACGAGTCCCGAGCGTACAGAGGATGATTGCGGCCTTGCAACGTATGATGATCTGCAGCAGGAGTGGTGGTGCCAACGGTGTTGGCAGAGGCAGTCTCTGATGAGTCGAGGCCTTCAGAATCTGCACTCTCCATTGCACCGAGGGACAAGGTTGAGAGGGCTGTGGCAGAAGCACTTCTGACAAACACACTCTGGGGCCTTTGTTTGATCTTGGTCAAGTATACACTGGCACGATTGAGGGCTCGGCTTGTGCTGCTCAGTGAGTCGGTAGACCGGCTTGCCTCCCGGTCAAGGCTGCCCTCGACACGGGAGCGAGGCTCCTTCCGGGCCCCTCCTCCTGCTCCTGCAGCTGCATCTGCTCTTGCTTCGGGGGATGCCCCCTTCGCAGCCTTCTTTGGCTGAGTATTCCTACTACTGGCCCACTGTCGGTCCCGGATCCGGTTCGGGAAGGCCTTGTTGTTGTCGGGCTTGTTACTGGGGGAGGGAGATCTGGAACGAGACATCCATGACCGCCTGGCAAAGCCGGCAAAGGATTCCACCGTTTTGGACCTCTCGGCCAGCTTTGGCTCTGGCCCAGAGCTCCTGTCTCTGGAAGTGGCCCCATTGTCCTTTGTTTTGGGTTCAGAACCTTCCACCCTCAGGCTCCCACGAACATCTGGCGTCGACCTCGAGCTCGGCAGCCATAGGCGCGGCTTGTCAATCATAGAGTTGCTCCGGCCGAGCTTTCCGGCGCTGGGGTCGACAGAGGGCTCCGCAGTGGTCCTGATCTCGAAGATATTCTTCTTAGTTGTCGACGGGCTCGGGGCGTCGGGCTTGTCGTCGAGACTAAAAGTGGCATGGAACGCGTGGTCGAAATCGAAGGACGGCAGGTCGAAAGCGGGAAGGCTGGGCAGGCTCTTAAGGCTGAGAGTCCGGTGGGGGTCTCGGGGGAGGGAACCGACAGTGAACGGAGGAGGGGTGTCGGCTAGCCGGGAGAGCAGATCAGGAGTGGAATGCGAGCGGTGGAAGGGGACGCTGGGATCGACGGCCGGAGCCATCGAAAGGGTTGGCCCATTCATCTCATGGCGCGGGTGAAATAGCGGCAGGGGTTGTGGCTTCCCACGTTGTCAGCTCTCCCTCAGCGGCCCAGTCAGCTCGTCGTCAGGCTTGGCCGGCTGGATATTCTCTCGAATCAGGGAAGGCAGGCCAGGCCGGCAGGATGGGTGGGTGTGTGTGTGTGTGTGTGTGGCAGGTCTAGATTGCATGCAGCAACGGATTCACAGCATCTCCTCGACCCTCGGTTTCCCTGCGTCTTCCCGTCTTCTCCTCTCTCTCCGTGTTTCGATTCCCCCACAAGCAGTATGGTTCACCAGAGATTCACTCGCGGTTATTGGCCCTTGGTCTCTGGCTGACTGCCTGCTTTTGGTTGCGGTCAAGATGGGGACTGCGAACTTCGGTAAGGCGGAGTCGAGTTTCCAGTTTCCAGTTTTAGTTTCCAGTTCCAGTGCGGGTGGACACTGCGCAGTGGTGGCAGTCTGGATCGAGTGCACCAAAGTAGGGTGCAGGTTTTGGTTTGAGGAGCCCCAGATTTGCAGATCAATGCCGAACGAGATGGAACTAATTGCTTCGAGTGAATGGGGAAGTGTACTTTGCGGCTGTGGAGATTGAGGCAATAATCGTCCAACTACAACAGCTCCCCTCAGCCTTTTCAACAATGGCACATTATGATGTAAATTGGGGATGGGCTCTAATATAGGGGAGCAGGGGCATAATTGACGTCGTCGATCGCCGAGACTCTAGTGCAAATGTAAGGTATGTATAAAAGTGGCCCTGGTTGCCTGGGTCCTGACCTCCTGCAACCACGAGGGGAAGGAGCTACAGTCACAGTCTCAGCTACGAAGGAACAGACGGACGTCACATAATTGTTCGTGCCGGGGGGTGGGCGCTTTCTGGGCTTGGCTCAGGGAACGAACGGATCTCCTGCAGGGAGACTGGCAGGCGACAAGATACCCTGAGGAACAGCAACGGGGAGAGGCCGGGAAGGGGAGAGAGACGGAATGGAACAATGCGATCAACGGCGGTCAATGAAGTGGTTCACTGGTCATCAATGGGGCGAATTGGCAGTGGAATGGATCCTGGATAATCCCCGGGCAAATGCCTTGGCTCTTTTTTTCTCTGATTTTTATTGTTTATTTTATAATTTATTATTATTATTTTTTGGGCGGCCAAATTCAGTCGTTCAAGTTCGAACAGGCTTTCTGGAATTCCACCTTACGTTTACCAGATTGCGCTGTCCCCCTCCCATTGTATTGTTCCCTCTGTTGTGCATGCACAGAGTCACAGAGTCAAAGTCAAGCATCAATGATCCGACGACAGTGTGGGTTTCTTCTTTTCGGGCGTCTGCGTCTCACGAGCTTGCCAGCAAGGGCGATCTATGCGGCCAGTTTACGGATGCACTCAGACTTATGCTTTTCCCGATGCTTTCAGAGAAATTACACGAGGCCCACACAACCGGGCTCGGGCTCCACGGGATGCACGGGCTCCAGTTGTACAGCCCGAGAAAAGTCGAATGCTCATCAGGCAGCTTCCATACCAACACTGCAACAGATTAGACGCCACACAGCGCCACTCGATTGTGTTTTTGCGAGAGTCCAGACAGCCCGAGTGCATGAGTTATCGCGATGAGGTGGCCAGTGTGGTTGTGGCCTAGACCGCGCAAGAGGAATGCCGTGTTGGCAGCATGAGAGTGGTCATCGAGTGTCCTCGGCGGCTGGCTTTCCAGCCTCAGGGGCCGCTAAGGAAGCCCATTGTTGCCAGGGCTGAGCCTCTGGTACCTCTCCCCGATCAACACCCGATCAGGAAACTATTGCGTACTGGGCTAGTGCAGAACTACAAGCGTGCCTCGCGTCAGGGGCGCAAGCTAGAAAAGGGAACGATGCAAGCCACCGTCATTCAGGAGCTCCGCACTGGTTCAGCGCTGCCAACGGAGTCCTGTGCGTTCTTGTGTGCTAAACCGAAAAGCGGTTTAGTTGCGTGGGGAGCTGAAAATCCCATGTTTCCAGCCTGACTTTTTCCCACCCAATCCCTCACCGATCAGCAAGTACGTTGTATGTAAAGACGTTTACTGTAGGGAAAATAGCATTTGATTAAGACTGGATAAGATGGAGCCGGACGGGCGATGACGAGTTGAACGGGCTCCGTCAACCGAAATACGGATCGATCTGCCGATCAAACACTTCTAGATCCCTTCAGCACGAGTTTCTTTTTTTTGGGTCACAATGGGCCAACGAATTTACACTACCACCAACAGTGGGAGCGACCTCGCTCAACCATGGTTGGCCCAAAGCTGAGGTTCTGGGGTTTAAGGAAGCGAGCCGCCTTAGGACCGACAAGGTTCCCTGCAGGACCCTTGCCATAGCGCCCACCCCGTCATGATCACATCACAACCTACACTGTAACAGCGGACTCTTATTAGCGTTCCCCACCCAGAGATGCATCTCGGAAGGAAGAAAAAAGCCAGCGAGAGTAAGACGAATAAAAATGTCGGAAGGCTCGTCGTAAACCCTGCCCCCAAGACCCTTAACCGCATCGCCTACGTAGTCGATTGCGACTGTGATCTATGGTGCTTACCAGGAGATTCAGCCCAGCATTCGAGATTTGGAGGTGGGGACGGGACTTGGTTAGGTGCCGACTTTCCGCTTTCTCATATTTCCTTTTTTGAACCCCTCTCCTTCGGGACACGCGGCGACGCAACACGGCCAAGGGGATCGTCATTTAAATCGTACGTGTGGGCATGGTTGGCTTGCTAGGGCCCTTGCAACGCTACATCAGACCTCTTGGCTGCATCCCCTCCCTGTCCTATTTTACGCCTTACACGATGCCTCGAGAAGCGGTATCCGTTGTTGCTCCCCTTCGCAAATGGTGCCAGTCCTGCAGAATGAATCCGTCATCTGACAATTGGCTGCCCAGCCCCCCAGCCGGTGCCCAATGAAGGGGATGGCAGAAGAAAACGAGCTCTTGGAAAGTCGGAAGGCCGAGCTTTTCACCGGCTCCGGTTTCGGCAGGTAGTGCCGGCTTGGCAAGTCCGGAGGCAAGTTCAGGGTCCATCAAGCCGGCCCGGACCACGGAGCTGCTGCGCGTAAGGAAATCTGCAAAAATGATCGTACTGTCTGGGATTTCTCCTTCAAAACCTGCCACAATCTAGTCTAGTATCGTCGTACAGCTCAGCTAGTAGCCTGCCTGTCACCTGCCACAAAGGTGGCTTGGGGCAGGGTTATTCATGATAACGTCAGCGAGCTGGTGCGCCGCGAGATAAATGGGGTGAATGATGCTATCCAGCAACGGTCTCGCGAACTCGACACGCCTTTTGGTATTGCAGGGTGGGACTTGCCGCCCCAGAAAACGAACAGCTCCTACGTCACGTCATCAGCTGAATCCTGCGGCATGCAGAAGAAGCCTCTATTATTTAACGTTTGGCCCCTTATACGTTTGTAGCCGCATGCCCCCCAAAGCGTGGGAGAGAAGGTTTCCTTCCCGAGAGAAGGTTTCCTTCCCACCTTCCATTCCGTCATTGACCAGAACAAGGAGAGGGCAGTTTCAGGCACATACATTTAGAGTTCATATAACTAAGAGACTGAGGTGGGGGAAAGGTTATCTGAACACACATCTAGATGGACCACTCTTATTGGACCCATCTCATCCGCCCCGTGCCGTGCCCGCCGGAACGAACCGCAAGTTCGTCGAAAACTTTAAAGGGGATTCCGAGTTTCCTTGCATCACCTATCTACCTTGGTACTGGTACAGTCTTGTCAGGAGCAGTTGCCGTAGCGGGTGATATGTTTCTCACTCCTGAAAGGTTGATACTATGTCCCCTCCGAGTGAGCATGCAGCACATGGTGACAACCCATAAGCTTGAATTACCAAACCTGAGTAGCTATGCAGTTCGATAGGCTGTTACACCGCTGCTTTCCAAAACTTTACCTATGCCAATGCTAATCGCTATCTAACCAACAGAGTGTCATGTCTATGATTCATGATATCCATGTAACACCCGTCAATGACCCTTCCCAAACATATATTCAATGTTCAAGTGATATAAACATATGCATTCCACTCCGAGCTCCAAGGCCATGAACACGACTCTGCCATGACAGTATCCGCAATAGCCACCAACATCAACAGAAAGGCGGTATCAACAGCAATAGCACTCAGAGCTGCATCCCATTCCTCACAATAGCGACATCCCCATACCTGGGACACAGCAGCGCCCCATGGCCATTCACAATCGCCAGATGCGACGTATTCGTGTTAAGCCAGTCCTTGGGCGTGAAGAAATGCCTCTTCAGCCCAGCGACATCCTCGTCATCACTCTCGACGGCGGGGTGTTCGCGGTCGCTTTGCTGCTCGTCCCCGGAGGAGCCGGTCGCGCCTGTCGTCGGGGACGGCACGCCGCCGCCGCCGCCGCGCGCCGTGGCGGCCAGGACGTCCCACGTGCACAGCCAGCCCTCGTGGTCGAGGAAGACGAGGTTGCAGCCCTGCACGCCGACCAGGAACTTGACGTGCTCGGCGAGCGAGGCCGGCATGTGGGCGGTGGTGGGTATGGTTGTCTTCGCGTCTTCGGAGACGGGGTCTGTGGGGGCGTCGCGGCCACCCTGGGGCGGGTCTGTTAGGAAGTCTGCAATCTTCAGAACCTCCACCTCGAGTCCGAATTGAGATAGGCAGGCTGCCAAATCGTTGCCGTTGCCGCCCCGGAGAGCGGCATAAACCAGGTACTGGCCGTGTTCGGTGTGAAGAGTTGTGGCCCACTGAACCATCTTCTGAGGATGGCCTGACGGGCTGGCGGATCGGGACGATGACTTCTCCCCCCCCTCACGAGAAGCCGATCGGTCAGTCGGGTGGGACGGGATTCTGACGACGTCCACCACCTCGAACGAGGACCACTTGAAGGTCCGCAGTTGGGATGGTTCCACCCAGATCAGCTCATGGAACTTAGTCGGATGCTGCACCCATCGTCTCGCCTGGTACGGACCCCACTTCCGAACGTGTGTCTCCTTCTTCGCTTTCAAATTCCAAACGCGGTCTTCAGACATGGTCGAGACCAGGAGAAATTTCTCGTCTTTGCTGAACAAGAACTGGCACACCAAGTGCTCCAATTTAGCATCCATGACAGGAAATACAGCCCACTTGCCCTCCTCCTTTACCTGGAGCCGTTTGCAGATGACACGACCGTACTCGTCGCACGACACCATGTACTTTCCCGAGTTCGACCACGACAGCTCGACCACTTCGGTCGAGCAAGTGTGGCCGTATGCCTTGCGGAGTTTCTTGCCGTCGAAGGCGTCGGCGATGATCACGGATCCGTCTTCCCTTCCGCAGCAGAAGTACTTGTCGCTGGAGCTGACGGCCATTGCCGTGATGAGGGTCTGGGTGCTGCCAGTCGAGGCTATTATGGGCTCCGCTGTTAAGGCGGAACTCCCTGCGGAGCTCGAAGGGTTGAGATCATACTCGTCGGGGTGGATCAAGGCGCTGGGCTCCCAGACATTGCAAACAGATCCCCTAATATCGTAAAAGCGCTGGCAATTCGGGCTGAAAACCAAATCCTGGCAGGATTCGTTTTCCTTGGGGTTGAGCAGGCTGTATATGAGGTCCAGTTTTGGGAAGGCCCAAATTTTAATGGTGCCCTGAGTGTCGCTGGACAGAAGAAATTCCGCGTTGTCGCTAATTGCAATATCTCGGGCATTGATGTGATCGTATTCGACCTGTTCGTTGTCGAAAATCCGCCATTCAACAAGCTTGGTGTTGTTGCAGAGTATCATCAATGACCCCGTTTCCTGCCGCCACTTGAGCTGGTCCGGGTACAGGATCGAGTCATTCTGGCTCTGAGTGGGCAAGTCAATGTAGGAAGGGAGATATTCGCATCGAAATCCCAGATAAGGGGGGCGCGGCCTCTCCATGTCATGGCGACTTTGCCCAGATGAGGGCTGATGGATATCCGCCCCGGACAGCTCCCGTACGGTTCGTCGCTACCGGGAAGTTGAGCAATGAAAGTTCTTTTCACCTTTCCGGACTTGAGACTGTAGAATATGATGGCGCAGTTGTCTAGCCCAACGAGGAGTTCCGAATCCTCGCGTCCGAAGGCAAAATCGAGCACCACACCGTCTACGTCTTTCTCAATACAGTGAAGGCGTCGTCCGGATGAGAGTTCCCAAATGCAGAACGTACGATATCCAGAGGTTGCGAGAAGTGTGCCAGAGCTGTTGAGGACCATCTTGGTTACATACTCTCCTTGGCGTATTGTCTTCAGTTTTTCGCAAGCCTCGGCACTCCACACAGTCACTATCCCGGACGGACTAATCAGGGCAATGAAGAGCGTTTCGGTTGCGAGGACTTGCGAGGCATCGGCCCCTCCTCCAACATCGACGTTCGCGAGACAGTCGTCCCAAGTCGTCGATGGTAGTCCCTCTACCGTCAGAGATCCCGAAGGATGGGTCCCAAATGCTCGGCCAACCATGGATTGCTTGGGACAGAATAGGAGCACGTTGTTGCGTATCGAGGCCGGATTGCGAACTAGATTCGCTCCGAACTTGCTTACAATCCCGACGATGTCGACCGTCCAGGCCTGAATCCAGCCGAACCCCTCTTGGGCATCCTTCAAAGGGAGCGCAGCATCCGGACCAGCTGTCCTTGATTTCCCTGTTCCTCTCTTGACGTAGAGTTTCAGATACTTGGCTGCTCTCGAAAGATATTGCAGGTCCCCAGACAGTGCGATACCTTCGATCCAATACAGACAATGATTTGAGAAGAAGGTATCCATCGCCTTCAACAACCCAGGGGCGTCGACCGGGGAGTTAGAGACGTGATATGCCCAATAACAGCTGGCATAACCAAGCAAAGAGCACCCTTTCTGGTTGGCGAAGACCAGGTCGGACGCCTTCCCCTTTTCAGGAAGCATCCTAGCCGATGTGCGGACAGAGCTGAAATGGCGCTGCCAGCGAAAATTAGAGAGATACGATAGACATGTTATTGCCATATACTCGTGTGCTTTCTCAGCATCGACGAAGGGAGAATATCCTTCGTTATCCGATAGAAGGAACTCTCTTGCAGTGGCATGTATTAGTGACATGCGAGGCTCGACCGAGCTTGACTGATCAACGGTAATGAAATTCCCGCAGAGCTGAGTGATGGTGGCCGTCAGGTTCGTGAAGGTTCCAAATTCAGGTTCTAGACCCTCTCTCAACTCGTCGATGAACAAGGGTCTCCAGCAGCATGCGGCCCAGGACACGATCCTCGTCGCCAATTCCTGGGTTCGGGGGTTGCTGGATTTGATGGGTTCCAGCATCCTGTTGTACATGGCTGCCATCCCGCTGGGGACCTCGCTCAAGGTTACTTGGATGTCTTTCTGCGTATGCCAACTTTCTTGGAGGGTCTCGAGAGCTAGCTTGACCCAGAGGAAGGATCCCGAGGAATTTTCCATTATCTGGTCAATGACATGTTTCTGAAGGATCGGGTTTTCCGGGATTGCATTTCGAACAGCGTTTTGTGTATAGATGCGGACATCTTCGCTGGTATCAGAACCCTGCATAACATAGGAAATCACCTGGGAACTTTCCAAGAGAGAAGTCTCTTGGAGGAGGGGCCGGCTGCTCAGATATACTCTGATGGGAATATGGGAAGGGATTTTTGAGAGATGGGATAGCAAAAGAGAGGGCGTATCTGCTTCATCGATGCCGTCGAGGACCCAGGTCAGAGGCTGCGGAAAGGGGATCTGGAAGATGATCCCCACGAAGATCCTCTCCCATATTGTTTGGAAGTTTTGGCTTTGAGAATTGAACGAGATCCCCGTCCCTTCGTGTAATTTGATCAAGGCCGATCGAAAGGCTTCATTGCTCAGGGCCAGCTGAGTGGCGATTGATCGAAGACAATAAGCACTCGTCCGTCTGGTCTGGTGTGCTAGACTGAAGAAATGATATTGCACATATTGTCCAAGGGTTTGGAGCCGTTCAACCACACGCGCAGCCAAAGAGGTTTTTCCTGCTCCGGGAAACCCGATCAGCCAGAAGAATCTGGTGCTGAGCATTGGTGGCTGAGACTCGGCCCAGGAAAGGAACCCCCTTTTCTCATTGAGCCACTCTCCGGATCCGCTTGCCAGTAGGTTTCCCATCGCGATCAAGTTGTCTTCTGTCTCTGCCGCATCATGTACGCCCAATATAGCCTGCACCTTTATTACTACCTTGGCGTTTCTCGTCCGGCTTGTGGGGTGGTCAAGCTGATCAGGATTGATGTGACGAAGGACCCAACTCTTCAAGACTCCTCGTAGCTTCAAGAAATTCGAGTCTTGTCTGTCTTTGAATTTGCAAATTGTGTGATGGTCGGCATCCATGGGCGCTGACACTTCGTTTTCGTAGCCAAGGATGGCCGAATCTTTGTCGACAATGAGAGCCTTGGTAAAGCCAAGGTTGGTCCTGAGAGTTTCATAGAACGAGATCAAGGCCAAGTCCTCGCAATCTTGCCCAAACTTCTCGTTTATGTCTTGGATAGAGCCAGATTGTTTCTCGAGTTCGGCAACATAGAGCTTCGGGTGGCCTGCAATTGGGGCGGCAGAAAGGACGTTATTGAGTAGCCTGGCATATTGGGCACCTCCATGCGGCGTTGCTAGGAATGCTATGCCGAATACCTTGTCGATGAGCTGCGAGAAATGCTTGTCGGCTTTCCCAAGGAGGTAGGCCTGCTTCACAACGAGCCCGCCCATCGAGTGCGCCACGAAGATGATGGGTCCATCCTGACCACTGCCAGCGAAGGCGCTGGAGAGCTGAAGAAGTAGATCCTTTGCAAAATCCTTGATATTGAGGTTGGTCGCAGCGCCCTTGAAGTTGGCATTATATCCGAAGGTCCACATGCGGACAGATGAGAATTCGACGTCTTCGGAGAGCCAACGGGGCCAAAAATTTGCCGTCTCTCTCTCCCAAGACCATGTGCGCCATGCAGTGCCCCCCAGGCCATGGACGAAGACGATATCGCCGCTTGATACCTCCGGTTCGTACACAGCCTGGAGGCCAAACGGGTCTGGTCCCGCCTTCGGCACATTTCCAGATGGTAACAAGGCATGTTTCGTCGTAGGAGTTGACCTCTGGCTTTGCGATCGGCGATGGAGACGCCGGAATGGAAGAAAGAATATTGACGATTGGGTAGCGGGTTTGCTGTCAATCGCCTCTTGCTTCTGAGCCAGCGAAGTGGTGTTGGGTAACTCTGCAGAAACGACTGCAGAGCGAAAGGCGCCCTTGCGGAACATGGCTGCCCAAGAGCGATGTTTCTACCGTGCAGGGCTCTGTGTTGGGTACCATCAGGGCCGCAGTGGACATCATCCAGGACGTCCAGGGTCAAGCAGTCCTGTTACAAGTTTCCAGTTTCCCCGAAGCGCTGTGAGAAAGAACGAAATTGAATGAGCATTGAGAACGATAAGATAGAGCTGTTCCGCCGCCGCAATGCTTGAAAACGTGCCACAGGTTGGTCGCGGACACTCTGTGTAAGTGGGCGCCTAGGAGGAAGACCCCATTGGAAGAAGGCTCGGGGACTGTGAGCCGTACAGTACTCCCAACTCCTGAACTTTCCTGTAATTACTGCATGCTGCAGGCTGCGTGAGCCCGGTAGTAGATTGAGTGGGAGCACAGCCATGGCTGCTTGGCTGCTTTTATTGCTGATGAGGGGTTGATGTTGGGTCAGACTTAGCGAGAAATCCATGGTCTGGGCGGATGATTGGTTTACCTATGCATACCTGTATGGACGGAAATTGTAAGACGCATGCGTAGGAGGAGATGGGGAGCTTATGCGTAAGATGTCGAGGTATATAGAGGTGCTGCTCCTCGTGGGGAGCCCAGAGTAGTCCAAGGAATGACAGGCGCATCGCCGTCTTCAGCAATACGTCAACACCATCTTGTTCCTGGATAGACTGTGATCGCTCTTCTTTTGGATATGGCAACCGAGGTCTTAACAGCAACAGTTTGCGATGAGGCTTCGTACACAATCTCGACCATTCGCACAAAAGATGCCCAATCGAGGGTCGAGGAGACTCCTAGCGAGCCCATTGAACTTCCCAAAGCCCATGGCATATTCGACGTCAACGAAAATGTTCTAGGAGGTGTGCAATCATGCTTGAATCCTCGATCGATCGGGTGGTCCCATGCTGATTGCTGATCACAACACGAAGCCTTGCCAACGCCGGGTTCCATCCTCGTGGAATGTCTCAAATATGGGGGGGAGTCGCTGTGGGGGAAGACTGCTAAGCTCACCGTCATGTTGCCAGGTGGACTGACAGAAAACTACTTCCTGAAAGTGAGGCAGTTGCGCCTCTCCTGACCCCCTCGTCTCCATGTGGGCGCGGACTAATCTAAGTCCCTGACAAGGTTGTCAGTCTTGGAGAGACCGGTCGCATAATGTGTGAGGGAGAATTCGAGAGCCTCAAAGCCATAGACAAGGCCAATCCTGGATTCTGTCCGAAGCCGTATGCCTGGGGGAAGTATGCCAAGGAGGACCCTGAGACATACTTCATCTTGGAGGAGTTTCGTGAGATCGAGAGACAGGTGCAGATCAACCCTTCTACTCTACTCACATCAGCCTTCCCTCTGACAGCGATCAACCTAGCCGGCCTCGCCCGCGAAGCTGGCCGCCGGCCTCGCTAAACTGCATCATCTCTCCGAGTCCCCAACTGGAAAGTTCGGCTTCCACGTGCGGACGTGCCACGCAAGGATCGCCCAGGCCATCGATATCTGGGATGATATCTGGTGCGCCGTCTTCAAGCGACACCTCGGGTACATCATCGAACTGGCCACACCAATCCTGAACTGGCCCGCATTCGACATCGTCGCCGACCTGACCCTGGAGAAGGTTGTGCCACGGCTACTCCTGCCCCTGCAGTCAGATGGGCGAAAGCTCAAGCCGTGCCTCATCCACGGGGACTGCTGGGACGGAAACACGGCGATGGATATGCGGACTGGCGAGGCCTTCATCTTCGATGCCTGCTCATTCTATGGCCATAATGAATACGACACCGGGAATTGGCGAGCGCCTAGGCACAGATTAAGCGACAGGGCTTACATCGAGAACTATAAGGATGGCTTCACGCCGTCCGAACCAGGTGAGTGTGGCTTGCATCATGGCGGATAATTCTTGTTACTCCAAGGGTATAAATCCTTGCTTTGCGTGGGCTGACCTGACTTGAATCGCAGAGGAGGATTGGGATGCCCGCAACCTCCTTTACTCCCTGCCGTTCAACATTGGCAACACCATCTATATTGCTGGTTCCAACCAACGTCCTGTGTAAGTAGTCCACCATGAAATCTGTGAGCGTCAGTGACTCTGGGTGGCCACTGATCGACCTGTCATAGAATTTATGAAGATATGACCACCCTTTGCAAGATGTTTTGCGCCGACGAGTTGAACCAAAGGATGCAAGACCTGAAGAAATCCCAGCAAGAAGAGGAGACCACCCTCGAGAATCCTGCCATAACTACTCAAGAACAGCCAGACGCACCACGAGAAGCCGAGGAACGTGATCGCAATAGCGAGGATGAGGAGGAGGAGGAGGAGGAGGAGGAGGAGGAGGAGGAGGGGGGGGGGGAAGAAGAGGAGGAGGAGGAGGAGGAGGGGGGGAAAGAAGAGGAGGAAGTGAAGGAGATGATCCATGACCGAGTAGCAAAAAATCCGGTGCCACCTTCTTCGCCCTCATGATTGAAGACGCCGTTGCAAGATGGTGGTGTATTCGAGATATGAGTGCCAGGCTAGAGTATATTTCTTGGCAATTCCAGATCACACTGTATTTCCTCTCCGCGGTGCAGCCTGTGTATGCAACCTCTTTCGAATTGCCGCCTTGGAACGTCTAATAGAAGCGTCGCGCTGGTTGACGCGGTCGTTTATTCTCCGCCACGGTGTGCTCCTGGTGCCACAGCTGAAGCAACCTGATTGCCGTGTACAGAACTAGAGGGTAGAACTCGGGGTAGAACTGGGTTAGAACGGGAGGGTCGAGTAACCTCTTGCTCGTCGGACCGAGAGTGTGCTGTCCATACGCAATGCCGTGGGCGGCCATCAAATCTTTGTCAGAGAGACTGGACTACCCATCCAAGTCGGAAGACCATTCGTGCCCGCCTTCGAGTGATCGACCGGTTGCGGGAGCGATACAGCTCCCAAAGTCCAGTCCGCACCTTCGTTGAAACCCAAAACCCTTGTCGTATCGCCGATTTCATGAACCCTTTGCCGCTTCCAACAGTTCCGTGACGGTCACAACACGATAGCCCCTCCTTTTCAGCTCCGGCAGGACCTTCCTCAGCATCGGGACCGTCCAGCTCCTCCGATCATGGCAGATGATGATGGCCCCCGGCCGAACCATACTCAGGATATGCCTCGCATTAAGCCACCAGTACCCGATCTGCGCGTCGTGGGGATACACCCCGCCCAGAACAAGCCTATACCCCATCCCCGCGACCACTTCCCTCATCCGTTGACTGAAGAACCCGGACCCAGGCCGGAAGTACCTCCCCGTTGGCACCGCCCTTCCCCCGGCCTCGTACGCCGTCCGTATCATGCCCTGCACCGTCTCAATCTGGTCCCGCAGCTCCTCGCCCGCCAATCCCCTCGCTGGCTCGTCATGCATCCCATGGTTGCCCAGCTCGTGGCCCGCCCGCACCACCTCAGCCAGCGCCTCCTCCCGCCCGGACACCTGCCCGCCGATGACGAAGAACGTCGCCCGCGCGTCCGACTCCGCCAGCGCCTCGAGGATGCCGCGCGTGTGCGACGACGGCGCGTCGTCGATGGTGAGCGCGACGAGCTTGTTGTCCCCCGTCCCGGCTTCTGATGCTGGTGGTGGTAGCGGCACCTCCCAGAGCACGTCCGGCCACCTGCGCGCAAAGAACCGGATCAGCACCGCGGGGGGCTGGTACACGACGTAGAAGGGCGCGAGGACGAGGACGCAGACGGCTAGCAGGGCCAGCAGGGTGGCCATTCGGCGGCGGCGGGCGCGGCGGCGGAACTTGGAGGGGAGGCGGAGGAGGCTCGGGATGCAGAGCATTTTTTGGTCTGCAGCTTTTCTCTCTCTCTCTCTCTCTCTCTCTCTCTCTCTCTTTAGGATCCCATGCCGGGATCTTTCTTGAGGGCTTTTGCGAGTTGCAATCCCGAGAGGGAGGTTTTGACTTCGAAACGCGCCATCGGGAATTTGAATTCCAAGGAGCTTCGTGTTCAGCCCAGGGGTGCAAGTCTGGGGGGTGGCCATAATATAGGTGGCTAGTGATTAGCTTGGGACAGCGGCCACTCAGTGGTGTGGCTGCTGTGGAGAACTCGGGTGGGGAACCTTGCAGGCCGCAACTGACCTCAACTCCAATGCCGGACCTCGGCCATCAACAATGGGGGAGAGGGCCTTCTCTCTCTTACCCCCCGCCTTCCTTGGGAGTCTCCTAAGTCACTGGAGCACCCATTGAATCAGTTCTGGTAACCTATGTCTGAGTGGAACCGACTCAATTGACCCAGAATGGCTTCGGCTTCTTCCTCCGTCTTGCGACGGGCGCTCCTATACGGTACTTTACAATGCCTCCCCCTCCCAGGCGACATACCATGCACCCACCGCTAACCTCCCCTCCGCCGCAGTCCCGGCCTCTTCCCAGAAGATGCTGACCAAGTCCCTGACGCTCACATCGGACAACATCACCTACGACCTCGAAGACTCCGTGACGCCGGACCAGAAGCCCGCCGCCCGCGCCGCCCTCCGCGACCACCTCTGGAACCTCTCCCGCCCGCCCTCGATCGGCGAGCTCGCCGTCCGCATCAACGCCGTCTCGACCCCGCACGCCCTCGAAGACCTCTCCGCGCTGTTCCGCTCCCCCACCTCCTCCTCCCTCGGCGCCGTCGTCGTCCCCAAAGTCAACAGCGCCAGCGACCTGACCTTCGTGACCGACGTCCTGCGCCACGTCGCCCCAGCGAGGCACCCTTCCTCCTCCTCCTCCTCCTCCTCCTCTTCTTCTTCGCCGCCCGAGCAGCAGCCAGTCAAGCTGATCGCGCTCATCGAGTCCGCCCGCGCAGTCATGGACCTGCGCTCCATCTGCGCGGCCACGCCGTACCTGAGCGGGCTCATCTTCGCGGCCGAGGACTTCGCCCTGGACCTCTCCCTGACGCGCACCCCGGGGCTGGCCGAGTTCCTGTACGCCCGGGCGGCCATCGCCACAGCCGCCCGCGCCCACGACCTGCCGTCCACCATCGACCTGGTGTGCACGTCGTACAGGGGCGCCGAGGGGGTGGCGCGGCTCGAGGAGGAGTGCCGGAACGGGAGGGAGATGGGCTTCAACGGGAAGCAGTGCATACACCCCGGCCAGGTCGAGGTGGTCCAGCGCATGTTTGCGCCCGCAGAAGAGGAGGTTGAGTGGTCCGTACGGGTGGTGATTGCCGACGCGAAAGCCAGCGCTGCGGGGAGGGGAGCCTGGACGCTGGAGGGGAAGATGATTGACGCGCCTGTTGTGGGCAAGGCTCACGCAGTTGTCGCCAAGGCCGAGAAATGTGGCATTGATGTAGACAGCCTGAGGACGAAATGGGCGGGCCAGGATCCCGAGTAAGAAAGCATTGTTCGACGCATCCGCCTTCCTGCTGCTACATCCGAATACCTTGGAACTCTAGGACCCGCCTCTGAGAGACCCGACGACGAGATTGGATCTCCATATCATATTGTCAAGATGGTCATTATTAATCAGATATAATAATACTGGTTCGGCCTCCAGAACCTTGACATGGAGCCTTCATCGGCCTGATCCCCAGTCTCAACTCCGGTCCTACTCTTCCCTCGATGGCTGAGTGATGCCATGGCTGGGGGATTGTATTCGAAACTGTGCCCTTGGCTATATGTATCATACTTCGGCGGTCTCCTAGAAGCCTCCCACACGGTCGGGGTCTCCAGGTTGTTCAAGGACATGTCATTAAAGAACCCCACCTTTCCTTCTTTGAGGTCGTCCCCTGACATGCACTCCTTATCAGGACATGTTCCCAAAGGAGCACGATCACCTTGGCCATGGCTATCAGCTCCCTCAAGCACCTCCTGTTCAATTCTGCCGATATAGTCCTGCATACGTTCGTGCCCAATCACCCCTGGCGTGATGTTCGCACACTCGAAGCCGGAGACCTCACCCAGGTTGTTGCCCAACTGGCTGGACTGCGAATAGTGATGGCAGGAGGCTCCGAGGGGTTGCGAAGTTGCATACTGATTTAGTTGCCACAGCCGAGTTCCAAGTGGAGTTGATCTGTCCTCCATCTGGTGACCCAGGCTATGGCTAAATACCGTGGACATGTCAGAGACCAAAGGGTCTGGACAGCTGTGTATGGGTTCCAAGGAGATGCCCCCGGGGCTGTCATTCGAGACATGATGAGGAAACGTGACATTTCCAACCTCGCCTTCGGGCGGCGCTTGGTATTCAATGTTTACTCCCGAACAAGGAGGATGGGGAATTGAGTCTGGCTCCAGTTCCGCCTGTGATTCCAGCTGTTCAACAATAGTTGATTTCGGTGGCTTTGGCCGTGGTGGGGGTTCCAGGCAATCCAAAATTTGCCCTTTGCGGTTTATATATGCTTGCCGGGCGATCTGCCTCCTGTCGACATGTAATTCGTCCTCCTTTTTTCCCTCGCCAACCTCTCGTTCATCTGGCCTCTCCCCTGACATGGCTTTCAAGATAGGAGTGGCGGTTTTAGTCAGGTCGTCTCCGACAGAGGCATGTGCGTACAAGTCGTGGCAGGTGTCCAGATCCTCCCTAGCCATCACACCTCGATCATGGTATCGCGCCTCCTGTTTCTCGTGCCGTTGAGTCGAAGGTCCTTCGGAACTTGGGATTTTTGGCGCTGCAGCACCGTTCTCGTACTCGCCTTGAGTATAAGCTCCATATCTTCTCCAGTTCCTCGACGGTCGTCTATGCGGGACTTCTAATCCACGATAGATGCCAGTCTCAACCAGCGCTTTTCGAACGGAATCAGGGGTCAGGCTTCGTTTGCCAGCTGAATCCCGTTCCACAGTTGACCGATGGCTATTAGCCCACGTGAAATACGTGGTGGCCTCACTGGTTCCTGTTCGTGGCCTGCCTATGTTGTCACCCAGTGCTTTGGCGGTAGTCTTTCCATTTCTTCCTCCATGCCCCGTGATACGCAGGCTGTCTCGGGGGCTCTTGGGTGAGCAAGCCAGACTCTTCTCACTCATGCGTTTACAGCGGGCTGCAATACTGCCGGCGATGCTCAAATTATCGCTCCCCGGGCTCTGCCGGTTGACAGGATCCGCCTCGCCTCGCTCAATCTTATTCGTATGTTTCTTATTCGAGAAGAACGCCGAGATTTCGCCCATCTCTTTATCCTCTCTCCGCTTGTCTCGGAGCCGAGATTTAGAAAGCGGCTTGGGAACACCGTGTCTAGGCTGCTGAAGGAACTTCATCTCTCCGAAAGCAAGATCGGGTACTACTCTTCTCAGTACGCTGACAACTGGATATGTGAGACATGTACAAGCTTACCACACGGAACTTCAGAGCCTCGAATATTGCTGAACAGACCAGGCTGCAGTGATGGTGTCATCTATCATCTTGTCAACCCTGCGTCGGCACCGTACGCATAATGCTACCCACAGTCAAACGCTCGCTGAGAATCGCCATGGAAGAGAATTTCTCCATGACGTCCTTGGAAGAAGTTAAAAGCAACTTCTTCTTCTTGTGCCCGCCATGGTGGTCCCTTCGCTTGGATTTGGAATCATCCCTGGTATTTTTTTGGTGAGCCACATGTCTCCTATCTGTCTCGTATTTGTCTTCACGAGTCTTGTACCGCGCTCTTTTCTCGAAACGCGTGTTATCTCCTTCGATGTCACCAGCAAGCTCGGATAATGATCCGGAACATGCCATCCGCCGCTTCTTCCCCCTCTCATAATGTGGGCTGGCTCGTGTTGTGGAGGACGTCTGCAGGTTGTGTGCTTCGTTGCGGCGAGGTGGGCCCGGAGAAGCTACCGTCTCAGCTAGAACTGAGCTATCTTCAGAGGAGAGACGATCCTTTCGTATGTCTGATCGCCCACGAGTATCATGTTTGGACCTCCTGATGGTGGCGACGTCATCGATTGGCAAGCCGTGAGGTCTCCACGAAACGCGAGCAACACCCATCGATCTTTGACCTGATTCGGACGTGTCGTCCACTCTTGCATCGGGCCTCGGTGCGGGTGCTTGTGTCTGTTCCAACCAAGACCGTACGTAGGAATCATCTGTCGCGCCCCGCCGGTTATTCACCCCTAGACCACGGAGCTCATCGTTTCGACTGCGGTCACGGAGTTGAGGAGCATGAGGGTTGGCAGCTCCCCGGCTATGAGTTAAGTGCTCATACGTTGCACGGTTCCTCGGGGAAGACGACCGGCGACGGTGACTACGATGGCGATGTCGGCGGTGGTACGCCAAGTTGGGCCGTGAACGCGATGTGCGGTTTGGAGGTTCCATAATTTGACAAGCAAAGTTGAGAGAAAGGCAATTCAGCAAAGCAAGCTATGCTCACGGAATGGGTAGCATGGCGGCTGCCATGGAGCCTAAGCTAAGTGGAAGAGCAATGCGGTTCCTTCTCGAGAGCTCTTAGGCTCACGGCCTGGAATCAAGAAGCAGCAGTTCCTGAAGCGGGACCCTCCCGTACCTTAGTCCCTGCCTTGAGGAAAGACAGCTCGCCGTTCCCGGATCCCATCCAATGTCAACCGGCGTGCCTGCCCACTTTAGGTAACTGCTTCGTACACAGTACATCGTGCCTTCAGTTTTAAGTCCAAACTCCAAAGCATCCCGTGCCTGATGTGACGTAGGCGACTTTCTGCGTAGTGGATCCATCCAGGGATGGAAGGAAGTCGCGCGGCCATATATCAGTCCCAAGATAGAAAGGGCAAGACTAACCGCGACCGAAGATGATCGAATGCGAGAAGCCTTCTGCTCTATTCGTAGATCCTCTGCTCTCCCGCATCAAGTTCTCCAGGGTCTCGACCCTCCTTGCCTGTCACAAAACCCCCGACATGGACCGTTGGAGAAAGACATTTTACCAGGTCCAATCACTGGTGAGAACACCATTACCTCCCCCCCTTCCCTAACCAGCAAGTCCTATCAAGCCCGGTTCTCTCTATCTGCGACTTGGAAGCACGGATACGAACAGGATATCCTAAACATGGCATCACGGCCAAACATGTGGCCCCCCTTGAGCGCCAGGGCCTGTCCGGGATGTCGTTTGCGACTGACGACGGGCGCTAGAGTCTTCTCGTCACGAGAAGTCAGGCAAAATCCCAAGGCTTGGCAAAGTTGAGACTCGCTCTGTCGGACCCCAGCATCCTAGCAACTCCTGAAATCAGGTGACTGCGCGGTCTCTAGACTCCTCGATCCAAGTCCATATCAATGCCATTACGGAGAAAGGGGGTAATATGGTCCACTTTGGTGGCATTTGGGGGATGACACATAGCTGACAGCGCCCTCCAGACCACCGTAGTCGGACCCCGCGGCTGCGAGAGCCTCATTCCTTTACAGCACATTACAGCACATTGGTAACAGCCTGTCAGGCCAGCCGATGGATGTTGACGGGCAAAGTATTTGTCATGTGTCAGGTCCCAATCAGGAATATCAAGATTCAAAGCCAAAATGATCCAAGTCCACGTCATCAGTTGGAGGTTGACCTCCGTTTCAATTGACCGTGACCAAGCCTCGGGGAATCATGTACTGTACCCCGCCGAAGCGAAGCATTGAGTCGGGTACTGTACAATTGAGGGGGCCTGAAGCTCTCCCTGGCTCTCTGGGCTTCCTAAGCTCCACGCGGCTCGGCTCCAACCAGCACCGTTAGCGGGCTGCCTCTCGAATGTGGGGATGCTGACACGGCTAATTAGGGATCGACGACGGGGTGCATGCAGGACTGTAGGTCCCCATCACTTCGGCCGCACCATTGGAGTAGAGCCTACGGAACGTATCGCGTATCGAATGTCAGGGCGGTATGCAGTTTTCAGGTACCCGCTGAAGCCTCGCCCAAGCCAAGCAGTCCTTCCTGTCACCCGGTAGGTTCCTCCCGCCTTGTTGAATGACTTACCGCTGCCTTACCAAGTAGTTATCGATGTCCTCATCCGTTTCATGCCAAGCCCACCGTAGTCGGCGGATATTTTCAGTCCCACACACATAACCTTGACTCCTAACTCACCGCAAATCCAATGTTCAAGATGGAGACAAAGGGCACACACAGCCATATCCTGCAGTGCCCCAAGCAAGACAGAAGGACGGAAAATACCTATCTTGGCCATGTTTATGCTAACCGGCAGTTGACGACGAGTCCGCTCTGAATCTACACACCACAGAGCTCTTCCAGAACATACTAGAGTAGATCGACTGTCAGGATCACAGAGCAGATCGTCCCGACTCTCCAAGGTGGTATAGTTGCACTCGCGGCACGTGGAAAAGAAGGTCTTGAACCCTCCCCTGGCTTGAAGCGGGCAGCCTGTAGGCGCAGCAAGTTTCATCTTCTCTCCAGGCCACCGTCTGCAAATCAGAGCGTCCCATCAGTCGTCGGTTTCGCATGCCGTTGGGATCTTCGAGGGTTTTAATGCCGCCGTAACCAGATCAATCCTTCTAAGGAGGCCACTAGCCTGGTTAACACCAGAGGGAGGATGGGACCAAACGCGCAGAACATGAACAGATATAGGTTGCAGCCGCCGATAGCAATGCGGGACAGCTCTAGGCAGGCTCTGCAATTGACCATGTCGTCTCTTTGGGCATCTGACACATCCAGCGCAACTGCCACCCCCAGACATCTGAGAGGGGTTCGCGGTTTTGGAGAGGCTCATCTGGACACTTTCAGGAGAGCATGCCCTTCTGCCCCTCTGGGCTGAGCGATTTTCATGGAAGGAAGCTTATAGCTCCACTGAAGCTCCGTTAGCAGAACCAACCCCTGCGCAGCTTGTTACGCTAGCTTGGGCTGTGATTGCCCACACTAGTGTATTTTTGGGCTCTTGCATGTCTGGGATCAGCACCAGGCTTGGCCTCCAACCCCTCCCGCCGTTATCGATAGCCTGGCTCCCCGCCTCATGGCCATGGTGGCCAAGGCCAGGGCTACTGCTCATCCATCGATGCCGTTGCTCGAGCCGGCGATTCAGTTGTTTGGCACCGCTTGCAATGTTCCGACGGCAGACCCTTCTGTTTGGTGATCCCCAAAATGGAAGCACCTGCATAATTAGCCTTGCATATTTGGCAATGCCGGCAGAATCTCAGCCCAATGCCTTTGAGAACATTGCCGTTTCCCAATACCGCACGGGTCGACGGGAACGGACGCGGGCGGCATAGGAGGGGGGGAAAACCTGGATTGATCAGTGAGAGGCCCCTTTCCTGGATAGCTGTCGACCAGCTTGACACTCTGCCGTTGAGCGATGGCAAGGATCTCTCTGAGGTGCCACAACTCTCGCCAGAGCCGAGCGAGCCTACACCAGCTGTTGCATATCGAAACTCATGGTGATGTGGGGTCTCAGTCCGTACCCAGGCGTTTGAACGAACAGTTTTCTAGGATCCTAGGACATCGATTAGGACACTACCACATTAGCAAGCTCCAGAGTGGAGCCCCACGCTCTAGAACAAACGCCATCAGGGACAGCCGGCCAATCTCAGGCGCTCGGTGAGAGTTGCTGTGGGTTGCCTTACGAGGCCGGCACATCATGTAGTCGAGGGTCGCAGGTACTTCTCCGCCACCAGGCTTGCTGGCCTGGGGTCGAGATTTCTTCGTCTGTTTGATGCATGTTTTGGGGGTCAACCCTGCTGCCACACCCATCCTGGTCGAAACATCGACTGGGCATCAAATGCCCCGTTCTGGAAGCTGCCTAGATATGCGCCGTCGGTGTCGGTGTGGCATAGACGAGGCATGGACGACGAATACGACGACTCCCGGAACAGTCAGGCATATAAGACGGATACCGTCAAGGGGATCTTCTGTCCAGGGCTCCTTCTTACTACTTCTCAAGTGTAATTTATATGACTTGACCACTCCCAGCCAGTAGATACGATATCTCGACTTGGAGAACCCTTGGCCGTTGCCACATAAGATACCTGCCTACCTACATACCTATACCTACCTACCTACATACCTACCTACCTTAGCTACACTAACATACCATACCATTACCACCATAACATAACATAACACCCCACCGCTCTCATATCCGCCCCAGTCGGTCATTTTCCCCTTAGCATCCTCGTTGACTCGCTGGACAATCTCGCAACAGCTCGCGATTTATCGAAAACAGCTTCCCCCACTTCGGCTGAAGTCATTCGACCCGTGTAATACGCCAGTCTCGCCTGTTATTCCCGGCGCGGAGCAAAGAGCAAAATATCGGACGCTAGATCCAAGCCAGGCACACCAGTGACTACTTGGCAAGAAACAAACGTGAGTCTATGTCGCCTTTCCCTTTTTAATAATCCAACTTCCCTCCTGCGCGTCCTCCAACCCCTATTCATCATCGACGTCACAAAAATTGAATACGTTACCCACCTGCATCGCACAACTCGCCTGCTGCAAGCCTTGATCATTTTGCCAGTCAAGTCCCGTTAAGAGTCCGTCAAGAGTCCACATCACGTCCCATTCACTTGTGTCTCACTTGCCTTGAAATCTCTTCTTGCCACTCATTTGCGGGAAGTCGTCTGTAATCCGCAGGGATCAGCAGCGCAAATTTGTATGCGCGTTCCAAGGCTAAGATTTTCCGACAGCAAACAAACAACAATCAGAATATCAGAAGGGAGAGAACGCGACCGACAATGTCTAAACTATTCATCGGGTGAGGCTTTCTCCGATCGCACCGATCCTCTAGGTTCCGCCCTGGGTCTGGGTCTGGGTCTGGACCCAATTGCTGACGCACTAACAGTGGTTTGGCGTGGCACACGGAGGAAGGCACGTTGAGACAGAAGTTTGAGGAGTATGGAGTCGTGGAAGAAGCTGTACGTTGCGGCGCGCTTTCATTTTGATGCCGATTGATTTTGCTTTTTGATTTGTTTCCCAACGCAGCAAACAAAATTGCATCGACAAACGAGAAGAAAAGGAGAGCCTCTGACTGGAGCTCTTCCAACGTTTGATTAGGTCGTCGTTAAGGACCGCGACACTGGCCGGAGTCGAGGCTTCGGTTTCGTCAGGTACACCAATGATGAGGACGCCCAGAAAGCCATCTCTGCGATGAACAACGTGGAGTAGGACCAATGACCCATTCCCCCTCCAACCCGAAGCGCATCAATAACTGACCGCGTGACCAGGTTTGATGGACGGACGATCCGCGTTGACAAGGCCTCGGACACTGGTCCACGAAGCGGCGGTGGAAGAGGCGGTGGTGGTGGTGGCGGCTATGGACGTGGCGGCGGAGGAGGATATGGGTCGCCGCAGGGCGGCATGCAGGGCGGCATGGGGTACGGTGCCGCGCCGCAGGGCTACGGTATGGCCCCGAACATGTACGCTCAGCCGCAGTACGGTGGCCGGGGGGGCTACCAGCAAGCCGCACCCGCCTACGGTGCGGCCCCTCAGCAAGGTGAGAACCGTGGCCCGGGGTCAGAGAGAGACGGGCATCAGACTGACTCCGGACAAGGATGGTCCCAACAGCCGGCCTCGTACGGCTATGACCCATCGCAGCAGGGCCAGGCACAGCACCCGCAGCAGCAGCAGCCGCCTCAGGACGGACGGGGAGGATACTAAAGCGCTTCCCGCCAACTTTGGCATAAAGATGTCCATCCTTTTCGTCCGGGACGTGACCCTCCGTTGCTGAACATCAACGCAACGGCCGGAAACGGACCGAATTTGACAATGACGAGAAAAAAAGGATAGACAACATACCTCTAGCCAGCCCGCTGAAACCCCAACCACCTCTTTGTTACCGCTTAAACCGCTACCGACTGCCTGTACGATCCGAGTCCGAGTCGCTGTTGCTCTTTGACGGCCGCAAGCATATATACCCCCATCCTTGGTTCTCTCCACCGCGCCTGCGTGGCGTCTGGTTGGTCATGGCAAGAGTTATTGGTGACGGTTTCACCTGCCGCCTCTAGGCATGCCATGGTTGATCGTTTCGTTTTTATTCTTCTTCTTTGCTTCTCACCCCCCCCAAAAGAAAAAGGTCGATCAAACCTGTCCGCTCGCTTGGGAACTTGATTTTCATGCTTTCGTTTCCTTTCCCATTTTTTGGGGCTGCCTGACAGGCGGTCTCAACAGTTCCCCTGTTAACGCCTTGGCTTCCTGCGTTTTGTTGCATTTTTTCCTTTTTTCCAACACACGGGGCAGCAGGCCAACGAACAACAAAAGATGCGAAGGGCATAGATTTGGTTCAGGGGCCGGTGGCGGCGGCGGGGGTGGGCTCTGGGATGGGACTGGGGGGAACAAACCGGCTTCTTGCATCTACACGGCGGCATCCGGTCTCTTTTTTTTTTTTCTCCGGCAAGAGACGCTAGAAAGTCCCCTGGAACAGGAGGGACGGGGAAAGAGGGACAAGAAAAAAACGAGAACGGGATGGGATCGGATGGATGGCTGATAGACAAGGGCGACAACCAGGCCGGGGGAGATAGGATGAGATGCCGAATCAGTGGAGAGTCGGGGGGGGTGCCGGAACGCCGGTTGGGGTTTTCTGTCTGTTGATGCAGGAAATGGGGGAAGGAAGGGGGGGGGAAGGTGTGAAAAGTCTTTTTGTTTTCATGTTTTTGCATGCAAACGACAAACAATGCTGTTTTGTTTCTTCTGCACTTCTCTGTTGCTTGTTCACGAGGGTTTCTCTGTCTCTTCTTGCTCATCTACGCTGCTGACCTTTCTGAACTCGTGATGATGATGATGCTGCTGCTGGTCCAGCCCCTCGGGCCCCAATGATGATGACCCGTCCGCAACCCCAGTACCACCAACACCACCACCACCAACACCAGCAGCACGACGACGGGCCGCGTCGATGGCCCGGACCCTGACGGACAGGTCGGTGACGTGCTCGTCGCCGCTGGAGGGGCTCAGGTTGTCGAGGGCGCGCTCGAGCCCCCACAGGTAGTCCCGGTTCAGGCCGCTGGGGCCATGGCTGTCGTAGATGTGCTCGGCGAGGGCCTGGGGGTCCTGCGGGCCGACGAACTGGTCGTTGTCGGGGGTGCCGATGTAGACCAGGGTCCGGATGGGGCCCGTGGCGGTAGTCGTAGTCGTAGCCGCAGTTGTAGAAGTTGGGATCGCCGTTACAGCAGGGTGGAAGGGAGCGTAGTGGATGGTGTAGCCGTTGATCTCCCGGATGTCCAGGTAGTCCTTGACCTCGGCGACGCGGTCGGGCACGATGCGGTACGCGACGCCCCACACGCGGTCGTCGGCGGAGGCGTCGTGGTGGTCCGTCAGCTGCTCCCAGTAGCTTCGCTCGATCAGGGTCACGACGCGGCCTGGGGCCTCGGGGGTGCCTCTGTGGTCTTGGCTGTTGGCGGGGGAGAGGAGAGAGAGAGGGACGGGTTAGTGGGAGGCGAGGACAGGCACAGGAAGGAAGGAAACGAGGGTGGATGAGGATGGGGGGTGAGGTTAATGGTGCCAGAGCCAGAGCCAGACTTCGCCCTGCTCCGCCTTGTGGGTAGGTTTGCCGGGATCTCACCCAGGAAAGGCACAAGGGAAGCGAAACGGTGCGGTCACGACAGAGGCTGAAGGGAAGGGGACGTTGTAAATACCTTGCCTATATAAGAGGTCAGTATCACGCCTCTAAGCAAGGGTTTTGCGCCGCATTTAGCGGGGACTCGCGCGGGTCCTGGGGCAAGGATGGGGAAAAGGGGGGTGGCCCGGGTGGCCCGGGTGGATGAAGGCATGATGGTGGGTGCTGGGTTGGGGTTGTCCGCTTTGACATATGCGTAGCTCTCTCTCTCTCTACGTACCTGCCAGAACCTGCGCACATAGCCAGTAACCCAGCCGGGGATCCTCCTGTCTGCGCCCTGCGTTAGCCCTGCCGCGTTACCGAACCAAGATGGGTGAGGAGGTGAAGCCAAGGGTCTGGCCCGGGGAGGTTCGGCCCGGCCAACTAGGGCTGCGAGGTGGGATCGGGCGGGTTTACCAAAGTGAGGAGGTGGTTTCCAGATGAGGCTCCTGGCAGACAGCAGTGTTAGATGTCGTTTATCCTTAAGTTCCACAGAATAGGGATTCCTGGGAACCCCGGACTTCTACATCCGGGGCAGACAAGGAAAGGATGAGTCGGAGAAAATGGAGATCTCACCCGTAACCAAACAACCAGAACTCTTCTTCCTCCCCAGGAGCACCATTGAGAGCCATGGTTAAGTAGAAAAGCCCGAAAGAGCGAGCCTGGGCCGAAAGGGGGATCTGTGTGTAGTAACCTTGTTGTGAGGGATTCAACGCCAGATCCGAGAAACGATCGCCAACATGAGACTCTCCGTTTCCTAACCGATATAAGTGCTCAGACGTGTTATATAAACATGTGGATGATTGATGCACCCTCCGGTTTGAGATGACGTTCCTGAAGGGAATGTCGAGTGCAAGAACGTCGTGGACTCAACTACGGAAGACAAAGCACTAGTCTTATGAAGAGGCAGTCATTTAGACATCTAGACATTCAAGCGATTACATAATGGTATCATAGAGCTCATCTCTAGGGGATCTTACGCCATGCGGAAAATGTGGATAACACTGCACTTCTGTACTTCTACTGAGACGATTGGATACAAATGGGTATACGGATCATACAAGAGAGGGCCAGCAGTTGCCTCGGCACCGACCAGCCTCTCTAGCTGCCCGGAGTTGTGAACACACCGCAGCTCTCCTCAGAAAGTGTTATTAGTTGGGCTTCACAACCAGTGAAATGGACGTGCAAGGTGACACCCGCCCGGGGTTGAGGAAAGAATATGTAGTTGGTGTCAAAAGCGATGAACATGATGGTGGGTGGTATGCACTTGTCAAACTCGCGTACAGGGGCAGTCTGACATGCTGAAACATCATCATCGCCAACATCCCAGGCTCGTGGAACCTTTGACCCAGTCAAGAGCCGCAATTGCCTCTTCGTGGAACTCGGTCCGGGGCTGGTGACATCCCAACGGCCGCATGTTTGACCAACGGGTCCCGTGCGGCGGCTAGGAATCCCGTACGCAATCTGGCTGTGATCCGTACCCCATGGGTTTGCTGTGATTGATTTGATGTGATTCTCGGTGGGGACGGGGGGTTTCGCTAAGGGGGACATCGGCTATTCCACGAGGATTCAGGAGGAATCTCCGGCCAACGACCGATGCGCCTGATGCCAGGTTCCTGCGGTGCAAGTCTTCCTTATCACCAAAAGGTTGCCAAGCGTCCCCAAGTTCCCAGCAAGTTCACCCCTTTATCATAGCCCTCATGCATTGATTTACTGCGAAAAGGAGCGTCATCACCACTGCCCCTCACTGCCCCTCACCCCCTCAGCCTGCTGACACAGCCTGGTTTGGGCCTTCGCATTTGCGCTCTGCCCCACGCGCCCCACGGCGCCAGAGCATACCAGAGCCTGATTAATTCCCGGAACAGAACACGCAGACACGCAAGTTAGTTGCGCATGCGGCTGAATCCCCTCCAGCGGTAATCTGTTGCCCAATATTCACCTCCTCGGCCAGAACCACCTCTATAAAACTTGAGACACCGCAGAGCGGAAAGGCAGACTCCCGTCCTTGCTTTGTTTCTAACCTCGATCCCACCCTCGCCGGCCTCCACGACCGACTCCACGAGTTTAAACTCAAAATCCGTTGTTACCTGCCGTCGCAAACATGGCATATAACAGGCATTATAACCCGGACGAGCTTCCCAGGTAAGCTTCCTCCACGCCACAGACCTTGAACGTGACCTCTCCGATCCGGGAACAAATACCCCCCGCACTTTGCTATCCACGGAAAAGCCAACCGTCTTGCTAACCCCGCCCGCCATCTGCGTCAGATTCGCAGAGCCAGAACAAGTGAGCGAGCCCTCCCCTCCAGCCCTGCACCTCGCCGTCGCAGGTTCAGCCTCGCCCTTGAGCCCCAAGCAGCGCTTAGCCAACTAACCGACTCCCCTCTCTCCAGAAAGGAACCCCCCCGTCCTCCTCCTCCTCCAGCGCACCACCCCCCTCCTCCTCGCGCTACGAGACCAAGCCCCCGCCGCTGCGGCCCGCCGACCTGCAGCAGCAGCAGCAACAGCAGCAATACCACCGACCCGCGCCACAGGACCCGTACGCCGGCGCCGACGGCCGGCGCCTGTCCCCGCGACACCCTCCGCCCGGTGGTGGTGGTGGTGATCCCCGCTACGCCATGAGTCCCCCGCCCTCGGCCACGGGTCCCCGACCCGTGGCGGCGACACAGAATCGCCAGCCCGTCGTCAGCAGGCCGCCGCCGAGCCCCGGTCCGCTTGATAGTGTTGCGGACCCGACGCTGTTGCCGCTGTTTAGGGCTGTGGATAAGGAGGGTGAGTTGGGGGGGGGGGGGGCGGGGGGGGGGGGGGGGGGGGGGGGGGGGGGGGGGGGGGGGTA